GGTCGTCGAGGTGATGGGAGCTGCGGGTGAGAAAGTACAAGCTCAGCCCGGGTCACGGTGTGATGTTGCGGAAAGACCGGATGTCGAGCAGCGCTTTTGAGATAGTGGTCTCAGAGAGGATGACTCAGCTCGCAATGAGCCATCTCCGTCTTGGTCGTGAGTGGAAGGAGGAAGGAAGAGATGGAGGGATCGAGGTTCCAGAAGGTGTTGCGATGCGCGTGAGAAGCAAGCCCACGCAATTTCGCGCCTCTGCAGCTGCTCAGCTGCAACTCAGCCACTTCTTCCTCCACGAACCAAAAAGTCCAACACTTGGACCCTGACCCCCCAGAACTCAGCATGCAAGATGTCACCTTCTTCCGTCACGAAACGGCGAGCCGCTTCCTCATCATCGCTCTGCTTGAAGAGCTGCAAGCAACGTGAATGCTCAGCAGCCTTATGAGCTGTCCGAGCTGGCGATGCTCCTTGCAAGTGGGTTTTGAGAGGGCCGAAAGGCTTCCAGCCGCCGCGCCAATCTCGAATCGGATCTCCCACTTTTGGCTGAGTCAGCTCAAAACTCCTTGAGCATCGGGTGGCACGCCGCAAAAGGCCGGTGACGATTCCACTTCTCACCAGCCAGGAGGGTTCCCACGCTACGCCAGAGGCTCATCCGGAAGGCTCCATCGCAGAACAATGGCGTCGGCATGGCTTCCGATGGATGTCAGACGATGAGACTGAGGCTGTTCTGTCACGAGACTAAGCGTCAGCCCTCCATCTTCACATGGCGGCGCGACTGGCGGTCAAAGCGGTTGCAGAAGCGATTCGATCTATTATCAACGATCCTTCTATCGATGCCGGGTCCCGTGACCATGAAGACGGATGAATCCACACGAGGTCGGAAGGTTGCTACCGTGTGATCAATGCATGATCAGGAGGCTTTCAACGTCTTGCGAAGACCGGCACAGCCGAAAAGAACATCACGGGACCCTGCAGCTTGCGCTGCGGCCCGCAGCCGAATTTCCTGCGTGGCTGATCCAAATCACCGCGGCCTTGCTGGAGTGGATGAAGCTATAGAACGCCGCGAAGCAGCAAGATGCGGTTCTCGCAAAGGCAGATGAGCGTGTCTTCCAGCTGCTCTTCACCTTCGCTGCCACCGGACCGAGGAAGGCGAGCGCTACACACGCCGAGAAGTGCCCCGCTGGCACCGCCTCCTGCGTCGTTGCTATCGGAAGCTCCTAGCCGCACCACCCTCGACGCGGCGTTCTTCGTGTCTGGTGAGGAGGGCGAGTAGTAGAGGAAAAGGTTGCCGGCTCCACTCGCCGCTGCTGTGCTGCCAGAGCCTGTGACCTGAGGCGCGCTCTCGAAGGCGAGCACCACATACCGGTCCTCCTGGCCAGCTTCGCTGGTGCGTTTGTGAATGTGCACTCGTTGCGCATCCCTCTTGGACGCCAATACGAAGGCCAGCGCTGGCATCGTTGCGACGTGGTCCCAAGACGAAGCTGCAGAGGAGAAGACGGCACCGTCAAGATCATGCTTGATGACGATCAGGCCCTGTTCGTTGTGACCGGGCAGGGGTGTGGCCAAGAGGATCGTCTCTCCTTCCTTCGAGCTGTTGACAGTGGTGCCGTCCCGGGTAGGGACGCTGGAGAGGACAAAGTTGCGTCCGACATTGGCATCTTCTTCCTCGAGATTGTCCTTGAGCAGGCTAGGCTGGTCGAGAGATGCTGAGCTGAGACCTGTGCGGTCTACGCCAAAGTCGCTGCCGCGTTGAACAGAGTCCTCGTCAACCGTGTACTTCTCCATGCCTTCGAGCATGCTGATCAGCTCCGAAGGATCCATCGTCTCGGGCACATCGTCTTCGTTGTCTTCCGCTTCGTCGTCGTCATCGATCTCTTCCTCCTCATCTCCGCCTGTACCGCCGCTGACAGCATGTTCCAGAGCAGACCGTGCTTGTGCAAAGCTGAGCTGCGTCTGGCTCTGCGACGTTGCCTGCTTGCGACCTTGACCATTGGAGCGAGTGCCCGTACGGTCCGCAAAGACCTGCATCCACCGCGTACCTTCATGCCTCTTCTCCAGATGCAGCGTCAGCAAGCTCAACCCTCGGGCCCTCTCGAGCGTCCATAAGCTCCCTGTTGGATCGATCTCTGCCCACGTCGATCTCGAGACATACCGCCCTGATGCAATCAGTTTTGCTGCGTGCGTGTGATCGTCGTCGACGGCGTCGCTCGCTGAGGTTGTGCTGTTGTCTAGCTCCGTTATCTTGGCTGAAGTACTATGGGTGCTGAGAAGGTCGAGGGCCTCTTGGGTGAACGACAAGCTGAGCGCGCCGAGGGAGAAATGGGCTCTGATATGGGCCTTTGTGATCCACGAGGGAAGCGCGAAAGCGATCGTGACAGTGTCGCCGGTCTGCGCCCAGGAGAAGTGTGGAGCTCTACGTCTGCCTCTAGAAGCCGTCGTGGGCTGAGAAGCTGTCGCGGAAGCAGAGGCTAACGTGACTTGCCGTGACTGTGCTCCCACTGCAGTCGAGACGGCTCGCCTTTTGGAAGCGGTGAAGGGTGCCTCGGCCCCGAGAAGCGTCTCATGCTCGTCCAGCTTTGCTATGATGATCGGCTCCTCGCCTTGTACCGCCCAGAGCGACCTCGCATCCGGTATTGATGCTTCGGCGACACCTTCTTTTGAATCGAGCTCTACGAGCTGGACTTCGAACACCGTGGAGCTGTGCCCTGACTGCGCCCCTGTCGAGCTCCCCGCCTGAGCTTTCGCGTCTCTCTGGAAGCCGAGACCCTTCATGTCCTCCTCGGTCTGACCGACCTTCGAAGCAATTACTGGCTTGATACTCTGTAGGAACAGCCTGATCTTGCCATCGAGCACTCGACATGCTTTGATCGTGCCTTCTTGAGGGAGCTTCCAGCGCAATTCCGAGCCGCTTGTCCACCTTACCGCACCGCCATTTGCGAGCTTGACCCTTTGCAGCTCGACGAGCACCACCGTCCTCCCGCTGCATGCTAGCCACCGTGTTGGTGAGACGGACGCTAGTGAAGGCAGCGATCCAGCGAGCTCGTCTATGGCAAGGCGGTGGACAGGATGTCCAGCGACCTTGTCTGCTTGCGGATCGTAAGCAAGCGCTATGACGAAGCCGTTTGCATCAATGTACGCCGCGAATGGCTCGTCAGCGCTCCTCCGGCCCGTAGCGGGGACAATGACTTGATGCAGCGCTCGCTCCTTGGTCTGCTTGTAGCCTAGACCGGTGAACGAGAGGCTGCCATCTCGTGTAGATTTTCCATCTTGTCGTGACTTGTAGAGCTCAGCGAGAGAGGGTGGTCGACTGGGCAAGGCGTAAGACACCGTGCCGGAGGAGGAAGAGTCATCTTGAACCAGCTTGTACGCCTCAAAGTTGGGGCTGAGCTTCTTCTGACCCACGACGAATGAGAGGTTTGCCTGGTCTATGCGGCTGCGCGTTGAAGACGACGGATCCGACGGCAGTGGAAGCCGGTGCGCTTGTGAGTACGCCATCCTCAAGCATTGCTGTCCTGCTGAGGCTGCGTTGTGCTTCGTATGGGGCCCAGGTGTTGGTCGGGAAGAACAACACGTCAAGAAGAAAGCTCGAAGACAGAAAAAATCAATGCGCCTCCACAGCAGCACCTTTTCAACATCACCGCCTTCACGCATCTCCATCATACTAGGGAGATGAGGAGTTCAACACAACCTTCTCTCTTCACATACACACGATCGACGACACGATAACATAGGCTCAGCACATAAGCAGTCTCGATGCTGTCGAGTCAGTTACTTCTGGGAGGGATGATTTGCAAGGGTATATTGCTTTTCAAACGGGAACAGATGAGAGCTAGGCAGCCAAGACGGCTATCGAGCTACATACATGATGGGTCGTAAGAGAGTCAAGAAAGCAACTCTTTACTTGGTAGCGCTCTGGACGGTGCCCTTGGCCTGGGCAGCAGCGTCGCTGAGCGCCTGGGAGGCCTGCTGGCCGGCGTTCTGGGCGTTCTTCTGCGCCTGACCGGCGGTCTGGGAGGCCGAGTCGAGAGCCTGGTGAGCCTGCTTGCTGGCCTCGTCGGCGACGTTGTTGCCTGACTTGGTCTGACCGGTGGCGATGATGTGCGAGACCTGGTCGATGACGGCAGCGGCGGTGCCACGGGCCTGGTTGACCAGTCCCTGGTCCTGAGAAGGCTTGATGTACTGGTTGGCCGACTCGAGGGTGTGCGAGGCAAGGTCACGGGCCTGGTTGGTCAAGCCGATGAGGGTCTGCTTAGCCTCCTCAGCAGCCTGCTCGCCATCCTTGGCGGCAGAGTCGGTCTGCTTGGAAGCCTCCTTCGAGGCGTCGTCAGCAGCAGCCTTGGTCTGGTCAGCAGCGTTCTGGGCGTGCTTCTTGCCCTGGCCGAGGAGCGAGCCAGCAGTCTCCTGGACGTAGGCGATGGTGTTGGAAGCAAGGTCGGTGACCTCCTTAAGGAGCGAGTCACCCTGCTTCTGAGCCTCGTTGGCGATCTCGCCGGCCTTGTTCTGAGCGTCCTTGCCAGCCTGCTGGGCCTTGTTCGAGGCGTCGTTGGCGAGGTTCTGGGCGTCCTTGGAAACGTTGTTCGACGACATTTTGATTTGTGTTAGTGTTCTTGGGTGTTTGGGGGAGGATGGATGTGCTGTAATGATGTGTGTTGTTCGTGGTAGAGGAAGAAGATGTGAAGAGCTGCGCAATCGATATATGTACTCTTCGAACGTCTCGTGGCGGCCGCGAAGATTAGGCTTCCTCGCTTGCAGCCAAGCGCACTTTCAGCTTACCACGGCAGGCCGCCCTGCTCAGTGGTGCGGACTGCGAAACTTTCAGACAGGAGGCCGGCCACGTTCGGCGAGAGTCTCTCTCTTGGAGACAAGCATTCACAGTCACGGTCGCAGCTTCGACTTGTCGGCTGAGCCAGAGCGTGTATCAAGGTGGAGAAGCCCTGTCTGTCCGTGCGCTTATGCAGTCCACAGGCTGCGCACGCGCTCTGGCTCATTTTCGAAGATTCGCGCTCTGATATGACGCAATGACGCGTGTGATTCACACTGCGTCTGCACCGCCCAGATTTTCACAGGCTGCCGGCTCATCGGACACCACGTCAATGGCCCCACAGGACACGCCATAGCACATCGATACCGAGCGTGGCGCTTTCAACGTTCAGCATGGCGGCCCTCAGCCGTCCCGAAGATTTCCTCGGCGTTCAGCAATGTTACGCCACGCGGAGCCAGCCGCCGCTGCCCAAAGACGCTGTAAAACTTCTAAATTTGGATCCAAGCTCCCGTTTTGACGTCGGCCAAACTTGGCAGCTCTTCTCACATGCAAGATTGCCGCGTACCAAAGATGCATCTGCAACATTGCGATGTTCAACAGGATGCTTCTAGGTTCTTTGAGTTGTGCCGTGGCTGTGACGAGCTCGTTTTCGGTGTTTGGCACTCTGACAAGCTGACAGTTGACGTCGAGGACGTCGGTGCTCAATTTTTCTGTCAACGCGTTGCTGCCGCCTGTGAAAGGAGAACAGAGACTTCTTCGCTGCTGTTCCTGGTCCTTCGTCAGCGGATGTACCACAGTGATACAGGGGGTCCGCGGCATTTCAGTGTATTCTGCAGGCTCAACTCGATCGGCGCCGGACAGCACCCTACGGCATTCCAGGTGATCGGCGTGCTGCAGACAGCATTGAATTCGACAGGTCAGCCCTGAGCTTGTACCATTGAGCGCAGTGTTACAAGATCTACTGAAGCAGCGCAAGATCTTTCTCGTTGGCGCCTACGCCGAGCACCTTGCACGCCAGCTCGAAGAGCTTCTCCTGACCCTCGCTCCACTCCTGGCCCGGGTTTCGGAAGCTCGCCTTCATCAGCTTGCTCAGACCCTCCCGCAGCGTCTTGAGTGCCACGAGCGTCTTCGGATCCGCACTGGCGATTCGGATCCTCTGCCTGTCGATGTAGAGGCTGTTCGAGGCCAGTCGGAACTCCCCGTCACCGCACAGCATGTACACCGCTTTGTCGTCCATCAGTCCCGTCTCCCATGCATACAGCTTCTTGCTCTGCATCATCGTGTAGTACAGCATGTAGCTGCTCGAGCTGCGCACCAGTTCCGACATCTTGGCTTTGAAGTTGACCGACGACGGGTGGATCGAGGTCGGCTGATTGTTGCCAATCGTCTTGAGCTGGTACGTCTTGCCGTCGATCTGCAGTAGCTTCGGGTAAAGACCAGCGGCGAGGGTAGCGTGGACCATGGCAATGCTCGATGAGTTTGCGTCCAGATGGGCTGGGAGCGTCATGAAGCGTGGCTTGGAGAAGTTGGCTGAGCCGCCACTGCGGTATCGCAGTTTGTTGAGCTCCTGCCTGAAGGCATCGTCGACTGAGACAAAGCCGGCGTCGATCAGGTACGAAAAGTATTGCTGACGAAGCTCTTCGATCTGCAGCAGGTTCTGAACGCTCAGGAAGCTGCGGTTGCAGAAGGTACGGTGGTGGTTTTGCGCCGTGGAGCGTCGGAACCCATTGAACGCGTTGGCGATCGTGAGGAAATCCGAGTCGCCCAGCTTGAAGCTCTGCTTGGCTCGATCCGCTTCCAGCTCCTTCCCGAACGGCGTCATGAACGGCGACTTCGAGTTGAGCGCTGCTGCGATGGTCAACGCCGGGTCGAGACACTTGAACAAGGTGGCGACGAGCAAGAACTTGCCCATGTGCACATCGAGCGGCATCTTTGACAGATGTCTACCGAGGTGCGTGATCTCTTCTGTCGATGTGAGGGCCTTGACCTCGACGAGCGCTGCGATGGCACGCTGCACATTGGCAGGGCTTGGTGGGTCGAGTGCTTGCGACAGCGCGTTCTCGATCGAATCGCCGATCTTGATTTTCATGATCTTGAGCTTGAGCGCAAGGTCCTGCAGGGACAGACGGAGCATTTCCGGCAGCGGATGCTCGTCCAGATACGAGTCGTGTCGGTACTTGGTGAATAGATGGAAGCAGATGCCTTCCTGCACACGACCGGCACGACCGCGACGCTGCTTGGCGTTGCTCCGCGCGATGAAGCATTCCACGAGGCGTGAGATCTGTCGCTTCTCATCGTAGCGCATCTCTCGATGCTTGCCCGAATCAATGACGCAGGTGATGTCGGGGATCGTGATACCGGTCTCGGCGATATTGGTGGCAATGACGATTTTGCGCACACCGCGAGGCGGTACATTGAAGACCGCGCCTTGATTCTCGGATGAAATAGTCGAATGCAGTGGGAACAGCTGGAAGCCAGCTCCGCCAAACGTGGGATGGTCCACAAGCATGTCGTGGCAATTACGAATCTCGGCCAGACCAGGCATGAAGATCAGCGTCGCTGCGCTGTACGGCTCGAGGTCCTTCTCGTTACAGACGCGCTCGAGGATCTTGATGATGAGATCGTGGTTGATGACGTACTCGTTCATCCTGCCTAGAGTGTCGATCGTCTTGCTGCGATAGGCTTTGCCGAGACTGCCCGTGCTGGGGCCTTGACCGTCAGGATCATCGTCGTCATCGTCAAGCAGAGCGGCGTCGTCCTCCTCTTCCGTAGGAGCTTGTGCCAGAAGCTGCAGCTTGCTCTTGTTGCCAGGTGCATTCTGCTTGCGAGCGTTGTTGTCACCGTTGCGATACCCTCGCTTCGGTCTGAACGCGTACGGCGAGTCGTCTTCGATGATGTAGTTGCTCATCTCGACGGCGTCCTCGAGGTAGTGCACGTTGACGGGGAACGTGCGACCAGGAACAGCGATGGTGGGACATCCGCCGCAGTACTTGCTGATGCGTTCGGCATCGACGGTGGCCGACATGAGGATGACCTTGAGGTCCTTGCGATGTGCGATGAGCGTTTTGAGAATGATGAGCAGGAAGTCAGATTCGATGGAGCGCTCGTGCACTTCATCAATGATGACGTGCGTGATCTCATTAAACGCCGTGCCTTCAAGCATGCGGAGTACGATACCCGTGGTTGCGTAGACCAAGCGTGCGTTCTTGCCGACGTTGCTCTCGAGACGGATGGCGTAGCCGACCAGGCTGTCGTTGCCGCCAACGCTCTTGCGAGGCTCGCCAAGCTCCTCGCTGACACGCTCGGCGAGCGAGATGGCAGAGATACGCCTCGGCTCGGTGACGTAGATCTTGCAGTTGCGGCCTTGCGACATGCATTGCTCGAGGATGTAGGCGGGCACCTGTGTCGACTTACCGCATCCAGTCTCACCGCTAAGAACGAAGATCTGATTGTTCTCGACCAGGTCGAGGATCTCCTGGCGGTGGTTTGCGATAGGAAGGCTCTGTCGTCCCGGGAGCATCTTTTGGTAAAGTGGGGATGCCACTCGATCGGTGAAATACTCGGCGATTTCCTTGGCCCTAGCTTCGGAGGGCTGAGGCGCAGATGCGACCGAGAGCTCGCCAAGTTCGGTCTGCTGTGCCGCTGCTGAGCCACTTGCAGGTGCGATCTTGCCTTTGGCCTTCTTTGCTGCGGCTAACTCTTCCATCTTGACTCGAATGACATCTCGTACACGCTGGAAGCGGGTACGGCTCTTGCGATCGCGCTCGTCCTTTTGCAGGCCGGTGAGCTCTTCCCACCATTCTCGATAGCCTGGAGGCAAGGCACGCTGGACGGCCTTGTCGCGATCGATGCAGAAGAGAGCGACGGTGGCGATGAAGTCATCCGCTTGAAGCTGCGTGGAGCAACCGACATTTGTGAGAGTGTACTCGTCGATGTACGTGGGGGCACCGGCGGTAATGGGATTCTTGTTGGGTACCACCTTGCCTCCATTCCAGCGAATGGTGAGCTTGCTGCGATGTACTCGTCCGCCGGAGGCAATGACGGAGAATTTGTAGGTCGAATACGCATCGGCACGCTTGAGAGCATCCGAAAGCATGACGCGAGGGGTCTTACCTCCGCCACCGCTCTTGGCTCGTGCGGGCAAGTTGCGCATGGTGATGACGGCGCCCGTCTCGACATCCTTGTCCTCGACCGGACCCTCGTTGAGGAGATCGCCGAAGAAGCCGCCTTCGTCGTCGGAGTCAACGTCGGGTTTCTTGTCGTGTCCATTGACCTCTGCCGGAGCTCCTGCCTCGTCCTCCGTCTTCTGAGCATCGCTCACGTTCGCGGCAGGCAAAGCCTTGTTGTCCGGCCCGGCGTCTGAAGAGCTTGCTGCTGTCGGAGCAGGAGTGTCGATGCCGGCTGCCGCATCAATCTCGCGTCGCCGTTGCTGACGCTTCTTCTCTTCCTCTTCCTCGGCTGCTTTGAGCTGGTTCTCAATCTCTTCGCGCTGACGGAGTACCTGGCGGAAACCATCGGTCGCTGTCTTCTGGTCAAAGTAGGCGCCACGCTCACATTCGCGCATGAAGTCCTTAGTCCGGCCAAGGACGCGCTCGAGCCTGGCATCCTCTTGCTTCATGTGCGACTCGCCCTCTTTGCCGAGCTCCTTCTTCCATTTTGACTTTTCTTGGTCGATGCGAATCTGCATGGCGCGCAGGATCGACCACGTCGCTGTTGGCTTTTCGAGCGTGTCGATCTGCTTAGACTCGAGGTCGTCACTCAGTTGGAGGATGAGGCGGGAGCATGCTTTCTGAAGTGCTTGCACCTTTCCGGGATCGCTTTTCGCCTTTGCTGCCGTAGTAGCATTCACGGATGCCGAGCTGGCGGCCGTCTTGAGGGCACTCTCTGGGGGAGCCGCGCCTGGGACATGTCTCCCGTTCAGGCCATGATCGGTGCGAGCGAAGTCGGTCTTGCCTAGCAACTCAGCGCGATTGAACTCGTAGCCCTCGTATATTGGTGGTCTACTCTCGTCGTAGTCATCATCGTCATCGTCGTCGCCGTCCTCCTTGTCCCCGGCGGTACCATTCAGAGGAGGGAAGGCGTTCTTGGTTGCCTCTTTTCCGCGGCGCTTCTTGGCAGCTTTGCCTTCTCCGGCTCGAACAGCATCTTCGAGTGACTCCTCATCGAGTGCGAGGTAGAGATAAGACAGGCAGTCTTCCACATCGGGTGACGGGGACTGCAAGAGTGCGTCCTCGATTTGTGATGATGAGAAGCCGAGCTTGAGGAGGATCCGGTAGGTCGTCAACGCTCTTGCCATGATCTTGTCTTCCGACTCGGCGTACGCTGATGAAGACGAAGCTGAAGCAGAAGCTGACGTTGACGATCCGGGCTGGTTGACGGAGAGCTTGTGAAGGTCCTTTGTCAAGGTGGCCATGGCGAGTGAGGTATGCGATGAGCCGATGCTGACCGGCGTTACGCTGCCAGAGACCGCTGTGCTGCCCGAAACGGTCGTGGCGGGTGTGGCAGAAGAAGGTGTTGCATCTGTCTTGTCGGTCAGCGGAGCGGTGGTGTTGGTCGTGGTGGTGGCACTCGACTGTTTGTTGAGCTCGGCAGCTACCTCCAGCACTTGATCGCGCAACTCGGGCTCCATCTCAAAGTTGGGGAGGGTCTTTGCGAATCTGCGGTCATATTCGATGGCCTTGTGCTGCCTTGAGACTTCCTTCTCGACTCTGTCTTGCAGCTTGTCCACGAGGTTTTGCAGTGCTTGCTCTTCCTCCTTCTCCGGGTCAAAGTGGTCATTTCTACCTTTGCCATCGGCAGATATCGATTTGGAGGCCGACAGATTGTCTGCGAGGCTCTCGTTGTTGATCTTGTCGTAGTCGACAGCTGCTGCGGAGGAAGCGTTAGTGGTGCTTGAAGCAGGCTTTTTGGCCGGTGCTGCTGCAGCCGGCGGTGGGTCCTGGACCTTCTTTGGAGTGGAGGTGGTGGCATAGCCGCGCTGGACGGTGCCCTTAAGCGTGGGCCTCTTCTTGCCCATCTTGATGCTCGCCGACAAAGGGACTCGAGGAACGCTGTGTGATGGAAGTGATGGGAGCAACAGCAGCAAGGTCACACGAACAGGCCACCACCTTGTTTGCATGCACGAGCAGGAAAGCTGAGTTGCAGCCGTGTAAGCTCACAGCTTTCTTCTTGAAACGTCACAGAAATTTTGGCACAGCAGCTCCACTTTCGCATTTCCGAAACATGTTACATCGATGCGGCGCGTGCCACTTTGAGCCGACATCCGAGTCGATTTAGCTTTCTTCTCGCAGCATGGCTCGAGCAAGCTGCGCCCAACCGCGTCCTTCAAGGGTCCCTCCATCTTCTTGTTCTTCCCATCACATCAGCTTTCTTCTAGTCATTGACGCTGGGCGGTCTGGTCAACATTACCATGGCGTCCACATCACCACCGCCAGAGGACGGCGCTACCAAGTCCAAGGACCAGCCATCTCAACCCCCGGTCCTTGCCATCGTCAGGTCGAACGCTTCCAACCTCCCACGCAATCTGCCAGTCAAGAGGTACGATGGCGACCCGCTCGGACGCGTCGACGTTCAACATGCTCTTCTCTGCTGGCTCTTCTCCGACACACGAAGGGTCTTCACCAACCCGAGGCCCGGCGATCCATCTCAACCGTCAGCGAGCGGCTCTGTTGCTGCGAGTCCGAACGCCGTGCCTGCACCCGTCTTTCCTTTCGGCATGTCAGCGGGCTGTATCAGGCGCTGCGGAGAAACTCAAGAGGAGTACGAAGAGTGGAAGCAGAGGAGAGATCGCTACATGCGGTGGAAGAAGCGAATCGCTCGCAAGGAGAAGCTCGAGCGCAAGGCTGCCGCTGCGGCTGCCGGCTCCTCGGAAGATGCCGCCAACGCGAACGAGGAGAGGGACGAGCTAGCTGAAGGCAACAACGAGGACGGAACTGCTACAGCCCAAGCCGAGGAAGAAGAGGAGGACGACGAGGATCTTGGCGACGAAGGCGAGCCACTGGACGAAGACGAATATCCGAAAGCTGGCGCGGCCAAGCTCACCTTCAAAGAGCTCTACATCGAGTCGCTTCTCAACAGCGGCAAGTGCACAAAGTCGATGCGCGACAAGATCCTTGCTGACGAAGAGTACGCGGAAGACTTCGCTAAAGTCTGTCTCCTGGTCAACGTCGGCCGCATCAACACCACGCTCGCCTTCTACCCGGAGATGAAGACGGTATTGCGCTCGTACCACCCTATCCCCTCTTTGCAGAACAATGAAAACACCAGACGCAACATGCAAGATGCGCCTCGCATGAAGTCGCTTCTCAAAGGCGTTCTCATCGACACCGAGCGACCTGCTCCCCCTACCGCAGGACCATCAGCAGGTCAGCCGATCAAGGCTCAGAAGCCCAACGCGCTCAGCGAAGAGGCGCCTTCTGACTTCCGAGAGGTCATCAAGCGCTATCGTGCAGGCACCGTGCCGCCGACTAGTATCGTAACACTCATCTTCCTACTCTCGCTTCACGCCACCGAGGTCACCGATATGCACTTACCGATCCCTCACGACTCGCATTCGATCTTCTATCCGCACGCGGACCATCCTCTGCCCTCGCAGCAACGTGCGAACGCCTTCATGTGGATTCTCTACCACTATCTCGAAGGTCCTGCTACGAGACCTCCTGGCGAGCTACCAAACCCCTTCGACGATGAGACGTCTCTCAACGCCGTCAAGGAGGCCGCAGCAGCCTATGCCGCTCTCACGGATGAGGAAAAGAAGAAGCGTGTCAATGCGCCCTGGAAAGGCCTCGACAACCCCGAATGGCAGAAGTGGAAGCAGGCGCAAGAAAGTGGCGCCGCAGACACTGTCGCAAAGCGAGGCTCAAGCGAGGACCTCAAGAAGGAGACCGACACCGACGGCGACGTGTCCATGGAGGACAGCGCCGCCGCCGTCAAACAGGACACCAAGGAGCCGCCTCACTACCTCCACCGTCTGCTCATGCCTACACTCCAGACGATCTCACCCGAAGATGCGGCCCTCGAAAACGCCGATACGGAAGAAGAACTCCGATGGGGCAAGCAGATGCAAGCCGAACGGGCCGCCTTCCTTGCCAAATTCCAAGAAGAGGATGCTGCGAAGAACGCGACCTCGACTGGCTCTCCTGCGCCCTCCACCGGCACTGCGGGTGGCAAAGGTCGACGACCCGTGCCTAACACCGACCGTGGTTCTCCCTCGGAAGCCGACGCGTCACGGGCGAAACGACGTCACCCTGGCACCGCGGCAGGCGACATCTCCAAACGCTCCCGCATGGCCAGTCCGATCGACTTTGACGACTCCTCCTCGTCCTCTTCTTCGGATTCACCACTTGCACTTCCCGCCTCCACGCGCAACCCCCTGACAACCGACCCGTACACCAATCCATCCATCGCCATCTCCGACCGCATTCGTCGGCCGCTGTGGGAGCTAGACCTCTCCATCCCTCGCGCACCGCAGCAGTCGCTAGCGCAGATCGCCTGGGCCCGCATCTTGGAGCGCGCCCAACGCGGAGTGGGAGACGCATGCTACGAGAGCGACGAAGACGAGTTTGCCGAAGCCGAGGCGCTCGAGCCGGAGAGGAGCAGGGCTGAGGTATGCCGTATTTTGACCGGGTTGCAGGGTGTTGTGCGACACGAGGTGTTTGAGAGGGACAATCATGCGGTGCGGGTCAAGTATGGGGCGTATGAGGAGGGGTATGGTGGGGAGAGGAGGGAGTCTGGGGATGCGTATCGGAGGGGAAGCGGGGAGAGGAGTAGGGTGGAGCTGTATGAGAGCAGTACGCCGGTTGCTGGCAGGACGGGTGGGGTGTACGACCAGGAGGAGAGGGGGAGGGGTGAGGATGTGGATGATCTCGAGGAGGCGCTGCTGGGCGGAGACGAGTCGAGGAGGCAGAGCGTGGGCGGTAGGAACGGGTACACCCCTGTGCGCGCTTGAGAGCGTTGCGAGGCCGTCGAACGCAAAGGGTTCTCCTCACGTCACAGTCGGTCTTGGTCATGCTGTGTGGATGATGCTTCGTGTCAATGCGATGAGATAATACAACTACAAATGAGGATGTCGACTGTTGAGAGACAGATGCGGGGAATTGGATCACTTGGAAGCGGACGCCTTCTTGTTCTTCTTCTGCTTCTTCGTGGGTGAACTTGATGCGCTGTCGGTCTGCTTTGCCGCTGTGGGTGTCGCAGGAGCTGTCTTGGGTGTCTTTGGCTTGTCGTATCCTTCGAAAGGATCCATGGCGGGTCGCTTCTTCTTATTCGCCGATGTTGGGGTCGCTGTCGCCTTCTCTGGGCTCTTTTCCTCTGTCGCTGCTTTGGCCTCCGTCTCCTTTGCAGCCGCCTTCTTGGGCGTCTCCTCGTCGAACTTTGTATGCTTTCCTCCCGCTGGCGACCCATCACCCGCGAGAGCCGCCCGGATGAACCTTCCCGCCGCACTCTTATCCACCCTGGTCTTACTATCCTCCTTCTGTCCCTCCTGAACCCCCTTGATCTTGCCAAAGTACCCCTTAACCCGTTCGAGCTCCATCATCACGGGATGTCCTGTGGGATCCACACCTTTGACCTTGAGCAGAATCCATACGAGGTCCATGAGTACGTAAGCGACGGACACCTGCATGCGCGCTGCGTCGAGACGGCCGTGCAGTTCATCTTCCCCGTCTTTGGCTGCGCTATTGGCCTGCAGCGCCGCATTGAGCGCCTCGTAGTTCTGCGCGAGCAACGGCGCAAGGGTGCTGTTGAGTTCGGTGAACGCCCCCGATAGCGCCGAAAGCGTCGGTAGTGGGCTCTGACGTAACGACGACATCTTTCTCTGAGCAGTGTGGTGTTGAATGCTTTGTGAGGTGCAGAACAAAGGAATGGGAACGGTTGTTGAAGAAGAAGGTTTTCGCGCAGGGAAAACCTTAAGGTTACTGTACCTACGAGAGTGGGGAGTTCCGTCTGCCGAGAGAGGAAAGAAGGTTTCGGGCGAAAAGGGAGGAAAAAGGAAATCCGCGGAAACCCCGACCGACCTGCAGCCGAGAGCTGTCACACCCTAATCAAAGAGCGCACCGCCGAATATGGTTACCTTTGTTCTAAAGGTCCCCACAGTTGAGCGTCACGCTTTGTTCCCTCCGTTTCGGATGAGCGCAGCAAGGGAACGAGGCGCACGTTCAACGAAGGCAACGTGCTACCGCAAAGTTGAAAGAAGAGAACAACGGATGATTGCTCGGAACTTGGGCAGAAAAGCAGCCAAGGCGCCCACTCTTCATGTTTACACGTGCCTTGCGCAGGTCAGGTTCCCCCTTTGTTCTTCGTTGGTAGTTTTTACTGGCACCTTCGAGAGAAAGAGAGCAAGGGAATCAATAAGCACCGCCACAGGAGTCGGCAAGCTGCTCAATCTTCGAAGCGATAAGATTGCGACTGCGCAAAGTTCGTGCGTGCCATTTAAAGCCCCCCTCTGTCCAGTTGATGGCAGCCATCCCTTGCACCACGACAGTTCCATCGCATCATGTCCTCCCTTACGTACAACGACATTCTCGACTCTCTCAAGGAGATTGAACAAGACTTCCTCCTTGAACGAAAGCCCTATTCCGAGATCCTCGAGACTCTTTCGGAGGTCAATACGGCCGCGGCTTCCATCGACAAAGACGGCGATCACGATCCCGAAGTGGTGAACGAGGTGCGTCAGGTCGCTCACCGAATTTCAATCCTGGCCTCGACCCTCGCCAATCTCGAAGCTGCCAGCCAAGAAGTCAGCGAAAACTTGCGAAGAGAAGTGGCTGAAGTGCTCCGACGCGAGGACTAGGTTCAAGTGCACAATCGCGTTTCTCCTAACACTTCCGTCATATCATATGCAGAAGCACTTCCTCGCAGCTCTTGATCACTCTTTTCCCTTCCGAGAAGAACGAACGCACTGATAGCGACCACAAACGGTTCTGCTGTCAGCGTCCCAAAAGTTCTGGTTCCTCAAAATCCTTTCAGTGTCATTCAACTAAACCTCTGGTTCATCAACACACGCCGCCGCTCGGGCTGATCTCACATCCGCCAAAAGTACTCGAGCAACGATATCTCACGCATGAAGCAACTCGTTCACCCCAAGATTCTCACTTCGAGCCCCTCCACTCATTCCGCGACAGTCACTTCCGCTTTCGACGACTTTCCTCGCGACAACCTTGGTCCCCCTCTCACTGCAGCAGACAACAAAAAAATTGAAGACGACTGGACAGGCATGATCAACTGGCTTACTTACGGTGTCAAAGACAAGGTCGTCGACTGGCTCTACGATCTCGTTGCTGCGCACAAAGAGCCGAACAGGTCTGGTCAGCCGCCTACAGTTTTCACTGCTGCCATCTGCTCCCCTGCCCGCAAGCCTTTCACCGCGACACAGCGCAATTCAAAAGCGGCCATCCCCCAGGCAAAGATGACGCTTCGAGTCGACAACACTTTCAAAATACCATGCTTCGGATCGACACCGGAGCTCAGCATGTGCTCGACCGCAGACACGAGCTTCAACTCTCTCGGCAGCAACCTCTCGATGCCGCACTTCGACCCCTTCCCTCATACAGACGATCTTCTACGAAGCCCGACTGTCAACGCTCAGGCGGGCAGAAAAGTCAAAGCGTTGCCCGAGCGCGCTCAGCTACCGACTCTTCCCGAATCACTCTACACGAACGATCCAGGGACTTCTTCGGCCACTGGCACGCGCTTCCTCATGCCTGACGAGGCTGGACCTCGTTCAGTGCACCCGCAGGTCATCAACGCTCAGGCCACTTTCTGCGTCCCGACTCAGCCCAAGCAATCCGCCTGCCCTCCCTTCGACGTGCTCGGACCGGCTCCGGTGCCATCGTCTTGACTTAGTCTTTTTAGCTACAATGTCTCTCTGCTGCGTTTCGCTGAGCGAAATCGGCCCTTTTGTACTCTCACTGCTTTGTTTGTCGTGGCAATTTACACCACTCTTGTAACTTCTGACTCAGTTTGTGGGCTGCGATTGTGCTGCGCGTGAGGAATGACCGAACAAAGGGAAGCGGCCGAGTGACTGACCAACGCGCCATTGAGCTCGGACCCCATTTCAGATGCCAAGCCGGACGTGCAGGCAGAGAGCTCTTCCGCGCGGCCCAGACTCGGAAGACAAAGGGAAGTAGGAAAAGTGCAGAGATGAGCGAGGTGGGCGCAAGAAACCCTTTGATTTCCCACAAAAAGAGACGAACAGGGAAGGGGAAATCCATCGTGGATTTGAGCCTCATCCTTCTTTCCTCTCTTCCAACTCCCTCCAACTCGCCTTCTTTCGTTCCGACGACAACAACTCGTGATTCTGCGTCAGACTCGCGATGGCGACTATCAATCGCCTCAGGAGGGTGCTGGAAACGGCCGCGCAGATCACGGATCTTTTCTCGGTCTCATCCGTTCCTCCTGTGGAGGGTTGTACCGGAGTCCAATTCGTCCGATTGGACGTCGTCATTCCACATCGTGACCGCCTCGTCGCAGACTTGACCGAGCTTCAGATCGGACCATCCGAGCAGGCAGACATCATCGTCAACTTCGAAGAAAGACTTTCAAGCATACATCAGCACTACGATCAAGCCCTCAAAGATGCTCTCAGGGAGCTATTTGTGAGGGGAAACCTCGACGAGGCTTTCGAGACGCGCTTCCGCAAGTCTCTTTCAGAGCTATTCTACGCCAATGCTCAAAGCGCTTGGAAGAGGTTTCTCGCAGAACTTAAGGGGGTTCAGTTGTCAAAGTGTCATGCCGTCGAAGAGGTCCACACTTCACAGCTGCACAGTGAAGCAGTTGCTAAATCTGGCCGAGGACACCACTCCGACGCGATTCGCATTTTAGAGCAAGCCTTCGCTCACACGCCCAACATCACGCAGGCCGAGAAATATCGACTCGCCGAGGTGACCGGACTCAAGCCAAAGCAAGTGACCATCTGGGTGAGTGCCAATCTGTTCTGCAACGCGCTTTGGGCCTCGACTCGGTGTCGACGCATCGAAGAGTCATGGCGATGACGCGATTTCATGACAAGATGTGACACGCACAAAGGGGTTGCCTCCCTTCGGTGCATTTCCGTCACAAATGATACTCAATGCCATTTTATTCTGAGCCACTGCCCTAGCCGGAAGCCGCTTCAACATGCTTGCGGTTATCGAGGCTGATCACTGACCGTCTTCCTCTGCTTCATACTTCTCCGATCCTGACAGTTCCAGAATCGTCGCAATCGAAAAGGGAGGAAGCCAAGCAGTTGTGAGCTCCAGATCAATCCATCATCCGAGCTCTCACCTGTCAAGCTGGCTTCAACTCCTCCCGCCTCACCGACACGAGACTTCACCCTGTCCGAGAGGAAACGCAAATCGTATGGCGCGCTCGGCCGATCTGGTCACGACGACACGGAGCTGAGATCCGACACGCCCTCATCCCAAATCAAGAAGCCTCGTCTGCCGAGCGCATCCCCAGGCTCGAGCGACGCCGCTGCCACATCTGACGAGTATCACAATGCCTTCATTCCGTGGAGCAGTCCCTCTTCGCGATCCACCAGCTCATCGTCTGCATCCAGTGGCGCCAGCGACTGCTTCGACACACCGACCAAGTCACACAACATATTCAGGTACGTCAACCCCCGTCGATACGATGGCACGGCGAAAGCGGTCATGCCCGACTTGACGCTTTCGACCCAGCAGCTATTCGTACAACAGGGTGTGGCGCAGGGTCAAAGGTCTCCCTTCGCCGGCGACAACCAGAACTCCTTCGAGGTCAAAGCAGCGGGAATGTGCTTCAGCAGCCTTCAGATTCCGGACGTCCTTGAGGATGATAGTCTGATGCGAAGCATTCAAGAGGCGCTCGCAACGCACACTTCCGATCAAGGTTTTAGACGAGAAGTGTCATCGAGCTCGTGGGGCACGCAACCGACGACGGATGACGATGAATGGGTCGATGAGGAAGACTTCGCCGCGTCGCCTGCTGGTCGTCAAAGCACGCATGTCGATGGACCGTTGACAGCGCAGGCACCTTCTTCGCAGGCTTCGTCCCAGAACGTGCATTTTGCTGTTTCGTCTAGCCCGTCTGTGGTCTCGTCCCAGCAAGGCCAGGTCATGGGCTCTCACGCCGCAGCTGACTCCCGAGCCAGCGCTACAAACACACACGATGTCTTCGCCTACCCAGCTGACACGAACGACCAGTTCTTCGGCCTCGCCCAGCTCTTTGACCCCGCTGCTTCCACTCATATCCCGTCGTCCAGCCCCATCGCGCTTCATCAGCAGCAGGACCCTCCCGTCACCTCTTTCGCTCTGCACGGCGCGAACACGGACACGCCTAACTTCAACGTGGACATCGAGATGAGCGACATCCAGGAATTCCTCGACACCGACATCCTCGCGTCCTCCTTGCCTAGCTCTCAGCAGTCCAGCCAGGGCGCCAGTACTTTTGCGTCAGACCATGCCAGCGCCATGCAAGGGGCAAACACTGGCGAGGCGCAATTCTGGATGAACTTCGACCTCTCTTCTCAAGCTTTCATGCAGGTTTGATCGGCGTCTGGCTACGCCGTCCCTGTACATCCCATTATACTTCTTCCTCGTCTCTATACCAGGCCATGCTCACATCCGCATCGCTTTCTATGCTCAAATTTGTCCCGTTTGTCGCCGCTTCGTATCTCGCTATGTTTCGTCTTCTCTGTTCTCAATCTCAACGCTTTGTCCACACCATCTCACACTGCCCGCCGTTTGTAGACTGTCTAGATTGTGAATGTGATTGAGTGCGGGATGCAAGGTGTGACAGCTCTACATGAGCGGCTCTTTCGCCGCCTCTCCGTTCGCGGCGCCTTCTTCGCTCTTCTGCTCGACGCCCTTCGCCCACTTCTCCCGCTTCTCGTCTCTCGCCTTCCTCTCCTCCTCCAGCGTCGCTTCCGACTTGAACGCGTTGGCGAGCGGGAAGACTGCTCTCGCCTTCTCGTCGAACTCAGCGACACTTGATGCGTCCAGCTTGGCCAGCAGGGCCCGCGCTTCGACGGTCGTTTTGAGCGCGACGTTCTTGGCCCGCGGCCCAGTAAAAGCCTCGACAGTGGCGGGAAGGTTGAGCAGCAGCCCCACCGCCTCGTCCTTCCGATCGAGCGCCAGAGCCGCTTTTGCGTTGCCCAGCATGCCCTTCGGCGTCGAAGCTGCCGACCTCTGCAGCGCCTCCGCGAAGAATGTCGCAACGGGCTTGTCGGCGGGGATCACCTGCCCCAGAGCAGCCGAGATGACACTCCCAATAGGCTTCGGTGCAGCCTTGAGATCCGGCAACCTCGTCTTCAACCTCACGACCTCCTCCGTCACCTCCCCGCCCAGCTTGTGCAGCGCCACCACCGCCCGTGTCGCCAACAACCAGTTCTTCTGTCGGATGGCCACTTCGAATGTCGCCTCCCACGTTTCTGTGCGGTCTGCGGCGTTAGCCTGGAGGAAGCGCAACCACTTTTCCGCTGCCTTCAGCGGTCCGTTCTCTAGGGTGGTCTTGAAAATCTCCAGTCCCTGGGGATCGAGATCCGGCTTGGGCCCTTCGTCCTCCACAGCGTCCCCATTGGCAGCCGCCTCCTCCGCCTTCTTCTTCTTCTCTGCTGCCTCACTCTCCGCTTTCGCCAACCGCTTGGCTTCTGCCTGCCTCTGTTTCTTCAGCAGCTTCTTCTTCTCGCTCTCGCTCAACCCAGCCAACGCCGGATCCTCCTCCTCCTCCTTCGCCACGAACGGTGCGGTACTCGGCTCGTCGTGCAACTTGGTGTAGATAGCCACCGCCGCCTTTGCCGCTCGAACGTAGGCCGGATGCGACCGCAACCCATCCTCGAACCGCACCATCCCAACATAGCTGCGGAGAGTCATCTTCCTCATGCAGTACGAGTGGAAGTCCAATTGATCGTCCCAGAATTCTTGGAAGACCTTTTGGAGCTGCTCGACGCGTTTCAGCGCCATGGCCCAGTTCGACGTGCGCAGGTGGGCCTCTGCTTCCTCCACGAGGTACCACAGGGCTTGCATCTCGTTCAGATCGTACGTGGGTGATGGCGCGTCTGGCTTGGTGAAGAGCCCTACGATGCGTTCTGCTTCAACTGTGTCGTTGGAGCGCAGCAGGTATTTGGCCGATTTGCTGTTCAGGAAGCGGTCTTGGCCGTCGAGGAGGCGGGCATCGGACATGGCCGAGGAGGCGGAGAGGGTGTCGCCCGCTCGTTTGAGGATTCGTGCGCGAACCATGTGCAGCTCCGGCAGGGTGGACGAGTGCGAGATGGCCGAGTCGATGTAGTGCAGCGCCTTTTCGGAGGAGCCTGTGAGCGAGTAGTGCTGAGAGAGGTAGTAGAGCGACCAGAGGTAGGATGTGGGTGGGTCGGTGCCGTCGGTCGGTGCGGAGGTGGCGGGTGCCCATTCTAGACGGAGGGTTTCGACAATTTCTTCCAGCGCGGCGAGCTTGGCGGCGTCGGAATAGAGACTTTTGAGATCGGAGAAGAGCGAGGGGACGCCTTTGATGAGTGCAGACTTGGCGTAGGCGGTAGCCTGGGTCTTGAAGTCGTCGCCTGTGGTGTGAATGAGCGCGAGACGCTTGGCAGCAGTCGATTTGGGGTGGTCCGCTTGCAAACCTTTGAAGATCTCAACTGCCTTGCTGTCGGTCGACGAGCCCTCTGTGATGCCGAGCAGACTCAGCAGGCCGGCAAAGTATCGCTTGTTTTCCGGGTTCGACTTGATCAGCTGTCTCCAGATTGCTTCCGCCTCGTCCTTCTTGCCCAGCCCGGCGAGACATCTTGCTTGCGCCTCCTGCTTGCCGCGCAGGTCCACGATCCGCTCGTTACCGTTCTCGATCTCATCTAGCGCATCCTGAAACCTCGACTGCTCCTCCAAGATGCTCGCGTGGTAGAGCAACACCTCGCTGTGCTCGTAGTTGCGATCCGGGATGTCGCGCATCACGTTCTCGTACCCCTCGAGCACCCTCACCGCTGCATCCAACGACCCTGCCAAATGGTGCGCGACGGCCAGGCCGATCCAGTTCATCCTGAGATGCGGTTGCATGCGCAACAGCGTCAGCCTGTTCTCCACCATCGGCGGGTAGTTCCGCAACTGCAGCTGCAAGAACGCCGACTCTCTGAGCAAGTTCACATTCCCCCCACCTTCAATCCTCAGTGCTTGAGTGTAGCACTTTATCGCCTCCTCAAAATTCCGATCCTGTCGATGCAATATGCCCAGCGCGTGCCAGCAGATGAATGAGGTGAGGTCGAGGCGGACACCTCGTTTCGCCAGCTCGATGCCCTCCTCGCGCCGGTTGGTCGAGCCGAGCAGAAGACCCTTCATGGCCACCGTCTCGCCATGGTCCGGGAACTTCTTGAGGATGGTGTCGGCGGTCTTGAGGCCGAGCTTGTACTTTTTGGTCTCGTATTCCTGGATGAGCCGCTGGAAGAGCGTGCGCTCCTTGGTGGGGAGCGCGGCACGCTTCGGCGGCATGGCGGACGGGCGTGTGGTGGGTCGGACCGGGTGTCGAGGGGTCAGAGCTCGGCGGTCAAACGCGTGCCGTGGGCTTCCTTTCTGCTGGGGTGTCGAGCTGCGAGTCGGAGCGAATGTGCTTGAAGAAGCAAATGGTGTATGATGTGAAGAGGTAAGATTGACACAAGAAGAAAAGGCGGCCGTTTATCCGTGCATCTTGGCTTCCCCTTGGCAAGGATCTTCTTGCCGATTTTCGGTCCTAAGAAGAAATCAGATTTCGAGGCAGCAGAGCGCAGTGTCGAGTGGTGATCGCCCTTGCTTGCCCTTCGCCGAGTCGGATCCTTCGCACCGCTGATCAATGTGAGGTCGTCGCGGCCCACAATTTTGTCCGAAAAACCTACCTCCACGCGGGATAGACGGGGCTGCAGCTCCCAGCTCATCAACTTTGCCGAGCCCCAATCCGGTGGCTTGCTCCTCACCACCAACACCACCTCCCACTCATCGCGCTTCCTCTCAAACATCGCTGACTACGGCTCGAGGGGCGCCGAACACATCTCCCCTGATAGGCACGTATTCAAGATAGGCGACCACAACCCGGCTGCAGCTGTGCAAGCTGCTACGCCGTCGTCCTATCCGCAGTACAACGATCCTCCTGCAACCGTTCTGCAGGCTTCGACCAACGCTGGTGGCAGGAGCAAGCAGAGGCATCACATTGCTGATCCGGTAGCTTCGGGCGCAGCATCTTACGCACACTCGAGCTCCCTACCCGCCGGACCGACTCGACGAACAGCAGCAGCAGCCTCGCACACCAAGAACGTCTTTTCCATCTCAACACAGCGCTGGGCGAAGCGGCTAGCAGACATGGCGTCTCCCTATCCCTCCACAGCCAATGGCGACGGTCCCCGTGTAGATGCGCCACGCGAAGTGTCCATCGGCGTCGGCACGGTCTATGACCAAACTGCCTTTTCTTCAAATGGCTACACCCGACCAGACGACTCGCACCCCCCTCTCCGATCGCACTACTTTCTCTCGCGCAATGAGATCCTGAAAGGCGTAGCGAACCGCTTCGTTCACTCGTCCGCCTATCTCTACTTCTACGCCTCCATGGCCCTCGCTTCGCTCCTCACAGTGATCATCAGTCTCACATCCGACTGTCCCGGATCGCTGTTCTACGGTCTCGAGCTAGCGATCAACCTCCTACTCATCGCTGAAGTAGGCATCCGCCTCGTAGCTTTCGGCAAGCAATTCTGGAAGTCCACATACAACGTGGTCGACCTCTTCCTCGTCCTGCTATGCGCGGTGACGTTGCTGGTCATCTTTTTTCATCATGAATGCTCGCCCTTCCGCCGACCCTCGGAGGACGGCGAACCGGGGAGATCGGGGAAAGGAGAGGAGCTGTTGGATTCCATCCTGCTGATCGGGAGGAACGTCGTTCAGGCGCTTAGGCTGGTCTCGATCGTAAGGAGGTCAGGAAGCAACGTCACGAGCAGACCGAGCAGAATTGAGATTGGGAACAGACCATACTCGCTAGATCTGGATCTCGAGGATGAAGGTGCGATGGCAAGGGACAGGATCAGGATAGGTGAGGAGGAGAGGGCGCCCCTCTTCGATGCGGAGGAGGATGAGCTTTGAATCGACAACGGATCAATTTCAATCGTAAAACGAAGGCATTCAGTAGCAACATGTGTGACCGTGCCGTGTGCGTTAACCACTCTGGCTGTCTCCCATATCGCTCGCATTCAGCGTCATCACATTAGGCACATCAATGTTCGTTACAAGTGAGCTGAGATTGTATTACAAGGGTTCAGTCTAAGACTTCTCAACCGGATAGTGGTTGTGCGCATACCCCGTTCCACCCGAAACACTCTCGTACCCAGGCGGGGCGGGTCCACTGTGATCCTCGTCAAAGTGGCTTTCCGAACCGTACTGTCGCTGGAGGGCGGATCCGCTGGCCTCGCCTGCCGACGGATAGGTCTGGTGCTGCTGAGCGGACGAGGTGTGTTGTTCGTGCAGAGGTTCGTGCGCATGCGAGGAGGAGGCGAGGCCGAAGCCGTCATCCACCGTCCCTTGGCGTCGCTCTGGCAGACCGGTTGTGCCGCCGTAGACGATCTCCCGTGGTTCCGAGTCATGGGGGATGGACGGCATCATGCGTGAACCGCCGGCCGAAGAACCCACAAACCCAGAACCAGCACCACCAAATGTAGCACCCGAGTACTCGGCAGGATGACCATACTCGTTGGTCGCCTGACGACGCCCTGCTGGCTGGCTGTAGTGGCTGCTGCCAGTGGCAGACGGAATAAGGTTACCATACACATCGTACTGCGGCTGTTGCTGCGAGGCATACTGGTTGTGGTCCGGCATGGGCGGTGGCGACGAAACTTGAGGATAGGGTCGTGGTGCTGGTGTGAGCGAGTCTTCGCGGAACGGCTGAGGTCCGACACCGGGGATGTAGGTCGAATCGCTCTGACTGGGCGACATGGTGTTTTGACGGATGTTGCTGACATTGTGCGCTCCGTGACCGGCCGTGTTGTTGAGCATGGGCGATGCGGTGGAGAAGTCTTCGGCGTGGCTACCCTGTGCTTGCCTCCTGCCGTAGCCCTGACCGACACCGTTGATGACGGACCCACCTGCGACGGCACCGGCACCAACAGCGCCGGCACGAGCAATGTTGCTGTTGGTCGAGTAGGCCAGGCCTGGCTGATGCTGACTGGCTCCGTTCGCATAGGCACCTTCGTCGTAGTCGTTCTTCAGCGGCACCGTGTGTTCGGTTTCGTACTCGGCGAACTTGGGCAGATCGCTGCGTTGGGTGTTCCTGTCGAGCGTGGCCTGCCTGCGCTTCCTGTCTGCTTCCGCGTCGAGCGCCTCCATGCGCATCTGCTGGCCGTAGTCATCTCGTTGCTTAGCGGGTCGCGATCCATAGGCCTCGTCGACGTGCGAATCCTTGACGCGGTTGCGCCTCCTCCTGCCGCAGATGCCGCAAGTGAATGCGCAGCCTGCAAGGAACATGAGGATCCACGCTGCCAGCGTCATCCAGATGGCCATGCCGAGGGAAGCAGAAGCGCCTTGAATCGAGTTGATGCGCTGCCGGGCGACGATGAAGAGGGCCAGGTCGAGGCCGAAAGCGACGGCGGAGATGAGAGCGCCGATACCCGTTACGAAGCTGCCGAAGCAGTTGGTGGAGAACTCGCGACAGTGCGAGATCAGGCCAAGTAGACAGGCAACGACTGCAAAGCCGAGTGCGATGGGATGAAGAATGAGCGTGTAGGTCAGACCCTTGATGACAGCAGAGGTGTACCTGCTGCCGACGACCTGGATACCGAGAAGCTGGTTGGGGTCGAACGAGTAGCCGAGAGCGGGATCGCTGCAGGTGCCGCCAAGGCAGTAGCCCAGCGCACCGAAGCGAGCGCTTTGACCGGCTTGAGGACCATTGCCGCCGATGGTTGCTTCCAAGAAGTAGATGGATTTGATGATGGGGGTCGAGATGGTGACGAGGCCGAGCAGAATCGCAGCTACGAACGTCAGGAGCGTTCCTGGGGTAGCCGGGCGAATCATGACGGCGGCGATGACGACCTCGACTCCGAGGTGAGTCTATTCGGAATGCCGATCCCGGAGCGGATGCAGCGAGATGGTCTGTGGGTCCGAGCGTTCGGGTGAGATGCAGGGTCTAGTGGTGTGTCGAGGACGCTTCCAGCTTAGTATATATGCGGCGCCTAGCTGTGTCTACTCCTTTTCCCGTGATCAATGGAAGTGATGGAATGCGGTCAGCTTCGGTCAGCTGGAAGAAGGAGAGAGACGTGGGCTGGCCGAAAGGGCGGTGATGAAAGGCGAGCAAGGAGTCTTGGCGTCGAGCTGCCGAGGAAATTGACCATGTGCTGTGGGCTGAGAAGCGCAGAGAGCAACTTAGGGGTCAGGACGGCGATGTCATCGAGACACAGTGAGACAGCTCCCATCTCTCTCTCTCTACGCGCTTCTCCGCTCTCGGCTGTGTAGCGCCCTCTGACACCGCCATTCAACATCTCGAATTATTCATAAGGATCCTACGGCGAGGGCAGCTCTAACAATGTCAGAGAAATCACATCTCGAAACTCCACTTTGAAGCCTGGCTCGACCGAAGAGACAGGCACACAAGCACAGCCCCACTCAAGGCCTCTTGAATTTTGGACTCCGCGTCGAGGCTCGATGAGGGACGAAGGTCGACGGTCAAAATGGACCCGAACGACCCTTTCTTCGTGGACCCACCGAACTGCACCCGAGCTGCAAGTGCCAAAGGATAGCTGCTCCGTGCGATTGCGCTGTCTCAGGCGTGTGCAGGTCCCTCTCCATCGTTCTCACTGCACCTGGCCGTCACACACCGCCTTGCCGCTTACTCGACCCTCGACTTCCTTTACGCCGATTGCTCCATTCTCTTCATCCCTCCATCAACGTCGTCCATCCAGCTTCAAGTAGGCAGGCACGACCTTGACATCGCCGAATATCAAAGATGCCTCGCTTTGATGATTCGCACATGCCCACGCGGCCCGTCGACCGCGACAAGGCCGAATCCGAGCTCTCCATCCACATCAAAAAGGCCACCACCAACGACGAAACCGCTCCCAAGCAAAAGCACGTCCGCAAGTGTATCGTTTACACATGGGACTACCGCACATCTCAATCCATCTGGACCGGTCTGCGTGTCCAGCCCATCCTCAGCGATGAAGTGCAGACCTTTAAAGCGCTCATCCTCGTCCACAAGGTGCTCCAGGAGGGTCACCAGATCGTGCTGAAAGAGGCACAGGCTCAGGTTGGATGGTTCGAGACCTGCGCTCGTACCGTAGGTGCGGATAGCATGCGAGGCTACGGCTCCATCATCCGCGCCTACGTCAACTTCATCCTCGCCAAGCTCCGCTTCCACCGTCACCACAAGGAGTTCAACGGTCTTTTCGAATACGAAGAGTACATCTCGCTCAAGAACATCGACAACCCCGACGAGGGCTATGAGACCATCATGGACCTCATGAACCTCCAGGACCAGATCGAGCAGTTCCAGAAGCTCGTCTTTGCGCACTTCCGCGGGTCCGCCAACAACGAATGCCGCATCTCTGCCCTTGTGCCATTGGTCAAGGAGAGTTACGGTATCTACAAGTTCCTCACCTCCATGCTTCGCGCCATGCACCGACGTACAGACGCGAGTGACGCTCTCGAGCCATTGCGAGAGCGTTACGACTCGCAGCACCACCACCTCCGCAAATTCTACTACGAATGCGCCAACCTCAAGTTCCTCACCTCCCTTATCAACGTTCCCAAACTCAACCACGATCCTCCTAACCTCTTCGAGCTGCCAGAAGAGGGACCCTACCTCCCACCTCGCTCAGCACCGGCACCCAAAGCTCCTACACCGGAGCCGGGTCCGTCGCAGGCCGAGATTGATGAGCAGGCCCGCTTGCTCAAGGGGTACGAAGACAAGCAGGCTGCCCTCAAAGCAGCAGAGGAAGCAGAGAGGCAAAGGCAAGCCGACCTCGCCGCCAAGCAGCAGCGCGACTTTGAAGAGCAGCAGCGCCTGCAAGCCGAACAGCAGCGACTCGCCCAGGAACAGCTCATGCGCGATCAGATGAACCAGATGCAAGGCGGTCAGCTCGCAGAGCTCCAACGCGAGATCCTCGCCATGCGCGGTCAGTACGAGCGCGATCAGCTCATGCTCGAGCAGTACGACCGACGTGTCAAGGCACTCGAGACCGAGCTCGCCAACATTGGTCAGAACTTTGGCGCGCAGATGCAGGGCAAGGACGATATCATCAAGCAGCTCCAGGATCAGGTTACGCTCTGGCGCAACAAGTACGAGGCGCTCGCCAAGCTCTACTCGCAGCTCCGATCCGAGCACCTCGAGATGCTCGGCAAGTACAAGCAGATGCAGATCAAGGCGGGTAGCGCGCAGGAGGCGGTCGACAAGATGGAGCGCATGGAGCGCGATGTCAAGGCCAAGAATCTCGAGCTTGCCGATATGATCCGCGAGCGAGACCGTGCCCGCTTCGATCTCGACAGGATCAAGGCGAGTCAGAAGGAGGAGTTTGACCGTCTCAAACGGGATCTCATGTTTGCCAACGAGCGGGCCGAGGATGCGACGCGTGCCAAGAGCTCCGAGCTGTCTGGCATGATGGGCACTCTCAACCGACAGCTGGCCGAGCTCGAAGATGCGTTGCGAGAGAAGCGCATGGAGTTGGATGCGCGCGATGCAGAGCTGGCACGCATTCGAGACGAGAAGGACGCCGAGCTGGCCATCATGCAGGAGGGCATGGATGCCACCATCAAGCAGCTCACCGACATGCAGCTCAACCAGGGCGAGAACGATCAGGCAGTCAATGCTCAGATCGACACCTTGATTCTCGACAACACCAAAAAGCTCAACGCCATCATCGATTCGATCCTGCAGGCGTGCGTCGACAAGGTGGACGATGCGCTCTACGAGCTCGAGTCGCCCTCGGGCACCGGCAACACCACCGCCACCCCCGAGTACGTGCTGTCGATGATCGAGAAGGGCACCACCTCGACCAACGAGTTTGCCACCGTCTTCTCGCTCTACCTGTCCGGCGACGTCGGTGGTGAGCACGTAGAGGTGATCAAGCGTGCCAACCAGCTGGCTCAGACCATCAGCGACACGCTCACCAGCACCAAGGGCATCACACGTCTGGCGCAGAGCGACGATGCTGCCGACAAGCTCATCAACACTGGCCGTGAGACAGGAAATGTCCTCCTTCGCTTCTTCAGCAACCTCCAGTCCTACCGCCTGGCCGGTGTTGCCCCAGCTCAGCGTCGCGATGTCGTCGCACGTCAAAATCTGGAAGCCCGTTCCGCTTTCTCCAACCTCAACAGCGTCGTCGAAACGATGGTCAAGGCGGGCAATACGATGCTTGCCAACGCCAATGGTGATATCGGCGACATTGTCGAGCGCGAGATGATGAACGCTGCCTCCGCCATCGACGCCGCTACCGCCAAGCTTCAAGCCCTGCTCTCGAGACCCAGGGACCACAACAAGTACTCAGCTGTCGACCTACAGGTGCACGATGCGATCTTGGAGGCGTCGCTTGCCATCACGCGTGCCATCGCTGGGCTGATCAAGGCAGCCACCGAATCCCAACAGGAGATCGTCGCCAAGGGTCGTGGGTCATCGACCAACCAGCAATTCTACAAGAAGAACAACCGATGGACGGAAGGTCTCATCTCTGCCGCACGCGCCGTCGCGTTCGCCACCACCATGCTCATCGAAGCCGCCGACGGCGTGATCATGGGCACGCACTCGCTGGAGCAGCTCATCGTCGCCTCGAACGAGGTGAGCGCGGCGACGGCCCAAGTGGTCGCCGCCTCGCGCGTCAAGGCCGAGTTCATGTCCAAGACCCAGGATCGACTGGAGCGGGCGGCCAAAGCGGTCACCGAAGCGTGCAGAGCGCTGGTCAAGCAGGTCAAGACCATCACGGACAGGCAGAGCAATGGTGCTGGCGATGCGGATTACAGTCGAATGGCCGCACACGAGTTCAAGGTCAAGGAGATGGAACAGCAGGTCGAGGTGCTGAAGTTGGAGAAGGAGCTGACGCAGGCGAGGAGGGTGCTCGGTGCGATGCGCCGGGCTGGATATCATGCTACGGAGGAGGATTAGGTCGCACTTTGGGTTTCACTCAATGCTATTTCGATGACACTGATTCCAGCTGGACGTGCTGCCTGCGTGTCTTTGAGCGTTGCAAAGCCAGTGAAGACTGAGAGGCTGGCAAAGTCGATGCTGCTGACGAGCGCTTACTAATTGCTTTTCCAAGCCGAGACGCGTCTCGAGATTCATACAGGCAGGGCAAGCTGGAAATTCCGCCTGTGATCGAAGGCCACGCCGCCTGCTCCACTTTCCTACGCCCGCACAAGCCTGCTGCAACCAACACTTGTGCCCTCGTTCTTCCTTCGTTTCTACATCCAACGCTATTAACCACGACATCCTCCCACTCATACGCCAGACACCTCTTCGAACCTCGCAAAGACTGGTACGCAACGTCCTAGCAGCATCTACATCACTTCACAGACCGCCTCTCCGGCCGCCTTACACAATGTCGGCACCCGAAAAGAAGCAGGAAGCGGACTACACCACCGAAGTAGACGCGCTCATCCCCGAAGCTCGCAGCCTCGCATCCTCCAACCTCAGCTCTGCACTCGAAAAGGTCTTTGCCTTGGAAAAGAAATCGCGCAATGCGGCCGACTTGACCTCGACCACCCGCCTCCTGTTGCTAGCCATCCTGCTGGTGCGCAACACTCCCTCGCCGGAGTCGACCAACTGGCAGCTCCTCTCTGACACGGTGACGAGTCTCAGCAAGCGTCATGGTCAGCTCAAGATGGCTACGACGCGAATGGTGCAGTTGGTGATGTGCTTCTTGCACCACGCGGTGGATCCCGAGGAGGAGCGGGCGAGGGAGGCGGCGGTGAAAGACGAGGAGGCGCGCGAGCTCGCCGCGGAGCAACGGGAGAAGGAAGCTCGACTCGCCGCCAAAAAGGAAGCGACCGAAGGCAAGAAAGAGTCGAAAGAGGCGCAGGATGCACGACGACGACAGGAAGACGCTGAGGAGCGAGAACGCGAAAAAGTCGGCCAACAGAACGCCAAGGTGCTCGAACTCATGGATGCTGGTAGACGCATCGGTGATGCTGGTGTGACCCCCGAGGTGCGGATGAAACTCGTCGAGCTGTTGCGCACGGTGACGGAGGGCAAGATCTTCGTGGAAGTCGAACGAGCCCGTGTCACGCTTTTGCTCAGTCGCATGCTCTACTCCGACGGCAAAATCACCGAGGCCGCCGACGCACTCCAGGACCTCGCCGTCGAAACGTTCGGCAGCATGGATCGTCGCGAGAAAGTCGAGTTCATCCTCGAACAGATGCGTCTCAACTACGAACGTCACGACCTGGCCAAAATGGCCATCGTCAGCAAAAAGATCAACACCAAGATCTTTGACAACCCTAAGCATCACGATCTTAAATTGCGGTATTACGATCTGATGGTCAAGTATGCGCTGGCGGAAGATAAGTTTTTGGACATCTGCAAGTTTTATCGCGAGATCCTCGAAACTGACTCTGTCAAGAAGGATGATGGGAAGAGGAGGGAGGTTTTGCGGAACGTGGTGGTGTTTTTGGCCTTGAGCAAGTTTGATAACGAGCAATCGGATCTCATGGCTCGCGTCGAAGCCGGTCCAGGGTTGGAGGAGGTTCCCGAGCACCGCAACTTGTTGAAATGCTTTACGACGCCCGAGCTGATGCGGTGGCCCGGGATCGAGGAGTTGTACGGTCCGCTCCTTCGACAATCCCCCACCTTTTCGTCCACCGAAAACGCCGCTCCCGCTCAAGAAGGCAAGTCGCCCAAAGACGGCGCCCACAGATGGGACCAACTGCACAAACGGGTGGTCGAACACAACATTCGCGTCATCTCATCCTATTACACTCGAATCACCCTCCCCCGTCTCGCCCAACTGCTCGACCTCAGCCCCAAAGAGTCCGAGTCTAGCCTCGCAGACCTCGTCTCGAGCGGAACCATCTACGCCAAGATGGACCGCCCTGCGGGGGTGGTCAACTTCGAAAAGCGCAAAAGCAACGCCGACGTGCTCAACGATTGGTCCGGCGACATGAACAGGTTGATGAGCACCGTCGAGAAGGTTACGCACCTGGTGGAGAAGGAGTGGGCTATTCACCGTGCGGGCATTCGAGGGCAGTAGAGAGGTAATGCAATGATTTGATTCAAGAACTTTGATCGTGTGCGCGGAGGTCTGCGAGTGTGCGATGAGGGATGATGAAGAGACTTCTCGAGAATGAGTTGGGAGTGCTTTCGCTGCGTGATCGTGATGGAAGGCTCGGCGGAGACAAAGCACCTCAGATTCGCAACAAGATCGCTGCATGCATTGGAGTGTCACAGACTGGCACCACACAACCAAGATTCTCAGCACTCGGACCCTCAATATCAAGCCACGACGAAAGGTAAAAAAACGCATGATTGGGATTCAAGACGTGAGAGTGCAGAGGAAGCGAGTGACGTCGTGATGAACAAACGTGGGGACTGGACGACAGCAGTGGGGATGGGGGGAACAGAGTGAAAGGTTCAAACATCGAGTTGAAGCGGTGAAGTTGGGGGTGGGAAGCGGTTGAAAATGCATTGACGAGTAAAGACCGTAGACAGTTGGCGTTGTTGAGAGGGGCTGGGGAAGCGACGGGCCCATGCAGGCTGCATCCGGAGCAAGCAACCCGGTACGGCGAAGCGTCACTTGCACTCGCATTTGGCGGGACCGATGATGCGCGTGAAGCGACACGCTGCACATTGCGATGGATGCGTCGCGTTGGAGAGAAGGGGGCGAGAGAGGGGGGTGTCGACTTTTGCTAGGAGACTGAAGAAGAGAAGAACGATCTTGGCGAGATCTGGTGGCATGGAAAGGTGGCGATGAGACGTCGGGCCTTGACAAGGAAGATGGAAAGCCAGCTGTTCGTGCTGCTGCCGTGTCGAGAGAGCAAGCAGCAGCACGTAACTTCCTTGCTGCTCGGTTTGTGGTTGATGATCACGATACGAGGACACCTGTCCCTTTGATTCCTCCGAAGCCCTCTCGCATATCCGCGAGGAAGACTGAGCGTGAGACCGGTTCTACGCCCAATGTGAAGAAGATGAAAAGTTCGTGATCAAAACCAAGCGGTCGCCCGACCGTCTATGCCGTAAGAATGCCAAAAGATACGAAAGTTGCCAAGAGCGTGTGGATGGAGGTTGGTGAGAATGCAGAATCGAGACCGGAGATGGAAGCGTTGAAGAGAGGCCCTGTATCCGGTCTCCTGCTGCTGTGGCGTTCATCGGAAGCGATGGGCGAGGCCAGGTCTTCGATCCATCCTCCGTCCTGCCAATCGAGTACCGACTCCGACAAGGGATGACAAGCCAGTGCAGATGCCTCGCGAACTCATTGCACTGCCGCCCATTGCATCACCTTAGTAGTAGCCAGGCTGGTCGTCGCGCTTGAGAGGACGAGAGGAGCTGGGCATGTTCTGCGAGGTGAGGTAGGCCTTGTCGGCGGGTCGAGCAGTGCCGTAAGCGGCACGGGTGGTATCCATGCCGTTGTTGACAGCCTCGTCACCCTCCTGAGGCAGCACCTTGCGGCGCGGGAGCTGTGCGGCCTGCTGCTGGGGCACCTGCTGCTGCTTGACGACGGGCTCGGCCTTGGCGTCTTCGCTGCGTTGCTGGATAGACCAGTCGAACACGTAATCGTACTGGAAACCCTCACGCACGAACAGGTCGCGGAAGAGCTTGCGGAGGTACGAGTAGTCGGGCTTGTCGTCAAAGCGAAGCGATCGGCAGCAGTTGAGGTAGATGGCCATCTCGGAGGGGAAGCCTCGGCAGAGGAGCTCGGTGGGGGTGGTCATCTTCTTCTCCATGATGCGGTCGTACTTTTGCTTCTTGGTGGCCGCCTTGAGTCCTTGCCACGGAAGCGAGCCACGGAGGAAGTACATGAGCACGTAGCCCAGGGACTCGAGGTCGTCTCGTCGAGACTGCTCCACGCCGAGATGGGTGTTGATGGAGGTGTAGCGAGCGGTACCAGTGAGGTTCTTGTTCTCTCTGTAGGGAATGTGCAGGTGAGTCTTGGGGTCGCGGTACTTTTTGGCGAGACCAAAGTCGATAACGTTGACCTGGTTGCCTCGCTTGCCGATGCCCATGAGGAAGTTGTCGGGCTTGATGTCACGGTGGATGAAGTTGCGGGAGTGGATGTACTCGATGCGAGAGATCTGTAATGTGCAAAAGCGCAGCAATAGAGAAAAGTTGAGTCAGTCTGCTGAACGTCATTTGATTATCTGTGGGACCGTTGCTGCTGCGCCGGAGCCTTCGCGTTGTGGTCGGCGGCGAAGCACCAAACACCGCAACGAGTCGAGGAGCGGCTCGAAACATGATACATACCATCTGGTCAGCGAGAAGCAAGACAGTCTTGAGGGAGAACTTTCGGTTGCAAAAGTTGAAGAGGTCCTCGAGCGAAGGGCCGAGGAGGTCGATGACCATGGCATTGTAGTCGCATTCCTGGCCGTACCATCGTACGAAAGGAACACCGACACCACCGGCGAGGGTCTTGTAGACCTTGGCCTCGTATTCGAGCTGAGGGTGCTTCGCCTTGATCGACTCGAGCTTGATGGCAACCTCTTCACCCGAGATGATGTTGATGCCAAGGTAGATGTCACCGAAGGAGCCGGATCCAATCTTCTTACCGATTCGGTACTTTCCTCCTACGCGAAGATCCATGACTGCTGCTGGTTACTGCGGAAGAGGATGAGATGCGGAGATGATGGTTGGGACGAAGCGCACGCCTCAGCTTGCTACTTGGCGTCGAGACTGGTGGGACCGAGCTAAGTTGGTGAGTGAGTGAGGGTGACGACGAGCAGCAAAGAGCGGGCGATGCTGATCAGGAGGTGATTGTGGTGGCGGCAATGAAGGCGGTTGCCATGAGCTGCTCAGCTGTGTGGTGCGGAAGCAAGGTGCGATCCTAGCAAAAAGGGGTGATTTGGCCGATGCAAGTCGGTTAAAGGACCGATGTTGTTGGACGCGGAAGAGTGGGAGGAGGTGCGCTGTATAGGTAAAGGATCTCAACTCAGCCGCTGACTCGTTCTGAAGGAAGGAGCAACGAGCAATGATGGAGATGAGATGGAGATGTGGTGTGAAGCAAAGTCGGATGAAAAGAGCCAGCGAAGAGTGAGTGTCTCTGTTTGTGCATGTGTGGGCGGGCGGAGAGGAAACAGGGCAAATGCGTGAGTGCCATAGAATCCGAGGCTGACGGAGCCGGGCTTGCGTGACTGCTGGCTGCTGCCTCCTAATTTCCTTGGCCAGACCGGCTGGCCAATTTGTTCGCACGGCTGACAGACGGGCGCACCGAAACGAACCAACCACAGCTGCATCCGAACCAACCTGAATTGGATTGCACAGCACAGCACAGCGCAGTCACCACTCCAGCCTATCCCCAAGCCACTCGCTCTGCCCCTGCTGTCGCTCGAAAATGTCGAAATTCACCAAAAATAATCCGAGAAAAAGGGGAAAAATCGATACCGCGCTGTGCTGTGGGGTGCTTGTTCGAACGCTCTGACCCTCGCGCGACTACAAAATCAAGCTCAAGCTTGGATACCCCCTGAAGCAGCCAGCAAGGGGCTTGACGCTTCTCAATTCCAAATCCGTGATCGACCCAATTTCGAATTACCCGGCTTCGCAGTGACTATCTCCGTGCTGCTGTCTAAAGGCACTTACGCCCAAATCAAGAGCGCTAAGCCCCGCCCATCAGGACGATCTTGGCCGCAACCGGCCATCACTCTATCTCGAGAGACTAGCTAACAGGTCGCGGTCGCAGACTCGCCTTCCATACGGGTGCATTCGACGCCGACCGCTCGGACGCAGCCGTAGCGCTTTCTACGCTCGCGTTCTTGAAAGTGCGCCGTGAGTGCACCCGGCCTTGGTTCTTCCACGGGTGTTTCAGGCGGGAGTGTCTGGGGGCCTATTTTAAGCGAGCTTGTCACCTGTCGAACCGATCTGTGCCCGCGCCCTACCCTGTTCTTTCCGTCCTTCGAACTCCAGTCCGATGGGAGCACGAGCTTCGATTTTGCATCGAGACCGTCGGGTCGATCGACGGACCATCCACCGATGGCAGTCGGTCAGCTCGGGCCCCTGCCAGCAAGCAGCTGAACGTGATACTACCCTTCGCATATGGTGGGCTTATAGACGCCGAGATTTGTTCCTGCACCTCCTGGCTTCTGCACAATTTGCCGGCCCGTAACGTTGTGGTGGGGACCTTTCGTCACTGCGCCTTCTCTCTATTGTCACACGCCGCACCAACCTTGATCTTGAGCCGAATCTACAGTGGAGCCAAATCTGATATCGTGAACAAAGCGCGGACAGATCGAAGTGGTCCGACGCACCCGCGATAGTCTCGCGCAGGTGATCTAGCGCGTGGGCAAAGCGGTCTTCGCCGCGCCAAGACGTGACTTCTCGGATGGTCAATGTGACGGGACGTAAGTTAGAATACCTGCGCCGAGAGGTGACTTTTCGGAAGGCACATCCGAGATACTGTGAACAGCTGCGCAGAGATGTGACTTCTCAGAAGGCGCATGTGGTGACACGTCGATGAATCGCGCCAAGATGTGACTTCTGGGATAGCAAGTGTGACAAAGCTAGAAAGCAAACGACTCCCGATGCACGCTTTCGCCCGACCAGCCCGCTTCCTCCAGCGTCTGCATCACCATCGTTTCGAACACCGGCGGGCCGCATACCCACGTCTCTGCCTTCTCAACCCCTCGACATACGTCCAACAGCAGCTGCGGGTTGAGTCGTGTGTCGTGATGTGTAATGGTGACATCCAGGGCGCTTGAATCGGGCTGCGATGCGGTAAGAGTTTGCGAGTCGAGTCCTGCAGAGACGACGTGGATCACCAGCTTGCCTGTCGTGGCTGCACCAGCGGTGGCAGTACGTATGAGCCGCAGCAGCGTCCCCACTTCCGCCCTGCTCGCCGCCAGCACCATCGTCACATCCATCTGCTCCGTCCCCTTCGCTAGGTGGCTCAAGAAGCTCAGGAAAGGCGTGAAACCCACCCCAGCAGCCACCCACACCATCCTTCTTTTCTCTTTGGGCAGCACAAACTCTCCTCCCACACCAAGCACCGGCAGCTTCACCTCCTCCCCCTTTGCCCCCAACTCAAACATCCTCGGTGTGACCCTCCCAGCATCCACCCTGCGCATTGTCACCTGCAGCTCATCTGCGCTTCCTGGCCCCGAGCTGATCGTCCACGTCCGCACGCCGCTGTCGTTGAGTTCCTGCTCGCCACCCCTTCTGTCCGACATGTGCTTATACTCCTTCACCTCTGAATCTAGCAGCGAGCTGCAGTCGAGGATGACGTGTTGGCCTGCCCTATACCTCACCGGCTCCGCGAGTCGGAATGTGAATGTGGCGAGGGTCTGCGTATGCGCCTGGAACTTGATCAGCGTCGCCTCGTTAGCTGTCCCCTGATCGAAAGACGGATCGCCGAGCTCAGAGCGCAACCGCCGCACTGGTGGGTTATACGGGCTCCACCCCACACCGTCCTCCCCCTTCTCCTCAAAGTCTTCCACGCCGTCGCTCGGATCGAAGTCATCCGCCATGAGCGGCACTGCGTCTTGTACATGCATAAACCCTGTCACCTCGATCCGCACGCATGTGGACACACCAGGGAAGATGCTGCTCGACTCCTTGCCCAGCAGCACCACCGCCGTTCCTGTGAGGTAGACCACGTCGATCGGCCGTCCTTTTTGCATCAGCGGGATGGTCAGCCCTGCGACTCGATCGTTGTGGATGTTGCCGAGGGAGGACATGAAGCGGTTTCCCGAGTAGTCCGGCAGATAGGCCACCGTCCGTCCCTCCTCGGTGGTGATTCGCACGAAGCCCGGCTTGCCACCGCGAATATTGATTCCGAGCCGAGACTTGAAGATGGTCTGCACTGGACTTGTGTACCTCGTGGCCAAAAACACTGCGTCTGCCTGGGCAACATGCTCCAGCGTCTCCTTCGGCAGCCCCTCGCCCAAATTAATCTCCAGCGACTTGAGTAGCATCTTTGAGCTGTGCTGCGGGTTTGTGACAAGCCTTCTCGTGTTGATGTACTTCGGACAGTTGCCGAGGCTCTCCAGCACCTCGACCTGGATCGATCGCTCCTCTGCACTGCCGGTGTTGCGCTCGTTGATGAATCCAGCAACCTTATTCCTCCGCCTGTTGTCAAACATAACCCCTACACCAGCAATGAGCTTCAATCCCGGCCCTTGGTAGCTCGCATCATCACCCATGACCAGCGAAGTCATACCGAACTTCGCGCCTTCCTTCAGGGCCATTTCGACAGGATGGTCCTCGTGCAGCCGCATGCCGGTCGCGATGAGCGACGAGAAAGAAGGACACTTCACGAATCCAGCCTCACCGTCAGAAGCGGCGAGAAAGGATCCCCACGGTCGACCCTGCGCGTCAAGCGTGCATACCGGCAAGATGTTGAGCGCGGGAAAGAACTGCTGGTGCTGCGCGGTGAGTTGCGGGCGGAAGATCGAGTGCGCTCCAGCAACGGCGTCTTTGTGGCCCAGTGCGGTCTGGATGGCTAGCTCGCCGGCGTGCCATTCGTGCGAGGCGTTCATGTTGGGCGAAGTCGAGATGAGTGGGGATGGAAGTGGACAGCGAGAAGGGACTTGACATCACCATGGACCACGTTCGAGAGCAGCTGCACGTGCGGGGTTAAGAGTATCACTGCAGGGTCTCAGTCCTTGACAGGCGGCCAGCTGCAGCCTTAGCGCCTCAGCTCCGCGGATGTAACATCGTAAAAAACGCCCCTAAACACGCGCGACGCGTAAAGTGTAAGGCGCACTCCACACGATTCTTGCAAATCTTCTCGTTTCACCATCATACCCTCTCTTGCCTTTCAGCACCTTGTTCTTTCATCCTGTTCATCAGCGCCAGCGCTGCAGGAGCGAAGAAGATGGAGCAGCTCCTCCGGCGAGAGCTCAAAACATGGCAGAAAGCCTTCAAGGCGCAACACGGGCGAGACCCAACCAAGCGAGACATCCTCGCGGACCCGGGCATCGCGGGCACCTACGACACATGGCAAGCTGTTGGTGGCGACGCTGCTGCCAAGCCGAAACCGAGACGTAGCGATGCACCATCGAGCTCAAAGCGGCGATTGAACGAGGAGGCGGTGCCGTCGAGCTCGAAGCAGCGCCTGGACGAGGTGATTAGAACACCATCCAAACGAAAGGTGCTAAAGGACGCAGGGACGCCATCCAAACGACCCTCAGTGAAGGACGCAGGTACGCCGTCGCGGAATCCATTTCGCACACCAACAAAGCCCTCGGCAACACCGGGCAAGAGTCGCAACCCCTTCGCCTCACCCTCCAAGCCTTCTCCCGCCAGCCCAGCGCGCTCGCTTATCGAAGTCGACCTCACGCCCACCAAGCCCTTTCTCCAACGCAACAGCTTTACACCGACCAAATCACCCTCCGCAGCGCAGTACATTACTTCTTCTCCCTCAAAACTGCGGAGCACTCTCCAGACTCGCACACCGACAAAGTCGCCTTCCCGCCGTACACCGAGCGACGCAGCGCTGAACGCGGCCCTGGCAGTGTACACGCCGCGCACGAAAGCGCGCAAGCGACTGCGGGGCGAGGACGTACCACCCACTCCAAACCGGCGGGTCGTATCCGGCCCAGGCGTGGGGGCGCAAACAGAGCCGCGAGCGGTGCAAAAGGGCTTGAGTGCATTCGGCTTCGCCTCTAATCGCAAGGTCAAAGGGAGGGCAAGCGATCCTGCCCCCTCCTCCGGTATCTTCGGTCGAGCCCGCGGTGCAACGCGAAACAACGAGAAACACTCCAGAGAAGAAGAAGAGGAAATGCAGTCCCCACACAAAGCGACGAGATCAGCCTCGAAGTTCCGACCGCTTTTCGCGTCGCCTGCACGCGCCGATCGGCTCGGGGCGTCGTTTGCCGCGCGTGGCAGCCTTCCCTCCTCGGACGATGAGATCATGGACGATGCGCCGAGCACGGCTGTGGGCGGGCTGTTTGCGGCGCATGTGGCGAGGCGACGTGCGCGCGAGGCCGGATCGACCGTGGACGAGGAAGGGCTGGGGAAGAAGCATAAGATTCGCGCAGCGACACAGCTGCCCCAGAGCAGTGACGATGAGGAGGCGGGGTTGGCATCGAGCAGTCCCGCACGCTACCGCGCTTCGTCGCCGCACACAGAGCTCACCGTGCCGAGCAGCACCGTCCGCCCCTGCACCGCTTCCAAATTCGATCCCAACAACAGTCCCACTCGAGCCCTCAGCTCGAACCACAACAACAAAGATGCAAAAGCAGTGGAGAACAGAACTGGTGTGGAAACGTGGCGCAAAGTGCACCGAGTCGAGCTGTCGGACGAAGACGAGCCGCGAACCATCTCCATCACTCCCTATCAACTGTACCCGCAACGCGCCTCCTCTCCGCTCTCCGACGGCGAACAAGACTACTCGCTTCCGACATCCGTCAAATCGGGAATGTATGCAGTCGACCTTCTCGCCTCACCCAAGAGCGACGCCGAGGATTTCTCAGCCAATGGGCTTGCAGGTCTGCAGCTCTCGCCCGTACGACATGCGCCCAGCGCCAAACGCGAACGTCAGCAAAAGGATCGGCTGTTGAACGGCATCTTCGACCCCACCGCGGCAAGCAGGAAGAGGAGGATCCCAAAGACGTTCAATCCCGAAGCTAGGTTCGGCACGCTACAGCCGTCCGCGACACACAGCGATGGCGAGATCGATGGCCATGCTTCAGAAGAAGGAGATGGCGGTGCACCTCCAGCAGACGATGATGACGACGACGATTGGCAACAGGAGGTCGAGGAGGACTTCACCTTCCTCGACTCCGAGATCGAGCTGCAAGATGTCGCGTAAGCACACACTGTCTTTACATTCTTTGATCGCAACCACACTCTTTCACATTCCAGGCTTCTGACACCGTGTCTCTTAAGATCGTGATTGTGGGCATGCGTGACATTACGAAGAGAAAGGCCTACGGGTATGGAGCGTACTGAGGAGGAGAAGGCATGGTACAAGTGAGACGGTATCGGGCAAGAGTACAACGCTGTGATCAGCGGAAAGGTGAAAGCTAGGAGACAGAACAAATGCGGATGCGGGGACGAGATGCGAAGGCTTTTGAGGATGCAGGACGCGGAACTGAGAGAGCGAGAAATGGTTGATGGAAAGGCCATCTTTCGAGAACGTGAGGAAACGTTCAACGTGACCAGTGAACGACAACGGAGTGTTCGGTAGAGTCTTCTGCCGTCGTAGAAGGATAGTTGCTGCGAGTATAGTCGATACCGAATCTAGGAGGATGGTGACTGGCCAGCGTCGATGACGATGACGACGCTACCGCTGTGGAGCGGAAGTATGTGGCGGGAGAGGTGGTCCAGCGCATGCGGTCTGCGCTAGAGCTGGCAGCGGGTGTATCGAGCTTGTTGTCGAACCATGCACCAGCCAATGCGCGAGGGCGAGCGAGCAAGTCGACCCCTGCAGCTGCAGGTAGCTGCAGCGACAACTCAGCCAGCGACGGCAGCGGGCCGATGTCTGACGGCAGGAGTAGAGGACTGGTCGCATCCCCGTCGCCCTTTGAAGAGGCACTGGACATGGGCGAGGTTGGACGCGAAGGCTCCGGCGAGAGCGGATCACGGAAGGCATTGTAGTCGGCGTACACGGAATGGACAGGTGAAAGAAGCGGTGAGAGCGGGCGAGACAGCGTGCCGTCGCCGTTTGCATTCAGCATCGCGCAGCCTTCTGAGCCGGCAGCAATGTTCTCCGTCGCGCGCACTACCTCTCCTTCATGGCGATCTTGAACCTGATCTTCGACTTCGTCCTCGTCCTCATCCTCGTCGAGGTCGCTGTCGTTGTCATCCACCAGAGCTGGAAGTTCCTCGGATGAGCCTCCCACAGAGCTGCTTGTGGCAGGATATGGGCAGACGTTCGGGTAGCCAGAGCAGCAGCTGGAAGCAGGGATTAGGCGAGAAGTTGCTTCTGCGAAGCTTGACTCGTCGCTGCCAGGGGTTTCCGAGCAGGATGCTACACAGGAGTCGACCAGTGTAAGTGCGCTCCTGTCGACGACTTTGGCGCGCAGCTGCGAGCCCTCAGGGGCTGCCTCGCGTGGGGCTGCTTGGTATGAAGAAGATACCAGCTGCGCCAGCACTGGCTCCGATGGAAGGTCCGAGTCGAGCTTGACAAAGTCTTCCTCGTCGGTAGGAAGCTTTGCGTCGTCTTTGATCGGGCACAGTCCGAGGGGACTTGGGCCCGTCGGTGGAAGCTCGCTGCTTGCGGCATTGAAGCCATCCCCACCGCTCAGCTCCGAGAGCAGGTCTTCGAAGAACTGAGCCTCTTCGTCCAAGGCGACGGCCGTACTGCTCGCACCCTCGGTAGGGCTAGATGGCACAGTATAGTAATCCAGGATCTCCTGAGACATCTGTCGACGCTCGCGCTCCAGGCTTGACAGCATTGCGTTACGGACAAGCACGTTCCTGCGAAGACCCTCGCCGGCGGAATCGTCGAGGCGAGATCGACGGCTGATGGTAGCGTTGGAACTGAGCAAGGAGCCCGGAAGATACTCCGGAAGAATCTCGTCAACGTACTCGTCAGTTGCCGTCGGGTTGTGGGCATCGGAAGCACCGAAGATTGCTTTGAGGCTGCCGGGAATGCCGAGGGCCGTCGGCGAGCTGCCGCCCTGCGCAGTCATGTTGGTCACCGTCTTGTTAGGATCGGCGGATCGTATTGATGGGGAAGGAGGGACCGGGGCACCTTCGTGTGCTGTGGCGGCCTGAAATAGGCGTGGTAGAGAGACCATGTCGAAGCTCGTCTTGCGATGGGCAAGCGGCCAGTGGACAGGCGAGAAAGTTACGGCTGAGTCGAAAGGGCTACTGAGTGGCGGGAACCCTGCCGGTGATTAAAGAAAGATGTATGCAGGGTGCAGGTGTGACAGTAGCGAATGCTGTCGTCGCGAAATGAAGTCCGAACTACAAGTGGATTCAGGCACAAAGCCTTGATGAAGGGCGGCGATTAGACTGCCCTAAGGTGGAGAAGGTGACCGACATCCATGATGGGGAAGCGGACTATGTCGAGAAGGGCTCAGCGGAGAGGCTGAAGCGGAGGAGCGATGATAAGGAGTTACGGCAGCTACGAAGCGTACGACTAGATTCGCTGCAACGGACGCAGCAACAAGCTAGAGCGTTGGTGTTAGGCAAGCATGATCTTGAGTATCAGGAGGCTGCGTTCACTGGCTCGGCGAAGGCTGGTGGGATTCGGCACGCAAGGGAATTATTGAAGGCGCAGCGATGTCGATGAAGTAGGTTATAGATGGGATGGTGGTGGGAGTGGGAGTAGGAGTGAAAGGTCAATGATCGTCTAGAAGGAGGAGATGCTGGATCGCCAGGAGTCAATGAGGGGGCCAGGGATGAGGACGAGGGCGAGGGCGAGGCTGAGGCGATCCTGATAAGACGAGTCAGGGTCCAGTTGACATTTATTTTGGCTCACTGCACCACTCTCTTGCATGACTCTGACGAGTTTGCTGAGGCGAGACACGGCACAGTCACACCATAAGTCGACCAGTCGCAATCCATTCGCAATCACACGTTGGCTCGCCCTCATATGATCGACTAGGTCAGCTAAGCCACGCTCCGTCCCTCGCCGGCGTGAACAGCTAGCAATCTCAGTGGGTTCGCTTTTGACCGTGCCCTCCCTTTGGTCCCTTCGTGCCACGTCAGATGGGCGCGTGCTTCCGCGCAAGACAACGATAAGCCAGACCACGGCTCCACAGCTGCCGAAGTTGAGGCGGCCTCGACGCCGATCTGGAGCTGAAGAAGCGCTCAATCAGGTGCCGACAGCCGGTCTGGTGTGATACGACTCTCCGCCCTCTCGAGGTGACTCGGCCCTCCTGCGCGATAAGCTGCCAGCCCGGCCTTCGCCAGCAGCGGAGTCAAACAGACCGGAGCGCCTGACTTTCTTTTTTTTTTTTTCCTTGAAGAAGGACAACAGAAAAAATAGGCGTTGCAGAGCGTAGGAAACTGGCATCAAGCTTTTAGGGTCGAATTAATCTTGAAAAATGTGGAGAAAATTGCGTGGCAGCTGCATCAGCTGCACCTGCATTTCCGTCAGCAAGAAAAAGACGCCATCGAGCGGGAGGCTGAGTCGCCCCACCCACAACAAGGTTCGACCCTGTCTCTCGCCATCTGATCCCACCTCATCTGGTGTGATAAAGCGAAGGGTCAGTGGTCAGCTGTGTGACTGCGACCAGGTACATTACAAGCCAAACTCTATTGACGATGGCGAGGACCGGCTCGTGAAACTGGCCATCATCGACGCGCAAGCACGCGTAACTTTCCGATGGCGAGTGATCTGTCCCACTTGCGTCACGAGACAGAGGGCCTAGATGCGGTCCGCTTTGCATTGCTAGCTTCTCAACCCCGCAAATCTGGCAAATTTGAGTTGCTTGTGACGCTCGATCGCCTCATCTTTGCGCAACGGCGGAACCCGCCTCGCAAACCCGTGTTGACAGTAGCCCCCGCCTGAATCGACGATCCCGACTGGATGAGTGGTGCTCGTCTGTTGCTCGTTGCCCGCCTGATCACGCATGGACTCGCCTCGCTTCCACAACCGCGGTCCTCCAAAGCGAGCGGCGGCGGTTCGAGCGGAAAATCCGAGCTGTGTTGCCCTCGCATCATCTTGGCAAGCCCCGAGCGAAGCTTCGTCTCCAAGAGGCTGAATGAGAGGAGCGAGCGCAACGACAGATGCGAGGAACGGTCGAGGCACCAAGAGCAATCTGATGGCCTAAGATGATCCTGTCATGAGTCATGCCCGGCGTCGATCCAGACGGCCACAGCTCGAATCACGCATCTGACTCAAGCCAAGTTCGAGCCACGAATTCAGGGTCCACCTGCCAAGCCACGGTGGTCAACGCTCTCGTCACCCTCTGAAATCAGCCATCGGGTGCAGCCGTGAGACTATTCCGGCCCTTCCGATGGCGAGTCACCCACGTCTCTCAGCATTCGTGTCCCTTTAGCCCTCGAACGTAATCACTGTGCTAGCCTGAAGTCAATGAGGGGTCAAGCCGGCAGCATTCGGAACCGTGTCCATGGGAAACAAATGGGTATTGAGAGACAGCGAGCGTGAAGCGGAGAGGCCTATGCAGAAGAGCCGCTCTTGATCTGCTGGTCACGCACCTCGCTCACAACGTTGCCGACAATTTTGTAGCCGCGGGGCGCCTTCTTTGCGGCTTTGCCAGGGTCGACAATCTCGCCAGTCTCGTTGACCCAGATGGCCTCCTCGTCGCTCAGCAGCATCTGATCCGCCTCCTGCAGCCGACGGACGTTCTCGACGTGGACGAGCTCCTTGACGGCCAGGATGGCACCCGCCATGTCGGCACCAATGGGGCGGTACACCGATTGAAGGCGCTTCTTGAGACCAAGACCTTGCAGAGTTCGGTTGATCTTCTCGGGCATGCCGATCCCCGATCGTCGGAGCGTGATGCGATAGTGCGTCGCTGGTGCTGCTTCGCTGGATGTGGAGCTGGATGCCACCGTGGCTTGGGCAGCAGAAGAAGACGACTCGTGACGGATACCCCATGCTGAGGTGGAAAGAGCCTGGCGAGACAGCCTCGATCTTGTCTGACCGAGAAAGTTGCGTGCGAGGAAAGACATCTTGGCTTTGATCTGTTGGCGGCAGAAAGATGTCACGAAAGGAGACCGAGGAAGAAGTTAGTCGGCTGAGCGTCATCATCAACGATGTCGAAGTGCCGGATCTTCCTTGCGCTGATCTGCCCTGCTTGCACCTTCTGCGACTGCCCCGTATGCTATGCCTCGCCTGAAGAACAACGTCGCCGACTTTTCAGGAAACCAGACTTTCGACCTTGCGAAACGCGGCACCCAAACTTTACTATCTCGTCCAGACGTGGGAGTCCAAGCTCGAATCAACCTCGGAGCGTCTGCAACGCAGGAGAGTCCCGAATGGGACCCGTCGACCACGGAGACGCTCTGGCAAGGGATGAACATAGGATTCGCTCGACGCCAGACGAGACCTCTGAAGACAAGCACCAGCGATCGACAACCCGCCCGAGCTGCCTCAAGCACCAGAAAGAATTCCAGCACGAAGCTGCGTCGAGCCGGAAATATCGTCTCCGTTCGCTATGCCCATGCGAGACGCAAAGGAGCACGCAGACCGCCCGCTCACGACGGCTCTTCCTAATGCACATCGGTTTTTACTTGAGTAGCTCATCTTGCTAGTCGGCAACGTTGTCTCCTTCGAGGTGGCATGGCATCGGGACGGAGGGCAGAAGCAGCAGCTGCACTTGCCAGCAGCAAACCGAAAAAGGCGGAGCGGATCAAAGGTGTCATCAATCGACATGGGAGCTGAGAATTGCGATACGCACCGTGCAGGAGGTGGGGTCCAGAACAGTGCGCCTTGAAGTGAATCTATTGTACAATGGAGGACTGTTCACCGCGAAGATCGGTTCAGGATCGAGCGAGGCCGTGCGAGAAGGTGTACGAAGAGGTGGTGTGGAAGCAAGGAGCAAGTCAGCAAGATGTCTTGGAAGACTGCAGACTGCGGACGACGCCAAACACAAGCACCCGTTAATAGCACGCGCATCGGCGACAGCAGAGAACCCAAAAGGGTAGAGATGCCCCTCAGACTTCCAAGGAAGGTCTGCAAACCCTCATCGGACCAAAGCCGGCTGCGATCCAGACGATACAAGCGATTCGAGAAGGCGGCGCTGGCCACACCGGCTCTCCTCTGTAAACAGAGGAGGGTTCGTGCCGTGGACCTCTTCCGAAAAAGATGGCTGCAACATCCCATATGAATCTCTCGCAAGGAGAGCCAAGATGCCCCATCCCCCAGGGGGGATGCAAGGGTCCTAGAGTGGAAACTGCGAATTTGGTTGGATACCAGATTTATCATCGTCGGAGACTTGGGTTACTGACGCCTTGCGTTGTGCTTCGGAGGGTGGTTGTGTCTGTCGAGATGTTGACTGCTGTGAATACTTACGCTGACAGTGGGAGTGTGCGGCTCGGGGGAGGACGTGACAGTTCGACCAAAAGCGGTATGACTACGAGCGATGAACGATACGAGAGCAAACGGCGAATTGATCAGCTGCCGTTCTTCCATATGGATGTACCGCGATTGCGCAGGTGGTGAGCCAGGTGCCGCTGACCCGCTGCGGCTATCGCGTGAAGCGACAACAGCAACGAGCAGGAACGTGAATCAGACAGAAGTGTGCTGGCATGCACAAAAGAATAGTAGAGCTCGCTGCGACACGAGCTTCCTTATCGTCTCGGCATGGTCGTATAGGCCGGGGAAAGGAGTCAAAAGTCATCACTAGAAAAGGGGGGGTTGAATTGGGGTGGAGCAACACCTAGCTCGTTGGCCATCGCTGAAGTCGAGGAGACACTTACGCTCTGCACTGCAATCGACGCACTTGCACCGAGGATACAAGTGGTCGACAATGGGAGGGAGGAGGGATGGATGGTGAGAAGAGCGGGAAGAAGGGAGGGGTTGACCCTCGCGACTTTTTGTCTGCTTCGCGAAGAAAGTGTGGTTGGATGCTCCAGCGAAAAACTTCGCCTTTTTCCCTTCAAGCCGCAGTCTGGAAAATTCCTCCAGCCAGGGTCGCGAACCGGTCTCGCACGTATGGTCGAAATTGAAGCTTGAAAATGAAAAAAGGACGTCGGCCTAACAGATTTTTGTTTTGCCTCTGTCTTCTGCCTCACGTCATCTCGCAAGCGACTACGCCCACTCTCGAAGCAACACCTGAAGGGTCACGCATGCGAAATCACACACACAAATCCCGGCTCGCCTGCATTTGGGCTGCGCCTTCGCCACAAAGCAATTACAAAACCACGGCTCAACCTTGGCCAACTTCACGTATATCACACTAGCCACTGCCGTCAGGCTGCCTCGCACGATTGAACACCCCACCGTACCCGTCCCATCATCAAGTTTTGCGGCCCGCAAGTCCGAGAACAAGGCTTACTCCAGGTCCTTGCCAAGGCTAGCTCAGCTTTTGTGCGGAACTACAAGACCCGTGCTGTTGACCGTCGCTTGTCAACCTCGAAATGAAGTCGCTGCATGTCAACGCAATAGCCCCTTCCACATCAGCGATCTCTGCTGCGCAGCCGATTCTGCGCGTTTGACGCTGGCACGATCTGCCTTTTCCCGGCGGGCGCTGGCCGTTACAGCCCTATCCTGCCAGTTCAGTCCTTCCAGGCGGTGTCTCGGCTGACACCAAAGGTTGCCCACTGAAGGTTGCTTGCTGTCTCGAGGCAGCCGCCTTGCACCCACCATTAGCGTGCTGTCGAGCTTCGCTCACGATCAATCTCGTGACCGGCGAGCTGCCAAAGCGTCCTTGTCGACGTAAACCTTAACTCAGCGACAGGAATCTAGCTGCAGCTTCGACTGCCCAAACGATTACCTAGGAGGCCGAATCTTTCCGAAGATCGCTCCTACTACCACCACGCTCCATCTCAAGGCTTGGATCTCCGCTGTGTTTCCGCACCATGAGTCGATCACACAGCGCTGTCATCGATCTCACCGAGGAGTCGCCGCCAGCTCATGGCAGGCCTAGGCCACCACCGCCGCCGGCGCTAAGAAGCGGGACGCATATCCTCGATTGGTCGTCAAATGCTCCCCATGCGGCCGGTCCCTCCTCACACGGCACCACGCCCAACCCAGCAGCTCCACCAAATCGTTCTCCGGCTGTTCACGCGCCCATCGTCGTTGGTAGCGATGACGAAGACGATGACAACAGCTTCACCATCACCGGAGGGTCCGAACCCGTCCGGAGGTCTCGTTCCCTGCAAAGGTCCTTCTCCTCGGGAACGGCATCAGCAACACGGATGTTCCCATACGATCCGTCTACATTGGCGTCGTCACTGCGCTTCCATGATGATATTGGACGCGGGCCGCACGGCGCGGGATCTCGCATCCCGCAGAGCATTGGCGTGCTTGGCTCCTCTTCGTCACCACGACATCCTCTGCATCCGCAACGACGCGCAGCGTTACCATCTGCCAGCACAACCACAGCCAGACGCAGTGGGGGAAGCACCACCACCACCGCCACCGCCACTTCGGATGCCAACCTCGCCTCGCGTCTAGGTGGAGACTTCTCGTTTGGCAATTTTGGTTTCGGGCCTACATACGGCATGGAGCTGATAGGTAGCTTGCTGCGTGGCTGGCATCCGAATGGTCACGGAAGCCCTCAGCAGAACGCGGAACGCAAGGTGCCGCAGAAGTTTGATCCAAAGTGGACGCACCCGTACGAGCCGCAGCCTGGGTTCACGCATTCCATCATCGAGCCCCCAGTCGACCTCGATACGTACTTTGACGACAAGGCCGTCGTCACAGGTCCGTTACCCGACACTACACCCATCTGTGCATGCTGTCGCTTCGCGTTGGTGACAGGTGCGAACGGCGATGAGAGGATCTGGGCGCTGCCCTGCGGACACGTCATCGACGGGCGCTGTGTGGATCGTTTGAGCGGTCTAGCTCCTGTGCCATCACCGGAAACCGCTGCTACCGGTACATCGAGCAAAGCCAAAGGCAAAGCGAAAGCCATCGAGGCTACGGAAGATGAGCCACCCGCAAAGGTAACCAAAACCTCAGCGCGCACTCGAGCTGCAGCATCACTCGCAGCTCCGACCGATGCCACTCCCAAGAATCTGAAGAAACCGAAACGCTTCGAATGCCCCGTCGAGGGCTGCAAGCAGAAGTGCACCAAGGAACCAAACAGCAAGTACTCAGCTTGGGAGGTCTTTGTCTGACCCCATCTTTTCTCGATCTCATTCTCGGACGTTGAATCGCATGGGTTCCCGCAATGGATCCAATCCGTCTGTCTTCTCAGCATCACATCATACCCATCTCCTTCAGCATCAGCCGCACTTGACGATACAGGCTGTCGCAACTTTCCTCTCGCATGTCTAGCATCTCTTGTTTCAACATCTGTACTTTTACGCATTCTCCAATACAGCCGCTCTAGCGCTACGTCCTCCTATAGATGCTATGATCCGCGGCGAACAGAAGCCTAATAAGCAGTGTGTGCTCATGAGCGCTGCAATCCTACTCCAAGGTTGAGACGATCAGCTTGCTGTGCCGTGACGCGTGATGAATTTTTGGTGGGAAGTGTTGGTTAGGGGCGCGCGCTGCGGTTTCAGGGTCCAACACCATCTCCTGTGTGAATCTTGCTTCTCGATTCTCGAACACCATCCCACAACAGCGACAAGCAAGGCGCAACCATGGACGCAATGATCTCATCTCCCTCGCCGGGACCCAGCACGGTCGACAGCATCTTGAGCCGCAACACGGGCAGCAGCGGTGGCGAAGATGCGGCGGGCAGCAGTGCTCGAGAGTGGAAGCGACTGTTCGCTCAGATGCAGTCCTCGACGACCCCTTCGCGGACCACCAGAGCTGATGCATCTGCCACTGGCACCAGTCGACGCGGTCGAGGCGGCACTTCCTCTCGCGGAAGCACTCGAGGCTCCCCACACCCTCGCAATCCACCCAGCCGCCTCGTCGATTCGCCCAATACGACACTCTCCTCGCTCCCCGCGCCATCCTCGGACCCACTCTCGCAGATCAGGCACAAGATCCTGACCACCCCCCTGCCACCCGATCACACCCTCTCACCCACATCCTCGACCTACCGCTCGATTGTCTGGAAGCTCCTGCTCTCGCTACCCACGCTCGACATCGCCTCATACCTCTCGCTCGTCGCCCGCGGCCCATCCTCAGCGCACGACAAGATCCGCAATGACACCTTCCGCACGCTCGCCACGGACCAGGGTTTCAAAGAGCGCGTTGCCGAAGGCAAACTGATCAGGCTGCTGGATGCGTTTGTTTGGAAGCATTCTGGCGAGGAGGCCGTGTACGAATTCGGCTATGTGCAAGGGATGAATGTGTTGGCGGCGCCGTTTCTGTATGCGTGCGGGAGCGAGGTCGAGGCGTTCCGCTGTTTCAGCGCTTTCATTGAGCGATGTTGTCCGTTGTATGTTCAACCGACGCTGGCTGGCGTCCACCGCGGATTGCAGGTACGTATTGACCGCATCCGAACTCACAATTTGAAGAGTTGAAGTGCTGACCCGTTGTGTTTCGTGAACAGCTGCTCGATCGATGCCTCGAGATCCTCGACGAACCACTCTTCACCCATCTACGGAGCAAGAACCTCTCCGCCGAAATCTACGCTTTTCCCTCGGTCATGACGCTCTGCGCCTGCACCCCGCCCCTACCAGAAGTCCTTCAGCTGTGGGACTTCCTACTCGCCTTCGGCGTCCACTTTAACGTCCTCTGCATCGTGGCCCAGCTGCATATCATGCGCGAAAGCCTGCTGGACAGTTCCAGCCCCATGAAGCTGCTCAGGCATCTTCCGCCGTTAGATGCGAGGAAGATCATCGGCGTCACTGTCACCTTAGCCAGAGACGTACCGAGAGACCTCTTCGAGGAGCTCGTAAGACATCCCTACCATCCGGATAGCGTGGTCGGCTTCACTTAGTTCACACATATACCCACATCACACGCTTGTAAAGGACATCTCATCACACCACACAGGAGTTGTTGACACACGATTGACATAAAGGTGCAAAAATGAGAGAGCTACTAGCACACGAGAGAGGTTCTTTGACAGTTGAAAACGGGGGAGTGACCGAGGAAACGACTGAGGGTGAGGAGGGAGAGAAGGTTTTGTCGCGCCTGGCTTGAGAAGAAGAGGGGGGGATGCATCGAGGCGTGGTATGTACAGATTGCAAGTGAGGATGCTCGAGGCGGTCTGGGGTGCGATTTTGATGTTCGAAGGTGCATGATCCCGTTCAGAGGTTCATGAGCAAGCGCGCCGTCCTGCTTTCCCATGCGATTGACGGTGTGGGCAGAATGCAGCGTCGACGATAGCGTCGCGTCGTCGGGAGTTGCTTCGACAGTATCGCCCCGAATCGGAGCCACGCCCAGCATTGGTGTTGACTCCTTCAGGCACCTCGCCGACCCAAGCGAATCCTGTGATACCTCGCGACGCCGAGCCGTGCGACAGAAACGACCTTCCTCCGCCCTGCTGCCACCACCGCACCGTCGTGCCACCGCTTAGTCGAGCGTGACCTTCATCGACTCGAGCGGGATGGGTTGGAAGTTGTGGACGTCGATGCCCCGCGAGAGGAGCTCCGCCTCGGCGTGCTGAGGCACCAGTCGCGAGATGAGGTCCGGTCGGACAGAAAGCTCCTCCTTGGTCCAGTTGAAAAGGGGCGGCAACTCGCGTCCGTTGGGCATGCGGGCCTCGCCCGTTCGCAGCTCGTCAAAGAAGGGGTGGCAGAGCGCCTCAACAGCCGTGAGACGTGCGCTGGGCGTGTACTCGAGCAGTCGCGAGATAAGGTCGATCGCATCGGGAGGCGTGCGCGGGCGGAAGACCTTGCTGAAGGGGTGCGGTCGGATCTGAGGGAACTTGTGCTCCATGTAGTTGGGGTTCATGGTCTTGATCTGCTCTCGAGATGGCGTTCCGAGCACCTTGATGATCTCTACGAGCTGGTCGATACCGCTCTCACCGGGGAAGAGCGGTTGCCCTTGCATGAGCTCGGCCATGACACATCCTGTGGACCAGATGTCGATGTTGGTGGTGTAGTTGGTAGCACCAAAGATGAGCTCGGGAGCTCGGTAGTACCTCGAGCAGATGTAGCTGACGTTGGGCTCGCCTGCGATCAAGATCTTCGCCGAACCGAAATCGCAGAGCTTGAGGATGCCGGTGGAGGGGTCGAGCAGCAGATTTTGGGGCTTGATGTCTCGATGACAGATGCCGATCGAGTGGATGTAGGCGAGACTGCGCAGAACCTGGTACATGTAGAGCTTGATGAGCAGCATAGGCATGGTCTGCTTGAGCTTGGCGTAATGGCGCGATGCGCGGTAGACCGTCTCTGGCACGTATTCGAGCACAAGGTTGAGGAAGACCTCGTCCTTCTTGTCGCCGTTCGAGTAGAAGAATGCCTTGAGGTCGACGACGTTAGGGTGCTTGACGATCCTCATGATCTGCAATTCACGGTTTTTGAAGCGCTTGTCCTGCAACACCTTCTTGATGGCCACCTCATCGCTGTCCTTGCTGGAACCCTCGGCGGGTTCTGAGCCTTGCGACGATACGAGTTTTGCCTGGAAGACGACACCGAAGCTTCCGTTTCCAATGACCTTGCAGTTGGTGTAGGCGATCTCTCGCTGTTCGGCAGTCTTGCCGTCCGAGGCGAGCACCTTGATCACTTTGTTGGGATCATCGAGGGCTGGGTTATCGGAATGCGAGGATCATAGAAGAACGGAAAGACGGAGAGAAAGAAGGTCGAAGAGTCAGTAAGCTGCGGTCTTTGAAGTACGAGGTTTCTGATGCTGAGTCGGCCTGGTCTTTGCGTTTAATTAGTGCCTGCGGGCTCCTCGACGTCATGGCCGCTTTCCCAAACTACGCAAAGATGTGCGGGTAGAGAGGCTGATGCGTCGCAGGCAGGATCATTCGCAGTCCGACTGGAACGCTTGAGGCTAGACCAAGGCCTATGAGCTCAGCATCAGCGGAGAGATACCTACGATTCATTTTGACGCCGTTGGTTGGCGCGTTGGACATGTTCAAGCGTGGACAGCTGCAGAACGTGACTTGTCAGCAGGACGTGGTGGTCGCTTGTCTGACTGGAATGCTGCTGAGTGGAGGTGGGGGCGTAAAGGGTGCTGTGACTGTTGACACCGTGAGTCGACTCGGGAGATCCGAAGAAGGCAGACGATGGAGCGGTCGAGACGTGCGAAGGGCGGCAGAGTGCGGGTATGCTTGGCAGCGAGTTGCGGGAATGAACGAGGAAATCCGTGTCAAGCAGACTGCTCGAGTGTCGTGCGATGGTTGCTGCGGTCAGGCTGATGCTGGTGCGGCAACGACGGCGACGGAGACGGTAAACGGAACGCGATGCCTGCAGAGGCGGTGTAGGTGCAACGAAGACAGATGGCGGCGCAGTAGGCTAGCGTCGATGCGTGTTTTGGCCGTGTTCGAGTGTCGAGATGATGGAGCTAAAAGAGAAGCGAGGTGATGAGCAGCCAGCAATGCAAAAGCCAAAAAGGGAGAGAGAGAGACGCGGACCGTGGCGTGGAGCGTGGAGAGACAGAGCTGCAAAGTGGAGTCAAACAGCATTCGCTGCTGCGAGGCCAATTGCAGACAGACAGAGGGCAGACGAGCCCTGCCAATTTTCGAAAATGGCTCTCTAATTGGCTGGGTGACTGACTGTCCGTGCTCGCTCGGTTCCTCACCTGCTCGCCCAAACACACCAACACACACAACCAAAGCGAAAGCGAGGCCGCTGGTTTCTAGCGGAGGGGCCAGACCGAACGCGGGTCTGAGTCCTCTTTTCTTTTTTTCTGATTTCCTGCGCTAGCTTACCCGGGCACTTGAGCTGCAGAGCGAACCTGGCAGCGGACCTGAATACAGTGCAAATTGGTGACCCAATACAAACCGCATAGACTGGCGCTGCAGCTGATTTCAACTCGATTGTATTTGTCCCAGGGCGCAGCCACCACTTTTTCGCTGTTCCGCATCTCAACAAATCTGCAGAGACGCCCCCTTCAGACAATGATGGCTCAAACAAGACTCGACTCGACGAGGAGGGAGTTCGCTCGCTTGCCATAACATGCTCTTTGATCACGAGCCACCGACTGTCAGCACCAGAATTCTCCGCAAAGCCGAGAGGCTGAGTTCACCTGACCCCGTCTGAAGCCATTCCCACCCATCTCGACCGTGCTCCTTTCTGTCCAGTACGAGACTATGAGCCGCTTTGACGTCGATGCAGACCTTTGTCCAGTCAAAGTGCGGTGCATCGACGTAGCAGAGGACGATGCCATTCCTGTCTCTTCTATAGACAAGGGCAGGACAAGGAGCCTTGTGTGAGTGTGTGCGTGTGTTGGTCTCTTCGAGATGTCGAACGAGGTGGTCCGTGTGCGGCCCCGTTTTTGGGCTTACCTTCCCTCGTGACCATGCAACTGATGGCTGAGAGGAGCGAAACTTGGGTCTCCCTGTTAACCAAATTTTGGCTCGCCAGTTCCCTGTTAGAGCGCCTCTCGACACTGTCCAATACCGCCAACCTTCCCAGCTATGATCGGCTCTTCGATAGTTATCAACGAGTGAACCTGGCCAGCTTGGTCTTTCGCGAAGCAGATGGGACTGGAAGATCGGCCAGGGTCGTTACGGTCCTCATGACTCCATTTCGGTTGGAGTCTGTGATGAAGATTGGTGCTGAACGGACCGCCAGCTCATCTACGTCGTCATCATCGCCACCCGCTCAACTGCCATCCCACAGCGTATGAATCAACATGCTTTCGTCCCAGGCTGAGTCGATCGAGTTTCTACCCACCGCGAGATATGGAGCGTATGTACCGTTTCGCTGTTACTTACCAGACAAATCTCATCTTAGCTCAGCTCGTGGGTGTGGGTGCCTCTGACCTCGACATTGATGCGTGGAAGCACGTCAATGCAGGTCCAGCAAACAAAGGATCTTCACCGGAACGTATAAAAGCCTCCTTGGACTCGTCCCGTAGCACTACTGAAACACAAGCCCTTCTCATCTCCCCTTTTGAGGCCCACAAGATGCTCGTGCTCGGGCGTGTTCCTATGATTGCGGTCGCCGTGGCCATTGTCACTCAAGCCAGAGCTACTCTGGTCCACAGAGCATCCTCTCGAGCCCGCCAAGATGTACCCGGCATCGCTCAAAGCTGCAGCGACCTTCCTGATAGTCTCGAAGAGCTTCTCCTAGAGGGCCTCGGAAGCGATGGTGTGCCGCTCGAGATAAGCGATACGTACGCTTTCCACTACCCCGCTGGGTCCAATCCTACCGCTGAGAAACTCTACTCTGTCATCCCCGAGACCTCTTTCGGTCCGAAGGACGACAAGGCGGGTGCCATGTCTGTCTCTGCTGGATTCGGCAAGAAGGCTGTCATCGCGGATGATGGGTACGGAGAAGAATCACGTGCTCCCTACAGCCAGAGCGGTGGTCTGCCGTCCTTCTGCCGAATTGGAGGTATGGTCAGCACGAGCGAGCATAGTCGGGCCCACTTTGAGGTGTGGCTGCCTCTACCCGACACGAACGAAGAAGACGAGACCACGGACGACACTGTGCAGGCCGAATCCTACTCGTCCGACCAGCAGAGTGAGGCTCAGGCCCTCAAAGCCAACTTCAAACGCGCGCCCACGTCCGGCTGGACCAAACGGCTCGTCTTTGTGGTCGGCGGTGGTCTGAGTGGCGCCAGTGCCTTTTCAGAGATGAAGCAGACGATGGCGCGATACCGCGTCGCCGTGGCCAGCACCAATGGTGGCCACTTCAGCGCGTTCGCTGGCACTAAATGGCTGCCCGACAATCCAGAGGGCTGGCTCCACCGAGCAATCCATCTTTCTACCATGGTCGCAAAGCTTGCCGTAAGCATCTTCTTCTACGGTGTTCCGCCCAGTACGAAGGGTAAAAACAATGTCGTTCCAGAGAGCAAATTGCACGTCTTCTATAGCTACATCAAAGGGTGCAGCACCGGAGGTAGAGCGGCCATGGCAGAAGCGCAACGATATCCGCTCGACTGCGACGGTGTCCTAGCTGGCAGCCCCGCAATCGAGTTCAACAAGCTCAAGGCGTACCAGGTGCACGTCAACACCTTTTTGGCTAACAACAAGAGCGAAGGGCATTTCCCGCCTAGCGCCTACCCTATGATCCACAAGGCGGTACTACAGGCATGTGATGCGAGCGACGGTGTCGTCGACGGAATCGTCTCGGATCCTCGGTCGTGCAAGCCTGACTTTGCGAAGCTGATCGGCTGCACCGGCAAAGGCACCGCGCCGAGCAGCGACAGCGTGGAGACCGCGCCCGAGTCTCTGATCAAGCATGCTAAGCGGTTCAAGCACATCATGCTGCCTAGACAGGTGTCGCCGCAGCCCGCTTCGGACCCTTCGGCACCTCTGGAGGTTCCTGGCGGAGGCGCAAGCAGCTCAAAAGACAGCGCACCACCGAATCCCTCCGCGCCCACCTGTCTGACCGACCCGCAACTGCAAACGCTCTCATCCATCTACACGGACTACACGATCTCCACCCGTCTCATACGGGAAGCCGTTCTTCCCGGCAGCGAGATGGGTTGGACCATCTCCAACGCGATCGTGGGCAAAATTGGTGCCTCTCCCTCAGCCTGGTTCCACTATCAAGTCCTCAACTCCACTTCCGACCTCTTCATCTTCGACGCTGGCACGGCTATCACACCCACCATCATCGACGCCGGCGAACGTCTCGATGCAGGCCAAACAATCACGTTCATCCCTGACCTCAGCCGCTTCTTCGACGCAGGTGGAAAGCTCATGCACTACCACGGACTGGCAGATCCCCTTGTACCACCCCTCGTTTCGCCACGCTACTTCGAGCGGGTCCACGCTGTGGTGGGCGAAAAGGCGAGCGAGAGTTATAAGCTGTACATGATCCCTGGCATGCTGCACTGCAGAGGTGGAGCAGGGTGCTGGAACTTCGGCGGCGCAGGTCAGATCGAGCCGGGTGCAAGGCCTCTCAGGGCGGATGCGAAGCACGATATGTTGTTGGCGCTCATGGAGTGGGTTGAGAAGGGAAGGGTACCGAATGAGATGGTTGGAACGGCATATAGGAGTGAGGATGGTGGCGCGCCGAAGAGGAGCGATGACAAGACGCCGTTTGGGAACGGGGTCAGGTTGACTAGGCCGCTGTGCGCGTATCCCATGCAGGCGAGGTTGAGGAGGGGCGGGAGGAGGGATACGAGTGATGCAAGCGCCTTCGAGTGCTCTTGAACGTGAGCCTAGGTGTCAAGCTCGTCATCCTTCGTCTTCTGTTCTGTCAACCGTCAACGCACTCCCTTGATGGCTCACACCACCATTCGTTTCGATCGACTGCCACGACACACCACGAGACATGCGTAAAACACAGAACTTTAGACATTGCGAACGGAGCTTCTAAACCAAATACGGTCTACAGCGAGATCTTGATCGTCTTGATCTCATACGGCTTGAGCTCCAGCTGAACGTACGTGCTGTCCTCTTCGTCCACATACGTCCCGAAGAAAAGCTCCTCCTTCTTGCTCTCGTCGACGTCCTCGAGCAAGTTTGTCAAATTGGTCTCCTTGACGGGCAGCTTAATCTTGATGGTCGGCTTGGCGTGGGCGCCCAAGCTCTCGTACAGACGCACGATGATGCCGAACGAGTCCGCCTTGGCCTTGGTGTTGTGGTAGGGGAAGTCCTCTTCGGCGCGCTTGATGGTGTCGATGACGACGCCGGCGCGGGTCGAGTCGACGATCTCGATGGGCATGCTGAGGTCCGAGTTGGCCGGGTGGCTTCGCTCGAGCGTCGCAATGTCGATGCGCGATTCACGACCGTAGTCGACGTCGAAGCGGGCGTTGAACACGCGAGCCACCTGTACGACCTTGCCTTTGCCGACGCCGCCAACGTGGGGGTAGAGCGCAAAGGCAAATTGGTGCAGGCCTTCGTCCTCGTGCGCATCGGGATAGGTACCGGCCTTGAGCAGCGACAATCGCATCAAGCCACCCTCGACGCTGTAGCCGTACTTGGACTCGGTCAGGATACTCAGACCGTAGTCCTCCTCGGACAAGTCGGCGAATCTGTGCCCGCACACCTCGAACTTGGCCGCCTCCCAGCTGTTGTTGCGCGTGGTAGGACGTTTGGTGATACCAAACTGCGTCTCGAAGCTGGCAATGTCCGAGCGGAGACGAGTAGGCACATTGAAGCGGAGGAAGCGGTGCTTCTCCCACCAGTCGATCTGCGTGTCGAATCGGAGCAAAGGTCGTGCGTCTTTGCTGTCGACCAGAGGCGTGGCGGGAACGGCATCGAGGACAATGCTAACCTGGACGGTGCTCTGACCGAACTTGGCTTCAAGCGCGAGACTGGCACGCCATGGACCCGCCTCGGCAATGCGCACGTTGGTGAAGGGGATCTCCTCTTCCGTGTCGAGCGAGTAGAGCTCGGTCTCCCAGTTGTCGAACTGAGGAGGATAGTCTTCGGAGATGGCAAGACCGGCGGTGCGACCGCCTTCGATAAGCTCACGATCGGCGAGACGGTCGTAGATGGAGGTGATGCGACCCTTGGAGACCTTGACAGCGATGGCGGGGCTCTGGAGGAGGAAGCTGTTGTGTTCGAGCTGCTCTGCCTTGACGCCCTGCGAATCGGCGAGAGCAGATGTCTGGCTATCGACGACAGTAGCGTGGCCGCGACCGGTGGCATCCTCGAGCAGCAAAAGGGCACTTTGGCCAGCCTTGCACAGCTGCATGGATTGGTGCGAAAGGGCGATGGCCTCGGCTCGTGGCATCTTGCTGGACAGCTCGACTTCGACAAGCTCTTTGCGAGGAACGTCCAAGGTGTTGATGGCGGTGATGGCGCTCTTGCTGGATGCGACGACCTCCTCGCCGACGCCGAGTGCGTTCAGTGCCTGGCGCCAAAGCTTCTTGCCCTTGATGGCCATGTCGGCGTACATCTCCTCGAGGTCGTCGTAGACCTTGCGGATGGAACTACCTGGCAAGCAATCGTGGAACTGGTTGAGCAGCAGAGGCTCCCAGATGGCGTCGAGCTCCTCCTTGGGGTACTTGTACTTGGTAGCCTTGATCGAGGCGAGCGTGGCGAGCCACTCGAGCTTCTGCATGAAGGCCTCGAAGCGACGGTTCCATTGCTTGATTGACCCGTGCGATGTGTAGACACCGCGGTGGAACTCAAGGTAGATTTCTCCCTGCCACGTCGACAAGCGGTTGCCATTGTCGGTGACCTTGCGTACATGGTCGAAAAAGTCCTTGGCGGAACGTCCGTTGTGAACACGCGGCATGTCCTTGAAGCCATTGTTGTTGACAGCGCGAGCACGTCGCATACGCTCGATCATCTCCTCCGAGGGACCACCTCCACCGTCGCCGAAGCCGTACAGCATGAGAGCGTGGGGCTGCACCCAGAGGTCGGCATTGTTCTTGACACCGCGGACGATCTCCTCGACGTAGCCTCGGGAATCGTAGTTGTTGACTGGGGTCATGTGGACGATTATCTGAGTGCCGTCCAGGCCGCCCCACATGAGCGTGTTGTGCGGGAAGCGGTTGATGTTATTCCAGCTGAGCTTCTGTGTGAAGAAGTAATCGCAACCGGACTGACGGGCGAGTTGAGGGATCTGAGCATTGTAGCCAAACGTGTCCGGGAGCCAGAAGATGTCGCATCGCTTGCCGAAGCGAGAGAGGAAGTAGCGCTGACCGTAGAGGAACTGACGGGCGAAGGCCTCACCTGAAGGCATGTTGGCATCGCACTCGACCCAGGAACCACCGATGGGCTGGAAGCGGCCGTCCTTGACGTATCCCTTGAGCTTGTCGAACAGCTTTGGGTAGAGCGTCTCGAGCCATTGGTATTGCTGTGCAGTGGAGGCAGTGAAGCGGTGTTCGGGAAAGCGGTCCATGAGGTCGATCTGGGTGGCCCACGAACGAGCGACCTTCTGCTGCGTCGCCGAGTAGGGCCAAAGCCAAGCACTGTCAATGTGACTGTGTCCGAGACTCCAGATTCGAACGTCTTCCCTGCCTTCGACTACATCACGGTCGTAGATGTCGTCGGTGTTGTCGTCCCAGTCCTTGCCGAGGATCTCTTGGGCGAGCTTTCGGCACTTTGTGATGCTGTCAAGGTCACCTTTGCGGAAGGTGTTCTGGATCTGGTTGGCCACCCATAGGGCGCGATTCTGCAGCTCAGTGTCCTTGGGCAGATTCTTGACGCAGCCGACAAGGTGTTCAAAGTCCCACATGAGCTTGAATGCTTCAGGACGCTTGACGACGATATCGCAGGAGTCGAGGTTGAAGTAGCGGTTGGGATCGGGATCGCCTGTGCCGTCGGCTGGCATACCGAACATGCCGTTGGCGGTGACTTCGATGTAGAAGGTGATGCCGTGGCGATACTCGGACTTGAGCGGGAAATCGACTCGTCGCTTGTCGTCACCGCCGGTGATGCCCTGAAGGGGCAGTCCATCCTCAGAGTAGATCAGAGCCTCGCAGCCGGGATCGAACTCGAGCTGAACCCATTCCTTCTTGATCCACTCCTTGGGCACTGTCAGCTTGAGCTTGAGCCAGTGGTTGGTCCACGAAGGACCGAACTTGATGCTCTTGTCTGCCTTGACATAGGTCTGGCGCTTGGCTTCGTCAAAGGTGGGCTTAGCGCCAGCCTTGGGGGTCCAGCTCTGGATCGAGACGTACTTGGGGTCATCGGTGCGAGCCTCAAAAAGGACCGAGGCGAGGTTGTAGTCGCCGAACTGGCCTCCGACGAACTCGTCGAGTCGACGCTCATGAACGGAGCGGATGAGACCGGCTCGAACAGGACGAGGCTCCGAACTGGAGTGCGTAGGATAGTCGGGCGACTTGGAAGAGGCTTGCGGCCTGCCGTGTTGACACATAGCTGCGCAGCTTGCAGTGTCGTAATGCTGTCAAGAAGACGGTGCAAGACAGGCAGGTGCAGTAAAGATGGCCGTGGAAGAGGGGGTGCGGAAGGGACACGGCTTGTAAAGCCAGACCTCAAGACACACGTTCTGCCTAAGAAGATCGTCTGGACCGAGCGTCGATCCCCTCAGCTCAGGACCCTGCCGAAGCGTGTGTGACCCCGCTTGAGAGGGTGTGCGGGGTTGCAGCGCTGAGAGCCATCCGCACGGACCCTGAACAGGCCCTTTTCGGCAACTCTGTGCATGAACGTGCAGTTGGCCGTTCTCTCTCCACCCTGCCAATTTTTGGAATCTTGTTAGACCGTTTCTGAAGTGGGAAGGTCATGCAGATCTCGACTTGCTCACCTTAGGGGGCCACCCTCAGCGTCGCTCGGATCAGTGGTGGGCGAGAGAGTATCAAGGGTACTCAAGGCTCAATACACGCGATCTGTGTAGTAACCACAGGGATGGGGAATCGGTGGCTTAACGAGTACAGTATGCAATTGGGGTATCTGATAACGTGTGGGACTCGGATAGTGCTGAAGGAGGGCGAGCCAAGGAGGCGTTCGCGATCAATGTCTGCGCTTGGCCCTTAGACCAAGCACTCGTCGAATGCGGGTATCGATGCTTGTTGAGAAGAAGGCATCTTTGACATGTCCTTTCTGATGTAGAGGACGAGGTCAGCGCGGTCCAAAAGGACGTTCAAAAAAAAACAGAACACAGAAAGCGAGGCGTCAAAAAGCGGCCCAAATACTGTAACTCGCGCTACGATATCGAAAGGGCCTAGCCAGGACAAACATACCATGAGAAGCTGCTTGCGAGCATGCGCTCTGCCCTCGCTCGTGGTGGCTGGGTTATTGAGCGCAGACTGTACAATTTTGCAGCAGGAGAGATGTGGACATGTTCCGAAAGAGGCTCAAAGAGGTCAGCATCGTCCGATTGCTTAGCTGGCGCGTGATTTCTGTAAGCTGCTACTTACGACGTAGCCAGCGATGACTCGCTCCTTGTCGGGGATATGCTTGTGTGGACGATATGTCATGTTAGCGATGCTGTGGCTGATTGACGAAGACAAGTTTTAAGAGAGAAGCACTGGCGAAACGCATCGCTTCCCTTTAAGTACTTTCGAGGCGGTCATCACGAAGGCTGAAGCGGTGATCAGCTCAGACTCTACCGCGGGCTGCAAGAGCGCCTAAGCGAAGGCTCATTTGCCGACAGATGGCTGCGACACCATCAAGGCAAGGGTCTAGATCTCAGCTTCGTCACTCAAGTTCCGCTACGCCCAGCACCAGAAACCAACACACTCAGGGTCTCAGCCTGTAGCGCTGCGCGTCGGGCGTCACGTGTGGAGGCCGCTTGGCCAAAAATCGAACATGTCCGCTAATTTTTGATGCGCTGTGCTTCTTTGGAAGAAACAAGTTGGGTCACGTTCCGACGCACACACCAACTAACCTGTCACCGCGCCTCTTTCTTCCTGTCCACCAAAGCATCTCTCGCATCCATACTGGCAACCCGAGATGGCACCAAAACGTAAGTGAACGGCATGTCCCATGCTGTAGACTATCTTCGTCCGCCATTGCTGACCTCTTCCTCACTCTGCTCTGCACCGACATTGGGATGCTAGCTCAATCCAGGGCTTCAAAGCCGGCGAGCAGGCGGACCTCCTTGGCCACCTCCTCAGACAAGACCAAGAAGCCAGCAGCAAACGGCGTCGCAAAGCCTCAAGCAGCATCGAGCGCTTCAGCTGCCAAGCGAGGAACCAAACGAGCCAAGGAGGTCGAAGAGGAGCAAGACGAGCTTCAGGACGACGACGACGAGGCAAAGGACGCTGCCGCTCCCCTCCCCGATGTCAAAAAGCGAAGCACAAAAGGACGCGCATCTCTCAATGAATCCCAGAGCGATATCGAGATGGCCGACGGCACGTCTCGCCCCATCAAGCGCAGTCGACGTGCGCCTACTCCGGCCGGCCCCATCAACTCCGTTCCGAGACCGATTCAGCCGGTTCACGCCGACGACGTAGCGGAAGGCATCGCTGTCGAAGTCACCGTCGGTACTCAGACCACGAGTGGCAAAGGCGATGTGCTGCCCCGTAAACTCTTCGTCTGGGGGTCAGGTGACGCTGGTCAATTCGGTGTTGGGCCTCCCGAGGATGACAAGCCGAACAAGCTCAACAAGCCAAAGCCTTTCGGCAACAAGGAAATCTCGTTGCAGATTGATGACGGCGACTTTGGCGAAGGAGGTATCGAGATCATTGTCGGTGGTGGTATGCACTCGGTCATGATTGACAGCCTCGGTCGTATCTTGACTTCGGGTGCGGAGGACTACGGCACACTCGGTCGCAAGCACCGCGGACCGGCTGGTGACGCAGAAGAGTCGTACTTCAACTTTGCTCCTGTCGAGGGTCTCTCACCCTCTGGAAAAGGCATCAACCCCATCGACGGCAAGGAGGGCACCGTCGAAAAGTACCGCGCGACGCGAGCTGCATCGGCGGACGCCGCAGGTGCTGTTCTCGACGATCATGGACGACTGCGCTCGTGGGGCTACTTTAAGGATGGCGAGGGACGCGTTTGCTTTGCTGATTCGGATGCTCCAGGCCGCAACAGGGAGCAGTGGTACCCCATCGCATTGCCAGGCATTGAGAACGAGACGTTCGCGGCAGTGGCAGCAGGTGAGAACCACTTCCTTGCTCTCACGCTCAAGGGCAAGGTCTACTCGTGGGGCACCAACACGTGCTACCAGCTCGGACGAAGCTCGAACCCGCGCAGGGTATCTCAGAACTTCACAGGTGAGGCACCGAAGGAGTGCGATCTCACACCTACGCCCATGGTGGGGCTCGGAGAGTGCAAGCGCATCTTTTGCGGTTTGACCAACGGCTTTGCGGTCGAGAAGAGCGGCAAGGTGGTCGGTTGGGGATTGAACACCAAGGGACAGACGGGAACCGGATTGAAAGCATCGAAGATCGCTACTCCCCACGGAATTGCCGCGCTCAGTCCTGTGCGTCACAATGGCGCTGAGGTCGTGCAGATCGTCGGCGGCAACTTCCACACGGCATTCTTGCTGGCCAACGGCGAGGTCTACATCTGCGGTGACAGCGACGAGGGCAAGCTCGGTCTCCCAGCCGGCCACCCAGCACTGAAAGGCGCTACCGCAGCCAGCCCGATTGTCGTTCGCGAGCCGACACTCGTGCCGTTCCCGGCGCCGCCTTCGTGGGCACCTGAGTCGGCCAAGACTACGGATGGCAAGACCAAGATCGTCGCCCTCAGCGCTGGTATGCGCTTCACCCTTGCTCTGGCAGCCGACGGCACGCTCTACTCGTGGGGTACGACTTCGGATGATGCACTCGGACACCCGGCAGAGGATGTTGGAGGCAACCAGAGCAAGGACACGCCCACAGCGATTGCCATGCCCGGTCAGCCCGGTGCTTGGCGCATCATGGCCGCTGCGACGGCAGGTCAGCACTCGCTGGCCATTGCTGTCAAGCCTCCTCAGGACGACTGAACGTCCATTCTTGTAGCTGATTCGTAGTAATGCATGCCGATCGTCCGTGTCAGTCAGGGCCTTTTACCGACAAGGCGTCAGGCCGGGTGTGTAGTTGACCAATGATCTGAATGCATGAGCACGCTTTCCAGCATCGAGCCTTGTTTCTTGCCTGATGCGAAGTCTTCTCGCCGGCGATAGAAAAGGCCGGAGCGGATGCAACTGCCATGTGTGAGCTGTCAGACGGGCCCCGGACTAGCCCGAACAGATTCGTTTGACAGCTAAGCGACGTGAGAGCGCGTATCGCCATGTGCGAGTTTCAGGGCAAGAAGGGTCTTGAAAAGTTTCACCGCGACCTTTCAACGTTGATTTCACCGGCGGTGCGTGGTCTGGCATCCGGGCGAGCAGGTTTGAGATCCTTCGACATCGCCTCGCGCCCGAAGGCGACGTGGGGACGCAATGGTGAAGCACGACCATCGACAGGCGCTCGAAACCACTTTTGGGGGCTCAGGAACACGATCTTGTATCATAGATCAAGCTTCAGATCTGTTTCGTTGCCATCAAATCGCATCGCGCTGTGCTGTGCCAAATCTGGTCTGGCGAGAGCCAAATTTCTCCCAAATCGATTTTTGGCGCCCAGCCAGGCGAGCACGGGGCAAGCTCTAATTTTTCCCTCCACCTGACCAGCAGCAACGACTTTCCCCTTGCGGCGACCCTCTCTCTTCGAAAAGCGGTCCGCTCGCGAGCCCTGCATCGAAAATTTGGGACAGAGCAGCAGCGGCAGTTCTCCGGCCTAACTGCATCTGAGCAAGCTGATTGATTGATTTCATCGATTCTGCTCTCTCACCATCATCACCGACGACATCACCAGTGGTTTAAGCTCTACACACACATTCGCTCCGCATAGCCGTTGGGATCGCCAAGCACTTCTGCAGCAGAAGCATCTTCCGAGGCGCTTCACTATTGGCACCATCTGCAACGGGCAAGCTTGCAACACCTGCACGACGTCCACCATTCTGTCGACACTCGGCACGTTCTTCCTGCGTCAGGCTCGACTTGCAGGGTCACGCTCCTACCTCACCGCTTTAACAAGGTCTCACTACCAGCGTCTCACGCTACCCCGTCTCACCACCGTTCAAACCGCAGCAATGTCGTCTTCCTCCTCCAGCTCGTCTTCGGGCAAGAAGCACAAAGTGGCCATTGTAGGCTCGGGCAACTGGGGGTCCGCTATCGCGCGCATTGCCGGTCAGAACACCCAGCGCCATTCGGACGTCTTCCACCCCGAGGTGCAGATGTACGTCTTCGAAGAGGACTACAAAGGCACACCGCTGTCGAAGGTGATCAACGAGACGCACGAGAATCCCAAATACCTACCTGGGTGTGCGCTGCCGGAAAATGTCGTTGCGAACCCAGACCCGGTGGACGCAGTCAAGGGGGCTACGATGCTAGTCTTTGTCCTACCGCATCAGTTCATCCATTCGGTCTGCAAGCAGCTTGCGGGGAAGGTCGATCCCAACGCACACGCCATCTCGATGATCAAAGGTGTCGAAGTGAAAAATGGAAAGATCAGCATCTTTGCTGACGTCATCCAAGAAGCGCTAGGTATCAGTTGTTCCGCTCTGAGCGGAGCGAACATCGCCAACGAGGTTGCACAGGACAAGTTTAGCGAGACTACAATCGGTCACCGCGCGGATGCAAAGGGGAGGGAAAACGCCGAGCTGTTCTTCAAACTCTTCGACACGCCTACGTTCAAAGTGGGGATCATCGAGGATGTTGCTGGTGTCAGCCTGTGTGGTGCTCTCAAGAACGTGGTTGCCATCGCAGCTGGTTTTACGGACGGGTTGGGCTGGGGAGATAATGCGAAAGCCGCAGTGATGCGCATTGGGCTCATGGAGATGAAGAGGTTCAGCGAGGAGTTCTTCGACGGTGTAAAACCCGAGACGTTCACAGAGACGAGCGCCGGCGTGGCGGATCTCATCACCACGTGTCTGGGTGGCAGGAACAGGAAGTGCGCCGAAGCATTCGTGAAGACGGGCAAACCGTTTGATCAACTGGAAAAAGAGCTGTTGAACGGGCAGAAGTTGCAGGGAACCGAGACGGCGAGGGAAGTACACGAGTTGTTGGCGGCTAGGGGCAAGGTGGATGATTATCCGCTCTTCAAGGCGGTGTATTCAATTGCGTATGAGGGGATCGATGCTCATGATTTGACCAGTCGGTTGTAATTCGGTGGGATGGTGGTAAGGGATAAGCTCAAATTCACGATCGACACGGCCGTACCGATGTACGATACAGACTCGCTCCGCTGCTTCGTCAGACAATGGCATGGTTGATGGGTTAACAGTCGCACAGGCATGAGATTGATCAAGTGTCCGATTGCAGATCGACTATGAGCGCGATGAAGACATGACACTGGTGACGCTCGCCCAGCCCGGCTCGTACTCGTCGTCGCTGGCGTCCAGATCTGCAGCCGACAGCATGGTGCCCGGCGGTGGACGTCGCAAACGTTGCGACTGAGACTTGGTACGGCCCATAGCGACGGCTTGTCGCGCCTTCTCTGCTGCTGAGGTCGCCGTTGTGTTACCATTCGTGCTCGAAAGCGGGGAGACCGGGTCGCTTGCCTTCGGCGGAGAAGGAGGAGACAGTGCCAGGGGTGCCTTGACAGCATCAGGGCCGAGATCTCGCGCTTCCGCAATCTCGTCACGAGGTACGAGCAATCCTGGCCCGCGAACAACGTGCGCTGCTGGGTCCAAGGGATCGACGCGACCCGAATCTGTTCGCTCGACTTGGGCACGCTCTGGTAGCGACCCGGTAGCCGAGTAGTCGGCGGGTGGAAGCGTGCTCTGTGAGCTCGCCGACAGTGTAGACGACTCGAGGTCGCGGTCGACGGCCGGCTTGCCATACCCTTGAACCCATGGCTCCTGATCGTCATCTTTCGGCGCTCCTTTCTGAGCAGCCAGAAGCTCGCTGGTGTCGATGGGTTTCGGGATCTGTCCGGCCAAGTCTGCCGGTGGTGGCGCGATCCAGGGCTCGTCGTCGTCAACGGCTGTCTCCGATTCCTCGGAGATCTGCAGGTCGTGCGCTCGTTGACGGATGCGTTCGACCTCATCGGCCGATCGTCCATGAATGCCAATCTCGATCGAGGTGTCGGGGGTAGCATCGGCGTTGTCGAATGCGTTGTTGATCTTGGTGGCGTCCTTCGGCGCTGAGGAGGGTGTTTCTGGAAACTCAGGCATCGTAGCTGGAGGCGCTGCTTCAGGAAGACCGGAGCTCGCGTGGATCTTTTCAAGGTCGATCTCTGCCGTTGGAGTATCCGGCAAGGTGGGCAGCACGTCGGCAGCATTGCTTGCAGCGGCGCCGCTGGCAAGTTGCTCTTTCGTAGATCCTTCTGGTGTGTGCGGGCGATTTCGGCCGGTCAGGACGAGGTCATCGTCGAGATCAGCAAAGGCATCGCGTCCTGAGCCGTGCATGATGTTCTCCGAAACTCCTCGACGCGATGCGCCAAAGCTCGATGCACGAGGCGCACCATTGCCAAGGAAAGCGCCGCCAGTCATTTGAGGACGAAGTGACGCCGATCCGGGATCGCCCCATCCTCCACCAGCACCCGCGCCAAGCCACACGCCGCCCGTCATCTGTGGTCGCAATACGCCTTCTCCCCATGCTCCCGTCCCCTTGACGGCGCTCGCGCCAGGAAATTGACTCCGCGCGTTGCGTAGATCCGGGTTGGGTGCAGGTGAACCAAAAGAGCTCCTGGGCATGACGGGCTTCTCATCGCTCGACTGGAACTTGGCGATTCGATCGCGCACGGCGTTGATGCCGGATCCTCCCGATGGCGATCGCGATGGACTATCGCCAGGGCTGAGCCTGCCTGACCCGGATGAGGCTGATGTAGCTGGTGGCGAGAGGTTGTTGGTCCGCGCTGTATTCGATGTCTTTCTCTGTAAGGCAGCGATTCGTTCCGACAGGCTAGCACCTGCCTTGGGCACTGGCACGGCCCTGTCGCTCGACATGACGGAGACGGCTATTCGGCGTGGTCGTTGCGCAGACCGCGTTGTGAGGATCCTCTGGATCTCGTTGAGCTGATCAGCGCTGCGCTTGGCGTCGAGATCTTTTGTGCGGTCCGGACGTCGTCAACAGCAAGGTTTACTGAGGTTGCCTTCCTGAGGTTGAGGACGATCGAGCCACTGCCCAGCGAGGAGCTGTTTGATGTGGGGCGAAGCTTGCTGATCGTCGGCTCAATCGCTGAAGGCGATTGGTTTTCGGCTGAGACTAACACTCCTGGGCTTGCACCGAGATGAAGCGTCCGGCGAGATGGACGATGTGCGACGCGAAGAGAGGGCGAGGGACGGTAGAAGGACCAGCTCTCGAGCCGCTGAACGATGCGCTGATAGCTCTAGGAAGAAGGCAAGATCGAAAGTGCGGGGTCAGCTGTCTTGACAGTGCAGTAGAGTGAGAAGGGTCGGGTCGAGCTCGAAAGATCGCTAAAAGTGTCACTTCCGCTACGCCCTCTGAGTGTTGGCGCGTGCTCGGAAGCTGCACCGGCTGCGTGTATGCGTGCGTGTGCGAATTCTCAGCAAAACGGAAGCACAGGTCACGAGTCTCTTTTGCGCCTTTCACACCATTCTCATGCATACGTGCGTCAAGACAACTTCAGCAACCAGCAGGTCCGATTCGGCCTGAGCGAGGAAGTGACTTTCAGCAACTCAGCAAGACGACGGAACGAAGGACGAACTGACCGGAAAGCCACACCGGGAAAGCTGTGCTCGCTTTCGGCTCTTCCGAAAGGGTTCAGGTAGCGGAAGGAATACCGGCAAAGCCAAATCGCTGGATCACGAGGCGCGTGAGAAGGTTGACCTTTCTCACTCGTTTGTGTCACACCACCTTGGAGTGGTCACATCACCATCCCTCCCTTCGTGACATCACACGCTGCTTTGAGCGCTTCCCTTCCGACAGAGTCCTGTTGGCGCAGCAAAGTGGGCTTCACCATCGCTCTTTCCGACTCAGCTGTGAGGTCCAGACGACCCTTCTCCCATCATGTCGGCAGCATCCGGTGCGGAGCCAGAGCGTCAAGACGACAGCAAGACGGAGGCATCCGACGACGGCGCCATTCCCGAATCACAGCTGCAACGGACGGATCCCGACTCGATCTTGGCGGACGAGGCCGACCCTGACAAAGTGCTCGGGGAAGAGTCTTCAAGCGATGCTGCTGCAAAGAGCACGGCCAGTAGCGGTGATGCGAAGGAGGGCGAAGAGTCTGCGGCACTGAAGCGTGCTTCTGCCGCCTCAGCCATCTTCAGCCAAAGCGAATCTCGTCCGCAGTCTCAGCTCCCGCCATCGGCAGAGTCAAATACGGACTCTGCTCCGGCTACAACAGACGCATCAGACGCCGCGCCATCGCAGGAGATGTCGGTCGAAGAGCTCCAAGCTCAAGTCAAGGACTTGGGCAATCAGGTTGCTGGCTTAAATGACAAGCTCGTCAAGTCCTTCAACCGCATCGCTGACCTCGAGGATGACTATTCCGAGGCACAAGAGCGCCTGGCCAGCATGTCGACCAAGATCAAGGAGCTCGAAAAGGAGCGTGCCGAGCATCTTGCTGCCCTAGACACCGGCCTGCTGGTCGAAAAGGCGCACGTCAGCAGCGAAATGCAGAGGATGATGGATCGAGTCATCGAAGAGACCGCACAGCGAGGTCAAGCCGAGAGCGACAAGAGCAAGATCGAAGCCGAGCTGGACGAACTCAGCTCGAGCTTGTTCAGCGAGGCCAACAAGATGGTGGCCGTCGAGCGACTTTCTCGTGCCAGGGCTGAAGAGAAGAGTGTCAACATGGAGGAGCGCCTCAAGGACACCGAAGGCATCATGCTCGAGCAGCAAAAGGTGCTCACCGATTTGCAACGCCAAGTGGAGAAGCTGCAGCAGGGTAGTGCAGCCTCAAAGAAGAGCGGCGACGACAGCGCATCCATCGTCTCTGTGGAGAGCGAAGCAGCCAGCTTCCACCGTCTCAAATCATCATCGCTGGCTCGATCCATCTCTCAGCGAACAGCAACGCAGGAGCGCAGACACAAACCCACCGTTGATCTCGCCGCGGAAGCTCGCCTTATCATCAACATTGTGCCCTACCAAGAATTCCGTGCCTTCATCGCCCATCTTCGCAAGATTCGCAAGCAGCTCACGCCATTCTGGAGCTATCCGCTCACCCCTCACGCTGGCCGTGAGTCGCTGAATGGCACGCCGACGCCACGGACCGCTTCGCCAGCGATTCAGCAACCGGCGAATAGCTCAGCGACAACAGCTGTGGCTTCGTCGTACAGTCAAGGGCTTGGCGGTGCGATAGCAACAAGCTCGCCTTTCGCCATCGCCGGCGTCGGCCGACACCGTGACCATCCGACACTTCCCGCGAACGTCGAGAATCTCGTCTCCCTGCCGAACCAGCTGTCGCTACCGTTCATCAAGCGATCACAAGAAGAAGATATCGAGCCGTGTCTGCGACTCGACTTTGCTCCTGGGCTCAACTGGCTCAGCAGGCGTTCCGTCAACACAGCTATTCTCGATGGCAACCTCCTCATCGAGCCCCTCTTCTCGGGCAGCCAAACCATCGACGAGGATCAAATTCGTCGAGAGAACGCGCACTTGCCGCCTGCGGGCTGTGCCATGTGTGGCGTTTCCATCGTCAATGTTCCTCTGCCCGGTGCGAACGCTGCTACCGCCTCGTCTACTGAGGCAGGCGCTCGAACGTCTGTTGTGCCTAGTGGCATTGCGGGCGCGCTCGGCTCCTTCACCGGGTCCAGCAGCGGTACCAATTCTGGCACCGTCACACCAAAGCCCTCGCGAGGTGGACTCTTCAGCTCGTTCAGGAAATCTTCAACCAACGTCAAAGCGGCAGATGGGGACGCGGCATCGGCATTCCCCGATACCGACGCATCAGGGAGCGTGGCAAGCGAGGCGATTGTGGTCGCCCACCTCCCCGTCCCCACACACATTTTCCGCCTCGGCGACAGCTCTTCCACGCGCTATCTGCTGTGCCCGCAGCACTGCCTCTGGCGTTTGCGCGCTGCCTGTCAGTACTGGGGCTTCATCCGTCATCTCGAAAGGACCGTGGTCATTGAAGGCAAGTTTGCCAACGAGGAGCAGCAGATTGTCGGCGGGAGCATGTCGTCGCTCGATCTGCCCAAGGAGATCGCCGCTGTGCAGCCAGCCAAGAGTGCGCAGGTGGAGACACTGGAGAAGGCTGTAGCTGCGGAGAATGGGGAGCTGACTGACTCCAACGACTCGGAAGCAGTGAAGCCGGAAGAGCAAGCAGAGGAAGCGACCGCAGAGAAGGGCGAAAACGCAGAAACGGCGGAGAAAGGTGCAGATGGGGAGACACAAGACGACAAGACAGAGGCAGAAAAGATTAAGGAGAGCGTTGAGGAGGAAGTCAAGACCGAGACCACCGCCGAGGCGGAGTCCAGCAACGAGAAGTCAGACGGGCAGAACGACACGCCGGACACTTCGTCTCACGACGACCACGACGGCGACAAGGACCACGCGGGGGACCACGACGACTTTGCCGACGCCGAATCCTCACCCGTCACCAAAGACGTCGACCTCCAGCCCGACGACACGCCGGCCGAAACCGAAAAGGCTGCCGAAACAGAAAGACCTGCTGAAACCGAACCGCCCACCGACGCAGCCACCGATCTCAAACCCTCCGAATCGACCACCGGTATCATCGCTCCACCCCTCCCGCCCCGCTCGGTCGCCCGCGCCGCCAACCCCATCCCACCCGTCATCCCACCCCGTCGCCACCTCACCCCGGCGCTCCCCGCCCGCAAACCGACGTACACCCTCGCCCCGCCCCCACCCACCGCCATCTACCTGCACAAGCTCGACAGCCTCGAATGGGAGGATCGCATGTGGACCGAGGTGACCAAGCTCAAGGAGGAGTTGTGGCGTGCGCGCGTCGGGCTGGTTGCTGAGGATGCCGAGGCGTCGTCCTAGGTTCGCCCAACCGGGTCTTTCTTGGAGGAGTCCTCAATGCACACATGCTTGTCACACACACACTTCACTTCCGCTGGGAGTCATGCCATTGACTGTGTACGATCAAATGCTGAGCTGGGCCAACATAGCATCTCCCTCCCTAACCATCTCGTCCACCTCCCTTTTCGCCCTCCTCTCCGCTCTACCCTCTCCACTCTTGCGCAGACTCTCAACATAGCTCGTGTACTTGACCAGTTCCTGCAGGAGCCAGTTGCTTTTCCTCTCCCAATTGGCCAGAGCTTTGGCGTGGTTGGTGCCTTTGGGGGAGTAGAGGTGGAGCATGGGCGTTCGCAACTCATTATGCGTCGTGAGGTCGGTTTCGATGAGGGTGACTTGTTTTTCGAGTCGGACGAGTTGGCGTTCTTCCGAGAGTGTGGAGGGGACGGTGGGGAGGGAAGGGGTGCGCCATTCGTTGATGAAGGTGCGTTCGTTCGTCGAGTACCCGACGGCGGAAGACGTAGCTAAAGAGGTTCCCGGTCGACCACTGCGCACGCTTCGATCGTCCCGCACCATCCCGTGACCCACAGTCGATTCCACTGGCGCACCCATCTCCTCCACGTCGTCCGGCTGCGGCAGCACTTTGTTCCATCCATACTCCATGTTGCTCACCCCGCCCGCCAGCGGCTCTTTCGACAATCGCGCCGCCCAATAGTTACACGTACTCACCCATTCGTGCACCAGCTCCTCGTGGCCCGTTTGGAAGAAGGTCACTTTGCCTCCCGGCAGGGTGAGCGCAAAGACGTGTGGGCGGGACCGGTTGTATCCTGGCGGAGGGAGGGCGTTGGCTAGCGAATGGGCGAGTGGGATCTCACCCAGACACGTCGCATTCGATAGCCAGTTACCCCCGCCCAACACCGCCCCGCTCTTGGTGGCGGAAGGGCCGGTGTTGAAGCGGAACATCGACAACGTGCCCTTGGAGACAACGGCGAAGACTTCCGTCCAGGATTTGTCCTTGGCCCGCTTGCCCGTGCTCTCCCAGTAGAATTTGCGCGTCAGCGAGCCTTCTTTCGCCCAGGGTGGTCCGGCGAGCGCCAGCTGATCGTCGTCGTCTTCGTCGTCGAGCGGCGGTTGCAGCGTCGTGTTGGCGCTCGCGGCCGCTTCCTCCTCGAGCGACTCCTTGATGATCGTCTGCGACAGCGTGCTGGCGAAACCGGGCGTGCTATGCGGAGGAGGCGAGAGCATGCGATCGCGATCCCCGCCGCTGAGCGACTGCGACGGCCGGCCCCATGAGTCGATCGATGTCCTCGAGGCGTTGGGGCTGACAGAGGGATCGACGAAGGTATTGCTCGGTCCGAGACCACCTAACAACCCCTGGATACCGCGAATGGAACCTCGTTTCAGCGCCATCATGCGGTCGTTGCCGGCACCGGCCTTCTTGCGACCGCCCAGCGTCGGACTGAACGTGCCGGACGGTCGGCCAGGCGCACCGCTGCCCGTCTCTGGCGCCGGCAGCAGGATCCGATCCGACTTGACTGCAGCATAAATGTCGCGGAGCAGCGTCTCAATTTCGGTGTCTTTGTCCTTGGTGCCGCTGGAAGCGGTGACAGGTCGAGAATGGACGGCGTCCGAGGAAGATTCCAGGTTGGTCGAGCTCGAATTTTGCTTCGACCGGATGCCCAGATGGCCAACGATGCTGTTCCGCACGTGTGCTTCGCTGACGGATGTAGGAAGGGCGTCGGTACTACGAGTCGCGTCGTTATGTGCGACGCTCAAGCTGCTCCGGTTGTCATCCTGGATCGACACTAGTTGCCCATCCGGGCTGCTTTCGGCAATGGCTCCCAGCGTGTTGCGCACGAATTGCTGTCTTGTCATCCTCTCTTGCAGTTCGGCAATGTGAAGATCTGTGTTGAGCAGCAGGATGCTGAACACCACCGAGTGAATGACGTCAGCACTCCCAAAGACTGACTCGGGGTTGCACTCGTAGTATCGCTGCGAGAAGGCAGCCAGGATGCGGTCGATCTGCTGCGTCTCGGCTCGCAAGAAGAGCTTGTCGCAGAGTCGACGGAAGGCGACGTCGAGCCTCAACCCACTGAAGTCAAAGTTGGCAAAGTAGTAGCCACGTGCTGCACGGTTGACCAAGCCGAGACCGCCGAGCCACTCTGCGATCTTTTCTCGCTTGACAAAGGTCGCGTCTTCTTGCCAACATTTGGCTGCCAGCTCTTGTGCGGATGCGGCTATTGAATTGGCGCCACTCGCGTCCCCGTTCGTGGAGGACGCAGCAGCCGTTTCAGGGCTCGGCTTGGCAGGAGACGGCGGCAACGGCTTCGGCGAAGGGCTTCTGCGCGCGGCTTGGGTCGCAAGGCGGGCTGCGCTGCCAGCTTTGACGGTTCCTGACCTCATCGAAGGGGACCGACTCAGATTGCCGTTGCGTCCCGGTCGCAGAAATGACGCTTCGGACAGCTCGACCATCTTGGGCAGAGCGGTCGAACCCACATCGGGCGAAGCAGGGGCAGTGACAATGGCGGTAGTGCTGTTTTCGTGGCCATCGGAATCGGGGCTGAGCTCGCTGGTGTTCGAGGGCCTGGTGACGAGCCGAATGCTGAGCTCCTGATCATCAGAGAGTCGCGGCTCGTCCCTGTCGTCTTGCTTGAGACGACGGCCTGCAACGGCAACCGCCGACTTGGTCTGCACGGCGTCGACTGGGGTTGAGCTCTTGAACCGATCGTACAAGACATTCGGGGACGCTGCGCGCGCATCATCGCCTCCCACGTGCCTTTCGTTCGACGGCAGAACAAACGAGTTGAGCTGAGGCCCGGCGCTATTGAGACCAGCGCTCTCGGCGGCTGTCTCGAATGATCGCATGCTGACGACGCTGGCGCCAGAACCAGCCGTTTTGCGAGGTGCTCTCTCAGCAAGTGGATCGATCAAGTTGCGCTGGCTGCTACGAGTCGAATCCAGAGACGAGCTTGCTAAGTTAGCCCGTCGGATCGTTTCGTTTGCAGCAGAGGGGTCATGGTGGATGCCGAGACCTGTAGCTTCGTTGTTCGAGTCCGCGGATGAGTCTGCATGCGCTGCCGAGTCCGAATACGAGAATACGCGGGGAGGGCGAGCGGCCGGACGGGATTCCGAGTGGGTGTCGTCACGAGCCTCGCTGGGCACGATGTCTGGCTCTTCCAGAAAGCTGCCTGATCGCTCCTTATAGCGCTGAATATCGAGACCTGGCAATTGAGGCGAATCTGCCCATGACTGTTTCGGCGCAGGCGCATGCTTTGGATCCGCCAACTGGATCGCTGGAGCAGGCGCCTGTCTCCAAGCGTCGTCCATATGGGTTGACAGCTGCTGCACAGCCAGACGAATCGCGCCGGTCGAATCGCTCGAGCCAATCGATTTCTTGTTTTCGTGTCCCTGCGAGCTAGACCGCTGCGGGAGGGCAAATTTGGTGTCAGGGCTCCATTCCGTCATGGTCGAGGGTGCCGACGGGGATCGGAGGCCAGCTTTGCTCTTGACGGTGAGGTGCTGCGTTTCAGGCGTTACTGCAGTATGCGGACCCGGCGCAGCAGTCGTCGGCGCGGCAGAGGCAACGGCAAGATTCGAGTAGGAGCTCGTCGACGGCTGCATGAACCGTTCGGGAATGCTTGGGACGGCGATTCCCTCTGTAGACGCAAAGTGAGGACCCTTGGAGCTGCTGCCAGCAGCGGAAGAGCCGCCTTGGCTCGAAACGCTCGTCTTGCTGCCTCTGCGACCAGAGGACGATATGCCAAGCGTCGATTCGGTGGCAGCGGATCGACCCAAGGAGCTGGCGGAAGCGTTGGAGCCAAAGGAGTAAGTACGCCCTGCCGCGCCAGAATCGTTCGACGAGGAAGCGGACGAAGTGTCCTTGCGGAATTTTCGAAGGAAGCCACTCGTCTTCTTCATGCGCTGACGGAAGGTGCCTGTCGAGGCAGCCTGATTGACTCCATTGCTTTGACTTGCGGGAGCTGTGTGAATCTCCTGTTCCAGCCCGATGCTGTTCTGGACGCGTGGCCGTGCCCGCACAGTGCCGTCACCGCCGTCGAAGCCGCGAGGTAGCGCGAGGCTCGGCGTGGTCGACATGACAGGAAGCTGCCCTTTGGAGGACGTGGAAGGCATGCCAGGCGAGTGGGTAGTATGGCGTTGCAGTGATGTGGTCCTGTCTGGCGAGGCGGGGATCTGTGTTCCGTAGCTGCGAAATTGCCCCGAAACCGACTTGAGAAGCGTGCCAGATGAACCAGAGGGTTGGATGGACTTCGGAGGGGACGGAAAGAGATCAGCCTGAGGTGGTCGCGGTGTGATGTCCATGAAGGTCTCGTCCTCGTCCGCTTCGTCGAGTGCTTGGATCAACGAGGAGGATGAGGATCCTTCTCTCCGGCGTTGAACGATAACTCGATGATCGTTCGTCGAAGCGCCTGGAAGAAGCCCTCGACCCGCACCCCTTTGGCTGTCTTCGGGATCCAACGCGACCTTTGCGGTATCTCTCAGAACGTAGGTCTCATCCGAGGCGAGCAGGGCTTCAAAGTCTCTGCCGATGCGGGAGGGTGCAGACTCCTTCTGCGACCTGAAGTGGCGGGAGCTGTTTGCACTTGCGAGCGAGAAAGAGAAGCGTCTGCTTGATGATGCACCCGCCGACGTAGAGGAAACGCTCGAACTAGCAGTGTTCGGGCGCGATGGCTGCTGATGACGGCCGTTTACGAAAGCTGTGGAGTGATCGCGGCTTGCGCTTGAGCCAAGCTCATAGGTGTCAGCTGCATTTGGAGTTGCAGCGAAGACGGAGGGTGGTGGAGAGATCTCGGAGCGTGGATAGGAGGGGATCTCGGAGTGATCGCTCGAGGTTGAGGTGCGCCGAGGCGAAGCAGCATCGCCATGCTGGTTGAGGATATGCGCCGTGGACGACATGCGTGACTAGCGGAGCCGATCTAAGTTTAATAAGGCAACAGCCGAGCGAGCGAGAAAAGAAGCTTTGCGTCTGCGTATGCAGGTTTGCCCGTGATGAAGGCTATTCTAGTCCAGCGTCCAATGGTGTGGGAACGGCTGTTGGTTGCGGTGCACCGTGCGTAGGATTAGGAGATCCCACGATGGTCCTTTTGTGCGGCTGCAGGCTGCTGCGCAGTCGAGTGGCTGGCGGTGGGAGGTGTCAGAGCTAGCTGAACAGCGCGGCGTGACCGGATCTTCCTATGCCTCTCTATGGAAGCTGACAATGCAAGTGTGACCGAGTGTGTGACTGAAAGGAGGAGACCAACACAATGGGAAGGCGAGCGTGTGGCTATTGTGCGTCGACGCGACTTGGCCAACCGCGGCAACCAGAAGAGAACAGACGCAGCTCCTCACAGCTGTGCCATCACGCACGCACGCCCGCACTCCGCCAGAAGAAATCCGAAGCATCCCTTTTGGACCCTGAAAAAGCAGCTTTCCGCCTGATGATTTGCTGCTCCGCCAGCTCGGCTCGTGTGGCTTCAGCGCTTGGACTCGAGCAATCGTTTGTTGGCTCGCAGAGCTGCAAAAGGTGCACGCGCGTTCACTTGACACACGCAGCACTCACCAAGGACACGGACACATACGCATAGAACGAGTCATGACAGAGGTGGTATCCTGATGCGTATTGCGACAGATCATTGGGAATGCATGCCGGTGGCGACGACAGGAAAGGACACAGCTCAGGCTTCATCCTTGATGCGAGCATCCGTCTTCCTATCCTCTGGGTTCAAGAGCGAGTTGACGCCGGCCCGCAGGCTCGAGGTAGTGCTTGCATCGGTCGTGCTTCTCGGCCTGGGCCCGCTCTTCATGGTCACCGTCCTGTCCGCCTCATCCTCGCTCGAATCTCCGGCTCCTCCGCCGGACGCAGACGTCTTTGTCACCGGGTCAGCCTGAGCGCTTTGCGGGTACGCTCGACCTCGATTCGACTCCCCGCTTGGACGCGCGAGTGCTTCCTCTTCGTCCAGCAGCTCGTCTTCCTCTTCTTCCTCGACGGACGACGATTCCGACAAACGACGTTCGCGCATCTGCCCGAACCGACGCGGCGAACTCGACATGCCATAAGTATCGGACGGAGGAGGTCCACGCTCGTAGTCTCGGTAGCCAGGAGGCGGCATCTCGCCTCGACGCATTTCGGTCCAGGTGTTCATACTTCGCGAACCTGGCTCGTACGCAGAACGCGAGAGCGGCGGGTGGTCCTTGCCGTGCATCTGCATCTGCATTTGCATCTGCGGATGCATGGGTCCAGGTGGCGGAACGTGTCCCATAGCGTAGCCTGGCACGGGTCCATGCGTGGGTCCGGAAGCGGGCCCGTGAGCGTACCCAGGATGACCTGGCTGTCCGGGGTGGCCTGGGTGCCATCCACCGCTACCGCCGGCCATCGGACTCATTCGCGCTCCCGATGAGGCTGCAGGAGGAGGCGGTCCCCTCGCCCAATAGCCATCGTCACTGCGACTTGAGACGTGTCCTTGCTGCTGACGAGTCGGCGAACCCATCTCGGACGGATCACCGCCGGGAACGTGACACTTCTGATGGCGTCTCAGGTTCGACTGAACGCTAAAGGATCGACCGCAGCCCGGCTCGTTGCAGACGAAAGGCTTCTCTCCCGTGTGCGAGTGGTGATGAATCTTGAGACTGGAAGGCCGCGAGAAGCGCTTGCCGCACCATGCACATTCGTACTTGGCCTGACCCGAGGCGATGGTGCCTGTTGTGCTGGGGGCTGCGCGGACGCCGCCAAAAGCACCTCCGTGTTGAGCAGAAATGATCCCATCTGGCACGCTGGGGAGACCTTGACCTCGCATCATCTGCGCCTGGAATGCGTTGCGCTGCGCTTCGGCCGAATCGGTGGGCATGGGACGGCGCGGGAACACCCAGCCGGCGCCACCAGGTCGCATCGCTTCATCGCCAGCGCCCCGACCACGTCTTGGATGGAAGGAATCGAACATAGCGGGACCGCCTCCCGGTGGTGGCGGTGGTCCTCCTCGATCGAACGGAGGCGCACCCGGCCCCGACGCGGACATACCCGGCGGGCCGTGGTGCGGTAGCATGTTCGGATCGAAAGGTTCTTGGCCAGACATGGAATGCGATTTGGGTCGATGCGTTCGCACCGTGCTGGCATTTTCGTAGAGTTCGGCGGGAAGAGGGGCGCGTTCCTGCATCGACATGCTGTGTTTGTGCGAATACATGCGACCGCCCGGGCCCATCGCTTGTGCTTCGTCGCCGCCCTGCTGCCCCATGCGCAGAAGCTCTGATGCGGCTTCCAGCCTTTGCTTTCTCGCAGGGTCATCTGAATTTGGCAAGGGTGCGATAGGACGGTCCGTATGTGTCATGGTCCTCGCACGAGGTCGATTGGCGGACCCAGGCAAATTTGCAGAAGAGCCTGGAGTGCGCAACGATCTGTGACGCGACAGGCTGGAGAAGTGCTGTTCCGGTGAGGGACGAGAAGGCTCGCCGGGCGGATAGTGCGATTCGCGGAAGGGTGGTAAAAGCGCAGCCGGGTTGCGCTCACCACCCATCATCTTGTAAGCTGCTTCGCCAGACTCGATCGTTGAGGAGCGACTGTGCCAGCTGGTACGTGGGCTCGTACTGCTGGAATGGGCGCTGGCAGTGCCCCACCCCTCGTGCGTCACACCCTCTTCGGAGGTGTGCAAGGAAGGTGGGTACCCTGGTGGTAGCATGGGCGCAGGATCGGAGCCGGTCGAGATGTGCGAAAAAAGCGTCGAAAGCGAGCCGGAGGAAGAAGAGGCAGGACGATGACCTCCGCGTCGTTGCGAGCCCGAATGCACGTCGGAGAAAGGACCGTCACCGTCCAGCGGCAACCTTCGCGATGGAGGGGAAAGGATGAGCCCTTTGAGGGCCTGCGCCTGACGAGAACGCGAATCGACCCGCCGTCTCGCACTTCCCTCTTCCGGGCTGAATGGATGGGACGAGGAACCGGTATGGCGAGGCGGCGTGCTGGGTACCAGGGGTCCACCTCGACCGTAGGAGCCCGATGCATTCGAAGAGTGACGAGTGCGCATGGGCCCAAGGGACGACGAGCTGGAACTCTGAGAAAGGCCAGATTGGAATTCTGAGAAGCTGCTGGTGCTAGCGTGACTGCGATGACCACGGTGCTCCATCGACCGGGAAGGGGCTGATGCGTTTGCTACGGCAGGCGAACCGGGTGTAGCAGTACCTATGGACGAATGGCCGTCATCGGAGAGAGCATCTGCACGTCGTACTGCCGCCAATGGCTCCTTTCGCTCGAGACCAAACAAGTTCTTGATGCTCGGCAGGCTGGTGGAGGGTTCGACTGCGCTCTGATTTGTCCGCCTTGGTGAGGACGAGGCGGTTGATTCAGCGTCAATATCCATGTCACGATGCTCTGGCGGCTCGCCTGACTCGGAGATCGTATCGGCGACCGAGCGCGGTATGGACGCCGCGCGTGCGGAGGCACTTGAGCTGGTGGCGCTGCTGGCGCCGGGGAAAGGAATCCCCGTTCGTGCGCCGCTTGGCCCCATGGCTCTCTGCGATGTGAGTATGATGAGAGGGGGAAGCTGGCCAGCTTGGCTGGCTCAGCAAGTTAGCTTTTTGGTCGAAAGCAGAGCCAGAGCTATGATGTGAGCTGGCTTCAGACAAAGTCGCGGGTCTCGACGGCACCTGGTCAGCTTGATGCGATTGCGACTGGTCGGCGCTGCGTTTGCTTACTCGTCGCGCTTGCCTGCTGCCGAGAGTGTGGTACGATTAGGCGCCTGCAGAATTGTTCTGTGACATTGGCGTTGGACTCCAGGAGCAGAAGAGGGATGATCGAACGCGAGATACACGCTTCGTGGTGGTGCTGACTCGCTGTGTTGATCGAATCGCAGCTGCAAGCAGAGGTGCAGACAGATGAGAAGCGCCACGAGGAGTGAGGCTGGAATTCGTGCTGGCGGTGGGGTCGATGAAAGGGCGATGCGGAAGTGGACTCAGGATCGTTTTGCTGACTCCAGAGGCGGCAGTGTGATGCGATGCTGATGATGCTGGAGTAGACGTGACAAAAGAGGCTTGTTGACGAAGAGGTGTGACTTGCTGGATAAGCGTGAGTCGGAACAAGCGGGAGACGAGTTCCTTTGTGGGTAGGCGATGAAACGGTTGCTGATGGTCGGTGATCGCAAGGATACAATTTGTTCAACAACAAGCAGAAATCACACTGCGTTGTCTCTTGCAAGTGGCGGGCAAGCTGAACAAAGGTGGGGTGCCACGAAATGAAAATGAAGGCGATTCGGCGATCGGGTGGGGTCCCAGAGCAAGAACCGGCGGGAGGTCAGACGAGATGGTCGCGACTCGGGAGGGATGAGGATAGGGAAGGGGGACGACCGGACTCCAAGAGATGGTGTGAGCAGCGAACGACCGCGATGAAGGAAGATGATGCGAGCAAGCAGGACGAGGAGGAGGAGGAGCTGTCAGCAGTGGGCAGGCGAGCAGGCGAGGCAAGCAAAGCAAAGCAACAGATCAGACTAAAAAAGGGCGCTGCAGTTGGCGCGGATCAGCAAGACGCTGATCTACAAGCTTGCAGCAGCGAAACAGAATCAAAGTGACAGCAGAGAGACGCCTTTCTCGCTCTCTTTGCCGGTCACTCGACATGACTCTGCGCGACTTGCCTCACAGCCCACCGCCTTTGCTTGTGGACGGGGAGACGAAATTGGAAATTGGCAACAAAGGCGCGTCTCTCAGCAAGACCCAAAATCATTTAAAGAAAAAAAAAAAGCACCGCAAGACAGGAATGCTTGACAACGCGGTCCCTGCAAGTCACACGCAAACCCAGCACCGCCTTCGTATGCGAACACGCGCCCTTAACCACGGTCAAGCAGAGTCAGCGAGCGCAGTTGACACTCTCATATCCTAGCTTGCCCACTGAGAGCTGAAGCGAATGTCAGGCGAGTTCTGACACCAGCATGGGTTGAGCAGAATGCGATGGATCGGAGGTGGAGCATGGAGAACTTGATGCAGAAAAGAGCGAAAAGACCATCATCGACCGTGGATTCGATCCATAACCTTAGCAACCGAATCCTTTTGGCTGCAGGCGGGCGCACTTGCGCGGAAGATCTGAGGGCGTTGGACGTGCTTGGTTGAATTTCATGAGGATGGGCGCCGAGGCTGAGGCTGAGGTTGCGTCTCCGCGCCGCAATCTGCGATGCGGCCTGGGCCGACAAGGAGACCCGTTTTTGCCGTTCAGTCCGTCTCTCGAACAGCAGAGCCGTCTTGGCCCTCTGAACAACAACGGTTGACTCAGGACACCGGCCTTCGCTGTCGAGCGAAGAGCTGCTTTGGCAGCTTGAGCCTTGCAAAGGTGCCAGTGCTGCGGGTTGGAGAGGTGGCTGGTACACTGACGGTTGTCAGCCGGCATTCGGAGCTCGTGATGCAGATGACGAGCTGTTGGTAGGCAGTCCCCCAAGACACCGAGGTTGATCGCTCAAGAGGCCGCCGACGGGAAAAAAGAAAATGTCGATCTCGCCTTGCCGTTGGAGAGACGTGCGTACCCGAGATGGCCTCCTCGTGCAGTAGCGAGGTGAGTCCGGCTCGACAAGGCAGATCGCTTACATTTGTAGACGAGGTCTTTGCATGGATACACATTGGCCGGCCATTGACTTTCGGATCCCAATGTCAGAGTTGCTGCGCTTCGATCTTGAACGCCCTTGCAAAGCCGAGATGCCACAGCAACGCGGCTTGAAACAATGAAGCCCACCCACTGGCATGAGCTGCAAATCTACGTCTGAGCAAACTCGAACATGGCGGCCAGCTTGTCTTGATGTTTGCGCCTGCCAGACAATGGTCAGGGCAAGATAAGACGACGTGAGCCTGCCCGGACACGAGCTCGACTGTCTCAGTGCTGAAACAATAGCCAGGAGCGCCGCAAGTCGACGATCCGGATCGTCATCAATCTGAAACCGACTTAGGAATGTGCACAGACGTGCGGCTTGAACATGACAAGATATGACCTCGTGGTGCAGTAAGCTTGGCGGCTCGACATTCCGACGACGAGGGTCCACTCACTCGATCATGACGCGTTAGCGTCGATTTCGATGATGTTTCCAAGGCCTGCCCCTCGTTCCATAAGAACCGCGAGATGCGCACCTGGAAGAAATGGCTCGTCGGAGCTCCAACCCTTGGGAAACAAAAAAGAGCGTGGTCTTGCGGAGCTTGGATAGCGTGCACCAACAGAATCAATCTGAGACATGATGGGCAAAATGGCAGCTCTCATGGGCGATCCTCCAGTTTGCCCTTTTATCGCTCGAGAGAGAAAGAGGAGCTGGATTCGTGTTCGGAAAGCGGCACTTATGCCACAGCACCGATAGACCGCTCACTTCTGACCTTCACCCAGAAGCTGAATGATCTCCGTTGCCGAGAACGACGCAATGAGGCTCACGGACGAGGATCGTTTGAGCTGTAGTGTCAATCGGGTCGAATTGTACCTTGTGAACCGTGAGATGCGGCCGGGCCAGGGATTCTTTGCACCCCGGTGACTGGCAGGCCGATAGCAGCCCGCATCTCCACAGTAGATCACGGCCGCGATTTGGTGGCTTAGCGGTCGCGGCATTCGAGCTCCATTGCCTTTTCGATCCGATTCCGTCAGCCCCGCCGAGGCCTTGAGACAGCGGCTTGGCACAAAGATCTCCTTCATCCGCGAGACGAGCGTCGTATCAAGTTTGAGGTTGCACCACGGATGATACGCCAACAAGACACCGGAGCACGCTGTTATGAGTTCGGATTCTCTCCCGCCCTTGCACGGCGGGTATGCACATGGTGCGGAGGGTCAATTCCGACCAGAGACCCCGCCAGCGCAGCTCGAATAAAGACCGACCGACCAACTTCAGGGTCCAAGCGACAAGTTGAATTCGCCACATGAGCTGTGCTAGCAGAGGCACACAATCTGTTCTGTTTGATCTGCCTCGCAGTCCGTCTGCTGCAGTAGCGAGCCTGCAGCCTTGCCCGTAGCGTGGGTAAATTTTGCTGTCGCTTCGCCTTACACCGCGGCTTCGCCTGCCGGGCGTGTTGGCGCATTTCTCTTGCGCGCATCCCTGTGTCGCAGCCGAGCTGTCACCCAGCTGTGCTGCAGCTGCGGCCTTTGATTCGTGATCCTAAATTTCTATCCAGCCGCGAATCGCCTCGACATCCGAGGCGGTCACAGGGCTGTCTTGGAAGTCGCTTTCGAGCTCTTAGGGGGCAGGCACGTGGGATGTATTGGCGCGAGATGTCAGTGTTACATTCTAGATCGTCGTCGTCATCAGTGACCGGCTCCGGTCGTCGAGTCGGAATCGCTCTCGTCTTCTCCATACACAACTAATGCTGTTCCGCCGGTGCTGCTTCCTGTTCGATCGAATCGTTCTGACCTGGGATCCGACTTAGTCCCAGAACTGTCCTGTCTGGAGCTCTCGCGAACGCCCTGAGGGGTCTTGTCCCGAGCCATGGCCGAAGAGGGTGTCATCGGCTTGGACTGCGTGCTTCTGCTGCGTCCGCTCTCGAATGTACGAGCACCTCGAGACGTCGAGGCTGGTCCTGCCTCGACAGCAGTAGGCGATTTCGGAGCAGCGGAGGACGGCGTCGAGTTCGGGTCCTTGGAAGAAGACGGAACGGCCTTGCCTCCGTCAAGACGAAAATCGGCGCTCAGCAGGTGGCGCTCGCTGATGGCTCTCGGGGGCATGGGAGGGCCTTGCAAGCCGAACCGATCCGGACTATTGAGCAACGAATCTGGGGTCGATGCGTTCGCATTCGTCTGACTCTCGCTCGATTTCGGGGCAAATGCGCTCGTGATCGACGTCAAGCGAGGCAGAGACGAGCTCAGCAGCGAAGGGGGACCACTGCTGCGTCGTGGAAACCCATTGGCATGCCGAGGCGTGTTCTGTCCCGATCGCCTGCGCGCGTGAGCGTGGCCATCCCCATGCGAGTTGGGACTGTTGCTGCGAGTGACCGTTGTGCTGGTGTCATCAATGTCGAACTTCTCCCCGTCCTCATCATCGTCTCCTTGACCTTTGCGGCCTTCATCCTCCTCGTCACTGTCGTCATCGTCTTCGCTGCTGCTCTCGTCGTCTCCGTTTCGACTGTGCTTGGCGAACATTTTGCTGGGCGAGGCCGTGGACGATGCATCCTTGTCTTTTCCACCACCGTTGCTCGAATCACCCTCCGCACCTTCCTCGACGACCACGAACGATTTTTGCCTCTGACGCTCGTTCCACTTGAGCGTGCGCGAGATGCTTGAGAACCAATCAGTCGACTGGTTCTCTGCGCACACGGTAGGGAAAGGGTAGCGACTCGCCGTCACCTTGATATGGTCGCCTTGCTTCAGCTCGACTCGACCGCGTCCGTCGAAACTGGCCCATGCAGTGCTTCTCGAGTTGTAAGGCACGGCGATACGCAGCTCCATGCTGTCGGGCAGGAGCATGGGTCGGAACGAGAGCGTGTGGGGGCAGATCGGCGTGATGAGGATGGCCGGGATCTCGGGGTGCACCAGACTGCCGCCTGCCGAGAGCGAATAGGCGGTCGAGCCAGTCGGAGTGGAAATGCAGAGTCCATCTGCTTGCGCCGTTGTCATGTGGTGCTCGTCTCCGAACACCTCGAGCAAGCTGACGTACGGACTCGGACCTCGATCCACCACAAGGTCGTTCAACACCTCGAACGTCTCAACGGGCCGTGTGCTGAAGCACATGATCTCTTTGTCACGGCACTTCTTGCCGCCTTTGGATTTCCTGGTCGACTTCTTGTCCATCGATGGCAGCTCTACCTCATCGTCTGGACGCAGCTCCGAGCGCGGACGATGAGTCGAATCAGGGTTCTGAGATTCGATGGCATCCCAGCCGCAATTTTTGACCGAGTTGAGGATGATCTCGCCTGTCTTTCCCGACTTAATGGCTTGGCGGCGATGACGATCCGCCGAGCTGGAAGAGGGCAAGGTGGCACGGTAGACGGTCGCAGTGAATCGCATCCGCAAATTGACGCGGATGCCGTCGTCGAGCGCTGACTTCATCACATCCCTATACGCCTTGAAATCGAAGTTGGTCAAGAAGCCGAGCGAGCCAAGTGCGAAGGGCATCACTGGCGGAACGATGCGTTGGAAGAGCCAGGAGCAGAAGAGCACGGTGCCATCACCACCTAAAGTGACGACAAAGTCGAACAGATGGGGCGAGCGCGAGCACATGTCGGAGTTCCAGAAGCGCAACTGGTTGCCGCCCTCGCCTCGGTTGAAGCCACCATTGTTGTCGGGAGCGGATGCGGCGGAAGAGGAGAAGGAAGAGGACAGGCTGGGCGTGCGCTTGGGCGGCCTCGAGTCGAAGAGGTGCGGATATTCTTTACGGATGCCTTCTGCGTCGAACCGCTTGGATTGGCGAAGCTGCGAATCGACATAGACAATGAGACCTGTATCCTTGCCATTGCGAGGCGTCGTCATGAGCCAGATGGCAAGCTCGCGTGTCAACTTGATGAGATGATTGTCTCTTGCCTTGGTGATGATCATGACGGATTGAATGGTCGACTTGACCCTGGCGCGACCGAGCTGCTTGCTCATCTCTCGCACACCCACCGCCGTCTCTGCGAGCTGCCGCGTGAGGGAGCGCACCTTGTCCGAGTCCTCCTCGTCGGTCGAGTAGGAGTAAGAGGAGCCGTAGGATGAGTCCTGATCGGAGAGCGGCTGGTGGGCAGTGTTGTCGGCGTCTCTGTCATCATCATCGTCGTCGCCATCTTCATCGTCATCTGAGCTGGTGCGGATACGGACTCGAGCGGAGGCTCGCTCTGTGCTCCGCCTCGCACTTGTTGATGCCGCGTCTGAGCTCGACGGATCTTGCTCTCCTGTTGAAGTCTGCGATGCATTGGACGGTATTGAGCTCGAAGCAGAGGGGCCCGAGAAGGCAGCTCCTTGGTTGTCTTCGAGCAGAGGCTGGGATCGCGAACGCTGAGGCCGAGGAGAAGCATCATCATCGGCAGAGGCAACATCGCTTTGCGACTGTCGAGAGTTCCTGGATCGACGCGCCCGCTGTCGGCCGAGCTGACGACGCTGCTTCTTGAGACTCTCTCCAAGCGCGACACCACGATCGAGATAGGAGTGAACGAAGCACGGTGAGCTGAGCGAGTTGGAGGCCTGGTCCGAATTGCGAGCATGCGGCAAGGAGGACATGTCATGCACTTTGGCGTGTGTCTGATTGATGGGCTCGGCGGGATCATCGTTCTGGCTGGTCATGCTGGAAGCGGCTGAGTCGGTGGTGTCCTGGAAGGAGCTGGAAGAAACTCTGGAGCTGCAAGGTCTAGGCGGGGCAAGCATGGTGAGTCCGGACGTGGGGTTGGTTGCCATTCCTGGATTCAAGAGCGTCGGCTGAGTCGTGTGATTGGATTGCTCAGCTTCCGACGCAGTGCGGATCGGGTGCTCCGATGCTTTCGTAGGGCCTGACATGGCGGGGTTCCAAGCTGCTGTGTCAGCTCTGTGAGATACTAGGTAGGGCTGGCCGACGGCAGTTGTCAGCCCAGCCAGAGCGTTGCTGCGGCCGTTCTACAGGATGATGATGAGTAGGAGCTATGGACCTGATCAGTCGGCCCGACACCTGTGCACTTCAGTCATCATCCCCGGTTTCTGAAATTCCCTGGCCCAAAAAGAAAAGGCCGCTGATGATGCCGTCCCACCGGAAAATGCACGTTCCAGCCGAAACTGCACGCCCACCAATCTAACAAACGGTCCATCAACTGTCTCTTCTTACGGTCAAACATACCCTACAATTTTAATGCTATCGCGGACACGGGAAGGAACCCGCATGCTCGCGACTCTGAAACATGAAACTTTCCCGACCGACGATCATCACCGAGCGGGAAGCACACCATCCTTGTGCGCTGTCAGCTGTACCTCAAGAAAGGGTCCCGTTGCTGGAAAAGGTCAAGGTCTCGTTTCCCTTCCCCTTGACCTACAGCTTGGCACCTGGCCGCTTGACAGGGCTTCCTAGACACCACCACCATCCCTCCGTCCTCTCCCTCAGGTGAACGCTCCGCAAATCCTTTGGTCATCCTCGTCCCACCATCCCTTCGAACCGGCCTTCCATGTCATATTCGGCACTCGAAAAGCACTACCGAGACAAGAACCACTCTCGTCTTTCGGTCGACGTAGAAAACTCCGAAACCGGTGTCTTCCTCTCTGCGAACAACGGCCTCGCTAGGGACGCGGACGATCACGCCGGATACCCACCCTTGTCGACGGACATCGAAGTTAACGCTGGCAAGATGAGGTCAAGAAGGAGGATGCCAATAGGCTCCAAGCGACTCGCCCTCATCCTTCTCGGCCTTGTAGGCCTTGTCATGCTCTTTGGCAGGAAAGACTCGAGGGAGGCTGTCGTAGGCTACGTCAACGACACGGCAGGCCACCTCGAAGACGCATATCAGAACCACGCACCATGGAAGGCGAAGCCAGAGGAAGTCATCACTGGCGATGCAGACCTCGACGACGCCAGCGGCGGCACCGCACTGACCGCTCCAGCAGACCCTTCGACACCAGCACCAGCGCCTGTCACGGGCACCAGCTCCGACACGGTGCGCGAAAAGCCGAAATTGCATGCCGATCCCACCAAGACGACTCGCTGCGATTCCACCACGGCCCGCGACCGCAACGGCAACCCTCGACCTCTCGTGCAGTACGCACTCATGATTGATGCCGGCAGCACGGGAAGCCGTATCCACGTCTACCGCTTCAACTACTGCGCCGAAGCGCCCGAACTCGAGGACGAGTACTTTGAGATGCTTCAGGGCGGTCTGAGCAACTACGGCACAAACCCAGCTGGCGCCGCTGACTCGCTGAGGCCACTTCTCAAGTCGGCCCTCGCCCGCGTTCCCAAGAGCCTGCAGAAGTGCGCACCTGTGGCCGTCAAAGCCACCGCCGGTCTTCGTCTCCTCCCCGGCCAGCAGGCGAACGACGTCATCAAAGCCGTTCGCACCATGCTTGAGAAGGAGTACCCCTTCCCCATCGCGGACGGCAAGAACGTCGATGGCACCAAGGCGTCCAAGGGAGTCGAGATCATGGAGGGCAAGGACGAAGGTGTCTTTGCATGGATCACGGTCAACTACCTGCTGAACCGCATCGGCTCGTCCGCTGGCAAAACGCTCGAGACGGCTGCTGTGATGGACCTGGGTGGCGGCTCGACGCAGATCGTCTTTGAGCCCAAGTTCGCCTCCGCGGTGCAAGGCATGCAACCCGGCGAGCATGTCTACAAGCTCGACGCCTTTGGTGCTCAGCCTTACACGCTCTACCAGAACTCGTATCTCGGGTACGGTCTGATGCAGGCGCGCATGTCGATCAACTCGATTGCCGCGTTCACGTACAGCCTTGCGCACCCGGGCGCGGTCCTCACTGGATCGGCGCACAAGAACACGACCGGCTCCAAGTGGGGTGCTTCCAACGCAACTGACGCCGGGAAGCCCCAAATCCCCTCCCCCTGCTTCGCCAACGGTCGCACCAAGGACGTGCTCATCTCGCAGCCGGGGCAGAACACCCAGGCCAACGTCACCATGGTCGGCACCACCGGAGGCTTCACCGCCTGTCGCCGCCTCGTCGAGGTCATGATGAACAAAGATGCGGTTTGCAAGTCTGCTCCCTGCTCCTTTGCGGGTGTCTACCAGCCCAGTCTCATGGAGACCTTCAAGACCGCACCCATCATCGCGCTCTCGTACTTCTACGATCGGCTGACGCCGTTGGGTCTCGGCCCGCAGTTCAAGATCTCGGACCTCGAGGCGCTGGCCCAGCGCGCCTGCGCGTACAGCAAGAAGGACACGCAGAAGTTTGATGCCAAGGCGATCGCAGAGTTGGAGGATCGCCCAGAGACGTGTTTGGATCTCAGCTTTATGCACGGCCTGTTGAGTTTGGGGTACGAGCTGAGCGGCGAGCGCGAGGTGAGCGTGGCTAAGAAGCTGGGCGGCACCGAGCTGGGTTGGTGCTTGGGCGCCCAGCTTTCGGTCCTAGATGATGGGCTGCTGTGCAAGCCATAGAGTGTCCCGGAACGCTCCTTCTTCGGTTGTGTACATAGAGCGTCACAGTAGCAACTTGCAATGTCTTCGTATCGTTCAGCCTCGAAATCTCGCAAGTCCCGCCAGTGAGATGTTTGGACGGCTTTTGAATTGTCCTCTCTATCGGATCTACTTCTTGTTCTGGCCCAAGCCACTTGCGTGCTCCGCGGCAGCCTGGATGGTCCTCGCAACCGTACTCCTCACTTTGCCATCTTCCAAATTCAACAGTCCTGCAATCGTACAACCACCCGGCGTAGTAACGCTATCCTTGATGGCGGCGGGGTGCATTCCGGACTGCATGACCATCCTCGCAGCGCCCTGCATGGTTTGAGCTGCCAATTCCAACGCTTCCTGTCTCGGCAGGCCCATCATCACTCCTCCGTCGGCCATGGCTTCCAGAAAGACACAGGCGAATGCGGGGCCACTGCCAGCGAGCGCGGTGCAGGCATCAAAATGCTTCTCGTCCAAAAACCTGCATCGGCCAACGGCGCTGAAGATGCTCAACAGGATGTTGCGGTCCACCTCTGCGGTTGGCAGGCTCGATGGCAGGGGTGTGAGGATCGTCATTCCCTCTCGGATCTTGCATGGCGTATTGGGCATAGCTCGCACCACCTTTGTCTTGTCCGTCACCCAAGCTACGATCTGATCGATCCGCAAACCAGCACAGATGGAGATGACCATCTTACCATCCAGCGCCTCCTTCATCCCCGGCTCGGCAAGGATGTCTTGCACCATCTGAGGCTTGCATCCGAGCAGAACGACGTCGGCGTCCTTGGCAGCGGCCACGTTCTGGCCCGAGGTGATGGCGATATCGGGGTAGGCGGAGAAGGTCTTTTTCAACCGACGCACAGATTCGACCCGGTTGACCGTGGCGATGTAGCGTGTGGGCAGCTCGGTCAGGTCGTCTCCCGCAGAGGAGTCAGGCAGGGAGGAGACGGAGGAGGCCATAGAGGCAGCGGCGGCTTGTTGGAGCGAGCGCTGCGAATCGAGCACGCCAGACAGGATGGCTACGCCCATCGTGCCGCAGCCGATCACTGCGAGTGTATATGCTGGCATTGTTGTACGGCGAAGAGACAGTGGAGAATGTTGAAGCGACGAGAGGGATGGAGGTAGCCGGTGCGAAAGATCGCGGCTGCAGCATGAAAGGCTGGAGATCTTCCTGCATGAGATTGCGAATGACTCGCCTCAGATAAAATCTCCCGATTCGAAGAACCCTTCTTCGCAACTTCAGCTTCTTGCCAAGATCTCCTTCCACCTCCTCGCTGTCCATTCGCCCCGGCGTCTCTCTCGCAATTGTTCGCGCAGCTCAGAACATACCACACCGCACAGCAGTAAGACCTTTTCCGGGCAATAGCATGCATTGCAAGGCGTTTCAGAATCAAGACAGCCAGAAGAACGAAGAAAAGTGTACCCAGAGTGAAAGTGAAAGTGATTGACTCGGTGCTTGGACAGTGTAGGCCACCAAACAGGCCTACGCCGTGAGTAAGCATGGGATTCGCCCTGCGCCGTCACGCCGGACATCTCTTTCGAGTCGCTCGGCGTGGGGAGGTAGGGTATTCTTCTGGCACCTTTCCGTAAACCGTCCAGCCTGGAGATGACGCTGAAGACGATTAAATAATAAAGTGCGCTGGGAGAGAGGGAAGGAGGAAGGGTGTGGGTGTGGTCTCAAAGGATGGCGGATGAGGGACGATAGGGGTGCGGGATTGAGAGAAGGGCGTACGAGGGCGAGAGAGCTGGGGTCGGGACGCTGGGATTGCGAGCAAGGCGGAGCACCTTCAAAGCAGCGGCAAGGTCGTGCTGCGAAGTCGAGGCGAGCGCAGTGGGTTCCTATCACAGCTTCAGAGAGGCACCATGGAGCGCTCCAATTGTTTGGGTGACGTTGTATGTTCGCACGCTGGCTGCAGCAGCGTTGGATGTGGTTGTGAAGGAAGGCAAGACTTTCGAGAAGAAAACCAAAAATGCTGCTTCCAGCGCGTGCCTTTTTACGAGCGTGGTCCAATCAGATGATGAACTCGCTTCTCAGTGGCCTATACTCGCTGCTACAAAGTCTCCGGGCCACCTTGTCGACGATGCGGCGTCTCAGGAACAGTAAAAGCTGCCACCTTTGCGCTACGCTCAAGATGGGTCAGCAGCACATTGCAGTCAGACCACAGGCGACTCAGACGGTGATGTGCAGCGGATGACGAAGGTGTATTGCAGATACAAAGGGCCGTTGACAGGCGCCTACTGGTAGAACTCCATCTTAGAATCGTCCGGCTTCTTGACAATCTGCTTCCACGCCTCCTCAAAGTCCTCTGGCATGATGACGTATCTGTTCTTTCGCACCGCCTGCAAACCTGCCGCCTGGCAGATGCTTGCAATCTCGGCGCTGGACAGCTTGTCGGGTCGTCCGACGTAGTCTTCCAAATCGACCTCTGGGCTGAGGTTCATCTTGCCGCAGATGGTCTGGAAGATGAGGCGCTTCTCTCGACGTGATGGCGTGGGGAACTCGATCTTTCGGTCGAGACGACCTGGGCGGAGCAGCGCGGGGTCGAGCGTATCGGCTCGGTTGGTGGCCATGATGACCTTGACATTGCTACCCTGGTCGAAACCGTCCATCTGGTTGAGCAGCTCGAGCAGGATACGTTGCACCTCGCGATCCGCACCCGTCTGCGCGTCGAAACGCTTCGTGGCAATGGCGTCGATCTCGTCGATGAAGATGATGGCGGGGGCGTTCTCGCGTGCCAGTCGGAAAACATCGCGGACCATTCTTGGTCCTTCACCGAGGTACTTCTGCACGAACTCGGAGCCGACAACGCGGATGAAGCTGGCGGTGGTGGCGTTGGCGACGGCTTTGACCAACATCGTCTTACCCGTCCCTGGTGGACCGTAGAGCAATACACCGCGCGGTGGGTCGATACCAATCTGGCGGTACAAGTCGAACTGCACCAGCGGCAACTCGACAGCTTCTCGGATCTCCTGCTTCTGAATGTCCATACCACCGATATCTTGGTAGGTCTCTGTCGGCTTCTCGTCCTGTCCCAGCATCGCGATCGAAGAGTCGGCCTCTGGTGGCAAAACGTCGACAAGAGCGTTGGAGTGGCGGTGCAACGCGACACTTGAGCTCGCCTTGAGCAGCTCGCGATCGATTGTGGAGAGGATGCGCACGACGTAGTTGGACCCAGTTGTGGAGCCGACGATGCCGGTGTGTTGGTCGATGGGCTCGAGGAACTGGCCAATGACGAGAGGTACGGACTGGATCCGCTTGACCTCCTCCTGTGCTCTTACGAGCTCGCGTTTCAAGTTGCGCTGTTCATCCTTGACGTACTCTTCCATGGTGTTGAGAAACTCGAGGTGCTGTTGCAGCTTCTTGAATCGCAGATATGTGTCTTCCTCCGCCGCCATCTCCTGATGAATGGCAGCTTTTTCAGCGGCGGCGTCCTCGAGCGTGGGCTCGGTGCGCTTCAGCGCAGAAATGCCAATCTCCTCCATGTTGATGCTTATGTGGTGTCGCGATACCTGCTACAGTGTGTTCGAGCTGGGGTATGCGAGACGGTTTTGAGTTGGCAGAAAGACGAGCTGAATCCCGATGGTGACTTTAGGCGCGACAGGTGCGGCGTGTAGAACGATACGAGCTCGATGATGTGAATTCAAGGTCGAGGTGAGGGGACGAATGTGGTGAGAGGTAGTCGGAAAGAGTGTGGCATCAGCGAAGGCGTCGAAAGTGATCCGAGACGCGCAAGTGGAGCAACACTCTTGCGAGGCCTAACAGCGCGACAGCTGCCGCCGCTGAGCTGTGTGATCGAGGCGCGCTAGCCTTTAAACATCTGAATCGCTTGAATCGGGTTTTCTCGACACGGAGCTTACTCAAAAGGGTCCTGGCAGGCTGTGGCTCAGTCCAACTGGACGGCACGTTTTCACCCGGCTGAGCCTCTTTCGAGAAGGCTCCGTGTCTAATAGCCACTCAATCGCGGCCTTCATCACCCTCCCTTCCTCCACCACAATCCCTTTCTAGCATAACAACATCATGCCTCGTTCAAGTCGATCTGGCGGCTCGCGCCCTGCACCTTCGCGCTCGGCACCTTCGGGTAACCGTGGTGCACACACCATGGCTGCGCCACCCCAGCAGCACCAACAACATCCTCAGGCCTACTCGCAGCAGCCGCCCGCCATGGCCCAGCAGCAGTCGCGTGGCCCCGGTCTCTTCGGTCAGATGGCTTCCACCGCCGCCGGTGTCGCTGTTGGCTCCACAATGGGTCACGGTCTGTCCAACATGCTCTTCGGTGGTGGATCCGCCCCGGCCGAGCAGGCGCAGCAGGCCGAGCCCCAGGCGTACCAGCAGGGCGCCTACCAGGGCCAGCAGCAAGGCGTTGGCATGAGCTGCGAGGCTCAGAGCAAGGACTTCATCAAGTGCCTCGAGAGCAGTAAGTGCAGCCTCCACACGGAAGGGTTGATGTGCAAGACGGAATGCTGACAGTCTCTTTTTGATCGCGTGAACAACAGCCAACGACATGAACTCGTGCTCGTACTACCTCGAACAGCTCAAGGCTTGCCAGGCTGCCGCTCGTCCCTACTAAACACGCCCTGGTAGCTTCATTAGATCCATCTCAGCATCTCATGTCATCATCAAGGAATCATCACCATTCAGCATCTACAAACAAAGAAGCGGCCGCAACACGATATCTGAGGAATCGATATGAAGACGGTGTCTATTCTCAGGGTGCTAGCTGTAGGGTGCGATGACTATACTGTGCAGGATGCGATGGATGCGAGATGCTTGTAGTGGGTAAGGCGAGGTGCAAGAGAGCGGTAACAGTGAGGCAAAAGGGGTTCAGAAGACGATTTGCATTGTCGAGTCGTCTTTGCATGTCTAGGGATCGTCGAAACGACCAAAGCCAAAGTCTTCGTCTTCGTGACGCGGACCTGGATGCGGATCCTCCTCTTCCTCCTCGTCGGGCATGTCGTATAGACCAGCGTCGTCCTGATCACTATCTCCGCCTTCCAGAGCGGCATCGTGCTCTGGTCCTTGATCCGCGTTGCGAGCAAATGGACCGCCTGCACGCATCGTCTTGGGTGGTGAGACCGAGTGAGAGGCAGAGTTCTTGCGCATGGAGCCAGAGCACGACGAGATGGACTTGCGCCCGAGCCTGTGAGCTGCACCGCTTGGCACACCTAATGAAGGCTTCTCGCGGGGCGCAGCTGCAGCTTTCATGCGCGGCTCCTCGAACCTTCGCTCCCGGTCCCGCTCCGCTTGCAGAGCAGCCGACTGGATAGCCAGAGACTGCTCATATCCGATGGCCTGAACCCTGCGACCGGGCAGATAGGCACCGGATGACTGAGCCAGCTTCTTCTTGACCGCTACAGTGTCACGGGACCATCCGAATGCCTCGTTCATCGGGCTGGTGCCGAGGGCAGAGGCTTCCCCGACGGACAAGCCGAGCAACGCTGATTCGAGTTCAGCCTCTTTAGAAGGATCGACGAGCTGCACGGACGAGACGCCGTCGTTGACGTCCCGCATCGCACGTATCGACAGAATCGCATCGCGGATAGCGTCCGTCTCCGCGCGAAGCCGGTCCTTGGTAGGGGTCTGTGTCGTCTCTAGCGCCGAGAGGAGGCGTTCGTTGCGGTCCAGCCTTTGCTCGAGTTCGAATTCGGAACACATATGTATTGGCTTCTGCACTGCATTCGAATTGCGGGATGTCTTGGGGATGAAGGCGAGCGAAACTGCTGCACCTCTCGATGACGAAGGGCTGCGGAGGCCTGCGCGGCCATGACTGATTTTTGCAGAAGCGCTCGTGTGCGATACTGGGGAAGTCAGAGACGCTTTGGAGCTGCTTGCGATGTTTCCGAAGCCATAGGATGCTGAACCGATGCTTGTCGGAGACAAAGGTTCCGTCTTGGCGTGAGGCTCGGCTTTGCCTTGAGGAGGCGGAGAGATGGGCTGGGCGGTGTCGCCCCGCAAGGGCTGCTTTGAGCCAGTGGGAAGGAGAAGTCCGTTCATGCAGTGCTTAACAATGAGGGAGGTGATGGATTATATAGAGAAGATCTGAGGTCGAAGAATCTCTTGTCCAGCGGCATGTTCCGAAGGCGTGCGAGGAAGCGTGGGATATCCCGGCAAGAACTGTTCGGTGCTTCCGACTCTCGGCGAATTGCTCAAGAGCGACGCAGAAGGATGGGAAGTAAGCGCCAGGATCACTTGCAAACGGCTTGTGGAAACGTGTGAATGCTTGGTGCGGGTGTGTTCAGCGGTACGTGTGATGAAGCCAAGGCGAGTTGTGTTGAGGATGTTGCTTGACAGGTGCAGCGGAGAGGTGCGGAGATTGTTCGGTGAAAGCAACGTAAAGCGAGTGTTGTCTCAGGGTCCTGTTGGTGAGCGAGCTTGATTTGGCGAAAATTGTTGACGTCGGTGGATGTGGAAAGGTGGAAAGATGCGAAACCAGCCCAGATAAGGGTCCCACGCATGGCCGCACGGTCCTGTGACCGGCAAAGCTAGCCTCCTCTATGTCGTCGGTTGTCTTACCCCGCACGAGTGAGCGAGCATGTACTCTCAATCCCTGTGCCAACAAACTCAGGCTGGCTTCTGTGATTCGCAAGCAAGCGACCCACCAGAACGAACTCATAGTCAAGCTCGGCCGCATCCTGAGCAAGCACATGAGATCGTCAACGCCTAATGTAGCAGCGACCTCGTCTGGCTCCTCTCTTACCCGGTGCACTTGCCTCTGACACAGTCTGATTGAATGTTTGCTGTTCACAATCCCACTCGACGCTGTGCCGTGTCAAGGGCGCTGACCTCAATGCAGGCCATGCTCTGCCGTACATTTACGGTCTATCAACCTTCTGTTTGCATCGAGTTAGCCTTTCGTGACCCCTTTTTCGGCCTTCATTTCGCTGATCTTGCCTCCCTGGAATTAGCAATCTCAGGGTCTTCTTGCATGTGAGCTGGCACGGACCATTTGGCGTCCAACGTGACGCAGAGGTGCATTTTGCCTCAATGCTGGACTCAACGAATCGGACTGTGCATGCGACGAGGGCACCTCCGACAGCATAGTGATGGATGATTTGATCTCTCTCAAGGTTCTCAAGGGCAAAGACAGGCGTAGCTGCCATGCTGAGGTGCTGAGCCAGAAAATGAGTCTACGTGGCCGCAGTCATAGGTGAGCAAGCGTGACCACTACTTCGGCTTCGATCGGCGTCTTCACTGGTTCATGGCAACTGGGTTTCTTCCAGCTATTACACACAGCCTCGAAGGACTTTCACGCCAAGACTCCTCATTTGACGAGGCTCCACAGCTCTAGTAATGATCGTGACATCGACCGAAGGCTCTTGCAGAGCACGGACAGAGAGGATGGGCTGTGGATCCAACGGCGGGGTCGGGCGCCAAATTTCGCCGTCTCGAATCCGCTTCAGCTAAGCCCTGGCTGAGAAACTCTTGCAGTACGTAGAGCGACCTAGCCGCGTCGTGTGTCTCAAGTCGTGCCTACCTACGCCTGGACCGACTGAATCGATTCGCCTCTTTCCGAGTCTTTTTGCTTGTGCAAATTTAGGAATTCCAGATCGACTTGCATCCGGACTCTCTGACTCTCTGTCGCGCCTGTGACTGTGACTGTGGTCAGGGACTGGGATGATACTCCGCTGTACCAGTCACATCTTCGCTCTGGCTCAGCTGCCGCCCTTTCCCCCCACTTCGTTTGGCTGAGCGCGCTACAATCAACGCACTTTCCCATTCGTCGGCTTTGAATCAGCCGCTGCCCCCTGCTCCACCGCCCTTTATAAACGCGATCGGTCCCGGTCATCTTCCTTCCTGCAGCTCCTTTCGCTCCTCCCGTAAATAGTGGTCCGTCATCGACTCGCCCATCAAACAGCAAGAGTCCACCTCCCCCTTCCATCCGTCGTCCACGATTCATCAAGGCGATTCGGCGCGCACCTCACTCACGACGGCCAAGCTCGACTCGCGACCCCTATCCGGAGACGCTAGGACTCATCGCCGACACGCGGGGCTCTTCGGACGAAATCGATCCTTCGTGTGCTCGAGTCTCGCTTTCTTTCTTCGAGTTCGAGTTCGCTGCGTCATCTGGAACGATACGATTTGGCGCTGCAACGGCTGGACCGCTTTCCATCTACCTCCGCAGCTCTGAGCGACATCACCTCAAGCCGGACAAACTGCGATCTCGACGCCCAATTCCGCACACCACGCTACGCTCTTCATGCCTTGCCAAAATCACGCCCGCCCGCCTCGTTCTCACCACTCCTGCTCTCACGTCGTCTCACAGAGCTCTCTAGGCTGAAGAGGCAGCCCTCTCACTACCTCGGCAGGCGCGACGGCCCGGCGTGGCTCGGCTGCCGCTGCGCTTGCAATCATGGAGGACCTCTCCGCCGACGATGACATCCTCTCGGATATCCTGCTCGACAACCTCGAGTTCGAGCCGGCTATTTCAACACACAAGATGAACCCAAATTACAGAGGGCACCGCTTCGATCGCAATGCCGTCAGTCTCATCGTCCGAAAACGGGTCGTCGTCGAGAAAGACATCACAGCTGCCATCGAGGATCTCAGCAAGCTCGGCATCGTCCAAAAATACCTCACCAACAAAACACAACGCCAGACAGCCAGCTTCCAGGCCCATGCGCGACGCTATCTCGAAAGCTATCTGCCAGAAAGCGGAGTCGAGTTCGCTCTCACCACGCGCTACAAACGTGTGATGATGGAAAAGGCCGGCAGAGCACACGGCGCAGACGCAGAGGCATCCACGTCGGCCGTCAAGATCGAAGACATGCCGGCTTCGCCAGGAAAAGAGGCAGCCGAGGAAAGAGGCAAGGGTCGAGTAAAGGGCAGATCGTCGCTCGATCGCGCCGCCACCAGCATCGGTGCAGCACCAGCAGCCTCGGAAAAAGCGGACCTCAGCGTTCTAGCGATGCGAACCTTCAAGCCCGGGGAGCTCATCAACTTCTGCAAAGGCGGTCTCAAGGATCTCACAAAGAGCGAGGATGATGCGCTTCGTGAAGAAGCCACGTCCACACGCGAGAAACGCAAAGACACCGAATACAAGGGTGTTCTCGGCCCCGGACGCGACTTCTCTGTCATCCGATCCGCAAGAAAAGGCTGCAGTCAGCTTCTGTTGGGACCTGCGAGGTTCGTCAACCACGATTGCAACCCAAACACCGAGTTCTACCGCATGGGCGCTACCATGGTCTTCAAGGTCATTCGACCCATTCACCGAAATGAGGAGATCACCACCTTCTACGGCGAGAACTACTTTGAATGGGCCAACTCCGAATGCATGTGCGCCACCTGCGAGTCTCGAGGCACCGGCGCCTTCTCAGATCCGTCCATACCGCCACCCATGGAGCCCGCCGAATCGTCCGAGGGAGCAGCAGAGGTCAAAGCGGAAGATGGCTCGACGGCGGCTGCTTCGACCGAAGCCAATGGACGGCGTCAATCGCGGCGTTCGAGTCGACCAGTCGCGCCATCGTCATCGTTACCTTCGCCTTCTCCCACGCCATCCCTGACGCCCTCGCTGCCGCTACTGCCGTTGGACGAGGCGGCGAGAGACAAAAAGGCGAAACGAGATTACCTTGCCGATCTCAAACTGGCGGAGCATGGACCGTCAGAGGATCGCTCAGATCCGTGGGCGGAAGGCGCCGGGCCGCAGTGTCGCTGTCTCACGTGTGGTGCTACCTTCTGGGCGCCGGAGAAGTGGTGGACGCCAGACGAATGCCCACGCTGTGAGCGCCACTACAAAATCTTCAAGGCAGATTGGCCAGGCCGCGTGCCGACGGAAGGCGCTATGGCGAGGAAAGCGGGCGTGAAGCGCAAGTCGAGTTCCGAGATGATCGCCGACCATCTGGCAAGCACGGCATCGCCAGCACGCAACGGTAAGGAACGATCTTTGACGCCGACCGAGTCCAAGGTCAATGTCACTCCGAAGGCGCAGAAGAAGCCGCGGCCGAGCAAGGCCGGAGCTGAATCTGCAACGCCGGTCGATACAGCCAAGGCGCAGACCACCCCTACCGCCGCCAGCAGCAAGTCGAACAAAGCGCCAGGTGCAACCTCTTCTGCAAAGCCGTCGGCCCGCTCAGCAAAGGCCGAGAACATCAAGCAAGAGCGGCAAGAAGAGGCGCTCGTCGCACGAGCTCTCGCCCCATCCGCGACGCGCAAGGCCGGCCCGACCGCTGTGCCCGTCAAAGTCGTGACCCAGCCGAAAGCCACCTACGACCTCGACTCAGACGGGTCTGACCTTACACCAGAACCAGAATCCGAGCCAGGGGACATCGTCAAGGGAGGAGAGGATGAAGACGACGAGGACCAGGGCCCAAGCCCTGTGTCGGCAGCCGGTCGGACGCAACAGCAAGGCGAAGAGGATCGATCATCGTCCAGCTCGAGTCCCGGGCCACCGGGACCCAAGATGTTGGGAAAGAATGCAAAGACGGATGTTTTGGCGCAATACTGGGGAGCCGTGGAGGGGGATCGCCGCGCACGCAAAAAGGCGCCTGTCAACTCGGGCCCAACCTTACTGGCTGCTCGACGCTCTTCGCAGGACCTCACGCACAAGTCGTCAGAGCGACGCTCCAGCTTCCGCGAGACGAGCACAGACGAGCATGGCGCTCCGAAGTTCAAGCGGCGTCTCGTTGCCGAGACTGCCTCTGACGACGACGACGCACCATCCCCTGTATCCACGGTTGCTCGCCCGAATCCGACCGTGGTCGCTTCGAAGCACCGCAAGACGTCGAGTATGACCGACGCATCCTTTGCGCAGATGCGTGCAAAGTCGGAGGCACGACCGTCCCCGGATCGACTCACGCCGACATCGACCGTCAGTGCGGCCTCGCCGGCCCCTTCCGCCAAAGTGGCGCCATCAGCGTCGGAACCACCGCAAAAGACGTCAGCGGGCAACATGCCAGGCTTGGCGACCTCGGGTGTCCAGCGCACTTCGGAATCCAATCTGGCTCTCTTCTGGTCAGCCGGTGTAGGCGGCACGAGAAATCGTCGTCAGGCGCAGAGGGAGCCACAGACCATGCTCGTCCAACCAGCGCCATCCAAACGATCACGGGCGTCCGATTCGAGTCGAAGCCATACGCCCGAGGTCAAGAAGCCTCGCGGCCCGGCAAGATACGGCGAGGACGACAGCATCGGACGAGAGCGGATCGTACGGGACCGCTCCGTGGCTGCTTCCGACGACGGATCCAAGGAGACGAGCCAGGAAAATAGCGACATGGACGACGATGACATGGAAGAGAGTGATGGACCTTCGGTCAGGCCCTACATGTTCTCCGCCATCAGTAAGGTGCTGCAGTCGAATGGCGGCGTCGATGTTGGCGGGGACTCGGACTCAAAAGGTCCGCTACTCCCTTCTGCATCTCTCTTCCGCCCTCCTGGTCTCATCCGACCGGACCTCGCAGCAGCAGCAGCTCGATCCAATTCTCCTCTCGCCGGACCTCCACGCGGCTCACCTGGCCAGCCGATGCGCAAGAATTTGCGATGGGGCAGTGGCAAGTCTTCGATCAGCCGCCCCTTGGGACCCAATGGAAGCCCTCTGGGCCGACCTCCTTCCGGCGCCAACGGCAGTCCCATCAGCGTTGCGCCGCAGAGATCGACGGAAGACGTAAAGTCTCACTTGCCACGCCCCTCGCCTTCGTCTGACGTTGGACAGGCGGCGCCGATCAGTCGACTCAAGACACCGACAGAGCGAGTCGACGCAATGCCCACTGAGTCGAATCTCCCTCAGCCTGTCGTTGCAGCCCCGCCGGTTCCGATTGAGAACGCACCTGCACTGGTGCCGATCCAGACCGTGAAGGAGGTCAAGGCTGGAACCGATGCAGTCATTCAGTCGAATATCGCAGCGTCGAAGGAGTCAGCGCTTGCACCCACCATCCTGGCTCCGGTCCCTGCTCCGGCTCCAGCACCTGCACCTGCACCAGCAACAGCACCCGCTCCCGAAGTTGCCTTCCCCACCAACGGGCTGCCGCCTCCGTCGACATCAGTCGCACCGACCGGAGATGCGCCCGTTGTGCCCGCTCCTCCAGCGCAACCCGTAACACCGGTCAAGACCGCGCTTCCGGACATCAGCCTGACCCCGGATCTGACGGATCCTCAGCAGCGTCGCACGTCGGGTCGGGCACGCAGAGCTCCGGAAATGGCCGCCGGGCAGATCCCTTACAAGGGCAGTCTGGTCAAGCTGGCCGCCCAACGAGCCAAGGAAGTCAAGGGTGGGCCGTCGGGCACGCACTCGCCCCGGTCTGCTGGAACAGCTTCGCCAGATCACCGGACCCACGCAGGGCAAGCCGTCGAGAACGGCAAGCACGAGGCGGTGACTGGCCTGCAGCATGTCACCGAGGCTGAAAGCACACCGATGGACGTCGACTCCTGAACCACACTTTTTATCTCTGTATTTTTATCCTCACACTCAAAGGAACTGCTTTGTCATGGCAACACACTGCGTGAACGATGTGAAGATGTGCTGTGATTGGGTGAGCAAGTGAAGCTGTGACTGCTCAATGTGACGTGCTGTTCGTATCACCCATCCCCGCGGTCGCGTCCTGTGTTGACCTCGCGTACCCAGCCGCATCCACCCCATCCAACACATTGGTCAGATCAGCAATGACCGTATCGATTCTCGCCTGGATGCCCGTAAGCAGTGCGATCTGGTGATGCACTGCGCGCGTCTGGGCGTCCAGCACGGCTGACAGATCCGCGCTTGCCCTCTCTCCACTCGGAGCAGGGCGGGCGAGCAGCGCGTGTGGGAGGCTCGCCTGGTGCGCTGAAAAGTCTGGGATGGTCGTCGGGTCGAAGAGCGGGATCATGCCTATCGCCTCGCTGTTCGGTGTGTCGGTAGGGGCGGAGGGCGAGGAGGTGGTAGCGGAGGGGATGCCGAAGCGTCGAAGCGTGGCTTGTCGGATGGCTTCTTTCGGGTCGAGCGGGTCGGAAGGGTCGTCCTCGCGCGCTTTGCCTTTGCCCTTTGAGTCGGCGTCTGCGTCGCCCGGGGTGGGTTGAGGTGACGATTGCGATGCGATGCCGTTGACGGGTGCTGATCTCCGCCCGCCGGGGTAGAGCGTTGATGGCGGCGGCGGCATCCACAGCCCTCCTGCGCCTACCTCCTCTCCACCGGCCTGCGAGGGCAAGAACCCGCTCGACAAGCCTGCTCCATTGCCGTTGATCCTTCCATACCTGGACGATCCGAACAAACCCGTCCCACCATTTGAGCCACTCGTACCCGCCAATCGCGGCGTCGACCGTCCACTACGACTCCCCGTCCTACGTCTGCTCGATGCCGCCTGACGAGCGGAGACATTGCCTTCCTCCCTCACCTTTCGCAGGTCCGACTGGAGACGCGAGAGGAAGCCCTGCAGGCGGTGGTCGTACGCTTCCTCCGCTGCCGTGGTCTGCGGGTTCGTACCCGTACCCTCGGCTGGCGTCGCCGCGTCTGTCAGTGGTGCTGCTGGCTGCTGCTGTGGTGTTGCGGGTGCGACTGGCGCAGGCACCTCCGGTTCGTCATCCAAGATCATCCTCCTGCACGTCGGACAGCTCTGTTGGCGCTCCAACCACGACCGTAAACAACGGAAATGGAAGATGTGTCCGCAACTCAACTTTTTCGGTGTGACATTTGTCACCTCCGCCGGGGCCGCTGCGTCTTCGGGGGACAGAGCCACCATGTCCTCGCGACAGATGATGCACGTCCCATCTGTGCTAGCCAGATCCGTTGCGGTGGCGTTGGGGTACTTGGTCTCCATCTTCCGCACCGCCTGCCGGTACCGCACCAACGCTTTGACCTTGACGGTGCAGCTTCGACCCGCGCTGTACAGGTCGTGGATGAGCGAGAGTGGTATACCGTAGAGTCGAGTGAGGAGGATGAAGAAGTAGCCATGGGTGCAAAGACGTACGATATCGTGGGCAAGGTCGACGTAGAGGACGTAGAGAGATTTGGCCTCCCACGGTTCTTCCCGGGCCATGTCGATGCAATTGAGCGCATACTGGGCTATTGTGTTCCCCAACAGCGCGGTGAGGATGATGAATTCCGAGGTGAACAACACCATCATCCCAATCTTGACCTTCTTGACCAGCAGCATCTGCAGGGAAAACCCGACGAGCAGCAGGTCAGCGATGAGCAGCGTGGTGAGGATCGAGACCATGCGGGCATGAAAGATCCTTGGCACGCTTGGTGACTGCATGATGGAAGCGACCCGTTCGGCGGACAACCAGTGAAAGATCTTGAGAAACAGCAGCACGCCAAAGAGGATGACGAAGGAGACGCTAAAGTCATCCCTGAAGATCGAGACCGCCAGCAAGGTGCCGACGAGGCTGTACCAGGATCGCTCGCAGACGAGCTCCACCTCGCTCCGTCGCAATTGACCGAAGTAGAGCAGCTGCAGGATGCGACCTGCAACGAGCGCTATGACGAGGAGGAAGTTGAGAAGGACGAGCAGGCAGCCGTTGGAGCGACCGAGGAAGACGACGGCGGCGTAGAAGTTGCTCCGCTCATCGAAAGCGAGGGCGACGGTGTAGAGGGCGGCGAGGGTGGATATGATGCCGTAGGCGTAGATGCGCGGGCGGGTGACCCACGACATGAAGCTGTTCGCCGGCATGCTGAGGTCGAACGGGTCAGCGATGTGCTGCTGACGATCGTGGGGGGCCGGGTGGTGGGGTGCCTTCGACTAGGCACGATGTTGAGAAGGCACCATGCAAGGCGCGGCGAGACTCTTGCCTCGGCAGTGTTGGCTACTGTAGACCTTGCTGCTCCGTAATGGGATTCCGTGAGATCTTTGTAAGTATGATGCAAGGAGTTGAGAGCGAAGGTGGGAGAGTGGAAGTGTTGGTCTGTGAGTCAGATGCATGTGCCTGTGCTCAGAGGCTCCAGCTCACCCTGCCTGCCTTCTCGCGCGGATTTCCCGTGTGGAGAGCCAGCTAGCTCCACCCCGAGTTCCGCAAAAGCTCGCCAAAATTTGTTGTTCCCCACACCGTACCTTCTTTCTTCCCGACGCTTCCATCGATGCCTACACCAGCAGCATGTCGAGCAAGAAGCTCACGAAGGTAAACATGCGCACAGCCTCCCATAGTGAATTCTAAGCGATGCAAGTCTGACCGGTATCCGCCATCTCTTCGAATCACAGTTCAAGAAGGACGTAGCCTCCTCATCGTCCTCCTCATCCTCACCGAGACCTACCTCCAGCACAACGTCACTCACCATCCCGCAAGCAAACACCCTGCAAGCGCAACACCAGGAGCAGCTCGCGCGACTCGCTTCGACAACGCTCCCCAACCTCGCTACCGCTCATTCGCGCCGCTTCCTCCACCTCGCACGCTCCCAGACGCAGACCGATTCGCTGTGGGCCACACAAAAGGTGCAAGCTGTGCGGTACAGGAGAAGCTTATGGGCCGAAGACATTGAGCCTGAAGTAGAGGGCAAAGGGGAGGAAAGGGTGGTGCCGGACTTCTATCATAAGCATAATGGGCGGTGTGGACGATGTGCTCTGCCGCTCGTGCCGGGGCTGAATCAGCGCTTAGTGCGGGATAGGGGCGCGAAGAGAGGAAAGCAGCGAGGGAAGAGCAAGCGTGTGTTCGAGTGCACGCTATGCCATCACAAGAGTCGATCATAGGAGAGTCGGAGCGCACGAGTCAGACACTCACACATATACCCAGTCGAAGCATATACCACACGAACAGTGAAATGCAGCATCGGATCGTTCGTCACCCATCACCTGGTATACATGTGTGCTCGGACGAGGTCGCCTTCTTTGAGTCGACAGATCGAACGAGCATGATTAAAAAGAGCGTGTTGTACATGGTCCGCCATCCCGGCCCGAATCGTTAAGATGGAGCATCGAGGCGTGAGGGCGCATCTCAAGAGGACCGCCGATGGTGGCATACGGAGGAAGGGAAGCGCGCTTGAGGAAGAAGGAGGGTATACGCGCGATGAGTTGAGGTGACGGGACCACGAGAAAAGGATGGATGCTAATACAAGAATGAAGACGGGGCAATCTTCGATGGCCAGATTAGGTTGCTGGCTCTTCTGCGAATACATCGACCTTTCTCTTGTGCGACGTCAAGATGGTGCTGCGTCGATGGCTAGTATACAATGCCATCCGCTGGCGGCCTTGAAGGATTGCCGAGGCCAATGATCGACTGCATGGCATCCACAATGGGCCCAATGCGGTCGTCAACAAAGTTGCCGGCAACAACCGCACTGGGATAGCGGCTGTCGTAGTAGAAGTTTTGCGTCGAAGTCGGGAGATGGTTGAGCTTCCTAAACTCTTCTGCGTCGAGAGTATGCCGGTGGATGTGGTAGATGTCGCGCGAAGTGTTGAGCATGAGACCAGTCGCGAGACCGACGGCCAAGACCATCACCATGATGGAAAGGACGTTGGCGCGCAATACAGCCGAGAATGACTGCAAAAAGTTCTGCGGCTTTGTTGAATTGACTTGCGCACATTGTGTGTCTGCAAAGCTGTCCGGCCTCGCCGTCGCAGCTACGGTCTCGACGGCAGCGACTTCAGGAACATCGGTCTGGATCGATTGCGTGACCATCTCGACCGATTTGCGGGCCTTGCCGACCCTCCTTCGACGTCGCTGGATGACGGTTTCGACATAGTCGTCGACATTGCTGGTGTCGCCATCCTTATCTTCCACCTGCGTGTCTTCTCCCGAGGAATGTCCGTCCAGCTCCATGCTTCGGGCGAGCTCGTTGCCGAGACGTCTCGTCATGGTGCCGGGATTGCTCGACGGCTGGATGGAGGACTCTTTGCTGTGTAGGGTGGTAAGGCGACGCACCTCGTCGAGCTCCATTTCAAGCGTGTCCACCGTGCTTCGGAGCTCTTCGGTCTCCTCCTTGTACCCCTGTAGCTTGACAGCTTCCATCTTGACCTTGTCAAGCTCTTGCTGCAATTCGTGCTTGGCGTCTTCGGCAGCGTTCTTGGCCTGCTCGCATTCCACGAGATACTCGGATAGCTCTTTGGCTTCTTTCACCCGACGATCCAGGTCCGCCTTGGCCTTGATGAGCTGACTCGACTCCTCGTCGAGATCTCTGCGCAGCTTGATGCTCGCCTTCTCCGCCCCTTCGACCTGGGTGTTGAGAGCGGTGAGCTGCAACTCGTAAGCGTTGTTCTGTTCCTGCACCTCAAAGTACTTGGTGCGAAGGTCCTTGTCTTCGCGACGAAGGGATTGGATCTGCTTGTGCAGCTCCTCCAGCTTTGCCTGTTCTTCGAGCATGAGCTCTTCGTACTGCTCTTGCGAAGTAGTGAGCTTGTGCTCGAGCGTGTTGACGCGCCTCTCTTTGTCCGAGAGATTCTGCTGAAGAGCATCGTTCTTGTCACGCTCGATTCGAAGATCTTCCTTGAGATTGAGGATGAAAGCAGCCTCAGCGCTGAGTTCTCGTGACGAGTCACGACTGCTGTCGCCGTCGCGGATCAGGTACTCGTCCTGGCTCAGATCCGCCATATCGTCAGAGACGCCAGTCGGGGTCGAGTCGTTGCCAGTGCTGTGTGACAATGCCCTGTCCATGAGCGGAGGGGTCTTGAGACCAACTTCGTCCGAGAGGACGGAGCGTGCGCTGGACTCGAGCTCGAGAATGAGTTTGACGAGCAAGTCGGAGGAGATGGGTACGTCCGGATTCTCGTCTGCGAACACCTCGAGCTGGCTGTAGACCTTTGGATCGATCAGAGGGTGCTCCCTCTGTTTCTCAAATTCGGACAGCACGGCCGGTAGATTCCGGCTGAGCAAGGTCGGCTCATCCTGCTGATCTGCTTTTCCGCTGTCGTCTTGCTGTGCTTGGAAGTCGGGAATGAAGCGGTCAAAGAGAGCTTCGACCTCGTGTTTGAGCTCTTCCATCCTGCCAGGGTCTTCGGATGCAACGGATAGGCCGCAGTTGAGAGGAAGAATGTTGGAGAGTTGGCTAGACTCGGATTTTGCGTCCGCCGAGACGTCGCTGCGGGTGGACAGGAAGCCGCCATACGAGGTGGCTGGTGTGTTGTCGATATCATCGTCATCTTGGGATGGACGCTCCTCGTCAAAGTCGAAGGAAGCTGCGCTGTTGTCCGAGTCGGACTGGGTTCGGCCATGGCGGGGTTTGAGATGTACCGCGTCCATCAGTCCAGTGACTGATTGCGCCCCTGTATCTTCAGCGTCGGTCTCCTTAGCGCCCATCGTTGCGAATGGCCGTGTTCTAACGGGGACGTTCGTCTGAGTCGCGGACTGAAGCGTCGCTACAGCTTGAGCAGGGTGTCTGTGGGTGTCATGCGGAAACCAGAGCTGTTGAGAAGGTATCAAGGGAAGGCTCAAGGATGCCAAATGCCTAATCTCGATTCCCGCCTCGAAGCTTCATGAAGTGTGGACTCGAAAGGGCGGTGGGTGGAACGGCTCGGTGAACTGCGATTTGCTGGTGCGGAATATCGGAAGAATGCCGGCGTGGGATGAGAAGGTGACACGGATGCGAAGCCGGAGGTAGCAAGGCGTACGTTGGGAATGTCAAGAGGAAAGAAGGAAGCGAGGCTAGAAAGGTCAGATGATGGAGCTGCCTCGATGTGACTTTTAAGGACATGCAGCCGCATCCGCTGTGGGCGCGTGACGTTTCTCGGTTGTCAGACGTTGAGTGGAGTTGTCCGCCTTTTGGTTGAAGCGGAACAAAGAACTCACCGCTTTTCGCTTCATCCTGGACCCTGAACGGCAGCAACAGCAGCCAACGAGCGGACTCAATTTGGCCAACGCCCAGCGAGCTTCGCCTTGCATGTGTCACATCTCCAATCACATCCGCTGAGCTCGAGCCTCACTGAGCCAGGCATGCACTCTTCCCACTGTCTCTGTCTCACGACGGAGGGGAGAACAAGCTTTGAACTTCGACCTCGCATCTCTAAGATCATTCGGGCCGTTGAGCTTCGGAGAGGGGCGGCTCGTTGAGAGGGAAAGGGGTCAACTGACAGGCCCCCTTTAGGACGTTGTCATGCTGAGAGCCCCCTTTGTTCGCATCGACGATCTGGACCCCATCCGGCAAGTATTTTCCTGGCTTTGTTTGGCCCAGCCGGCTAACAGTAACGGCCAAAAATTGGCGATTCTGGCACGCTTCTCGCGGTGCGGATTCGGAAGGATTGCCGAGAGGCGGAAAGGGTCCAACGCACTCTGAGAAGTCACACCGACACAGACACCGCCTTCTGACGCACGGTTGATGTTGAGCCTCTCAGTGGGTTAAGCTCTTTGCAGACGACCGCCAACTTCCACCTCCGTCCGTCGTCGGAAGGAGCCCAATCAACTCGGATTCGCCACCGAGAGTCGTCGGACCCACCGTCAAGGCATTGAGGTTGCTGATTAGGCCCACAAGATGGCTCAGCTTCTCACGTCGGAGCTCACCTCGTTGGGGCTCGAGGCCAGACGGAAGCATCCCGAAATCAAGCAGGCCACCGACAGCGTCCTCGCTCGGCTCAAATCCGAGCCAGATGCACTGCTTGCGTCATCACGTAGAGATGCGGGACCGCCTCAAGATCACCCTCTGCTCAGGCCTATCTTGCTCAGCTGCGAGACCAAGCTGCCCAAGGTCATCTCGCTGGCCATGGCTCTACTCCAGCGAATGCTGCTTCAGCGACTCGTCCCAGACAAAGCTGTACCTACCATCGTCAAGACGCTCAATCAGCTGCTCACGCCACCAAGCAGGAGCGACGTCGATGTCCAGCTCAAGATCCTCCAGATTGCCTCGGCGCTTCTCTCATCCTATCCATCATTGCACAATGCCGACCTCTCAAACACGCTCATGCTCGGCTTCAAGCTCCACGAAGGCAGCAAGGTGGCCGTCGTCAGCTCAACGGCAGCGGCAACGCTGCGTCAGAGCGTCATGGCTGTCTTTGACAAGGTCAAGGACGAGGATGCTGTCCTTGATGGCATCACAGGAGGCGGCGAGGAGGCCGCCGCATCAGCGCCATTGGCAGCCATGTCAGTCGATCTACCAGAGGGTTCGGTGACGCTCTTCCCCTCATCACGCGATGCATACCTCGTCTTCTCAGACCTATGCTCGCTGGCTAATGCTGAATCCGCCACCTTCCTGGCTCTCGACTCGCTATCCAAGACCTTCTCGCTCGAGCTCATCGAGAGCGTCCTGTCCAATCATCAACGTCTGTTCGCCTCCGCTGCCGGAGCAAAGGCGTCAGCAATCTCGCATCCAGAGCTGCTCTTTCTGCTGCGCTCCAAGGTCTGCCCACTACTCATCAAGAGTCTCAGCGAGCCACCCGCATTCCCCATCCACCTTCGACTCATGCGTCTTCTCTTCCTTTTGCTACGCCAATTCAGCTCTGACCTCGTGCTCGAGGTCGAGATCCTTCTCTCGATCCTGCTCCGCACCGTGAATCCTTCATCGCAAGAAACCGCGGCACACGGAGGCTCTCAGCCTCTGCTCTGGCAGCAGGTCTTGGCTCTAGAGGTGCTTCGCAGTCTCTGCTCCGATGACGTCTTCCTCCGCAACCTATGGGCTTGGTACGATTCAAGCAAGGCTGGCACCAATGCCAACGAGGCAACCAGCGGCTCCGTCCCTGTCTTCTCGAAACTAGTCGAGACTCTTCAAAGCGTCCTTTTGCAGGGCGAGCATCTCTTTGCTTACGAAGCGTCGATGCAGGGCGTTCCAGGCAGTCCTCGAAGAAGCCGCGTTCGCCAGAGCGCAGAACGAAGCTTCAGTGGCCTATACGAAGCTGCAGCAGGCGTCGCCAGCGCTGCCATGTCCGGCATCAAGGGATCGACCGAGTCAAGCGGCACCGAGTCTTTGTCTGCTGCAAGCTCGCCTTCGGTTCAAATCATCGATCAGCTGGATAAGATCGAAGCGCCCAGCGTCGCGTCAGCCGCTCTGCCAAAGACATATGCACAGCTCCTCGCGCTGCAGTCGTGTCATCTTCTGACGCAGTCCATGGCCCTGTACGCCCTACCGCTCTACTCGAAATTTGTCAACTCCCGCGGCAAGGACGCTGCGCCAGCGCCTCCGGCTATGACAGCCGCTGACATGGACGCTCTCTCCGACTCTCAAGAGCAAGAAGGTCTAAACTTGACCAAATCAATGCTGAGGTCTTCAGCGCTCCCTCTCAGCGACGTCCTCTCCAGATACCTGCGCTTGAAATGCACGGACGCCATCTTCGAAGAGACGCTGCTAGCGCTGAGGAACCTCACCAACGTCACCGGCGCTCTCGACCTAGTGGACGAGCGTGATGCGATTCTCACCATCTTCATTGCGCTTGCCGTCCCTGGATGGGATGCTGCTGCTCCCGCTGCGGTGCTGCAGGCTGAGGACGGCGTCTCGATTCGCCACCTTGCCTGCCTCAGGGCGTATGTGCAGGTGGCGTACTACCTCTCTGGCGCGCTCGGTCCTTTCTGGTATCCTGTACTCAGCGGGCTGTGTAGCGCCGAGGCGTTGCTGGCCTCTGCCAACGCACCAGCACGAGCTGGGAAAGACCTCGGTCGAGACCCCAATACAGACGAAAACACTGCAGGTCGCAATGGCCGTGTCACGCTTTCCACATTGACACACGGGTCCATGAGCTCGCTTGACACACGATCAGGGCGCAATCAGTTGCAGCTGCTCAATGTCGCAGATCTGCAGCCAGCACGCCTTCAAGCGCACATCAAGAGCGTCTTCGAGAACACGGCATCCCTCGCAGACAGCGCTTTCCTCTATTTCGTCTCCTCCCTGTGCCGAATCAGCGCTGACATGTTGACAACCGCGCCGTCAATTCTCAGGTCGGCAGAAGCGGACGGCGGACCCACATCTCCTCAAGCTTCTGGCTTCAGAAGAGGCTCTCGAGCTGAAGGCCCTACGAGCTTTTATCCCATCACCTGTCTAGATCTTGTCGCAACCTTGAACACGAGGCGGCTCTGTTCGCTTCCATCAGATCAGGGCTGGGACGCCGTGACCAGTCACCTCAACGAGACGCTTTCCAATCCGGAACTTCCGCCCACGTGGCGATGGCAAGCTTCGCAGGCTGCGAACAAGCTCGCTTTCGGGGCCATGACCGAGGCAGCACAGGCTTCAGACGAGGCCGACAAGTCCCGGTTGCAGAAGCAAGTCATGCAAATTCTGGCCAATGCCGCCGTCCTTGAGGGCAAAAGGGCTACACCGGTCGACATGGACATCAGAACCTCCTCGGTCGACAACCTAAAGAGGATCCTCGAAACCTTTGGGCATTCGTTGGTCTTTGGTTGGGACTCGATCTTCGAGATCTGCTCCGCAACCTGCAGAGCCGACAAGAGGAGTCCGCAAACTGAACAGCCCTCGTCTGCTTCCCTTCAGAAAGGCCAGCTCGCTCTCGTCAAGGCTGGCTTCTCGTGCCTGCAGCTGGTCTGCTCCGACTTCTTAGCCGCCTTGGACGTCGAACAAATTCGCAAATGCTGCAGCAATCTCAACGACTTCGGAAGCCAAGAGTTCGACGTCAACGTGGCGCTAACCGCCAACGGGTGCCTGTGGGGCGTGACTGCCGAGATGGCGACCCGAGCCAAGAAGACATCAACAGAGGCGACGGCAGCCACTGTCGACAAAGACGCACAGCCGCTTTGGCTCTTCCTGCTCCAATGCTTGCTGTCGATCGCCCAAAGTCCAAGGTCCGAAGTACGCAACGGCGCGATCTCGAACCTCTTCCGCGTGCTGCAGCAATACGGCGATATGCTCAACCCTGAGGCCTGGCAAGAGATCTTGGACAGCATCATCTTTCCGTTGATGAAGGTGCTCGACGCGTCGACATCAGCTCTGGAGAGTGGAGTCGAAGATGGAACGTCACAGAAAGACCGACAGGCGCTGATGATAGGCACGCTTCCGAGCGAGCTCAAGCAATGGCAGGAGTCGCAGAGCTTGGCCTTGACACAATTCGGCGAAGCTGTTCGATCCTTCTTGCCATCGAAGCTGATCCGCAGCAGCGCCTTCGAGGAGACATGGACAAGGCTTCTAGACCTCAGCTCCCGAGCCTTCCTTCAGGGTCCCGCTGATCTGTCGCAAGCGGCCATCAAGTGCTTGGCCTCCGCCTTGTCTGCCACCGTGGACGACGACAAACACGTCGGCGAAGCTGAACGAGCCAGAGTACAAGCCGCCTGGTGGAAAGCCTGGGATAGTTGGGTTGCCGTCGGAGAACAAATCCGTCGACGAGATCCTCAGCCGCCGGCGGAACCAAAGCCGGACAATAACGAATCGGCCGATCCTTTCCGCTTCACTCAGAAGAATCTCTTGGCGTACATTCAGGCCTTCCAGCCCATACACCGGATTCTGCGAGCCGAGTTCGACGAAGCAAAGGTCGCTGCGCTCTTCTCGTGTCTCAAAGGATGTGTGTCCTACCCTCACAGTTCCGACAACACGCCGGATCGAAGTAGCCTGACCAACGTACAGGAGGCAGCCCGCGCCACAGCCAGATCCGTCGCAGGAGTCAAAGCGGTCCCTGCACTGATGCTGTCGGATCTGTCAGAGTGCATCTGCCTAGCCTACTCCGGCATTGATGCTGGCACCAATGCGGGCAAGAAGCAGCCTACCTTCATCGCTCTATCACGAGCAAGCATCGATGAAGCTTTCGACTTTTTCGTCAAGCATGAGGACGATGCGAGCATCTACAACGCTGGTGCCGTCGAGAGTCTCATCTCTGCTCTGGTCATCCCTATCAAGCTGAAGTACGAATGCCCGGACAGCCAAGCTGGTGGTCTCGAGGCGCAACGCAAGGCCAACGTTCGACCCATCTGGCAAGTCGCAATTTTGACGCTGTGCAAGATCCTTTCGCGCTCTTGCCCTAAGCTGCACAGCAGAGCGCAGAAGGAGCAGCTTCCGTCGGAAACAGTAGAGCGTCTGTGGACCAAGGTCGTTGATGCTGTTGAAGCAGCAGTCCTGGCTGATTCTTCATTGGCCCAGTCTTTGCCCGCAGACGTCAAAAACGCCGACGAGCTTTTCGGTCTCCACCTTCTCAGCACCATCGAGAGGTTCATCCTGCCATGTCTGGGAGAGAAGGAAGTGCGTGATCACCTCATCGGGCGTGTGGCTCGTGCTTTGACGCTTGGCTCAAAGCTGTACACCTTCGAAGCGCAGATTGACGCAGACGATCGAAGCGGTCGAGTCGACGATCCCCAGGAGACGACCAACGAGCGCTTTGCATACTGGTGTTTCGATCTGCTCTTCCTTGCCTGCTCCGCTCGCTTTGGCGGGAGCCACTCCCAGGAGTCTGCGGATTCGGACGCGCAACGAAGGGTTGCTACGATCCTACTACGTCACCTCATCGCCCGCTGCGAACAGACGCTGCTGTCCTTTGCTCGCGACCTCGAGATCCGCGGCATGATCCCCATGCAGAGGATCCGCCAAGAAGAGCTCAATTACATCCTCCACAGGTATCTCGAACTGCAGCTGTCGCCGAGCACCTATAGTCCGAGCTCCACGCAGCCGGACGGCGAGCCTGCTGCAGTCGTCGCATGGCACAGCTCAAGACGCGCCCACCTCTTCTCGGCCTTCCAGTACCTGTTGCTGCTCGTGTCGGCACGTCCTTCTTCAGTCGTCGCGAGCATCGGCACATCGCTCCCACCAATCGTACCGGCTGACACTGTAGGACTGTCAAAGAGCTTCAAGGATCTGGGCCTGGAGCTGGGCATGATTGGAACGACGTCTGATGTGTTTGGAGTGGGGAGTAGGGTAGAGGGCATGGAGAAGGTCGCTGCGAGAGATTTGGCTGCGCAGGCGTTGACACTGGTTGGGGCCGATTTGGGCGTGCCTGTTCTGCCTGCTTGAGCACCAACCAGCAGGTTGTGTCGGTCATCGACGCACTGTCAGACTAAACACCCTTCTATGAGAGTAATCCATCAATGCAGATGCACCACGCAGACGAGGCATCATCCTCGATCAAGCACGCTTGAAACTTGTCTTGTGTTGCAAGCTATCATGCCTCGGCACACACGCGCCCATCGCAGCGATCGTCAGAGAGGAGTGCAGTGCTCGACAGATACTTTACAAAGCGAATCATCAAATCCCCTTGCATCCTAAATCTCGGCCCAACCAGCAGGCCCAGCACGCTCCCCGCTCACCAGCGTCAACATGAAGACGACGAGATTGGCGCTGAACGCCATCCCGAAACCCCTGTACAGCGAGCGCAATCCGCCAAGCGACGAGTGGCCCGTCTTGGCGGCCAGAATGCCGGACTGAGCCATGCCCTTCGACCCTTCTTCGGGCGCCGTGCCGCCCGTCGCCTCCGAATCAGCCGCGTCCGTCTTTGGCACCGCCCTTGTGTGCGTCGCAACGGTCTCCTCCGTCACGATCCGGTAAATTGCCTCGACCACACCGACGTATGCTATCGGCCTTGTCTCTACGCACGTCCTCAACCCCCTCACACCCACATTAGCGCTTGTCAAACTCACCCCACCATGCAGCGTCGCACTGGTGACCCTCTTCTCGCTCTTCTCCTCCATAGCGCCGGCTGGCCTGCGCACCTGCAACTGCAACCGCCGCCTCACCGTCTCGATCGGCAGCGTGACACACAGTGCCGCGGTCGACAAGGCCAGCTCCGCCACGGCGTAGCTAATCGGGTGCGCGTTGGGCTCCAACCGCAGCGTGTGCTCGATCAACAATGGTGCACCGAGCGACAGCAGCGGGCGCAGGGTGAAGTCGAGGATGGTCGGGATGAGCAGGTTGGCGTGCAGGTAGGCGGTGCGCCACCCACCTTCTTCGCGAAGGATCTTGCGAAGCGCATCGTACGGCCCGGAGTACTTGCGGTGTGTGGGAAGGGTGGATTGTGCGATAAGGCGTGTTCGGACGAGGTCCAAAGGTGAGACGAGGATTCCGGTGAGCAGGTGCGAGGAGAGCAGCAGACCTAGCGTCTTGTACGGGTACGGTGCGTATGCGAGCGGGAGCGGGGAGAGCGCTGTGGGTGCGAAGAGGGAGAGGATGGACGAGATGATGGGTTGAACGGTCGACGAGGTCACTTCGAGGACGAACGATGTCAGCGAACCTTTCCACAATCCAAGCCAGCCTTCCTTGCCTCGACCGACCGCTTTCATCATCTCCCACACGCCACCGCGGACGACGACGGGCATGACGAACTCGGGTCGCGCACCTTGGTCGTAGACGCTCTTGCGCATCACATAGCCGGCCGCGTCGACGGGACGACGCTTCTTACGACCCGAGTAGAGAGATGTGTCGGTTCGAGGGGGTCGGGTGGTGGCATCGCGGAAGTACGCATCTGCATCCTCCTCGTCCGACAGATCCGCCTCCAGTAATTCATCGCCTTCCTCCTGCGCGTCCGCCTCGTCGTTCCACTCGTTCGTCTCGGGCGTCACGTCTGCCTCCCACCCCTCCGCCGCCGTCTCGTCTGTCGGCGCCTTCGTCTGTTTGGGAAGACTGCGTCGCTGCGTCAACGCAGCCTGTTGGGTGATGGACAGCCACACATCGTCGCGCGGCACCCACTGCACCTGCAGCAACAGCTTGCCCACCTCGAACGGCATCGCGAGGCACGTGCTCGTGTATTGGAGGGCGCCGCTGATGACGAGCGCGCGGAGGATGTCCCCGATGCTAGCGTCCGCTTCGCCGAGGGCGGCGGACGGCGTGGTGGCCACGTATGGTTTGGCATCGGAGGATGTGTAGCGGTTCGATTGCTTAGGTGCGATAGCGGCATTGAAGGGAGTGGAAGAGGTGGTGACGGGTGGCTTGGGTGTGCCTGTGGTGCTGAAGCGCGGAGCGGTCGCGATGAAGACAGAGTCTTCGGGCGGTTGATAGTATGGTCGTAGGGGGTGGGCTTGCGCGCTGCCCGATGGCGGAGGGGGTGCCGTCATTGTTGATGTGCCTGATCAATGCAGAGCTGGTAGTTGGTGTGACTTTCCGGTTGGCCGGTCAGATGGTGTTGATGGTGGGAGGTGTTGAAGTGCTGGCTGAAGAGCTGAGTGAAATCAAGGCGCGATGATGGACCCTTTCCCTACGGCTCGAGAGCTGCATGCCCCATTTTTCCACACAGCGTGGAGGTGTTGGACTCGTGACGAAGGCTGAGCTGTCCCACTCACCGCCTATCCCGCTCTAACACGCAACGGCAGGGCGAAAAATTGGCCGTCGATGTCGACAAGCATAAGGTTTTGACAATGGCAAGCTTTACTTCATTTGGCGCAGATGTCGGTCTGCATTCTGCACTTGGGCGAGCTCATGCAGTTTGAATCGTGTTTGAAAGCGTTCTACTGGACTTCATTTGGCGCAGAGACGGAGCAACGATTCTTCTCACAGGAGAAGAGCCTTGGAGATGTTCGCGTGCAGAAGCGGCTCAGCAGGCGGGAGAAGTCCTCTTGCAACGCGATCCTATCCTTCAAATCCACATTCCTTTCAGAGGTATCCTCAGCCGACGCGACGACAAGTAATGACCCGCCTTCGTCTACGCGAGCTCTTCTTCGCTCTTGGCTGCTATTTGCTTCTACAGCTCTGGAACTTTTGCGTCCAGGCGATCCTGCCGGCTGTATGCCTTCTTGTCTTCGCCTCATACACTCGCAACAACATGATGGAAGGAACCGAGCACGACAGCGAGTCCTTTGACTTCGAGCTCGAGAGACTGCGACTGCTGGGCGAGTCGCATGCGGGGCGTTCGGAAGAGGAGCGTCAGGCTCTTCTCCGCACGATGACTCTGAAGTCAAAGAAAAGGCCTCTAGAGACGCCGCATCAGTCGAAGCACGCCGTCGACACAGGTGGTGAGGATCGCATCTATTCGAAGGCGGATCGGGCGGGTGAGGTGGTTCCCAAAGAGCCTCAGCATCGATACACGCTCCGTCCTCGGTCCGTCTACCTGAATCATAGTCAGCGCGCCGTAATCCTCGCCTGGTTACACGACGTTGAGGAAGCTGACCTCGGACCCACTTCTCCAGCTCTAAGCTACAAGCCAACCAAGCTCGGACAGAGCCTGCCTCTGACCACTCGACGCCTTGCCGAACATCAGCTCAGCTCCAACGGGGGCATGCGAAGCTGTCAGGCTCTCGTTGACGCTTCTGAATGCAGATCATCCAGCGACCACAACGCTGAACCTCAGACGTCGCTTTTTCCCGTCAAGCACACCTCCGTCGCCAAAAGAGGCGTCGCAGCGGGGCTTCCGTCTTCCTTGATCATGTCGAAGTCGCACACGGTCGATTGTCTTTCCCCCACGAAACAAGCTGTGGGCGCAAAGGTTTCGGACACCAAGGCGGATCGTGCACAGGCCGAAAGAAGCACCATCAGCTTCGGAAGTTCGCCTCTGACCTCACTCACCAGCAGCTGCCGATCAAGTCCGGTCGACTCTCCACCTACGAGCGATGGGCACACGCAGATCTCAGTGACCAAAAGCGCTCAAGTGACTGCAAAGAGCGGCCTAGGGTCGGCAGAAGAGAATGGCCGCAGTGTCAAGCGCATTGACGACAAGCTGCCTCCCGTCGCGAAAGAGAAGGCTCCGTCTCACGCCGTTTCGCACCAGCCGACAACAGACCACAGAACTTCCGCCGATCGCCTCTTCGACTTGATCGCGAAGCTCAACGAATAGAGAGGGCACACCACGAAAGATCCAAGCACGGCGACGAAAGACAGGGAGGACGTCGAGGAGGAGACCAGAATGGTGGTCGATTCAGATTATAGTGATTGCTTTAAGGACAGCGAAGCGCGGGAGGGTATGGTATCGAGCTCCATTACAGAGCGTAGATTGGCTTGCTGGGTAGTCGGGAGACGAAGAAGGCGCATTTACTGCTTGTCCTTGATGGGGACGTCCTTGCCGGTGAGCTTCTTGCTGTCAGAGTCCAAGCAGAAGGTGAATGTATGCTGTCAGTGACTGATATGACTGATAGTACTGCGATGTTCGAGAACACTTACAAGCCGGATCGGATGCCGTCCGAGATCTTCTCGGTGGTGCCGGCGTTCTGCTCGTGACCAGCCTTCTTGGAGCCCATCTGGACAGCCTTGTCGAGAGCGTCCTGCTGAGGAGCACCGCCTTGTTGAGGAGCAGACATTATTGATAGAGTTTGACTGTGGGGTTTGTTGTGGGAGACGAAGAGTTGCGTGTATATATTTGAGACAGAATGGAGGAGCGAAAGGCTGCTACCTTATATGCACCTTGAGACTGGCCAACCTTCTGGGGACACTCTGCGCACAGCCTCTCAGCGTGAGCTTCGGGTCGGAGCTCAAAGAAGGCAGTCCATGTGCCAACGTCCCGCGGGCACATCTGTCCTATCACGACATTGCGAGACATCCGCCTTGACAACCGCTCTAAGCGAGGCGGAAGCACGCCCGCCTTCCGACATCATAACTAGCTCAGACGTGCGTTTGGCCTGACAACGGAGCGTCTCCTACGCCATGGTGTGCATAGTCTATAAACAGAGCCTGGACCTCACCTTTTCTTCCTCTCAAAACCTCCACATTCCATCATGGCCAGGTCTGTGCGCCGCAACGTGATGCACTAATTCTCGTAGTGACGAAACTTGGCAGCGGATAACCTCTCGGTAGCTTCGCCGCCGCTGCATGGAAGTCGCCGTCTCCTCGTCGAATCACGAATGCAAGCGAGGTGGAATGTCGAGCTCACAGTGATATCCGAGACAACCAACATCACCTTTTCACGGAAAGCCTTATCTCTCCGAAAGACGGTGTCCGTGTTGACGTCGTTTCCGAGCCGATAGTGGAAACCGTTCACTCATTAGCACCTGTTGTGCCATCATCGCACGAAGGTGGATCCGGTCCTCCAAGTCCCCTGTTATAAGGCACGAGAATACGACACAGTGCAGGAGAGAACAATGCTGGACCGGATTCGAAGGTCGTCATTGATGCCTGCGGTTCACGTTCCGTTTCCGGCCATGCCGGCGACTTCGATATTTTCGTACTTCCGCTTTCCCTACGATGCTGATCTTCTTGGCACGCAATGTCAGAGTGCCATGCTCCCTGAGCACACAACTCGCTCGTTTCTGTGCTCGCGAATGCTCGTCATCAGCTCAATGATCACACCAACAGATGAGGGAGTTGGAGATGAGGGAGTTGGACAAAAAAAGGGGCATGAACCCAACCCGATTTGAACGGATGACCTTCGGAATTTTCCTGTTTATAGAGCGACTGGAAGCCGACGCTCTACCGCTGAGCTATGGGTCCACAGCGCATTCCTTCCACGTAAGCTTGCGTTCAGAACTGGTCCGATATCGGGCCTGCTTCTCGCAGCTCAGGGTAAAAAAGTCGAGAGGATGAGAAGGTTGGCTAAGAAGAGCACAAAGCTGTCGTTTTCTTCATCTGACCGAAGTAGCCTCAGATGAACTCTCAACGTCCAAGTACGACACGTCTCGACGATCTTGTTGCTCTCAGGATGAGTGCAGCAGCAGCGGCGCCAAGGGTGCTCTATCGAGGGCCACCCGGGATGAAACGAGCACTCTACTACTTCATCGGAACAGTCTTCACAGGCGCAGGGTGCTACCAGGGCTTCCTCCTAACACAGCATCTCAGCTGGCCCATCTTGACACGCGATCCGGAAAAGACCAAGCTTGCGCCACCATTGCTCCGATATGCCGCGGGAGTCGGTGTTGCGGTGACGGGAGGCGGACTCGGAATGTTCTTCTTCTGGACTCCATCAAGGCTGGCGACTCGAGTGACGCTGTATCCGGCAACGTCGCAGATTGGCATCCGAACAGCAGCGAGGCCCTTTCGCGCATTCTTGCCTCCATCAATGCGCTCGAAGAGGAGCGCGCCGCTCAACCCGCAGGACCCTTGCGAACGATTCCATCCCCTGGACGCGCTCTACCGACGAGACAGGACATCGGCAGTCGAGATTGAACAGTTTGCGCAAGGCAAAGGGAGAAGGGTGGTGTCGGAAAAGTCAGGCACGCGACAGAAGGTGCCCTCGTCGATATTGATCGGAGAGGATGTCACGTTCGGATACCAGCTCGAGGCTGCACCTACACCACTGTTCGAGACCAAGGCCAAGAACCTGTACACGCAGTACTGGTCGCGATTCAAGCTTAGCCTTCGTGGCGAGACGGACTGGTCAGAGGTTGCGGGAAGCAGGGGTCTCACAGTAGCGGAACAAACGGCAAAGAAGCAAGCGGATCCAAAGGATCCATGGTTCATGGACCGCAAGAACTTCGACAAGTTGTTCCCAGTCAGATCCTTCGCCGGGAAGAAGTAGTACCACAGCTTCTCTGTCTTCTCCGTCACAATGCTCGCACATCGCATAGCACATCAATGTACTTTACACCAGCATCGCATTACTGTACACACGCAGCTTCACAGCTCCTTGACGTACTTCTTGAACTTTTCGTACAGCGCTTCTGACCGCGAGCTGCCGGCAAAGAGCTCTCGCAACTTAGCCTGATTGAGGTAAGTGTGGTCGTTCCAGTGGAAGCCTGGAGTGACGACCTCGGAGATCAGGGCGCCTGCTCTCGAGCCATCAGCTTTGCCGTTCTCCACTGCGGTACGATCTGCTTCTGGAATCTCGCTGACTTTCCACCAACCGCCTTCGACCAGGAGCTGCCGTATCTCTCCATTAGCGATGTCGTCGCCCATCACGACCGTCTTTGTGAGCGGATCGCCATTCTCATCGACAAGTCCTTTGCCGAGCGGCGCTTTCGCAGAGATGAGAGTGTACTTTGCTCTGCCGGCGTGGTGAACGTGCATCGTGGACGACTTATTGAGATGCAACACGCCGATATCGCTGCTCCATGTCTTGAATGGATCCGGCTCATCGGAGCTGCGGGCGTGGGAAGGTGGATCGGTACATCCGGGCGTCTTGTGACAAAGTAGGTAGTAGATGCAGCTGGCGATGGTCCGATCCTCTTCGTCCGAAGCGAAGGGCGATTTCATCGTCTCGGTCATGTTCCATGTGACTGCATAGTAGCCGCCCTCGGGATGAGGCTCGAGCTTGTAGTGTTGGATCAGCTCCTCGTTCGTTTGTGGGTAGTGGTAGAGTTGTGGCATCTTGGCAAGATTCGGCCTTGCCGTTAAGCTGACAACTGTGACGGTAGAGAGCAAGGCTATCAGACGTTTGGAGCGAAGCTTTCGGATTTCTTCCGACCTTGAATCATCGTCGGCGCTGCCGCAAACTGGACCCTGAAGCGGTCACGGTGGAGGCCGGAGGAGCCGAAAAGACTTCAGAAGAAGCGTCTTGTGTTGCTTTTGCGCAAGCTCAGGTCAGCTCCGCGTGTCAACGGCGCAGTTCCAAAAAGTGAGCTCAGACCAACACCAAGGGAGAGCCTGCGCCATCCCTTCTTACCTCCTCGCCACCCATCTCTCTTTCTACTTCTTACTCAGGCTCAATCTTTGATCTCAACAGTCAAGGTTAGCATTCTCTCCACGTTCCTTTGGTATCCTGAGCCTTCGCTTTCACCTTGCGTTCCACCGCAGACAGATCACTTCGCTTCGTGATAGCGACGTCGCTGTGTTCCTGAGTGGTGCACCCAACAACACCACGGCCCACCGATGGCCTCTAATCGTCAAGATGCAGCTGCTTCGGCTTCGATCGGCACCATAGCCAACTTCTTTCAGCAGCCGGGTGCGCGCTGGCTCGCGCTCGCCGGTCTCGGTACGGGCTCGTTGCTCCTGGCAACACGATTCTTCCCAAGGCCCCTTCCTAAAGGCAAGGACACTGCCTCAACAGATCGCGACGATGGTCAACGCGAGTCTTCGCCTCCTGCTGCTGCGAATGGAAAGGCGAAACGAGAGCGCTTCAAGGAAGACGTTGAACCCATCGCCATCTTCTGGGATGTCGACAACTGCGCCCCACCCACTGGCTCCTCTGGCCGGTCCGTGGCACTCGCCGTGCGCACTGCGATCCAGGGCCTCAATGTCGGTCCCATCGTCAGCTTCAAAGCCTACCTCGAGCTTTCTTCCGAGACACAGGCACCGAATGCCGCTCAAGTTCAGCTCAGAAGCGAGCTGCAGGGATGTGGCGTCAGCCTCATCGACACCCCCAAGAGCGGCCGGAAGGACGTCGCCGATAAAATGATGATCACCGACTGCCTGTCGTTTGCGATTGATCAAGCGGCCCCAGCTACAGTCGTGCTCATCTCAGGCGATCGAGACTTTGCATATCCGCTCGGCATTCTCAGAAACCGTGGATACAATGTTGTGCTCGTGACACCGCCAATTGGCGCACCCCCCATCTTGGAAGCTTCGGCCAACGTAGTCATGTCTTGGCGACAAGACGTGCTTGGCGTACAGACGAACAAAGATGGAAAGCTGTACAGCACCTACTCGAATGCAGGACCGCATACACCCTCCAAACAGGCTCACTCCCACACCGCTGCCGGTCACGCCCCTTCTACGTCTACCCACAACGGCTCTTCGGTCCCCAAACCTCCTGGCGCTCTGGCACATCAGGACCGCCGCCCTTCCAATCGTACGGTGCAGCTCTTTGGCCCTCTCATCAAACTTCTTGAGCAGATCAAGAAGGAGGGCAACTCGAAGCCATTGCGTTCAGCAGTAGCCGCACGTCTGGTCCAGCAGGACAGGAGCATCTTTCTCAATGCCGGCGCAGCGAAATGGGCCGAGTACGCTGCTGTCGCCGAAGCCGCAGGAATCGTGACACTCGGCTCGAACGGACAGGCCGGGTACGAATGGGTCTCGCTCAAAGATTCTGCCAAGACTGCTGCGTCGTCCACGCTCATGACGCCGACGACTTCAGCTAGCACTCCTACCCGTCAGAAGTCTTATTCGCACAACGCCACAGCCACGCCCAGCTACAACCCCTCCGATACCGCAGCGCGGCTCAAACCCTTTCTGCCGCTCATCGAGATTTGCAAGGAGCAGCGATCGCAAAACGTAGCGCGACCTCTTTGCTCGTACGTAGGCATGCAGCTATCCGCCCTCGCGCGACAGGGCATTGTCGACGCCTACGCACTCGCCGGTGTCCCCGGCTGGAAAGAGTACCTCGCTGCAGCCGAGAAAGCCGGCATCGCCCGACCCGCTCCCACCGACCAGGAAGGCGTTCTCGTCGTCGAGCTGCATCCAAAGTACTACAACTGGCAGACGAACCAGATCCTCCCTTCCGCAAATCGCATCGCCGACACGGCCACCACCCCCTCGCCCTCGGTCGACAAAAAGACGTCCCCGTTCAAACGCGCGATCTCCGACCTCTCCTTCAAAAGCACCCCCAAGACGGACACTACCCAACTTTCAAAGCAAAGAACCATTGTCAACGGGCACGAGATCCCCCTAGCCTTTTCGCCGCTCGCAACGCTGCTGTTCGAACAAATGCTCGAGGGCCGCAACTACTCGACCGACTACTTCTGCCAGTCGATCGTGGCGAGTGGCCGAACGTCGGTGGTGGTGCCCGAGCTGAAGGTGCGGACGGCGGAAGAGTTTGCGGAACATTTGGAGGCGGCGGTGGCGGCGAAGATCGTGACGACCGAGCCAGGGTTTAAGCCTGGGGTGAGGCATGTGCGGTTGCATCCGAGGTTGGTGAAGATGGGTGGGAAGACGAGTGTGACTGATGATGAGGGGTCGGATGGGGAGGCGAGCCTGGGGAACGAGGCGCAGGATTTGGCCGCGCTGAGGGAGCAGACGAGCCAAGTGCTTGCCGACCTCCAGCGATCGACGTCGTCGGAAGGATACACCGCTTCCGGCCCTGTCCCCGCTGACGACGGTGTCCGCTTCCGACCTCTGCTCGATAGCCTGCTCGCCCTCTCCGCAGAAGGTAGCGCGGTGACCAAGACGAAACTCTCGAGCGAGGTCGGCAAGCGCAACCCAGGTCCAGCGGGTATTGGCGCGTTCTACCAGTCGCTGGGCAGCACCGGGTTCACAGACTACCTCCAGCAGGCGCGCGAGAAGGGCCTCGTCAAGGCGCTCGATGCCGAAGGACAGGTGGTCAAGGGTGGGAGTCTCATCGGCCTGTCCGACTACACAGTTGCGGTGTCGCTGTAATCTCTCTTGCAGCGCACGTGGCAATCACTTCATTCGAGCGTGTCAGCCAGTCAATCAGACGCCTCCGTGATTGCAATGCAATGCCATTCCTCGACAAGAATTTGAATGAAAGTGTGAGACAGTGAAAGGTTGGCGTTCACATGTACGGCAACCCCTCGTCGTCGGAATCATCGTCGTCGGCGGCTCCACGACTGCCCATCTTGTCCCTGTCGCCCTTCAACTGGTCGTCCAACCTCCGGAAGCGCTGGGCGGACTCCTTGGGGTCGACGTACCTCGGTCCTCCGCTCGCGGTGGACGTCGGCGTGTCCACACGCTCGCTCGTCTCGGGTTGCGGGTAGATCTGGCGGACCGAATCGTCGTCGTACAGGCGCGAGGCGTGCGCGTATGGGTCGAAGAAGGATGTTCGTACTGGCGGGATCTGCGTCGTCAGACCGGCGGAGTGGGGTGGTGCTGGGTAGCCCGAAGTCAGGTCGCGCGGTGCCGAATGCGAGGGTGGAAGGGGGAAATCTGCTGACGAGGGCGACAAGTTTACGTGGTGCTGCGGGATGGGTGGGAGTGGCGCCTCGTATGGATTGGTCGGGTTGCGGAAGGGATCCGAGTCGGCTCGATCGCGATTCCAGCCCATGTTTCTCGGCAGCGGCGGCGGGAACAACGCTTCGTCCGGCACGACCGACTGGACACTAGCTGCATGTCCCAACGCCGATCCTCCCAACGACCCTTTCCCTCGATGTAGACTGATACTGCTCGAATGACCCCGCTCCATCCCCGCCCCAGCTGGCACTTGCGCCATCTCCGCGTTGCGGGAGAATCGATCGAATGGACTAGCTCGACCAGTGACGAAGGGTGAGATGCCACCCTGCTGGTCAGTGCTTGCTCCGAATCGGCCGCCTGGCATCCCTGGGTCGGCAGAACGGCCGCCGAATATCGTGCGCTTCTCTCCGCCTGCAAATACGCCGTATTCGTCTGGCCCACGTTTGCGCTGTCGTTTGCAGAAGAAAAACGCAAGACCCCCGATAGCTAGCGCCCCGAGCACGCCGCCCACCGCGCCACCGATGACACCGGTCGAAGTACCCGACTTTTCGGGTGTAGTGTTGACGTTGGCTGCTGTGTTGCCGCTCGTCGGGGTCGATTTTGGGATGTGGGTGCCCGTGGAAGTGTGGATGCGCAAAGTGGTCATTCGTGATGCCGCAGATGAGGTCGATACTGCTACCCGCGCAGCAGCTGTGGACGACGCAGCGGGAAGACCGGCAATCGCTTCGCTCTGTGCCCGGTTCAGACAAGCGGCAGACCGACCTGCAGCAACCGTATAGATGCTCCCACCAACGCCGCCCGTTCCTGACGAGCCTGCATCAAACGAGGCAATAGCAAACTGTGTCCCGCGCGCATAGTTGGCCGTCCAATCGACACTAGACTGCTTGCCGGTAAGGCGCAGTCGCGTAGGCACGTCGTTCTCGGGCATGATGAGAAGGTCGACTGGCATCTTGAGGCCCAGATTACCGCGATCCTCCTGCACGGTGATGCGCCAGGGGTCGCACTGTTTGGGAGCCGAGGCGGGTGGGAACCAGATGAAGTCGAGATGCTCGGATGGTGCGGAACACGAGCCTGCTTTGGAGAGACGGGTGAGCGAGGATGTGCCGGAGACGGCGCCTTTGCTATCGGACACGGCGACGATAACGTTGGAAGCGGATGGATAGCCTGGGACGTTCCAGTCGTACGACCATGTGTTGCCGGACATGTAGGAGGCGGGTAGAGAGACAGAGATGGGGACGTGGCCGAGCGGGGCGATGATGACAGTCCAAGGTGCGGTGCCGGAAGAGGTGTCCCAGGAGACCTTCACGGGTTGACATGTTGTCGGATTGTTGGACAGAGTCACTGAAAGGGGTGCGGCCAGCGCAGTTGAGGAAAAGAGTGCAAGCAGGGAGCTGACGAGCCGAGCGCGAATCAGTGGAGAGGTCCTCATTGTGGACCGGGTTCGGGGAAGCAAGGTGATAGGAATCGTGATCGACCGAGACCGAGGGTATCAATAATTGGCGATGGATCTATCGCTCGATTAGTGGGGAGAAGGTGTATCGCGGACTTGTGCTTCAGTGAGCCGACCGTCGTCGAATGGGCGGGAAGACGAAGAAATGCAAAGCTGATGCGGGCCGGCCACAGGGTATAAGACGAAGCAGAAAGAGTGTCGTTGGTAGGACGAGTGGCGACGCTGGACACGATTGGAGGAGAGACGACGGTGCTGAAACAAGCTACAGCATTATGAATGAGGACGACGAACGGATGAAGGGCGAAGCGGGAAGAGGTGAGGGCGATGGTGATGAGTGTGACGCTAGGGAGGAGTTGAATCGCAGGGCGCGATGACATGCTTCGAGCCAGACGGACAGGGCGAGCAGCTTCATCCACGGCAGCTTCCGAACTCTTGAGTCACGCTTCTCGTCTCGGGTGAACCCTAGCTAGAGCGAGCATTCGGCTCATCCTCTTCGCTTGAGCAAGAGGCTGCATGCCGAGCACCGAACCTCGAGCAAGAAGTCTAAGGGCCCTTCTCTGCGTCCCCGAGCTGTGAAGAAAGCTCACATCTCTGCAGGCACACTGCCGAGTTGCACTCCGCGTTCGACAACCGCCCTGCAAGCCTTTTTTTTTTTTAAAGTGTGTGTTTCAGACGCGAAGCGCGTCTCAACAGCGTTTTTCGAGTGACCACTGCTCAAGTGCCTGTTCCCTCCCATGGCTTGGCGCTCACATGCACAGATAGCAGATCCTTCCTTGTTGAGCCACTCAATCTTCGCTGGCATCCCCCGCAGTGCTTTGTCTCGAGCCCCTTTCTGCCTTGTCACAATAGCACATCACCCGAGCTGTCTTATGAGCAGCAAGGTCACCTGCTTCTTGGGCACGGTCTGCTCATGCACGCCCTCTGAGCACCGACGTCACTTCGGTACTGCAGGCCAGTCAGTGCTTAATTGTGCGCGAGAAAGCGATAAATAAGTTGCAATGTGATATGGAACATACGTTGCTTCGAGCTGTATGATCCCGACGGCTAGAAGCCCATGTGGGAGTCAAGGAAACGCTGATCGAACTCGGTTGCGCTGCCACGCACCGCCCCTGCAGACGAGTTGGGGCGAGCATGACCGCGCCCGTCGGCAAAGCCTTGGTGCTGCTGCTGTGGCTGGTGGTCGGCAAAGATGGGCGCAGGTCCGTTGTACTGGGTTGCACCGCTCATGCGATACCCGAAGCCGAGTGCTTCCCAGTCCGTCTCGAGCACTTCTCCGGCAGCTGAAGGCCCACCAACGGCCTGCGAGCCCACAGTGGCAGAGGGACCTGATTCGAACGCCCACCTCCCCCTCGCGTCTCCACCTGTCGCAGCCTGCACGGGGTCGTAGAAGCTGGTCATCGCCTCGTTGGGCGTGACTTGTTGCTCTCGAGATGGTTCGCCGAGGGGAAATTGCGATGCAGGCATGGTGCTGCTGGAGTGATGCGTGGCGTTCTTGTCCGGCCAACCCCGCTGGTCGCCAGACGGCCCTGTGGACAGCCCGGCTTCCCTGAAGAGAGCATCGAGCTCCATCGCGGAAGACGCCATCAATGACGAAATGTCAAAGTTCGACGGGCTGTCTGGGAACAAAGCGTTTGGGCTGGAATTCGAGCTGAAGCCGTACCAGGCATTGTTGTTGCTCGAGGGATCGACGATGTGGGACCCCATATCTAGTCCTCGGCTAGGAGTGGTCGCGTCGTTACCGTACGGACCTGCGTAGGCCGACGCCAGCCTGCCGTCCATGTTTGGGCTCATGCCATAATGGCTCTGTCCTGCCTCGCCGCGGTATGCCGCTGACTCGGCGGGCCAAGACAAGCCTGAGGCCGGTGACATACGTCCCGGCGCACTAGGGCCCCACCGCGCGGGGTCTGATGCTGATGACAACACAGCGTCGCTGGGCCGATTCGGAGCCGACTGGCGCCAATCTCGATCCTGTGAATACATCGGCCATGCCGACCCGGCCACACCTGACGCCGGCGCAGCCCGCTTGGAAGCGGATAGCGATCGCTTTCGTTCTTGCTCTGCCCCGAGTTTCGCCGACGCGGGCAACCCATTCTTGCCCGGGCTTCTGCTTATTCTCAGATCCTGCTCTTCGTCGTCTGCACCGCGGCGGCCTGCCGAGGCTTCCGGGCGGTGACTCCCCGACTGCGCTGCAGACATCCGATCGATCTTTTCGACCACCACGGACGTCGCATAGAACATGGTGCGCAAACACTTGCGGCACTTCTCCGCCGTCGCCCACTGTAGCGAGGATAGCACCTTGTCGCACGCCGCTGCAAAGTGATGAATCTCGTCCACCTTGTGGCGGAAGCCGAGCGTGACGCTGGACCGAAAGCTCGCCGGATCCGTAGCGCTGATTTGCCAGATCGCATAGAGATAGCTCGTGCATGCGATAAAGACGTTATGACCCGTCATCCAGGTGTAGTTCATCTGACCCTCTTTGGACAGCGTCGCGTACATGTTGATGATGCTGCGACTGCACTCTTCAACGCTGGCAAGGTCCTTGCGAGAGGCTTTGGGGAAACGTGGACTGAGACCGTAGACCATGAGCAGAGTCTGCTGGTAGTTGAGCTCGAGAAAGATGGGGTTGTATCCGCATCCGCTCGCTTCGAGATCGCTCTTGGAGGAAGGCGCGTATTGACGCCACGCATGCAGCCTGCGCAGGATGTCGGTCTTCCAATGGGCATACGTGTCGAATCGACGGGGCAGCTCTGCGTTTTGGTAGAGCATCGACTGAATCTCGGATTGGAGGATGCGTATGCGGAAGAAGGAGAGCGAGATCCATCGGCTGGCATCTTTTGGTTTAGGAAGAGAGACGGGGAAGGCTGGCTGTTCATGGGCGCTCGACTGAAGGGCTGCCAAAGTAGAAGCAGCTTCCCTGCGCGCGATCTCGGTCGAAGAATCAACATCATCCTCTGCGCCATCGGCACGCTGACCTTGACGATCCCCGTCTCCGATGGGTACTTCGATCATCTCATCCTCGTTGTCAACCCACGGCAGGTTGACCTTGATGTCTGAATCGGCGATGCCGAAGGGTCGGCCGAGATGCACGCAGACCTGTCGGTCGAGCGCGTACGAGCACCAGAAGAGTCGGCGCTTCTTCTCGACGAGAGTCTCGCCTGCATCCTGAGGTGGGTGAGCAGACGCTTCCAGCACGCCTGGTGACTCTGTGTAGAGCCCGATACCTGTTGTGAGGCGCAGCGCGACACCGAGGCAGTACCATACGCCTGGCTTCATGGGTCGCATGATGGAGTACAGAGCAGTGAGAAGCAGGCACTGAAGCTGCTCGAGCGCATCTCTGCCCATGATAGCGCCGACATTGCCGTCTTGCCCGGAAGCAATGATTCGCCTTGGGTCCAAAAAGCGCATGGCTGCTTCGTGGTGGTTCTCGGCACTCCAGCTGGACCGCGTCCAGCCCATAGCAGCGGCAATGGCAAACACGAGATGAAAGAGATGGCCGTCTGCTGGCAGCATTTCGATGCCAAGCTGGTCATCGTCGCTTCCGGCCTTCTGTCGATCCTCTGCAGATAGCTTGGCTCTCGCCCTTTCGAGGCCATTCTTGCAAGCTCTTTCGAATCGTGCCGTGAAAGAGGCCCGATCGAGGATGGGCAACTGGGGGTTGACACGCTCGAAGTAGGCATCGATGAGCTTTCGCGCCGTGGACAAGGGTGGGAAGGGAGCGGGTAGCGGAGACGGCTTGAGCGCTTGTTCGGGGGCAGGAACCGTGATGTCGGCGGTCTCGGTGGCAGTTGCGTACTGCATCGGGTCTCCGTCGTCGAACGGGGAGAGCTTCTTGGCATCGGACGGAGTGTTGCTGCCGCTATGAGGTGAGCCTGATCTCGCCTCCCTCTGCGGCTGCGAAACATCTCCATTGCCCTCTGCCCGAGCTTCGCCTCCTGCTGGCAACGACGAAGTAGCCTTTGCCCTTCTGCCGAGATCTTCGCCGAGGCTCTGCGTGCCATACTTGCGGGGGCGCGAGGAGGAACCGGGATCTCGAATGCGCAGACCTGCTTGCGCTGATTGTTGGATGGCCTGGCACAGAAGACGAGCGGGGGAGAGTCCGCTGGCGTGCGAATTGAGGCGGCCCAGCGATGGTCGTAGCTGACCTTGTCGCTTGTCGTGGACGGGAGAAGAGACAACCTCCACACCGCCGGGTCCGAGAACCAGTCCTGGGAGCGAATGGCTCGAAGTTGCGAGCTCTCGGTCCTCACGAGGAGACCCGGCGAGACGCTTGCGCGGTCGCGCATCGGGCGATCCAGCCGACTCGGCTCGGTCCAAGGGGAACTCGGTCTTGACGTGCTCGAGAGGTCGCTTGAAGCCCAACGAGCTGGATCCGGCCGAGCCCGAGGCAGGCTGTTCGGCCAACAAACGTTCGAGCTCTGCATTCTGTGCTCGGAGTTCGGTGATTTGATGTTCGAGATCGACGATATAGCTGCGACTGACTTCACGACCGGTGGCCGAGTCGATTCCGACGCAAGGCTCGCCCGCTTTGACGCAGGATCCGCATGCTGGGAAAGCCTGATCGCATTTGATCTTCTTGGATCGACAACGCTTGCAGACCAGCACAGCCCTGGCAAGCGGCTTGCCTCCGTGTGGATCAATCGAGTCCATGGTCGATGGCGAGTTGCGGGCTTTCTCGGGCTTGCGCTTTGCAGGCTTGGAAGCGGAGGCACTCGAAGGATCGATGGATGAGCTGGCAGCGCTACTAGGATTTCCGTTGGAGCTACCGTTGGTGGTGGTGGTGGTCATGATGCGCGAAGGGGGGAGAAGGTTGACGAGGATCAGTCGGATGGGCAGCGATGGAGACGAGCTCTCAGCGGAGCGTCGGCGGTGGTTTAGAAAGGTGGACTCTTCGCAACAGGATGGCTGTTTGCGACGAGACTTCTACGACTTGAGTCTCATCGTTTCGGTTGGTATGACGGTGCCCTCTTTATGTCAGCTGGTCATGAGTCAGAGCGGCTCTGCCGTTGCTGGTGTTGACTTGGAAGGCTGAGATTGTGAGCAACGAGTTAGGAACAGTGAGAAGCGCGAGAGCCCCGAGAGTTCAGGTCGGAGGAAGCCGAAGTCGAGGTGGTTGCAAGCTGGACGAAGCGAAGAAGCTTGATGAAGCCAACTCAGCCACCGAATGGTATCGAGCTTCGAATGTGATCCTCTCGGATGTAGTTGAGTTCCCACGCTTGGTCGGACTCGCCGAAAAGAGGACGGTTGCGCTTTTTTGTTTGGCTTTGACGCAGGAGTGAAATGATGCGACGATTGATGTCAACCGCTGACTTGGTCTGCTCGCAAGTCCCGACGGAAGGCAAAGCTGGATGAATGTGACGAACGTGATACTGTCGGTGTCCTCGGCGCTCGCGATGGCGTGGAAAGAGGATGCTGCTCTCGCGACAGCCGAAGAACCACAATCATGCGCAAGATAAGTCTCATCTTAGCAGCGCTTCATGGATCAGACCCTGAATCCGCACCCTCAACGTGGGCCGCGAAGGTCTGCTGCAGCCAAATAGCAGGCCACTCTAACACCTGCCAAAAATCGGGCCTTGGGCCGTGAAAGCACGAGCCAAGCTGGCCAACGCACTGCCACGCATGGCTAGCCCCCCTCCTGATTCAATTGGACCTTCTTCCATCCCCACTACCAGTCAAGGTCTGCATCCTCGGCACACCGAACCGACGCACGACATCCCTCCTTCAACGTTTCGCTCACACTCCAGCACTGCACAACGTTGATCACAACCATTTCTAACGTTGACTCAGTGCTCAGGATCTTTCCTCTCAATCGGTAGATCAGCAACCATGTCAGAGCCAGTGCAAAAGGGCGAGATCGACCTCACGTCGCTTGATCAGGCTCTCAATGACGGCGAGGCAGCCTCGAAAGTCTCCGCTGAGACGCTGCAGAAGAATTCGGACACCCTCTCACAACCTCCCGCCGACGTCGGCAAAATCGCCGCTGCCTCCCAGGACAAGGTTCCTTCTCCAGCAACCTTGTCGCCTTCCTCGCCGCGAGCCATGTCTCCCTCTACAGCAACCACACAACCAATGGCTGAACTCCCTCCGGCGGTAGCCGAGCTCAAGCTCATGTTCCCCGACCTGGACAATGACACGATTGCAGCCGTGTTGGCCTCGAGAGGCGGGGATCAGGAGGGTGCTGTCAATGCGTTGCTGCAGATGTCCGACCCGGAGTTCAAGCCGTCGACCACGGAGACAAGGACCGATTCGGATGCTCTGCTAGCACAAAGCATGGCAATGGAGGAGGAACAGAGACATCACGAGGCCATGGCGAGGCAGGCGCAGCAGGCGCAGCAGGCGAGTATGGGCAGGGGCGGCGGCGGGGCAGGGGCATTCTTCGGTGGGTTGCTCAACTCTGATGCCAGAGATACGCAGACAAGCTCAGCACCGAGCTACGATCCAAACGCGCTCACGTACCAGCCTCGAGTCAGGCGAGGTGCGCCCGGTAACGCAGCCGGTGCTGCTGCTGCTGGAGCTAGGGCCTCGTACCTTCCGCCGAATCATCCGCCGCCGCCGGCAGCATCGCCGTCCTACGAGCGAGGCGATAGCGTCATTCCGGGCATGCCAGGGGCTAAGGAAGCCAAGCAGTGGCAGGAGGAGATCAACCGTATGGCCGAGACAGGTCTGGCTAGAGCCGCTACCACCTTTTCCAACTTCCGTCAGAAAGCAAGTGCTGCTTTCAACAATCCCCAGGATGGCCAGGGTCAGCCCGGTGCAGCGGGCACCACCACCACCAGCACTGGAACCGCAAGCGGCCCAGGCTTCGCTCAGGCCTTCCAGAACTTTAGGAACAACGCCACTGGCCGAGGCTCGAGCACCTCCTCGCAAGGTCCGACCACGACATCTGCAACATCGCCCCACCAATTCACCTCGCCACGAACACCGCAAGCCAGCGAGTACGATCAGGACCCTTCTCCTGTGTCAGAGAACGAGTTGGCCAAGATCATTCAGCGTGGAGGCGGTAGTGGAGGATCTTCGAACAACGCATCAGCTGGCAAGGCACGTGCCTTGGCAGAGCGATACGGATTGGGCATCAAGAATGGCGGTCGGGACGGCGCAGGTGCCGCGCAGAGTGGCACCACATCGACGACTGGTGCTTCAGACTTCGCTGGGTGGGATCAGGCCGGTCGCACCCCCATCTCGATCAGTGACAACACGACGCCGAAAGCGAGCGAAGGGAAGGCCTCGATGGACTCGATTGCTCGCATGGACGCTGCCAGTGGTCGAGGGATCACCAGTCCCAGGCTGGATCGAAGCCCGTCCAAAGAGCGTGCCACAGGGGGCAAGGTGGGAGCAGCTGCTGTGGGTGGTGCTGCTGTTGGTGCGGGCGTCGGAGCCGCTCTAGGGTCCGAGCACGACGATGGTGATGCGGACGGGGATGGAGACTCGGATGACCTCGAGTACGTTAGCAACCCCTTCGAGGACGAGGATTGAGGCTGGCGTCGTGCGATCACAGCAATCACTTCTCGCACATGCCAATTGTACTGATGAGTGAAGGAGTTAATGATTCAGTGTGACGATAAAGAAGATGCAATGCGACGATGCAGATGGAAGAAGTGGTGACGATGGGGTATCAAAAGGAAAGAAACAAAGTTGGTGACATCTACACGAGCCGACCGAGCGGATCGCACCTCCAGACCCTAATAGCGTTACTGTCGTCGGTTGAGACGATGATCCTCGCCCTTACCGCGGCCTTCTCCCCCTTTTCTCGCTCCAAGGGATCCTCCGCCGCGGCCAGCAGCTCTGCCGTCGCAGTCGGCGCAAAGATCGCACAACGCACACTGCCCGCGCCCGCCTGCCAGCTCCTCCACGTCGAATTGTCGCCAAGATCGCCCACGCCGCTCTTGACAATCGAATTGCTCCTCTTGATCCCCGAGAAGAGATTGCCGAACAGCGTGGCGTTGCTCGCGAGGCTCCATACGTGGATCGAGGCGTCGTCGCTACCAGAAACAGCGAATTGGCCGTCCGTCGAGGTGGTGGCGCGGATCTGACTGTTGCGATTCACGTACGACGTCGCCTTGAGACGCGACACGAGACGGTGCGCGGCGATCGAGTAGATGCGCACGCGCGAGTCGTTGGACGTGACAATCATATACTCCGAATCGCCTTTGGTGGGCGCAGTGGATCTGCTCGAAGCGGCCGCCTTGACCTCCGGCGAGCAGGCGTGAAGAGGGATAGGTTGGATGCAGGTGATCTTGCTCGGCTGGGTGCTCTTGCTCGCCGCGGCCGATTTCACCTTGATGGCGTTGAGGTAGGAGAGCGAGTCGGTGCAAGCAAAGGTGAGCACGGAACCGGCATGCGTGCCGACGCACACGACGGCGCCGCTCGAGGAGAATGCGACCGCAGTGATGACTCCAGGCACGTCCGTGAGCGACTGCACCCGGCGAGCGGAGATGTTCCAAAGCCTCAGCTTGCCGTCCAGTCCACCGGTGACAAAGAATCGATCATCGGTGGGATGGAAGTCGATGGACGAAACGACGGCAGACGTAGTGAAGGTGCAGAGGCAGTCCTCGCGGTTCGGATGCCAAAGCTTGGCGGTCTTGTCGCTGCCGCAGCTAAGAAGGAAGTTGTTCTTGCTCCATGACAGGTCGAGGATGTCGCCGCTGTGGCCTGCAAAGACGTGAAGCGGGGTCGATTTGAGCACCGGGGTCAGCTCTGTGGCACCAGCACGTACATCCAGCTTGGTGTTGCTTCGATCCATGCAGTTAGATCCTTGCGAGCAGGTCGACGCGTTCTTTCTCTGTGCGGCCTCCTCTGCACGCAACGCCTGGGCCCGAGTGACCTCTACGGCACGCTCACATGGCGAGGAGATGACTTCGTATACGCGAATTAGGTGATCCGAGCCAGCTAGAGCAAGATATCGACCATCGAGCGAGAATTGCATCGCATAAGTTTTGCGCTTGGGCGTCGCTGCTTTGGGTCGCTTGGCCCTGCTGTCGTCGGGAATGTCTAGATCGGCGGTCATACTTGGCGACAGGGGCGGAGGTACGTTGTCGGAACCGGACGAATGGGAGCTCGAGGAAGTGGCGGTGGGCGCGATGGTCTTGAGGTAGCTTCCAGTACTCGTTTGACGTTCCATCCTGCCTCGTGGCGCATATTGCCGCTCGGTCGAGCCGTACCCATCAGAACCGCGAATGGCCCTACCGAGAGACGGACCACGTTCGAGGTCCACGGATGGACGACGGAGAGAAGCTCGACGCGCAATGGAAGGCGCGAGAGTCCAGCTCGAACGTTTCTCTCGATGCTCCGGAGCAGATGGAACGGTGAGTTCGGTTTGAGCAACAGATGGACTCCTAGCGCATGACATGCGCCTTCCCAGTGAGCTGGCGGGCGTGTTTGTCGAGGGCGTGTGGAGTTCTTGGGCGAGGAACACCTTGCCGAAATCAGGCTCTTGGCTGGCTTTGATCTTAGAGCGCAGCTTGAGCTTGACTGCCTTGGGTACTGGAATCAGGGTGTGACGATATGACGTGGACGGGTCAGCATCCAACGGTTGTGCCGAAGCGCTGGATTTGATGCTGTCCTGGCTGCGAATCTTCTTGACATGAGGGCGAGTGCATCCATTGCACGATGAGGATGAAATACTGCTGAAGGTGGCGGAACGATCCGGAAGAGGAGCCCCTTGCATGAGCTCGGACCAAGCGGCAAACTGCGATTCAGGAGGCACGATGGCAGGATCAGAAGGTGGGCTGGAGCCAGCGGTGTACCCTCCAGCCTGGATTTCATCCCGACGGCGCGCACCCGAAGAGGCTGAAGAAGCAAAGAGACCGCCGCCCAGCCGCCAGACGGAAGCGAGCTTGGGCGACGACATCGGCGACGGACTGGTAGGCGCAATCACGGTGAGTGCGGGCATAGGTGGAACAGACCTTGGCGATGATGGTGGAGATGGTATGTCTGCTTCGAGAGCTAAGTCAAGCACATCGATGGGGCTCTGTAAGGACTGTGCACGCTGTTTGCTGATGTGAAGCTCCTCAAGGTCGGTTGATAGGTCCGCAGATGGCTGAATACAAATGTCGCGGTCGTCGGTAAGCGTGCCTGGCGTGCTGCGGCCCAACAGTGAGAAGCGTGGAAGTCTGAAGCCCTTCTGTCGATGTGATGTTGGCGTAGTTGGATGGTCGCGAACGTTGGACGAGGCGTACGTCGAAGTGGACCACGATGAGGAGGAGGGGGACAGAGCCGGTCTCGACTCGGGAGGTGACGATGATGGAAAGCGGATCTGGGACGTTGCCGGCGGGGCACCTTCCTTGAGAGGCGAATGGTTATATTGGTTGGTGTTATGCGGCGGGGCGGATCGCCCGGAGGCTGAGCTCGCGTGAGAGGGAGGAGACGGGGTCGTCATGGTTGCAAGTCAAGAGAAGAGTCATGTGCAAAGGACATGATACCATTGACATGGCTCGGCGGAAGGATTGGTCAGAGGCTATGACAATGGCCGAAGGACCAAATGTGTGTGGGGAGGGGAAGGCCTGTCAGCCGGGAGCCGCGGGCTTAGGGCTGCAGAAGGGAGCTGTACGGGCCGGCGATACTGGATGCGTGGTGCGTTGAAGGGATGGGAGGTCAGATCGCGTGAGGGCGGAGCAGGTGGGTTGGATGAGTCGATGAGAGGAGATGGGCAGTTGCCAAGGCGTAAAGTGATGAGGGTCGGCGGCAATGCAAGAAGGAGGACGAGAAGGAGGAAGGAGTGCACCTCTCCATCAGATGCCACGGAGATATACATCCAGAGAAACTCGAGTGTATGTCACCATCAACCTCAATCTCAATCGTACGGCGCTGTGCTTGTGTCACGACTGTCAGCAGCAGCTTGCATGACGATGTACCAGGTCGACGCAGCTCTGCACTCTCTCACACTAGCTCGCACTGTCGACCAGCCCGAGGTTGGGATTCATTGGCATGAAGTCGCTCCTGTCAGCATTCGATATGAGAAAGCGGATGAGCTGATCTTCGCAGTGCATGCGCAAGCGCAAGCGCAGCCCAGAGTAAGACACTACGCGGCGTGCTCAAGCCTCGCAGAGGTCCCGAACCAGGGTCCCGAGCCTTTGGTCGCAAGCCAAGGCGACACACCGCAACTTTTTTCTCCCGTCTTGTCAAATGCACTAAACAGCAGCCGATACCGCTTAGGAACAGCGAAAAAAGGGTTGCGATTTTCACACGTAGGGCGCCAGCCCGTGTAACCAGCGGCTGGCGCTTTCCTGGGCTTGACATCTGCGTCGGGAGTTGAAATGCACCACACAAACGGGCCGGAGATCAGCTGAGTTGGCATCAAGCCCTTCTTCTTTCACGTTTGGGCAGGCGCAGCAGTGGTCTCACTGTCTCGCTCGGACAGTGGCTTCTGAGGAGGCTCTAATACTTTGAAGCGAACAAGGATCGTTCTGTGCGCTCGGATTGACATTGTTTGGACGTTGTTCAAGGCAGAGTCTTGATGGCAGATTGCGTCAAGAGCTCTGACAAGTTGCCGCGGATGGATGCATGGTATTCCCGGATCTTCACTTCCGTGGAGCTGAACTTTTTTTTCTCTCCCAGATTTGACCAGACTTGACCCCTTCGACTGCGCCACGTTACCACGCTCTTCGCGTCAGCACATCGGGTCACAGCCGAGGTCCGTCGGGCAATCACCATCCCGCGGACCAGCCGATAGTCGGCCCTGTCATCCATCCGACGGACCATGTGCTTGCATCACAACGTGTGATCTTTGAGCGGATAGAAATGCGATCCGAGAAGGTGCCAACGTGGTTCACAGCCTCCCAAGCGCCAGCGACGCGAAACGCGAAACGCTGAAAGGTCAGCTTGGACCCACGGGCCAGCCGAGCTTCTTAGCTCCGTCAGGCGAAAAACATTTTGCCCCGTTTGGAATACGACTTCTTTGTTCTCGAGGTCTTGGTGGCTGTCGATCCCGTCTCGCTTCGCCTCAGGACCGTCAGGCCATTCAAACTTGAGCACGGGTGCCTGTCCCGTCTGCCGCCGCTCCGCCGCATCAGTCAAGTGGCGACCTGGTTCGGGAACAAAGCTCGAAACCTCTGGCGCCTTCAGGCACGCTGACTGGCCCGCAGATTACTGGACCTGCTCCCGCAAACGAAAGTGTCAGCGCTGATGATCAAAACTTGCACGCGTCGGTAGAACTTTACGCGCAGCTGCGGTTTCAGGCTGTCAAGGGACCATCTGATAGGCTGCCCCTGGATTGAAAATTTTGCAAGGTCACTTCAGTCCGAGACAATGTTCGGTGACATTGAAAAGGCGAAGGAGGCAGCGAAGTAAGACGACGAGCGACGTGGCACAGGCACGACTCGAGGCTGTATTCAGGCACAGCTGCTTTCCGTCGATCGCATGAACACTTTACACCAGGAGCGGGAAGCTCAACGTGAGTCGCGTAGCAATTCTAATTTTTGGTGCGGTGTATATAATTACAACTACAACTCAATCAGGATACAGGCAAGATGGCCGAGTGGTCTAAGGCGCTGTGTTCAGGAAAAAGTTCTACAGGAGAATTCATCTCCATCGCAGTCTTCGGGCGTGGGTTCGAATCCCACTCTTGTCACCATTTCTTTTTGCCCCCTCGCCCTGTCTGAGTACAATCTGTGCTTCCGTATGCTTTCTTATCGACGCCAAAGGCTGCTGCCCACCTCACATGTTGGCCACAGCTCAGTCGTTGGGTGCGTCAACGATCTATGATTCGAAAGCGAGATACAGAGCTAAACCACATGAGCGCGAGCGAACCGCGAGGCAACAGGAAGCTCAACCTCCTCGCCCGGCTTCACAGCCCTTTGATACGCTGGCAGGGGCGGGACCGGCGGCACGGTCGCATCATCGTTCATATACTCGATGACGATCTCATTCTCCGGATTTGGGATTCCGCGGCTAGGTGCGCGTCTCCTAGCAGCGAGCGCCGAAGCGGTCCCCGCGCTCAGCCTGTTCCTGGCCGTATTCACCAGCGCCATACTCCTCCGTTTGACAGCCTTGACCTTGTTGGCCGCCTTACCGCTCTGTCCGGTACTCTTTGCTGGTGGCGGATGGCTTCTGCCACTGTCGGCGGTGAGAGCAGCACGGCGAGCACGAGCGCGCTCCCTCGCCCGCGCAGCTTCGCTTGATGTATACCCTCCAATACGGATCTGCGTACTGCTGGCGACGCTGGCGGCGCTGCACGATTGCTCGCTGTCTCGACGCGCGTTGGCCACGTGTCGCATCTCCCACTCGCCCTCCTCTCGAGCCTGGCTGAGTTCGTGAACAACACCCGCGCGGGCGTTCCAAACAAAGTCGCGCGTGATCGAAGACCTGTCCGCGTCGCCATTCATGTCAATCGTCACAGCCGAGGTCTTGCGCGCGTGCTCCATCCGACGTGCCCTCTCGGCGAGCACTTGCTTGTGAGACTCCGCTTCGAGCGAAGGGAAGGTCTCGTGGATCGACACGGCCGGCTTCTTGCGCTTGAAGAGCTTGCGCATGGTCGCTGCGGGTTTGTCGGTAGATGTGGTTGCGCCGTACCCCTTCTCGCTGAACGAGCGGTATACGTGACCCTTGGCGCGGTTCTCGATGAATCGCTTGCGGTTGGTTGAGTAGAAGCTCCGACCATCTTTCAATGAGTAGGCGTGGAAGATGAGACCGAGCGCGAGGTAGAGGATGCCGATGACGAATAGCATCCAGCTGACGACGAGAGGGAAGACGTCGAGGTAGTGGCTCAGGATGGATGTTGCGACCACGACCTGCACCGCGCCCAGTGCCGCCAAGCCATGAGTGCGGCTGAGCACCGGCACCCACACCCGAGCAGCACTTTCAAGGCGAGAGATGCCCAGCCAGCTGAGCTCGGCGAGGAAAAGGGAGATGACGCCAAGCATGAGCAGAGCACGGTGGATCTCAACCCAGAAGATGCCCCACGTCTGCATGGGGATGGACGTGCCAGGGACGTAGGCACAGTCGTCCGCTTGCGCAGAGTCCATGATCGCATCGTTGTGGTAGTCGCGGATGTCCTCGACAAGGCCCATGACGAGGGTGGTGAAGACCAGAATGACAGTGACTAGCGAGACAAGACGCAGGGCGTTGAGGCCGATGAAGGCGATCTTGGCTGCGTTTGACATCGTCATGAGCGATAGCAATTGGCGTCGCTAGCTGATTGAGATGAAGGTCGATGTATTGGACAGCAATGATGGCGATGATGCTAGTTGACTAGAGATGGATGTCGGTAAGGAGGTGCGTTGCTGATGCCCTGAAGTTCGACGATGTGGCAGTGCTCTCGATGACGATGACGGCAGCTTGTGTCGCTATGATCCATAACGAGTTCTAGGGTTCATCGCGGCGCTCTGTTTACTGAACACCGTCGTCTCGAAGTCGATAAAGGGACGAGCATGGCGCTGTACAACAAAGGGAGTTTGATGTCCCTTTGAGGGTAGGCGTACATGTCGGCGTCGTTCGTGGCGATGCAGGACGAACAAAGGCGCACTCAGCCTTCGAGCTTGCCTGGCAGCTAGACAACGAGCTGGAACAAAGCATTCGTCACGTCCCTTTGTCAAAGGATGCTTTCGCCTCGCCCATATGACAGTATCCATTTCTCGAACAGCGTGCACGATCATTTCATCTGCAGGCGTTTCATATCTGCACAGGATCGCGCCCACCCACCACAACACAAAGGGACTTTGGCTCACTGACTTCAACTGAGGAACGGATCGGGCCGAAACGGTACCCAGGGAATCCCTCTTTGACCTGGCCTGGCCTGACCTGACCCAGAACAAGCACCATACATCCCGTTACCAACGCCTCACCATGTCACTGACGTCGTCAATCGCTTACATCTGGCTTGCTGATGGCACCGAGTTGGATCTCGGACACCAGCTGCGGACAGCCTTGGTAACACAGACGAGCGGCTAACCCGATGACGGATGATTCGCCTCGCTTGGGGGCAGTTCAGAGCCACCCCACGGATCGGCTCGATGGTGCGGCAAGGCCACGACGGAAAGGTCCGTCGCTCGATCTTTCTCAGTCACATCGGATATGATCGGAGAGCGGCGAGACTTCGGAGAGAATCACTGCCCTGGAGCGGATCAGATCAGCCCCGGATCAGGCACATAGCGAACCCTGAACCGAGAGAGGCTGGCTTCGGATGCGTCCGACGAAGCTGCCGAGGGTGTGCCAAGCGTTTCAGTGATGCTGCCGCCTGGATGGCGAGTACATCGGTCGCTCGGCAAGCTTGCTGCATCCGCTGCGGAAGGCAGGGCGCGGGAATCAGAAGCAGACAGATTGCGCGCAAGAGAGAGAGAGAGGTGCGTCCTGATTTGAGTTGGCTGGCCCGCGATTGGTTGTTCATGAGAGTCACTGCAGTATCAAATCAGGTTCGTGAGTGGCTTGACACTCAGGGTCAGGCCGCGAGGCTAACGTAGTTTGTGGCTGAGCGTCTGGGAAGAAGAGCGCAGCTAAGATTCTAGCGGGACGCGATCGAGACCTTAGATACGTTGCATCGAGGCAAACGGGAAAGTGGGGTGCGGAGTGTCAATCGAGCAGCGGGGAAAGAGCTTGTTGAACAAGCTGATCATAGAATGGAGAGTTCCGATTGGCTACACCCACCGGTGAACTGCCGGTCTTTTTCGCCGCCTATCGTCGCATTAAAGCAAAAGAACCTCACAAGTGTTGCACAAACGCCTCGGTGAGTGACACCCATTGTGCCACGATTTGACTCGGGTCGGAGAGTACTTCTCCGCTGCAAAGCGGTGAGTTCCAGACCTACTGCTTCCCTCCTTTCGCTTGATGAGCCCTTCTACGGTCAAGTCGTGAGTAGTCCGTATGTGGGTGAGCCGCGCCCTTGGAAACAGTACGGATCCAACTTGGCCGATCGGAGTGTTCCTGTGAGTCGGTACAATTTGAGGATGATGGCATTCCGTTCCCGTCCGCGATCTGACGGCTGCTGGGTCTGCTACCGTGCTCAGACGACTTTTCTCTTTGATCAGACTCTGTAACCGCGGTGAGACAGGCCGCTGATGGTTGCAAACCCCCACGCCGAGCTGATGCAGGCTCTGCTACTTTTCGCGGCCCTTTCCTTCCCCCCTTCGCTTCGTCCACGCGAGCTGCAGCCACCTTACTCGCCCCCAACTCAGAGGACACGCAAAACCCCGCACCACCTGGTGTTCAGCCGCTTCGCTGCAATTGTCAACGTTGCTGAATCCACCGCGTTATCCCTGACGAACTCGCAGGGCGGGATCCGAGATGGCTAACAGTGCTGGGACAATGTGAGTGAGTTTGCCGCGGGTCTGTGACGGAGACAACGGAGTCAACCGCGGCAGTTCCGTACCAGTCGATGATGTTCCCTTCGGTGCCACACCCACAACCACACTTGTCTGCGGGAGCGGAGAGCAAAAATTGACCGATGATCGCGCTCAAAGTTGAGGAAGTTGCCCTATCAAGGGGCCGCATGTACATAGTTTCTAGCTCCGACTTTTCTTGGCATGCTCGCTTAACCATCCAGAACCCCACGCGAGGACGGTCGACATGGAACGCTGCTCAACTGCCGCAGAGAGCTCTTCCTTTTCCCTCTCCGCCAAAGGGTCAATACAGTATCAAATTCAAGGCGGCGGGTGCGGGTCAGACGGCTTGCGGATTTCTCCGCGTAGATTTCCGCGCATTCATGGAGCTGTCAGTTTTCGCCGCCGCCGACCCCCGTGCCAACACGCGAGCCCATCCCGACTCTCTTTGCATCGCCCACCCTCCCCCTCTACCTCTCGAGTCAGTCGTGGCGAGGGGGTTCTGCAACAACCAAAAGTTCGCCTAGCTCCTGCACGACGGAGCTTCCATTTCTTGGCCTCATGCGTTATGCCAGTTGGGTTCCACGTCGGGAAGGCGCTGCATGCCTGTCCAGCTTGGCTGCTGCTGCTTTTGATTGCCCGCCGCAGCAGCCAATTGATTCGAGCACCGCTCCCCTTGCGCTCTCCGATGATCGTGTGACGGATGACCACAGTCTGATCAGTTTTGTCTCGGTTGGTTCCGGATCGATCCTTGCCTTCCGAGGCCACGTCGGTCACTAAAAATTCCCATGCAGCATTCCTGCGCCACATCAACTGTGATTCGCATCGACTGGGAAAGCTCAGTGATTCATTGGACGGGAGCGTGACAAACTCTCCGCAATCACATCGATGTGCAACAAATTCGCCTAGCCAATCACAGTTGGTCACCCCGCACTGAGCCCTGAGGAGGTGATTAGTCTGAGATGGTGCCTGCGCTACTGTAGGAACGCCCTGCTAGCAAAGTCAGAGCATGGCTCCGCGCCAGACAACTGCGCCCTGCCCCAGAGAAACCCCAGAGACAGAACCTCCTTCTTGTGGCGTCTCCCCCCTCCCCTCTCGTGGAGAAGAACGAGGGGGCCCCACACATCACCTTTGAAAGAGCCCAGTCGTCTACATAAGGAGACCATCTTCTCCATTCGGACCATCTTCTCCCCACCCATTCCATCCCTCCCTCGCCTCTCCCTACCTCTCCTCCTGCGTCCCATCAAGATGAACACCGAGGCTAAGAAGGGCGTTCTCGCCCAGGGTGCACAGAACTTCAAGGACCTCTTCCACTGGAAGGTCCGCTCCACCATCATCGACGAGAATGGCGAGGAGCAGGTCGTCTGGGAGAAGCCCAGTCTGCCTCCCAATCCGTTCCGCCTGATCACCATGCTCGGTCTCGCTGGCTGGGGTGCCTACCTCATCGGCTTCTCCGCCTGGACGGCCGATGCCTTTGACTTCCACGCCCTTTCGATCCAGACCACCAAGCTCGCTAAGCACTTTGGTGTCTCCAAGACCAAGATCACCGAAGCCATCACCCTCACTCTGCTCCTTCGTTCGGTCGGCGCCGCCGTCTTTGGTATCTTCTCGGACTACTTCGGCCGAAAGTACCCTCTCGTCATCAACATGTGGTGCCTCGGTGCCCTCCAAGTCGCTTCCATCTACTGCCGCACTTTCAACGAATTCCTCGCCGTTCGAGCCCTCTTCGGTCTTTTCATGGGTGGTGTCTACGGCGCTGCTTCGTCGATGGCTCTCGAGAACATCCCTTCCGAGGCGCGTGGTCTCTTCAGTGGTATCTACCAGCAGGGCTACTCGTTCGGCTACGTTTTGGCTGCCTGCGTCAACCTCGGTGTCGGCGGTGCCACCAACACCTGGCCTACCATGTTCTGGGTCGGCGCCGGCTTCAGTTTCGTCGTCGGCTTCCTCCGTCTCGCCTGGCCCGAGTCCAAGCAGTTCATCGAGGCCCGCAAGGCCAGCAAGGGCTCCGGCACCAAGAACTTCCGCAAGTCCTTCACCGCTTGCCTCCGCGCCGAGTGGAAGGTTTGTCTTTTTGCAATCGTGTTGATGAGCTGGTTCAACTGGTTTAGTCATAGCAGTCAGGACAGTTATACGACGTTCATGCTTGTTGGAAAGCGTCTCAACAACACCGCGGCATCGAGGGCATCGATCCTGATGAAGACGGGCGCTTGCGTCGGTGGTACCATCTGGGGTTACATGTCGCAGTGGATCGGACGCCGTAGGGCTATGATCGTCGCCTGCCTGGTCTGCTGCTGCCTTATCCCTGCTTGGGTGCTCCCCACGAGCGAGAAGGGCCTCGAGGCCGGCGGATTTTTGCTTCAGGTAAGTACCAGAAGGCGAGTTGGTGGTTTCGCAATGAGCGCGTGGCGCAAATTGATTTTTAGACCCGTTCCTGACACTTTGACATTTCATTTTCTTTCCATTGTTCCCCGCATTCTGCTCTGGCCTCCTCACGTGCTCTTCATGCTCGAACGACTTCATCCTCCTCCTTCCACTGCTCTCGCTATTCTGCGGCTCTCTTCTCTATGCTCAACAGGCAATGGTCCAAGGTGCGTGGGGAGTCGTTCCCATCTACCTGGCCGAGATCTCGCCTCCCGCGTTCCGCGCTATCTTCGTCGGTCTCACCTACCAGCTCGGCAACGCCATCTCCTCGCCTTCCACCCAGCTCATCAACTACCTTTCGGAGAACAACTTCATCACGTTCCAGGGCCGCAGGGTGGAGGCTTATGGCCCCGTCATGGCCATTGCCACGGCCATCATCGCTTTGGGTCTTGCCGCCACCGCCTCCGTGGGTCCCGAGAAGAAGGGTGCTCGCTTCGAGCGTGCCGCGGCTGCCACCGCCGAGGTGCAGCCCCAGCTTCTCGTCTACCAGAAGGAGTTCGACACCAACTCCGAGACCAAGTCGGTCGACCTCACCCAGACGCAGACTGCTCTTTCCAAGTAAGGAAAGGGGCTTGCCCTCTCTCTTTCTGTCGCTTTTGTATCTTTCGCATCGGTTTTGTAAAAGCTCAACGCAAATGTCATGGTATATCTTGAACTTGAACACTGTCTGAGGGTCGTGTGTGATGTGCAGATGAGCATCTGCTGATTGGGCGGTGAGCATCGTGCATGAGATGACTGGACGGCGCGGGCAGAATCGACACTTGAGCCGCTGTGAGGGGCGTCGCTCGACGTTGCGGCTGTCAGGACTGCACGAAGCCCGAGTCAAACGGCCAGAGTAGCCTGTTTCTGCATCTCTCTCTGTGTGTGTGCGTGTGTGCGTGTGTGCGTGTGTGCGTGTGTGCGTGTGTGTGAGATTGAGCGTGTGTATGTGTGTGGGTGGAGCGAGTCGTTCGGTCCTCCAAGCAGCAGCAGCAACGCCAGCCAAGCAACGTCTGTGTACGGTGTAGGCTCTTGACGCCACGCCCCGACAAGCACCGCCGGTCACTCTCTGAATAGGCGTCAAGAGCCTACACCGCACCAGACACTGCTTGCTTGGCATTGCGTGCTGGTGTTATGGGAAAACACGAGCGGCTCGCTGGCTAGCGCCACGCACATACGCACACTCACTCACTCACTCACTCACTCACTCACTCACTCTCTCCCATTCACTCACCCACATACACACACACGCGCGCGCCCGCGCTCTCGGTCTGGCAACAGGTCCTGCGAACTTCGTGTCCATTTCATTCACGGTGACAGCTGGGAGATTGCTACGAATACAGAGGTGACCGAGGGAAGGTGTGCGTGTCTGGCTTGCTTTCAGTGAAAAGAAAGGGCCGCATCGAATGATCGAACGATCACGCGGCGGTGAAGGCATCAAACCCGGCCCCTGCGGCAGCGAGATCGTTGGCGCCCCTCAACAGCGGCAGTGGCGGCGTGATCGTGCTCGTCAGGGGCGGCTTGACCGCGCGACCGCTGAACTTGACCTTGTTGGCCGACCCGTTTTCGAACACCATATCATCCAGGACATCGAAAAAGTGGGCGCCGTCCGGGGCGTCGTCTGGATTCTGATAGGAGGAGAGGAGCTTAAGGTAGTCGTCGAGCTCCGTGTCACGGCCGTCGGCAGTCGGGGCTAAGGTAACGGCGTCGGCGGTTCGGAGAGACGAGCCGTCCTCTGTGGAAGTGGGCGTCATCGCAGATGCTTGGGTCGGAAGCTCGCTGACAGGAGAGCGAGCGTCGGCAGCGAGGCTGCTGGCGGCTTCCGCTACGGCTCGCAGCTTGTCCGCGTCGACCGTATACCAGGTCTCTCTGACGCGGCGTTCCAAGTGGTCTGCCAAGTCGCCGGTGGACTCGGAAGCGCTGGTCCATTCGCGAGCCTTGGATCTTTTCTGCGACTCTGCGCTGCCAGCAGGTGAGCTGACACTGTTCGGCTCCGAGCCAGCCGAAGCTTCGGCACTGGTTCTGATCTTGCTGCGTCGCGCCTGTTCTTCCTCTCGGAGCACCTTGATCACCTTCAGCGACGAGGCCAACATGGGGTTGCGACCTTCGACATCCGTTCGTGCGTGCAGCATCTTGAGCCCTGCTACAACGTCGGCGCGTTTGGCGAGGATCTCGCGATTGACCGGCTGCCGGGCCAGATACAACAGATCGACTTGCAACGCCAGAACTGCGTGAAAGATGTGGAACTTGAAGATCCAGTATCGCTGTCCGCGACAGCCCGCATTGTCAAGAGCCCGCAGGACGCCCATGACCACCCGTGCGCTTTCGATGCAAGTCCTGGTCGAATGGATGTACTTGGCGTTCCAGTATCCTCGACTCATGTAGAGACGGTGCAGTTTGAGCAAGCGGTGGTGTACGCTTTCGTGGATGATGGCCCGCTGCGTGGAGAGGTAGGGTCGCTCCTTGTGCAGACGGTGGATCTCCGGGTCATACTCGCTCTCGCCGTCGAGCTTGTAGAAGCGCGGCAGCGACCTCAAGATCTCACGGAAGCGAGCTTCGATCGCAAGCACCGTGTCGAAAGACTCTTCGCCCTGGTTCAAGGCGTCCGAGATGCTGCGCACCGTGTGGCAAATCTCGATGTGAATCGGGATGTAGCTGTTGGTGGTTGGGATGCTGGTGACGCGGATCTTGTCGAGGAAGATGTTGTTGACGCGAGGAGGTCGGCCAGGAGCGCGGTCGCTGTTGACTTCGAACGTTGTCGAGTCACTGTCGGTCAGATCCGAATCGTCGATGTTCTGCGGACTCTGTGTCGTGAACATCTCGTCTTTGCAATGATAGACTCGATCGAAGTGGGAAGCGCAGAGCCAGTCAAGGGTGGCCAGAGCGAACCAGACCTTGCGGCCGTGCTCTCGGCTGACGCGACTGCCCTCCTTGTAGCGCTTGGTCGCGGCCACATCCCACTTCTTCCTTTTGGAGCCACGGGGAAGCCACATGGCATTCATGTCCTTCCTCTCGTCTCGATCCGGGTCGAGGTCCTCGCCGTCAGACTCGGTCTCATGACCGTCGGTGATCTGCGTTGAGGTGAGCAGCTTCCATCGATGAGAAGTAGATGAGCCTGTACCCTTGCCGTTGCCACTGGCCTGAAGACGAGCGCGGTCACGCATTTCGTCCTCCCAACGATCCTCATCTGTGAGAGCCGAGCCTAGACGATGCAGGCCCATGAACTCAGCTGCTTTGATGGCCATGGTAAAGAGCACCGCATACTCCTCGCGATGATCGCGATTGAATGCGTAGTGACGCAGCACAATCACCGCTTGCATACCCCAGATGTTGGGTCGCCGCACGAATTGGCCCATGCCGAGCAGAGCCAGGCAGGAGCGGGCGAGCATGGCGAGGCAATCGTTGATGGACGTGCGAGAATCGCAAATCTCGCTATCGAGCACCTCGGCGGGGGTCATGAACTCGCACGCAGCTTCGCACATGGCGAGCAGCAAGGCTCCAAATTGGAGATCGGGCAAAGGCGTGGATGCTGGCGCTGTTGCATCTTTCATGTCATCAAGCGCTCTCCAAAAGGCAGAGAGTTCTCGGAGCAAAGACGGTCGGTGGAAGGAGCCAACGACGGCTTCAGCCTCGCGAAGGTAATGGTCGATAAGCGCTTCTGTCTTGTGACGAGGCGGTAGCAAGTCCAGTGCTTCGAGCAGACCTGATCTGAGCGCTTCCTTTCTGCTGCTAGATGCGTCTGTGCTGAAGATGCTGAACATCGCTGCGGATGCGAGGTCCTCCTCTGGCAAGAGCGACCTTCGGCGCAGACTGCTTGAAGGTGTTTTACCGTCGCGACCATCAGTTTGCCGATTGTCTGCCCGCGATCCGCGCTTGAACTCCGCAGACAGACCGTTCTTGCCATCTTGCTGAACGCCGTCAGCCTGGTGCTCATCCTGAGCCGCGGTGTGTTCGCGTCGAGACGGTCCCTGTCGACTGTTGTTCTTGAGCGAGGTTCCTGTTGCAAGTGCGCGCAGGAGGTCACCCGCATCCTCGGCGCCGGATTCTACGCTCTCGTCGCTCTGCTCGCTCTCTTCTTCCTCTTCCTCCTCGTCATCGTATACATAGCGCCCATCGACGGCATCGCCTCGCGTGGTAGCGTTGCGGTCCCGACTGGTAAAATCCGGCGGCCTCTGGATGCCTGATTGGCCGCTATAGCGGGACGACGGACCACTGGAAGACTCGGATGCGCCATACTTGGATACGCCGCGTTGGCCTGAGCTGCGTTCGGACCCAGCGACTCCGTGTACTGCCGACGGTGAATTGGGAGACGACTGCAGCACGCGGACCTGCGACTCGAGCTGGGCGATCCTGGCCATCAAGGCAGCGTTGGAAGGAGTGATGTTACTCGCTGGAGCTGCCGGCAGGTAATCGCGCTCATCGCCCCATCGACACAGGTGCGCCACTCCACGACGGACGCAGCTTCCGCAGTTGGGCACGTTTCGATCGCACTTGATCTTGCGCTGCTTACATTCGGTGCAGCTGAGAACCGCGCGTTTGCGTCTCTTGACCTTGCTGGACTGGCTGTGCAGGGATGGCACCTCGCTGCTTGCAGTAGTGCCGGCATCCAGAGTGTGATGGGACAAGGCCGAGGTGCGTCGAGTGGGATGCGCTCTGTCGACGGAGGCCCACTCGACGTTTCTGGCGCCCTTGCTGGCGCCGTCGCCGTGGTAGGATGCGTCTGCGCCATCGCGAGGGCGACGCTCGTGCAGATCGGAACGATCGTGCCAGCCGGTTGAGGCGGAGGCGGCTGAAGCGATGGAACGATACGATGAGGCGGTGCGAAGAGGAGGTGGGCGCAGCATGGCCTCGGTGGCTGGCTGGGCGCGTTCCGAGTAGAGATCAAGTCTCGCTCGCTTATCGCGGTGCAGGCTCGCATCGGGAAGGCCGAGAGGATATGGAGGAGGTGATCCGTTGCTGACGCGGCGCGGCGGACTAGCGACGGGATAGGCGGGCTGCATCTCGCCAGGCGACCGCACTCGTGAGATGCCATAGTCTGAGCGGGGATCGGCCGCGTGAGTCATGGGAGGCCTGCTGTGATAATAGGAAGGCTCGGCGTAGCCATCGAGGCGCAGCTTCGGATCACCCGAGAGCCGCTTGGGTGATCTGTAAGGATCACGTGAGTCGGGCATGCTCATGCCGCGACCGTCGACAGGAGGCATGTCATCGTCGTAGTGGCTCGGTCGACGGTGGAATTGGCGAGACGATGTGCTGCTGCTGCCATCTCGATTCAAAGACATGCTGGGCTGTGGAGCTCCATAGTATTCGTCCGGCCTGGTGGTGACCCGTGGCGGACGAGGCAGGTCCGAGGGGGGATAGGGTCCGGATCGGGCAGCTCGGTGATCGCCTGCGCGTGCAAACGACGAACTCGATCGACTGGACGGCATCGAGTCCGCGTGTGTGGTGTAGGAGGCTGATGCTGTTGGATGCCCATAATCGGTCCACCCAGTTGCTCCTCGAGTCTGTGCTGGCAAACGATTGTCCATCTCGGATCGAGAGTAGCGTTGCTCTATGGCCGGATGGGAGCGCAGCCTGAGCGCTTCATCTCTTGCGGATCCCGTGAGTCGATAGGACGACTCGAGCGGGGGCGGGGGCCGATCTCTGGATTGTGACGGTGGTCCTCTGGAAGTTTCGCCGTCCATGTTGGGCCGAGGTGGACTGCTGCGGTGCCGGAACGACGACGACGCAGAGGTCCAGGGTACGCTCGCTGCCTAGTTGCGCGAGCTGATTCGGTGACTAGTAGAGGAAAGGCTGTCCCTCGATACTGATCATCACCACCTGCTTGGTTGGTCCAGGGCGAGCTGGGATCGGGCAGACAGCTGGCAAAGGCTTTCTGTTCAAGCAGAGAGCTGGCACGTGTATCACCTTTTTCTGCTTAGTCGGCGCTGCGCTCACGGAGAAGAATGGTGGCTGGGAGCGCTTTGTCGTGGCGAGTCTTGAGACCGCAGCTTACGCTGGGCTCTGGGCTGCGGTGCAACCTCGCTGTTGAGGTGATAGGACCGTATCGACTGCTGCTCAGTTGCACAGCATACAACGTGGCGAGTCGGTGACCAGACGAGATGGGCGTCAATGTTGAATCCTTAGAAGCGCGCTGTGATCGGTCGAAGGCTTCGTTGGTGCAGAAGGACCGGATGGTCTGGGCTGGATGACGTCGTATCAAAGCAGGGCTATCGGAAGCGGACCCTGTTGCAAGCTGAGACGAAGATGGTGGGGGATGCAGTAATACTGGTTCACGGTCCGGATGATGGGCAAGAGGAACGGCCACGATGAAGTAGATGATGGAGGATAGGAGAATCGATGAGCAGCGAGACCATACGTGAGGCTGGGCCAAGGCAGTGTGAGTGTGGGGAGGGGCGACGGAAAGTCGGGATGGCTGCTCAAAGTGAAAGATTGCTTCTGCTGCTGCTTCTTCTGCTGCCTCGTGCCTGCGGCTCATTGTCGTGTTACTCTTGCTGCCTGTCTCTTCTGCTGGCTCGGGCCTCGGCTGTGGTTCAATATGATGAGCCGTGGCTGCTTTCTTGCCCTTTTTTTCTTATGAATCCAAATTGGCTCTGCGAGAGCCGATAGAGTGCCCTGCAACCTCTCCCCCTTGCAGCACAAGCAGGATCCGACAATCTGGCTGGACTCGTATCTGAAAATTCCATCTCCGCAGTCGCATCTTTCGCGAGCAACCATCCCCGCTGTTGTCCACCAATGGGCGGGCTGGCAAGGCGCCGAATCCGCTTGTGCCCGCTCCCAGGAGTTTCAGTTGCCTTGTCTCATCCGCCAGCCTCTGGCCTTTGCCCTGCTTCAACAAGGGGTCAGCGCAAAATGAGGACCAAGCTCTTCGCATGGGGGTTTTCATTGCGTCGAGCCACAGCCATGCGGCTGCGTATTGGCCAAAGATAGGTCGGCGTAGGGCTGATGGAGCAGAGCGATCCATCTCCGTGAGGACAGCTCCTTCGAAAGATCGTTTCCCGGACCCAAAGGGGCTCAAAGACACAAGCGAGATGACGAATCGCAGAACAAAGGGTAAGACTGCTCCGACTGATGAAACGCTGCACAAGGCTCCTCGAAGAGGTTCGGGCTGGCAGACGTGTTCGAGAAGGACGGTCGGTCGTTCTGCGCTGCGCCAGGGATGCTTTCAGCGCAATGAAACCGGCACGGCGAGGGCCCTTTCAATGAGGTCAGCACCTCCTTCCCTGCAAGCCACTCGCTTGGCTGCGTGCGCGGTGAGGCGCAGGACAATGGGCCGCAGTCTCTGCGCTGCACCGACTCCGATCTGGATCGATCCGCTTTCATTGTTGTCTCGACGGAGTTGGGGCGAATGACCGAACCCAACCTGGCGAGGCCGTAAGCGGTGAAGGCGGGTTTTAGTGCTTTGGCCGACGTCTTGCATCTCGCCAAAGTGGTAAGGCGAACCCTTCGGTGGACCCCGATTTTCGGGAGACGGCCACGCCTTGCGCATGCACCAAGCTCTTGTGAGACAGCCCTTCTATCAGCGGCTTCTTTGCCAGCAGCGAAAGCGCGAGCCGTCTAACGACAAGACCACATCCATTCACTCAGAGCCTTGACAAGGTGGTTCGACTGAAGCCACAACTCGATATCGCGCTTTCAAGAGAGGCCGTCACGCGCACCCGAAACCTTGATTTGGTGCTGACACAAGGGAAAGCCCCGTTGGTCCTATTTGCGGAGTCCGGCGGCCAACCTTGCAGCGGAACGCAACAAGCCACAAATATTTTTCGCAAATGTGAGATTTGCAATTAGAACTTGCTGAAAAGGTTGAGGGAGTGAACGGCTTAACAATCTGCAAAAATGCGCCAATGTTGGACCATCCTCCACCCCGCCTTTCTCAGTCAGCAACATGTGCGCTTTCGCTGTTGGCGGGTGCTTGCATTACCCACCTTGCCCACCACCACCCGGTCACTTCTGCTGTATCACTATATCAGGAACCTCTCGCCACAACCGCCTCACCATATCACACATACCTTGAAGCCTCGCTCGCTCAGTTCCGTCAACATGCCACCCAAAGGCTCGACACAAAAGTCGCTCTCGTTCAAGGCGCAGTCCAAGCCCAAGTCCACCTTCTCCAGCTCTGTCAAAGACTCGCTCAAGGGCAAGCCCACCACCAAGGTCACCACCAAGCCTACACCACCTGTCACATCATCCCTCCTCCGCAAGTCCTCACCGACCAGTCCAGCAGCAGCGAAGGAGGATGAAGTCGATTCCAAACGGGAGGACCTTGATGTGGACGATGCTAGGTGGGACGGTGTCTGGCGCAGAACCAAAAAGACGATGAACGTGCCACCGTCCAAATCCGTCCACATCGATCACGAGAACCGCATCCAGCAGATCCTGCGCGTATTCGATCTCGATCCCAACTACGGCCCGTGCATGGGCATGTCCCGGCTCGAAAGGTGGCAGCGCGCAAAGGAACTCGACCTCGACCCGCCCCAGGAGATCCACGACATCTTGAACACCAAACAGGGCGCAACGGAGCACAAGGAGAACGTCTTTACGCATCACGGCCTCTGATCGACCTCCCCTCGCTGCTCCTTCTTTTCGCTCCTAGAGTACACGCTCCTTGTACACTCCAGAGTTTGTACCCATATACCCATGCTGCTTCTCGCAATGCACACGTCTGTCTGACTTACTCAAGGAGTTGATGATGCTGTTCTTACAATTGCTGAACTTGCGCGCTATGCTGCCTTGTACGTGTCTGTGTGCTTGCCCTTCTTCTCGGCTTCCTGCTTGGCCACCTTCTTCACCTCGGACCACACCTTCTTCTCCCACTCCTTCTCGTTCACCTGCTTGCGCGCCTCCAGCTCGGCCTCCTCATACGCCTCACGGTGGTCCACATACCTCTCTTGCACTTCGAGTGCATCGCCCCAGCCGAGTGGGTCGCCTCGGTCTGCAACACTGAAGAGGGAATGTGGATCTGCGCCCATTTGCCCGCCTCGGGCCTGCGCTCTGAGTGCAGCTGATGCAGTCGCCGATGCTCGCCCTGGCTCGTATGCCCCTTCTTCCTCTTCTTCTCCAAAGTCGTATGCGTTGCTCGAAGGCGAAACGTAGATGTAGCCGATGGCCTTGTCGAGCACCTGTAGCAGGCGGAACATCGAGCGTCGGTCTTCCACCGCGAGTGTCTCGAACGAGACGAGACCAAAGTCCTCCACCAGCTCGCAAATTGCCTCATTGAGCTTGCCATACTTTTCGTGCCGCCGTGACGAGCCTGGTCCCGATGGATGTGAGAGCAGATCACGCAGGTACGAGAGATCCTGCACCTGGGTGTAGAAGTCGAGGTTGAAGGCCATATCGGATTGCAGACCCATGCTCGCGCGACCGGTTAGATCTGTCTCGTCATCAGGCATGTCTTCATCCGAATCGCGGTTGTCCTGCGAGTCGTCATCGTCGCTATGCGGGTCGTATCGATCCAAGGACCGTTTCGAACGGGATATGTAAGACTGCCCCAGCAGATCCACTTTCGACAGCACGTTGACGTGAGGCAGCTCAAGCGTGAGCATTGCACGCAAGGCGAGAATGAGGATCGAGACATAGCGAGAGGCGTCGGTGATGTGCGTAGCGTCGGTCAGGTGCACAGCGACGAAGCGAAGTCCAAGCTGCTTTTCGAGCGTCTCGAGGATGCGTTTGAGCGCCGGGTGGTTGGTGGACAGCTCGACCTGACCAGGCAGATCAAAGATCAAATATTCGAATCCAGCTCCAACCGGACCTACAGGGGTCTCTTGATCATCCTGACCAGCTATCTGTCCCGTCTTGCCCTGACGCTGGTCGTCCATGACCCTCTTGAGCTCTTGGATGAGCCAGTCGACGTTCTTCTCGAGGTACTCAATGCAGTACAGCATAGCCGCATTGGGCCCAAGGGAAAGCTCAGCCATCACATCGCGGACGGAGATGAGACGGTTGATGTCGATGGCACATGGGTATGGGAGTCGGTCGTTGGCGGGATCGAGGTTGACGACGCTGCACGGCCTGGAGAGCAAAGAGAGGAACTGGTATTGGCCGTAGCAGTAGGTGGTCTTGCCGGAGCCTGGTGGGCCGATCACCAGCTGTGCAAATGGCATCTTGAGCAGTCGTCGGCCATCCGACTTGCTGCTCTCGTGTTCTGATAATGTCGATGAGGAGAACAGCTACACCACGGCATCGAAGACCTGAGGCAAGTCTGGTGGGTCTGTGGGTCGACGGCTGAGTCCTTTTCGATGCCAAAATTAAGCTTGCGATTTGTTTCTCGAAAAGTCATAAATTGATTTGGCGGCTGCTGCTCGGCAACGCACCGATGTGGAGCGGAACAGCACACTCAGCTCAGCGTGGGCGGCGGCGAGATGCGTGATTTTAGAGTTGCTTCTTCTGACGCACACTCACGCCGGTGTTGGATTCAAGATCACAAGACTTGGGACTAGCTAATCACATCTTCGCTCACTTCAGCTTGCTTCCCGCACCCTACGACTTTCGCTCGCGCCCACCACCCGCAACTCAGCCGCCAATTCAGTTCCAGCTCGTATCGTCTCGCTCACTGGCATCTGCCGTCACAAACCCAATAGCAAGCAAGCAAACCAGCGAGCTTCGACATACAAAGACCCTGATCCGCCACCAGCAGGTTCCGCACCTCTGCCGCCGTCACGATGGGAGACGCACGACTGAGGCGTATCAACAAGGAGATCAACGACTGCAAGAATGACAAGGTCTCCGGTATCCAAGTCTCGTTGATAGACGGTGAGCACACCTCCGTCACCAAAGCGGCCCAGGGGCACATTCATGCTGGGACACCATCCTGACACTTAACTCCGTTTACTTCATGTCGCATACAGAGTCGCCATTTCATCTGGTTGGCACCTTCCCTGGTCCAGAGAACTCCCCATACGAGAAGGGGACTTTTGATGTAGTAGGTGTCACCCACGAGCCCGTCTAGCCCAAAACTCGACTGCAAACGCTGACCCGCTTTTACCTTCCACTTCCGCAGGACATCGTCGTACCCGAAGGCTACCCTTTCCAGCCCATCAAGATGAAGTTCATCACCCGCGTCTATCATCCCAACATCTCTTCGCAGTCCGGCGCCATCTGTCTCGACATTCTCAAAGACCAATGGTCGCCCGTCCTCACGCTCAAGTCGACGCTCATGTCGCTCCGCTCGCTGCTCTGCTCGCCCGAGCCAAACGATCCGCAAGACGCCGAGGTGGCCAAGCACTACCTACGAGACAAGGACGACTTCGAAAAGACGGCGAGGTATTGGACCGAGATCTACGCAAACGGCTCCGAGTCCGCACAGCCTCCCGCCAAGGCGGTCAACAATGCCGGAAAGACGGACGACAAGGCGGACCCGATCCTGCTGGCGGGATTGAAACGGGAGCACGTCGATCAGTTTGTCAACATGGGCTTCGAAAGCAGCAAGGTCATCGAGGTGCTCAAAAAGCTCAACTACCGTGGTGCAAAGTAAGTCTCTAGTCTCATTTCTAAACAATGAGGTCCTCCCACCATCTTCTTGGTTGCCTTCATCCCTGCATTTGCTGACACAAAGCCCCTCCCTCTCCGCAGCGTCCGCAACATCACCGACGACACGGTCCTCAACGAGCTGCTCAAATGAGCATCTTCACCCACCAAAAGCATGTACACTTCGATGCATCCAAATCATTTCAACCATCAGCACCTAGAAGAATGCCATACACACGGATTGTGATAAACAAGACGGATAACAATTGCAAAGCGAGCGGTGAGACATCTAAGCGCCATTGCGGCTGATATCCTCGAGATACTGCCCGAGCTTCAGCGCGCCGGAACGGAAGCTGTCGATACTGCTCTGGACGTCCGGGTTGGCCATAAATCGCTGGTAGTACTCTCTTGCGGTAGCCTCGATGTCGCTGAAGTCGCCTCCGTCGGCCTGGGTCTGTTGGACTTCTTCGTCCTCCTCGCGGCCGAAGTACTGGTTGGACGAGATGGAAGTCTGACCCTGGAACGACTGGAGGCGGGATTGGGCCTCGCTGGTGGCTTGGGGGTCGTACGAGCCGCGCTGGAAGTATTGGTCCGACGAGATGGATTTCTGGCCTGTAAACTTGGTGCGCGCGTAACTGGGTTCTTCTGCATCGCTGTTGGTGGCCGAGGCGTTGTTGGCGGCAGCAGCGGCACGTTCGGCGGCGAGCTTGGCTTGGTGCGCGTTGGCTTTCATGCCGAGACGCCCGAAACCCATGCCGAGACGATCCATGTCGCCGTTGGTCTTGGCTTCGGCGAAGGCATCCGGTGCTGCGGCACCGCGTGCACCCGCAGCGCCGGCTTTCGAGGGACTCGAGGTGGAGGAAGAAGCCGCCTTACCCATAGCCGCTTTGACTGCTTCACGCGCAATGCGTTCCGCCTCAGCTTGCTGCTCGGTCGCCTTCTGTGATTCGCGCGCCTTCGCTTCTGCTTCCTCAGCTGCCTTTGCTTCCGCAGCCCGCGTCGCTTCCTCCTCCTTAGCCTTCCTCTCTGCGGCAGCAAAGTCGATGGGTGCACCGGCCTTCTTGGCGCCCAGACCGAGCTTTCCTGCTCGTGGAGCTCGCCCGATCGCGGCGGCAGGGTTGGTAGTCGGGCCAGTGCCGGTGGGTGTGGTGGCGCCGGGTGTGGAGCTGGCGGACGAGGCGCGGCTGACGGCGCCTAGCGTCTTTCGAGCGGCAGAGCTGCTTGCGCGCAACGAGGCGGACGTCACCGTCTTGGGCGCAGCTGGAGGCGTCGGTTTCGGTGCTGGTGCTGCTTTTGCCGCTGGTGCTGCTGGCTTGGCGGCCGAGGCGGGCTTGTCCCATTCGTCAAAGAAGTCCCCCTCCGCTCCGTTGCCTGGCTTTGCGTTTGACGCTGCGGTGGCCGCCTCGGCCGATGTGGCAGAAGCGAGGCCGGGGAAGTAGACGGGGCTATTGAGACTTTGCCCTGCAGCATCCTGAAGCGCCCTCTTTTGCAGCTCGTCTTTGTATGCTAGCGCGACAGAGGACTGGTACTTTACCTTGCCCTCCGTGGAAGGCGCAAGCAGGTGGGCGCCGCCCTTCTTGTTGAAGAACTCGGAAGCGGCAGCGTTGCCTCCTACTTTCATGAGTCGAAGCTGTGACCAGTGCCACGAGTCGAGGTTGGTGGAGCGAACAAAGGTGATGTGTACGCCCATGTTACGGTGAACGGAGGAGCAGTCGAGGCAGATGTAGATGGCAAACGTTGCCGAGGCCCATGTTGGGTTTTTGGCACCGCAGTCGAAGCATACCTGTCGCGTTTAAGCAAGAAGCAAGGAGAGGTCAGTGATCATGCTCCATGGCGGTTGAGTAGCGGGCGATGAAGGTGACGTACCTTGTTGCCCTTTTGTGTCGACTTGAGAGACTTGAAGATCTCGACGAGCTCGTCCTTGGAGGGTCCGTCCGCCATGATGGGCTAAATTCGCTTTTTAGCCGTGAGGAGGTTGGCTGATTGATGCTTCAAGGCCGGTGATCGAGGCACGAGGTGATTGCGAGGATTCTGTCGCCAGCGCAGGCGGAGCGAGTTGAATGAAGGACAAAGTGGACGAGATGCGATCGATGACGAGAAGAAGAAAGTCGACCATGTCAGGATGCGGCGTGTGTGTGTGTGTTGATTTCGCAATTTGGAGGGCCGCGACTGCCAAGGCAGCCGGGCCAGTCTGTGAGTGTTCTCAACAGACACGTATGCAAGCAGCTTCCCGAAGAATTGCAAAATGTTAGACCAGCAACTCTTCTCTTTACGCCATTTTCCTCATAAGGTCGCGTCTATACAAATGAAGATCTCGCATTACGACCCTGACCTCACGATTACAAGAAGACCAGAAATGCTCAATACAAAATGCGACCAAGCAATACAATTGACTGAGACCCTGTGGAAATCACCGCTACCAAAAGCCAATGCGGCCAATACTCACGAGGTCAGGCAGCGGCTTCAGTTTCTAATTCACCGCTGCTCTTCAGCCAACCAGCGCCTCGTAGCGTGACAGGAGGAGAGCGAAGATCAAAAGCGCGGGCCTCTGCGACTTCTCCAAGTCTTCACATCATCCGCATCCGCCATCACTAAGGGTCTTCTTCTCTTCATCCTTCCAACGACATTCGGCCATCATCTGTCGGTAAAGAAGCTGTAGGTATCCAAACGCATCGTCGTCCGACACGCTTCAAGATCCAGCTTGGCGCATTCGCCGTAACACAACGGAGCGCCGGCCTAGCAATCGAATACGGACACTTGGCACGTCGACTCAGCATTCAGATCAGCCGTTGACCTTTGGCTCCCTCGTACATCTACGACTCTTCTTGTGGGCTACTTCGCCGCTCTTGTACCAACAGGACTCGGGTCATCTGCATACACACAGTTCAGCATCTTCCGGTTCCAGGCATCGTCGCCAGCATGTATCCATATCTGCAAGGCGGGCCGCGCATGATGGGCTCCTTTCCAGGGATGCCACAATCACAACAAGGTATGTTTCATCCGCTTCAGCTACATCCCCATCAGCTTCCCATTGCATCCTTGCGGGCCTCGACGCTGACGCCTCCAACTCTGTCGCTTCCGCATCAATCTTTAGGTGGTGCCGGTGGCTTTCCCTTTGGTGGATCAGGGTCGAGTAACACGACGGGAGCAGCGAGTCTAGCATCACAACTGGCCGGTCTCTCAGGGCAATCAGGCGCTCAATCGCAAGGGCAGGGGCAAGGGGGTGAGCTCAATCTCAGCGACTTTCCCGCACTGGGAGGAGGGCAGGGGCAGCAGGGCGGTGCGCCTGGTCTCGGCGGCCTCAACAACCCATTGTCGAGCTATGCGACGCAAGCAGGGACAGGAGGTGTGACAGCGGGCCTTCGCGGTGGCGCTCCATTGCGGAACTTCAACCAGGACGACTTTCCGGCATTGAACAACCAGGCCGGCGCGGCAGAAGGACGCACAGGTGAAGATGGATTCCCTCATGGCGTAGCGGAACAGGTCTCAGCAGCAGCGGCACTTCAGCATCAACATCAGCAGCGCGAGCAGCACCGACAGAGCCTGCTGGGCTCGGTAGTAGGAGGGGCGCGAACGGATGCATCCTTGTCAGCAGCGAGAGGCGGGTTTGGCGAGCTAGATCGCAACTATGCAACCAAGCCAGGAGCGGGGCCACCCGGTCCAGGGTTGGGTGTCCAGCAGCAGACGTGGGCGCCACCCGGTTCGCTGTTCAGTAACAATGGAGGAGCAGGACCGAATCAACTCAACGGCCTTCAACGCTCGTCTTCGCCATCCTCAGCACGATCACCGCTCTCGAGTGTTCGCAATGCAGCCGGCAACCTGGGCGCATCTTCACCGTTGACCGACAACGCCTCGGTGCGAAACGACTCGATCCAGGGCGGCGCAGGCGCAACGCATCAGACGGGAGCGATGGCACAAACACCAGCACAGCAGATCCTCACCTCTCCCGCGGATCGATTCGGTCTCCTCGGTCTACTGTCGCTGATCAAATCCTCTGATCCCGATCTCTCGATGCTCTCGATGGGTGTCGATCTGCAAACGTTCGGCCTCAACCTCAACCAGTCCGACCCCTTGCATCCGTCGTTCATCACGCCGTGGTCGGAGAACAACATGCTGGCCTCGTCCCGCGTCGAACCCGAATTCACGCTGCCGTCGTGCTACAACGTCCAACCGCCGCCGCCGGCGCAGAGCAAGATCGCGTCTTTCTCGGACGAAACGCTCTTCTTCATCTTCTACAGCACGCCGCGCGATGTGCTGCAGGAGGTGGCGGCACAGGAGCTGTACGCGCGCAACTGGCGATATCACAAGGAGCTGCATGTGTGGTTGACCAAGGAACAGGGCACCGAGCCGACGCAGAAGACTCCGACATATGAAAGGGGCACGTATGTGTTCTTCGACCCAAGCGTTTGGGAGAAGGTCTCCAAGAGCTTTCATTTGATGTACGAGATGTTGGAGGAGAAGGTGCCGGTGCGACGGGAGGGTAGTCCGGGTGCTGTGCCCCAGCAGGCGTAGGTGGAATAACGATGAAGTTTGCCGTGTGAAGAGGGTGCTGTGTGTGACGAGGTGTGACGTGACACAGAGTGAGAACATGGTGAAGAGTGAGCGTTGAGTAGTCAGTCTGGGCGGCAAGCTGCTCGTTTCCTCGACAAGCAAGAAGGCAGAGTCGATGGCGGAGCGCGCGATGGGAGAGAACTGTTTCAAGAGCAGGCGCATTGACGGAGCGCAAGACGGCTCCTGCCCGCCCCAACCACACCATCAACAAGCGGAGCCTCGTTTTCTGAAGAGAGCAAAGCGGACCATGACACTCATTCACAAACGCACGCGGTATAGAAAGGGGGTGTCTGAAACGACGGTATGCAATTAAAGAGCTAAGTGGTATATGTGGTAATCTATTTGCGAAGGTGGTATGAGCGATCGAGGGGATCTTGAGTCCTCAATGCTTTGCTGAAATTCCTCTTGACTTCGGGTCCGCGGTGGGAGGCGCTTCTCGTCAAGGGTTGCCTCTTCTGGCTTGGGGTCGAAGTTTTAGCATAGGCCTGGGCGAGGGCGTACACGGTCCTGTAGTCCAAGGACTGACGGGAGAAGTCGAACACTTCTTCCTTGCTCACTGTCGGGGTCAACTCGCTGAGGTCCGACACCGAGGACGACGTCGAGGAGGAGGAGGAGTGGCGAGCGGCGATCATTTCCGGTGTCTTGGATCCACCACTCCTAACATCGCTGTTCGAGTGCGAGAAGACCGATGGCAACTTGACGCTCCCAAGCAGTGAGAAAATACGTCGGGCATCATCACCATCCGAATCCTCGGACCAGCGCGAGACCATGTATTCCTCCTCCTCCAGCGCTTGCGGCGGCAGATCAAAGTAGGACGTCTCGAGCTTGGTCGCCGATGCAGCGCGCGAGAGCGATCTCTGATGATTGCGCTTCGCCATGCGTGAATCGAGCGACAGATCCAGCTCGAGATGCTTGAGATCGGAAATGCTGTCCAGCTTGGGCGTGCCAGGTGTCGAGCGCGAGACCTCGGCGAAGCGCGGGACGGAGAAGGCAGTGGGGCTTTGCTTGGAGTAGCGTTTCTTCAGATCGTCAGTCTTGCGCAGCACCGCCTGGGTGGGTGGCTGCGAGGGCTGCGGGGGCAGGGGGCCAAGAGAGAGAGGCGCAGAGGCGGTGCGTGTGTGCCGACGGGCGTGCTTGGCCGGGATCGAGGGGACCGGCGGTGTAGCGGTCTCGCTGCCAGCCCGGCTGTGGAATCGTTCCATCTTGGGGGTGAGATCACCGCTCTCGGAGGAAGGGACAGACTCGACGGGCGTCACCTCCTCGTAGAGGTTGAGGCAGAGGTTGAGCACGATCTGGTCGTCGATCGCGTCGAGGCTCGATCGACCGGCGTCCTCCGACTCTTCGGGCGTCAGCGACAGAAGAGCCTCTTCGAAATCCGGAACCTCTTCCGGAGCGGGCGTGCCAAGGTTCTCGACCCAGCTTCCCGATGATTGAGTCGAGGAGGAGAGGGCCATCGACTGGGAGGAGGGTGAGCTGTAGCTCTTGCTCATCCTCACCGAAGCGTGCTTTTCGGAAAGCTTGGCGGGAGGTGCTGCGATAACGAAAACTTCGTCCGAGATCAGGTAGGTCTTGGGGACCGCTGGAACGGGTGGCGCAACTGTCGAGCCCATCGCCGCTACCGATGCCGACGTCGAGCGCGTGGAAGGCGCAGAGCGGACATCATGTGACGACTTGGAGCGGGAGAACTTGGGCGACTTGGGTGTGGATGGCATCGTTGCGTACGCGTCGACAGTGCGGCTTGAAGAGAACATGTCGAGCGCCCGTCGGCTGCTGGGCATGTCACCATCGGCTGACAGAGCGAGCGACGTCACCGACTGCGAAGCTCCAAAGGCGCTGCTGCGGTTCGACGTCGGCGCCGTCTTCGGTCGCAGAGTGAGACGGTTCAAGAGCTTGCGCTTGGATTTTTTGTCCGCTGCTTGCTCGTGGAGCGATGTGGAAGATGAAGAGTAGCTCTGCATTGTGAAGGTGTCAGCTGGCGCCACCAGGGATCAGATCTGGCAGATGTTGTGGAGACGTGAAGAGAAGGATGGTGTTCGCGAAGTAGTCTGATCGAGTCGAGACGAAGGTTGAGAGTCGCAGGATGGTGCAGAGACAGGCGAATGCAGGAGGTAGAGTTGATGGTGTGATGTAACGTGGGGAAAGAGGGATCGACGGAGTGGAAAGGGGTCGAGAGAGCGTCGTATATGAACCAAACGAGGTGAAGGGGAGGGCGACGGCGGTTAGAGTGACAGATGTGTGGCTGATCTTCACTGCGCATCGAGCTACGCCCAAGGAATCGAAGCCTCCTGAGCCTATTCAGCCCGAGAGACATGATGATCCCGGCTCTGACAACCCGAGCAAAGTAGCTGCGGTGAGGCCAGGGCGTTGCTGCTTCAAAGCATGAGGGCACGCATGTGTTTGTGGACGTAGCCGCCGAGACAAGGCCAAGCCTCAACAAACAATGCCCGAATATGGCCTGCCGAGACAGGCTGTTCCTCAAGAGCACAAGGCCCGCGCGGATGGTTAAACTTGGCGGTGCTGGGAATGGCTGCAGAGGAGAGACATGGACTAGGCCGTGCCATGCTCAACCGCGGCGAGTCTACGCAGGTGGGCGCCCAAAGGGTTCAGCTGCCTTGGCAGAAGCTCCGACTGTTGGAAAAGAGGAGGAAGGCATAAGGGAAGGCGGAGAGGCGAGGGAGGAGCGTCACCAAGGCCCGCCGCGATGTGCCGCTCGCATTGTGTCGGAATGTCTCAGAGCGGCGAAGCGGTCATGCTGAGAGAAGAGAGTTGCCTCTCCGCTTGGCCAAAAAAAGTCCTGCCTGTTCTCGCCCTGTCGTCGTGTTCTTGTTTTCTATCTCCGCTCACGGTGACCGTCCCTGATGTCTCAGTATGACCTGCTTAGGTGTCGGCCAAAGCTCGATCCGAGAATCCTTGTCCGAGAAAGCGAGATCAACCGGACCGAGATTGGCGTTGAAGCAAACGTCAACCTGCCAACGCTCGGAAGAGTCATCGTAAGACACCTCGTCTCGAGAATGCGCTTCGCTTCCACGGTGGCGATACACGGCGGCAGGGTGCTTAAGCGAACGCGCCGTTCCCAATGCTGGGCAATCATTGAGCGTGTCACGGCTACGGCGCATAGAGCTCCTCGTTCGGGCACGTTGTTCTGCGCGCAGAAGCAGCGAAAGCATCAAGAGCAGCAGCAGCTGCAGCGAAGGGGATTCGGCGCTCTGAAGCTCAATCTTGGCAGGATGGGAGCTGAGTTCTACGAGAAGCTTAAAGGACAGACAAGGTCCAGAGCCTCTCGAGCCTGATGCGTTTGCCATCCGCAATTTGGTCTTTTGGCGCCTGCAGCTGCTGTGCCTGCTTTTTCTAACCATCTTTACTGGTACTGGCGCAGCAAGTTCGAAACGATCTCGACCGGGCAGTTGAAATTGGCGGAAGTTCGTCTTTCTAAGCGAGAGTGGACTCGCTGTACCTTTTTTGAATTCCGGTTTTTCTTCCTTGTCTGCAAGCCAGTATAGGCGCCATCAGAGCGGAAGGAGGAAAATGTCTCAGAACCGGCGATTGGCTCTAGGCTGAGCATTCGAGAGTGTTAGATGCATGATGCAGCGAAGCAGCGACAGAGCAGCTGCTTTGGGTAAGGCCGCATTCGCTGCTCGGCTATGCAACAAACATTCTGCGACGTTGACTTGACAGTCGGACTAGATCCAATCCAATCCAATCCAATCTCAGCTCTCTTCGCTTCTATGCCAAGTGGTTGTGCGGGCTCCTTATGTCGACTCACCTCATGTTAACTCACTTCGAATGTCGAGGATCGTGGGCGATCGTCAGTTCTTAGCCGTCTTGACCGTTCGAAAGTTCAACCGGATGGCAGCAGAGCACGTCTGATACTGCTGCTCACCGTCGTAGGTGTCAATGTCGACCCGACCACGCATTCCGGATGCGGTCGAGTTGCCTACGGGCTGATGGTTCGCGCAGCGCAACAGGGATCGTCCTCGACGTTTCTGCATGTTGCATCTGACAGAGCTCCCTGCGAAGTACAACAATGATTCCACCTACTAGAGCGCGTATCGCACTCCCGTTTTGCGCCGTCGTCCGACAATGGGCGGACTTGCAATGTCTGGTGCTTGACCGGCTCACAATGGGCTCGCGAGTTGGGAACGGGCCCCCACGTCGACAGTGCTGATAGAACAATGGTCGGTTGTTCATCTCGCCGACACATCGACGCGGAGAAGAAAGTCAGGGCAGGGCAGAGGCAACAATGGGCGAGATGGCCGACTCCGAGACAGTCAAGATTCGGCTTCGGCCCTCGCTTATCTCGCTGCCTCGACTCATCACGCAAGGTGGAACATCCGATCGGCAATCTAGGGTTCGATGTCGACGATCCGTGACCTTGCCATCGCATTGGCGTATTCTGTGACTCGGTAAAGCAGGAGTCGTAGGCGTGGAATCAAGCGATGGCCCACCAACCAAGAGGAGGCGCTCCCACCAAGCGAGACTTCGTTGGATGCTATGTCGATGGGCGACTGCGCCGACATGACCGCTAGCCGCGATCTGCTTCCAGTAGGCCGCGAGCTCGACGAATTCTCTCGGAACGACCAGCAAAGAGAGCATCAATATCACGAGGAGAGCGAAGAGCGGGCGGCGCGGGGTGTTTGCTCGAGCGTGGCCGTTTCATAGTTGTCAGCGGCTGCTTGTCAAAACCCGATCAGTTGCCTATGCAGGGAAAGCATAGCCCTGATGTTTCGCACAAGACCCTTGGGTGCCGACCGCTGCAGCACTATGTTCCAGAGGAGTCAGCATGTGGAAAGGAAGCCAGACAGCATGTCCACCTCGACACAACCCTTTCCAGAGGGTTCAAGGCCTGGACGGACCGCAAAAGGGAGCGTCGGAGGCCGAGCGAGTCTGAAACATGTGTCGATGATGCTGCTGCTGCTACTGCTGCGGGGGGGCGTGGGAAACTCTGACTGAGAGACAACTTGCGGCATGGTCAGCAAGTACAGTTACCCAATTGGTGGAAGGCGCAGGAATGTAGGCTTCTGTTTGGCAGTCGAAGAAGAGTATTTGTTGTCCTAGACACTGTGTCTCGGAATAGACATTTGACCGGAGGGCTGCCAAATTGAGGCGCATTGTGAGAGGATGGCCATCTGGCCGAGCTGCAGTCGACTGAGACAAAATTCTGGACCTTTTTTGGGCGTGTCGTCGGTCCAGCGGCTTAGCCGCCTCACTTCGGCTTTCGGTAATCCTATTCGATCCGTCCTCCTCCATCGTCGCCATTGTCTCCCCCAGTCTACCGACTCGCCGGGCCCTCATCGTACGATGGTGTCGCCATGTGGTGAGGCGTGCAAAACTGGCTGGCGGTCAAAAGCCGAAACCTGCAGCCGCAGGGCGGTGAATGAGCTGCTGTACCATTTGCCTTGGCGCGGAGTCCAAAGCTTGTCGAGGCGCCCGCAGTGGGCCAAGGGCAGCATGCAAGCGTTCAGGTACTCGCCTGAAAGTCACCTGATGAGCCGAATGAGAGAGCGCGGCTGCAGTGGACCACATCGGTGGTAGCGCCAGGGCGTGCAACGCCCCAAGTAGGAACAGAGGCGGCAAACCCACTACGTTGACTGCTCGCCTCGCGTTGTACCACGACACCGGCCTCTCCCTGGATCTGAACTAAGTCCCGTCGAATCTCTTAGCGCTTTCACAATGCTGATCAGGACAGCAGATCAACGTCCGGCCTTTGAGATTGCGGGTCGATCGCAAGTCGAAATCGGATGAATTGCGAAGCAGATCGGACGGACCTGTGCACCGTCTCATTACGTTCCTCCATCTTTGATGTCAGATCGTGAACGGCCGTGTATTGGCTTCCGTGGACTTGCCTCCACGCGGTCAAGCGAGAAGGCCCTGTGCCTCCTACTCGGTCTGCGTGGCTGAGCCGTTGGAACTGTAGCGTGGCCTCTTCTTGGAAGGAGTGTCTTCGGCCAATAGATCGGCAGCCCTCTTGGCTGTAGAGCTGGCGGCCATGTTGGACGATCGCCGACGTTGACGGGCTGCTCTCGGAGATTCGTCGACGACAAGGCTTTTATCGTCCCTGTCTTCGCCTGCAAGTGCATTCTTGCTGGTGGGAAGCACGACCTCGTCGTCTTCAGACTCGCTGAGGGTGCTCGACCCGACATCGCCAATGTTCGCGTCCTCTTTCATCTGCCCGTTTGCCTCGCGTGGGTCATTGGCCGGCTCGCCTATCGTCACGCGTAGTCCCATGATGCCGCTCTTGTCTCGACCGTTGAAAGCGCCTTTGATCTTCGCTCGGCAGACTGGGCATTGACCCACCAACGGGTCGGGTTTATTTCTGCCTCGCCCACCTCCAGCGCTGCCAGCGTTGCCACCGCGGCCGCCTCCCCTGCCGCCTCCTCGACCACGTCCTGCGTTGCCGCCGTTGTCAGACCCCAAAGCCGCGGGAGGGCCTCCTGCGCCCCTTCCAGCTCCGAAGGTGCCAGCGGGCGCGAAGGGCGAGAAGATACTACCAAGGTTGAAGAGCGACTCTTCTTCCTCTTCGGCGATTCCGCGCTGAACAGCTTGGGTCTTGAGTGCCTGGAAAAGACAGTCGCCGCAGAAGAGATGACCGCATGGCGTGACGGCCAGGTCCTTGACTGCGTCAAAGCAGATGGGACAAGTGTACTTGGACAGCAGCGGATGCTCGATGGGGGGAGGCCTGGTACGAGGTGGCGATCGGGTAGGCATCGCCAAGTGGGAGGAACGCAGCCGCTGATCTGTGATAGGATGATCGCTCCTCGCTGGAGGTCGTGGAGCGACCTGTGCCGAGACGATGGTGAAGCTGTCGTCGCCAGTGGAATAGGGCGCCGAGCTTGGGGGTCGCACGATGGGTATGGGGCGGGTCAAGAAGTCACCCGTGCTAGGATCTACACTGACCCCTAGCATTCTGCCCCTTGAGCCTCTGTCGAAGAGGACAGGCTCAGAGGGCCCACCAGCTAGAGGAGGTGGAGAGAAAAGGTCGCTGCGGGTGATGCCAGCAGGAGGCTGTGCCCGTCGCACGCCCGAGACCTCAAAGAAGTCTCTCTCAGGGGCTCTCGTGGGAGCACCGGACTGCCACGCCATGGTGAAGTCGTCTTCATCTTCGGAACTGTCGCTGCTGATCTCGACGACGTTGCTGGCATCGATAGCGGAACGAACGCGAGGTTGCTCTGCAGATCTTGAGCGGTTGCGGGTGCGGGCGGATGCGGTTGATGATGATGGTCCTGCTGCTGCTGCCGTCTCGCGAGAGGCTATTGTATCGATCACCGCAGATGCTCGGCGAGTGGACGCTGCGCTTGAATTCCCGCTTGTGCTTCGAGATCGTCGTGCGGGCGAGGCTGTTCTGCTCGCCTGTGTGGATGAAGATGCGCTTGCCGCTCTGGATGAGGTCCGACTGGATCTCCGCGAGCCATTGACAACCGTAGGTCGAGGCAGCGGAAGATCGTGATCCGCTGCGGTCGAGGCAGATGGTAGCGGTGGCATGATCTCGACCGTGTAGATGCGGGCGTCGTTGAAACTTGCCCGCCGACGCTATGGTTCATGTGGCGGCTCTCCCACAGCGGGCTGACGGTAGCACTTGCTCTGACGAAGGTGGACTGGCCATGGAGTGCCCCGAGCTCTGCTGTGCGTTCGACCTTAGAAGAGATAGAGATGGTGGGAGAGAGGTGATGCGGTCGAAGTAAGGTGGACCCTTGATGCGCAACCCGACTCAGCCCAAAGAGCCAACCCACATACAGGTACAGCCGCTGCTGAGCGGAGCGTGACTGACGCTGCAACCAAAAAACGCTTTCTCAGAAAGTCACACCTATCACGCTACCAAGCCAATTATTTACGACCAACACCTCCACTTGACACATCGGCGATAGATCTCGGTACATCACCCGATCTGACTAGTCAGGACACTTCGCCTCTTTGCCTTTGGAAAGGGCTCGGTGACCATGCTGTGTCGCCCAGGAGGGAAAATGTCGATTGACAGCATACTGTGCTTGGCTGCCTACAAGCCGAGACGGTCAAACACAGCCTCGATTTCAAAGAATCTTCTTTTTGATCTGCGCGGAAAGACCAACGCCATGTGCCGTATCAGAGCTCGAGCATGAGAGAGCCGCGAGCTGTACCAGCTTGGCTGAGCCTGGTCGGTGGCCTGTCACACAAGTTGCGAGTCTAATCAGCAGGGGAGAAACGCTTGGCAGCCAACGTGCTCAAAGATCCTGGTTAGCTGAGTTTGGTGCAGACAGCGCCAAGACTTCTTAGTTTGCCTTTGGCCTCACCGTGACTGCAAGTCGTCCCTCTCTGACTGTAGGCCTTGATTCTCGAAATTTCAAAATGACTTTTAGGCTGTGCCTCATGGCTGCCTATTCATAAGTGAGTGAAAGAGGCTCGCGCTCAGATCCACTCATGACGCTCGATGCATGCAAGCACTGCTGCCGGCCTGAAAAATGTCAAGCTGGCGACTGGTGGACCCCGCGCACAGGCGACAAAAGAAACACTCTCGGCTGCAGCCTTACCTTGACCACACTGCTGGTCATCTGTTCAACAACCTCCAACCCATTCTTCCTTCCACCATCTACTTTCGCACACTGAGAGAAGGTCACCATCCAAACCGTCTACGAGAACAGATTCGGCATCATGGGGAAGAACCAATCCAAGCTCTCGCCCGAGCAGCTCTCGGACCTGCAAAAGAACACCTACTGTGAGTGACCTAGTTGGCATTGCTATTAGAAAGAAAGGCACTGCTGACACTTCTCTTCATCTCCTCGAATCACGCATCTATGGTGGAACCTACATTTTGATCTCTCAGTCGACAGGAAGGAGCTGCAGCAATGGTACAAGGGCTTCCTCAAGGACTGTCCGTCCGGAACGCTCGACAAGCAGGAGTTCTGCCGCATCTACAAGCAGTTCTTCCCCTTCGGTGATCCGTCGACGTTCGCTGAATACGTCTTCAATGTGTTCGACGAGAACAAGAACGGCACCATCGACTTCAAGGAGTTCATCTGCGCACTCAGCGTCACCTCGCGGGGAAGGCTGGACGAGAAGCTGCGATGGGCCTTCCAGCTGTACGACATTGACGGCGATGGAACCATCACCTACGACGAGATGCTCAGTGAGTAGTCTGCTGCCAGAACTGCATGATTGGGGCTTGGCGAGACATAAAGGATGCTGACTTGTCCTGCTTAACAGCTATCGTGAGGAGCATCTACAAGATGACGGGTCAGATGGTCAAGTTGCCAGACGACGAGGACACCCCGGAGAAGGTGAGTACCATGGCATGTGGATCTGATAATGCTCACTTCATGCGAGCGAGTCGCCGTCGGACGAGGACGCTGACATCGAAATCTTATCCCCTCAACGCTGAACTTCACGCTACGGTAGAGAGTGGACAAGATCTTCCGCATGATGGACCGCGACAAGAACGCTCAGCGTAAGTACTGCTCTCTTTGGCCATATAAGGATGCAGCACATCATTCAATGGCTCAGCTGCTGACGATACATTACTCTGCCCTTCTCCTTCCAAACTACGCTCTCTGCGCCGGTCACCTCTGCATTCGCTACCGCCATGCTCGCACATTGCAGTCTCGTTCGAGGAGTTCCAAGAGGGAAGCAAACAGGACCCTACCATCGTCCAGGCTCTTTCGCTGTACGACGGTCTCGTCTGAACAAACCAGACAAAGCAGGCCTCGAGGGAGCCTCGTCAGATCGCCATTGTACATATTGTAAATCTGCTTCGCAATCGACTCATCGGAAAGCATATCGGAACGCATCTGCGGACGAGCTGGCAGGCGTCGCTCCAGCCCCTCGCGCTGACTGTCAAAGGGCCATCGGCTCGGAGTAAACCTTGTGGACCAGCTCGTTGAGGGTCATGTAAGGCCGGGCCGAAGCAAGACCACAGCTTAAGGAGGCATTAGTGTGGCCGAAATTTGGGGTTGACATGTTACGGTAGATGCCCCTAAACAAATTGTGAAATTACTCTCGGACGTGAGGCTGACCGCCTGGCCGCTGCCGCTTTCAACCTGGCTCCGTGAAATCGCGCTGCGAAGGTCATCGCTTCGCTAAGAACCCGAGAACCGATTCACCCGAAAGTGGCAGCAGCTCAAGCCAAAGCCGAGCCGCTCCACGCCGACGACACCTTCTCAACCTTGCATCGACGCTTGCTGGTCTCCACCATCACCTTTGCCTCGACCTCAACACAGCCAATATGCGCGCATCACTAGTCAACCAGCTTCGGGTGCTCGTGCCCGTCAAGAGGACCATCGACTATGGTAAGCTTCCCGACTCATCGAAACGATTCGCTCCCTCGCTCTAGGTGGCCTATAGGGTTGATGAGCTCAGCGACGGCGACTCGTTCACACACTGACTTTTCGAACCTCCATCTCCCTCTGATCTGCGCCGCACTATTGCCACCACAGCCGTCAAGATTCGCGTCGCCTCGGACGGCAAGGGCGTCGACCAGAATGTCAAGTTTAGCATGAACCCCTTCGACGAGATTGCAGTAGAGGAGGCCGTTCGTTTGCGCGAGAAGCACAAGGACGCCATTTCCAAGATCGTAAGTCCAGGCTCCTTGCCATCCTCGCACTCCAGAAGCATCGTTGTGCTGACGTGTTCGACCCATTTCGACTTTGCAGACTGTCGTCTCGGTGGGACCACCCAAGACGGCCGATGTGCTCCGAACCGCGCTGGCCATGGGTGCGGACGATGCCATCCACGTCGAGGTTCCCGACAAGGCGGTCGCCAACCCGCTCGAGCCCCTCGGAGTCTCCAAGATTCTCAACGAGATCGTCAAGAAGGCCGGTGAAGAGGAGGAAGTGGGACTGATCATCATGGGCAAGCAAGCGATCGACGATGACGCCTCCCAAACGGGTCAGATGCTCGCTGGCCTTCTCAACTGGCCTCAAGCCACATATGCCTCCAAACTCGAGTTTTCGAGCAAACCCGAAAAGGGTGCCGAAGCCACCGTCACCCGTGAGATCGACGGCGGTCTGGGGATTGTCAAGACCAAACTCCCCTTTGTCATGACCACCGATCTTCGACTCAACGAACCCCGCTACGCCTCGCTGCCCAACATCATGAAGGCCAAGAAGAAGCCGTTCAAGAAGTACACCCTCGCCGACCTGGGGTTGGAAGACCAGGTCAAGCCGCGTCAGGAGATCCTCAAGGTCGCCGAACCCCCCAAGCGCGAGGGCGGCGCCAAGGTCGAGAATGTCGACGAACTCATTAGCAAGCTCAAGGAGGCCGGCCGTATCTGAGCGTGCCCCTGTGTAAGCAGCGGGGACACATCAGGAAAAGCAAAAGGTGGCATCGTAAGCTTGGACACGGTGCGCAAACAGTAGCTTCTCAGACACACCTCCTTTGACTAATTCTAGACATGAACGATTCTTCACGCTTGCTCTTCGCACGTTCGATCCATCGTCTGGACTCGGTCATGAGAGCTCCATCAGGCGAGCATGCTTGCAGTCAAGCTGTATCGTGAGAATAAAGCTAAATCTCGAGGCGCGGCAACCACTTGGCCGGCTTGCTTCTCGTCCGTGTGTTCATGATACGACACCACCTGTGTGATGAGTGGCTAGCTTTGACTAACTCCTGAGAGCTGATGTGTGATGCGCTAACCGATGTGTGGGAAAGCAATACGAGCCGTCGCAACAAGGTTGAACCGGCAAGAAAGCCTGGCTTGGAGTCATCCACCCACGCTCATTTTTTCTTTTGGCCGATTTTACGCACGGTGCCGTGAGAAGAAATGGCCAATCTTCTTGCATACCTTTTTCGCATTGTTCTCCCACGTCCTTTCATCATCACTATCCACCTGCGTCCCCACCACCGTTGTCGTCGACTTATCCACCACCGACGTTGCTCGACTTCGCCTGCTGCAATCCCACTTTGTTCATCACAAGCCGATACACACCGGCACCGGCGCATAGCTATATTACCCCTGTGCACCGTGGACCGACCGCCCTCCCTCTTCCATCAGCCATCATGTCGACCACCACCGCAAACGGCACGCACCACACAGCGGACACCTTCCGTCCGCTCCTCAAAGCTCTTTCCCTCGCTGCATCCGTCGACGCCCAATCTGGCGAACCCAACCATCCCTCTGGCACTTCTACCATCACGCACACCCAGCTCGAGCAGATTCTGCAGCATCTCGCAGATCCCAACTTCACCTCTTCGCGAGAGAACCACGCGCAGATTGGGTCCGCGTTGACATGCCTCAAGTTCTGCAGGCTGGACATTCAGGCGGAAACCTTTGCGTTGGCCGCACGGATCTTCTTGGATTGCTGTTTGGATGTGCATGTGCCGGCGCTGGACGGGGAGGCGGGGGAGTATGCCGGTGTGGAAGGTGGGTATAGGGGGACGTTGGATCTGGTTGGTACGGGAGGGGATGGGAAGGACACGTTTAACGTTTCCACCACGGCAGCGATGGTCGCTGCTGGTGTGAAGGGTGTAAGGGTGTGCAAGCATGGTGCGAAAGCGTCCTCTTCAACGTCCGGTTCCGCCGATCTGTTGATGTCCCTCGGCATCCCGCTCCTCACGTTGCCAGCGAGCGAACTGCCGGGCGTGTTGAGGAAGAGCAAGTTCTCCTTCCTCTTCGCCCAGCTCTACCATCCGGCCCTCGCCCCCCTCGGCCCTATCAGGAGGTCACTCGGCTTCCCAACGATATTCAACGTCCTCGGCCCACTCATCAACCCCGCCAAACCGTCACGATGCATCTTGGGCGTACACAGCTACTACCTCGGCCGGATTTTTGCGGAAGCGCTGCGCAAGAGGGGCACGGAGCGAGCCTGGATCGTCTGCGGCCAGGAGGGGCTGGATGAGATCAGCCCTGCAGGGAGGACGGATGTGTGGGAGCTCAAGGATGGGCAGATTAGCGAGTTCACCGTGGGGCCTGAGGATTTCGGCTTGGAAAGGCATCCCCTGGAGCACGTGGGGAGTTGGAGTGCCGATGAGAATGCTGCGATTGTGATGCGGATGTTTTCGACCAAGGATGTTGGGGAGGGGCCTTTGGAGAAGGGTGTACAGCTGGATCCGAGGGAGTTTGGCGAGTGTGCACCGGAGACCATGGTGCATGTTCGCTCACTGCCGTCCATACCGAAGGGGGTGAGGTTGGGCGCTATTAAGCAGTATACGTTGTTGCAAACCGCCGCGTTGCTGTATGTGGGGAGCTACGCAACGACGCTCAAAGAGGCTACAGCGCTAGCGCGGGAGAGCATGGAGAGCGGTGCAGCGCTTAGGGCGCTCGAGGTGTTCAGAGACGAGAGCAGCTTGAGTGTCAGCCGGTGGGAGAAGGAGCAGGAACGAAAGGCGCAGGGCAGGGAGAAGGAAAGCAGGAAGAGTGTCGAGGAGACGGTGAGGAATCAGGATCAGTACAGTTATCTGCCCGAGATTTGGGCGGATGCTGCGGTGGGAACGGATGACTAGCTCGTCGAAGCAATATCAACCGTGTCCAACAATCTCATTACGATTGATCGTCGAACGATCTTGTGATGCATGTGGTGCGAGTGCGACAAGAAGGGTGCTTTCCGTGCGAACACAACGAGGACGAGGTGCTCAATGGCATTTCGGTGCGATCACGGAGGAGTCTTATTACGAATACGGTATGCGGGATCTCTTGTGACAAACGTGATGCATCTAGAACGGCGCATAGTCCTTCGGAGCCGCGATCGCCTCCAATCTCTCCAGATGGGAAGCCCAGAGTGGCCAGTCAAGCCCGTCCTTTCCGACCAATTTGAGTTCGAGCTTGCGCAGCTTTTCCACCTCTTTCAGCGAATCAGACGTTCCTGCGCCGAGGTCCTTCTTGAGCTTCGTGATCGCCTGGAGTGCGAGAGCGTACCGACCGTGAAGGATGGACCATCGCACATACAGCTCGGTGTATTCCTTGGCCTTCGTGTCGGGAGCAAAGTACGAGCGGTAAGCACGCCAGCTGTCCTCCAGCTCCTTGGTCGGTGCTGGAGGTGTGGTAGATTCGGCATCGGTCATGAGCACGCGGGTCTTGCGGTTAAGTGCGAGGATCAGGGCTTTCTTGCGCTCCTCCATCGCTTTGTTCTCCTTCTTCTCCTCGTCGGACTGTTCGGACGAAGGTGGTTTGTGGGTGGCTGACCACAATCGGACGGCCGTCTCGTCGATGAGCGACAGCAGGTGATCCGCTGCAGAGAGGACGGCGGAGCGTGCCTCCTTGTCGTCTGCGTCCAGAGCCTCGAGTTTGGCGATGGCGGCACCGAGGAACTTGGGGTAGTCGGCGATGAGCTTGTCCATGAAGGCGATCTTCTCTTTGCTGTCCTTGATCTTCTTCGCGGTTGCGGTGAGGAGTTCGGGGATCTCGTTCTCGTTCTTGCCTGCAGGAGCGTCGTCCGAGTCGGACTCGGACTTGATAGCAGGAGGAACGATGTATCGAATGGCACCCTTGCCTTCCGCGGCGAAACCGAATGTGCCCACCAGCACGTCGCCTGCCTGGGCCTCCTTCGGCACCGCATCGCCCTCTAGGTTGAGATCCAGGGTCAAGACGATTCGCTCTCCGGGATGCAGCTTCACACCCGCATACTTGGCCGCGGGAGCCTCGCTGTGGAGATCCACGTGATTGTCGTACAGCTTAAGAGCCGCCGAATCAGGCTTGGACAGCTTCTGATCCACCATGAGCGTCACGTGCTTGAGCGACTCGAGCACCTTCATGTTCTCGTGCAGCAGCTGCGCCTTGAGGACGTAGTCGCCCTTGGGCAGGTCGATCTCCTTCTTGTAAACGTCGCCGAAGTGGACGCGCTTCTTGCGCAAATCGAAGAGCTGCGTGAGGAGGGGCACGCTCGAGTCGTACAAGTGGTTGCCCAGGGCTGGGAACGAGTAGCTGAGCTTGTTCGAGTCTTCTTTCGCCGAGACGGAGTAGGTGGTGACCAGCTCGAACATGTGATTTCCGGTAGGCTGGAGGTCGCGTGGGGTGGAGAGCGGGCGGATGCTGGAGGAGGTGGGACGGTGAAAGGTGCGACGCGTGTCGAACGTGATGCTCGGCTTGAAGTCTTCGATGCGCACGGTGGACTGGCATTCAATCTTGGCGTGACCTTGGCCGCCGATGAGGGTGAGCTCTTGACGTCCACTGGCGGGGATGAGGGATGCGGTGATGCCGTGGAACTCGATATCTAGATCAAGATCGAAGGCCGACTTGTTGGACCAGAACTGTGCAGAGCACACTTCCATGGTCATTCCACCACGCACGCTGAACTTTTTGGTCACCGGCTCGTTCTCCTGCAGCGCAAGCACAAACGACTTCTCCACATCGCTCAGACGCTGCAGAGGCTCGAGCTGTACGCAGTGCAGCCAGAAGCGGGCGCTGGTGCCGGCAGACGAGTGGTTCGAGCTGCGAACCGTGAGCGAGGCCCACGTGGCTCCTTCGGGCACGGAGATGAAGCGTCGATCGATCTTGCCCGCCTCGAAGCGGACCGTGTCTAGCTTGACTGTAGGCGAAGGGAACACTTCTGGCTTGGCGACCGTGACGGGGATGTCGAAGAGCTTGTGGCCAGGGTTCTCGGTGTCGTATGCCTCGATCCAAGCGTGGTGCAGGCCAGGTGCTAGGTCTGTAGGGTCGACACGGACTTCGAAAGTGCGACCGTTCCCGCCAAGGAGAAGAAACTCGGGTACGGACACCCATGGCTGGGAAGCAGCAAGAGCGCATCTGAGCTCAAGATTGAAGGCCTTCTCGGTCTCGCCCTGCTTGAACGTAGGTCGAACAGTAACGTTGGCTTGCTGGACGTGGTGAGTCTCGTCCTTCTCGCGAAGGTAGATACCGCGCTTGTCCATGCGGCCAAGCGCCTTGCCTGCGCGGGTGACAGCAACACGATACTCGGCATCCTGTTCGACTCGGTCCTTGTTCTGACCAAGGTAGTCCCAAGCAGCATCGACGCGGATGAAGGGCACGCCGAGCGGGTCTTTGACATCCTTGCCCGTGACGCGAACGGCATTGAAGACGCGAGCCGGGGTGATGGGGATGTTCTCGGCTTTCAGTCCCGAAAGAAGGAGCGCGATAGAGCCGCAAGCGTTAGGCGAGCTCATCGAAGTTCCGTTCATGAGCTGAGTCGACTGGAGGCAGTAGCGAGGGATCGAGGTGATGGCAGCGCCAGGTGCGTAGATCGAGACACCACGATCACCATCCGAAGTGGGACCACGACTACACCAGGTGGTGACGCTGTCGGGCACTCCCTTCTCTACGAGCGCGTACTCTGCCTTTTGCATGGCGCCTGCATTGACGTAAGCGCCGACACTGAGTACCGAAGAGGTCGTGCCACCAGGCTGACCGACAGTCGTCAAAGCGGGGCCGTTGTTGCCGGCACTGCTGACGAAGAGAATGTCGCGTTGACGGATGACGATGTCCCTGAGCGCCTTTGCGAAAGCGCCCTTGTCTTCAGCACCGAATGCGCCATCTTCACCGTAACTAAGATTGGCAATGTCGCACTTGGTGTCGACGAGCGCCTGAGCCGAACGAAGCATAGCCTGACCTTGCTCCATACTTCCGAGACGAGCATCACCAATCTTCATGCTGACAATCTCGCAGCCGGGAGCGACACCGTTGAGCTCGGGCTGATCGTCGTGTCGCGCACCGACGATGCCGGCAACGTGCGTGCCGTGGCTACCAGCGACGGTGACGAGACTGAGCAAGTTGCCGTTGTCCTCGATGTTGACAGTGTACGTGAGCAGATCCTGCTGACCGAAGCTTTGCCATTGACGCTCAATGCGGAAGTCGGTGATGGGCTCGACGGTGGTGAGGTCGAGTGTTTGGGCCTCGAGGGGCTTGAGGATGTCTTGCGGTTGGCCGGTAGATGGGTCGTGTGTCTCACCTTCGCCACCGCCGACAACGGCATACCAGTTCTTGCCATTGTGGAAGACGATGGCTTCGAGAAGGGGACCATCGTCTTTGTAGGAAGAGGCGAGATCCTTGAGAGCCTGAATGCGCGCTTTGATCTCGTCCTTCTTGAGCTTTGCGTTCTCGCTCGCAGCGCTCTTGTCAGAGCCATCAGCCGCGCTGGGACCAGAAGCTTTCGGAGCGGCAGGCGCATCAAGCGCGTTGAGCTCGGTCTGAGCCTGGCAAAGCAGGGCTTGATGAGAGACGAGGAAGGCTTTCTGCCTCTCTGCTGAACGACGGCTCTTGAGCTCGCCTGGCCAAAGGTCGTAGGCCTTCTTGAAGCCAATCTTCCATTCGCCCTTTGGGTTGGTGAGCTTCGAGGAGAGGCGGAGTGTACGACCAGTAAAGGGAGACTTGAATTCGACGTGACTCGAGCTGCTCGCGCTGCTGCCAGAGACTGGCTCGATTGGCTGAAGGGGGATGTCACCAGCACCGGTGCAGTCAATCACGTCCACGACCTTGCCGGGTTGGTTGAGGCCGATGGCGGCAGGGTCGACACCGGTGTCGAGAATAGCCACGCGAACGTTGCGGCCGTCGTATTGCGGGTACTTGCGGAGAAAGCTGAGCGCCTCGGTAGTATCCTTTGGCAAGAGACCTCCGAGTGGGAAAGGCTCGTTGGGCACAGCTCGAGCAGAAGGCATGGTGGAAGCGGAGGCGTCTATGATTGAGGTAGCAGCTTGAATGCGCGGAGTGTTGGAGAGGTATCGAGGCGTAGATGGGCCGATAGGGTTGCGAGTCGAGTATGACCGTAGGTGGGAAGAAGATGCCGGGAGGGTAGTCGAAGTGAAAGAGCGAGTCGAAGCCAGAGTGCGAGCCTTGTCACGAAGCAGCAAACGCGGAAGAGTCAGGCTGCGCGGCAGAGGTATCATGCCCTGAAGCTGCGATGCTGAACCGAGAGGAGAGGGATGATGGGCAAGAGGAAAGATGATGGAATGGCGTGCGCAACCAGTGTTGAATGTGACTGGCTCGACCGGGTGATCTTAGCGAGGGAGAGCGTTGGCTACCCCACTCAGCTCGGCACTTTGCCGAAAAAGGGCCACGCAGCGCTTCCCTCGCCTAAACTCGGCCAAAGTGACGATCACGAATTGTGCGTCCAATTGTTACACCGAGACTAGATGCAGTCAACGAATTTTGACCATCTCGGAACTCGCTGTTGAATCTCTTCGCAGACAGAGGAAAAAAAGTGCTTTTGGGCGCACAAGTTTGTGAGAAATTTTAAAGTGGCAGAGCGAAAGAGGACCCTTCTCAGCCTGCTCAGCAGCCCACCCTTACCTTCACCACACATATCCTCGTTGGTCGTCAATTGCTGCAGCCACATCGACATGCCACCCAAGAGGTACTTCGAGCAGGATGAGCCTGTCACCGAGGCGGCTGTTGCTGCTTCCTCATCCGAGGCGGCAACGGCGACTGCTAGCACCTCGACCGACTCGGCCACCAAGAACAAGGCGCCAAAGACCAAGGTCAATGCCACCCTCTTCGTCTCGAGATTGCCATACACTGCCACCACCACCGACCTGCAGACCATGTTCAGTGAGATCGGTCCCCTGAAGCGAGCCTTTGTTGTCACCGACCAGGCCACCAAGAAGTCCAAAGGTGTCGGCTACGTCACTTTTGCCATCCCAGAAGATGCCACAACTGCGCTCGAGCAGCTGCAGGGCAAGTCGCTCGACGGCGGCAGCAGAAAGCTTCAAATCACCTTCGCCGATCAGAAGGATCCCACCGGTGCCAAGCGACCACCTGTCAAGGCTGATCCCAACTCGCCCTCGTCCACCAAGCGACCTCGTACCGAGACGTCCAAACCAGCCCGCACAAACGGTCCCGTGCAGGAGAAGGACGCCGACGCCGTTCGCACCGTCATCCTTTCCGGTCTCGCCGGCTGCTCCCCCGCTCCCGACTCCAAACAGATCTACAAACGAGCACGCAAGATCGGCGACGTCGAAAACGTCATCTACCCGTCCACCTCTTCGTCCAACCCGAACGACGTTGCGCACGTCATCTTCCGCACCCCCAACCACGCCATGACCGCCGTCGAGAAGCTCCACGCCCACGTCTTCAAGGGCGTGCAGATCAGTGCCATCCTCAAGAAACGAGCTGACAATGCTGCAAAGATCGCTGCCCACATGCGCCCAGAGACGCTCGCAAAGAGGGAAAAGATGCGTCAGGACGTCGAGAAGAACAGTGGAAGGGGTACCATGCCCGTGCTGCTGTCCGAGATTGACAAGTCGAGCAGATTGATCATTCGCAATCTGCCGTACGATGTGAACGAGGCCGACCTAAGGTCGATCTTTTTGCCCTTTGGACCGGTGTACGAGATCACCATTCCCAAGGTCAAGGCCAAGGACGCTGGTGCGAAGGATGCGGTGACCACAAAGGAGGAGGACGCTTCAGAAGACGCAATCGACATCGACGAGAGCGCCAGCGATGCCTCCGACGATGACGAGGACGGTTCGGAAGCTGACGATGATGCAGAGGTGGAGGACGACGAAGACGTCGAGAGCGACGCCGACAGCGAAAGTGACGCAGAGGCAATCGAACAGAGCTCGGAGGCCTCCGAAGACGCAGCCTCCGACGATGCAGCTTCTTCTTACGATGGGGAAGCCGACGCCACGCCCACCACCGAAGACATCGTCGTCAAGACGGAAGAAGACGATTCCGTCCCCGCCCTCACCTCCACCCCTCTCCCCGCTGCCACGCCAACCACCTCCAAGCCAGCCATCGAAAAAGGCCGCGGCTTCGCCTTCGTCTGGATGGTTTCGCGCAACGACGCCGCCCGCGCCATCGAAGCGGTGAACGGCAAGCCCATCCAGCACGGTGCCGCCGAGCGTGCGGCCTACAAATCCGCTCTCGGCTCTCGTGGTCGTCGAGCAGCCAAGTCCGCTCTGGATCGCGTCCGCGCTGCCGCACAACCCGAACGCACCGTCGCCGTCGACTGGGCGCTCAGCAAGAAGGATTGGGAAGCCAAAGCGGACGAGTCGGAGCCCGAAGACTCCCCCGATGCTGCGGGCTCCGACGACGAAGATGAGCCTGCGGAACGACCGCAACTCCCCGCACCCGAGGAAGGAACCACACTCTTCATCCGCAACCTCCCCTACCAGGCGACCGAGGAAGAACTGCGCAACCTCTTTCGCACCTTCGGCCCCTTGCGCTATGCCAAGATCACGATGGATCGCACGACCAATCGCTCCAAAGGAACAGGGTTCGTGTGTTTCTGGCAGGCCACTTCGGCGGAAGCGGCGCTGGCGCAGGCGGCGATCATCGAGCGCGAATCGGGTACGGGTACAACGGTGGCGAACCAGAAGAACCCTTTTGCTATGCCATCCGTCCTCACCGCTGATCCGGCGGCGCCGATGACGGCGAGTCTCAATTTGCATGGGCGCGTGCTCAACGTCATCCCGGCCGTCGATCGGTCGGAAGCTACGCGACTCGAGACGTCCGGTCGAAAAGAACGCGAGAAGGGCGATAAACGCAACACGTGGCTCCTTCGCGAAGGCGTTCCGTTCCCCAACAGCGATTTTGCAGCCAAATTCGCACCGAGCGAGACGGAGAAGCGTCTGCAGTCGTTCCAAGTGCGAAAAGCGCAGTTGGGCGCCAACCCGAGTCTGTTTGTTAGCAAGACGAGGTTGAGTGTGCGCTCGCTACCGCTGTTTGTCAGCGATCGCATGTTGAAGCGGCTTGCGGTGCATGCGGTGAAGGCGTTTGGTGCGGAGGTTAGGGCGAAGGAGAGGGAGGATTTGGATGCCGATGAGAAGGCGGATCGAACGTTGAGTGCTGCCGGGGAGAACCGAAAGAGAAAGCCTGGAGAGAGACCGACTGCCGTGGTTCAGAGCAAGGTCGTCAGGCAGCACGATCGTGTGGAGGCCCTGACGGGGCTGGGTAAGAGTAAAGGATATGGGTTCCTGGAGATGAAGAGCTACCATGATGCGTTGAAGGTGATCCGTTGGGCAAACGCCAACAAGGGCGTCAGCAAGTTGTTCGGTACTTGGTGGGTCGACGAGCTCTCTCAGCAGGTGGATCGCATCGCCACGCAGATCCATGCCAAGAACAAGCTGCTCGAGGAGAAGAAGGGCGACGAGGCCGAGATGCTGAGGAAGGAAGTCGAGGAGCTGACGACGCGAAGGCAGAGGTTGAGGGCCAAGCTCGCCGAGCTGGGCGAAGACGGCGCAGGCGGGGAGAAGGAGCGTGGCGGAATGCTCATGATCGAGTTCGCCATCGAGAACGTCGTCACCACCAAGAAGAGGGCGGACAAGCTTAAGGCGGTCAAGGAGTCGACCGAGCGCAGGAAGTTGCGCGAGGTCGAGGACGAAAAGGTCAGGGAGAGGGAGATCGAGCTGGAGAGGAGGGAGAAGCAGGCGGCCGTGAAGATCGAGGCGGACAAGAACAAGCCCCGCGGTTTCGCGCATGGACACGTGATTGGCAAGAAGAGGAAGGAGAGGAAGGCTAGGCGGGGTTGAGCAGTCGCTCCTTTGTCAATCTGTTCGCTGTTGCGATCGCACGATCATTCAAATGTTGAACTGCAATAGCTGACGAGAATGTGATATTGAATTGTCCTTGACATTGACAAAACCTATGACGACGGCGAGAACCCAAGAAACGAGAAACGATTTACTTCACCACCAGCCGGGCCCAGTTCCAGACTCGGGCCCCTCCTTGTCGGCCGCATCGATGATCAGTCTGAACTCGCCCCCTGCGCCTTCTGGCAAGAGATCGAGCGCCAACATGCGCCTTTCCAAGCCGTCTTCTGTACCGAAATGTTCTCGCACCGACACAGCTGCGGCTGCTGATCCTAATACGCTGCTGATGACGACGCCTTGGGTAAACATCTTGCTGTAGTCCAAATAGAGATGCACCGTGCCTGGGTGCATAATCTTGGCGTGGATCGAGACCTGCCGTGACTCGGGATTGCAAGAGAGGTACTGCAGTGCGATGCTCCGCTGACGATCAATGAGTACGGGCGGCACGCCAAATGTGAGGAGCGCGTCCCGTAGACGCATGGTGCTTTTGGGGAGTTCGCTGTGCAGCGTTGTGAGAATGTACTTGGGGATGGTCGCTGCGAGGTCGACGTGTCCGATGTATGTGATGTCGCAGCCGCCGTCGCGGCTCTCGAGGTAGAAGGCAGCTTTGTGGACCTTTGCTCGAACGCACCCTTCCACTTCGGCTGGAATGCCCGGCACCTCATCCAGGCTTTGGTAGCCCAGTACCATGTTGGCAGTGGTGAAGTCGGGAATGTCCTGCAGATTGCCTGCCGCATCCCAGCATCGTAGTGCTTGGATGCCGCAGATGTCCCTTGGCTTGTGGACGGGACCGATGCCTCGCCATACAAGGTAGAAGAGGAACTCGTGCATGGAGAAGGCGCGCATGATGTGTGCCGACTGGACTCGTGTGTCCCACATCATACGGAAACCGGTCATGCGGATGCCGGAGAAGACCTCGAGCGGAGTGAGACCGGCCGCGTGTGTCTTGCCGCGAAACATGGGCATGGTGGAGAAAGGCTCGTCGGGGTTTCGTGGATAGATGGCGATTTCGCCTCCATTGTGGGACCCACGCTCCTCCCAGCCGCCTTCGGTCTCTTGACGCAGGGTAAGGAGCATGTTGATGAGTTTGTCGGCGGAGGCCTGCCATTCGTTCTTCCAGTAGCCATTCTCGGCGGGCCGTTCGGGGATGATGGCCACATTGCCCGGTGTGGTCATGGTTTGATATTGCGCTGTGCTTGCTGAGCCTGCCCTCTGCACGGAGGTGGAATGTTGCTGTAGAGCCGAACTCATGTGGCAGTCGCCTCGGTGCTAATGTTGGATGGCTCGCTACCTAGCGGGTGCTACTGTCGGCTGAGGTCGATTTGTGCGTGCTAGCAGGGCAACATGCTGGCACACCGACTGGGTCGCAGAGACGTACTTGTAGGGAATACAAGGAGTGTGTGGTCGGTTGAGAAGCCAATACCGGAATCAAAGATGAAGCAGCGTAGGGGAAGGAGGGCAGCCCCGTAGATGTAGCGAGCGAGGGGTCGTGGTCGGATGGAGTGCTAAGCAAAGAGAAGAGCTCCAAACTCAGGGTTTGGCTAGACCATGTCGGTCAAGCGTGAAATGGTCAGTGCCACCGTTCAAAGTCAGCCCACTTTCAGAGCACAGGAATCTCAGAATTGGCCGACGTTTGTGACTGTGCCGAAGCGGAGAAGCCGAACAAAGGGGGTGAGCCTTGTGGCTGGTGGGCGTAGCGACAATCCTTTTATGCCAAGTGCAAATGTACCGAGGTAAAGGGCAGTGAAATCCTCATGTGATTGAATTTAGAGTGTGAGTGCTTGGCTGGCGGCTGACCTAGAGAGGCGTGGGAACAGTCGCTTGTGACCGATGCCGCTCTGGTTTCATCTCAGCTGCATCTCCTCGGCGCTTTCCCCGCCCTCATCCAGCTGTCAGACGGTTTTGGTGCAGATCAATCTCATGTTCAGCTTCCATGCTCACTCATCACTTTGAACAGCCTCGTGTTGCTCACCCATCTCGGAGCGAGTCGGGCCGTGAGGCGAGACTGACTGTTACGACTGAGATCGTCGCTGGCTCGGCAAGGACGCCCTTCACACACAGATTCACAGATTTAGGTGGCGCACAAGCAAGCGATCCCTTGTTTAAGCGAGCTGCTCACTTACGACCTGAAAGCGTGCGAAACCTTGTGGCTCGGCTGGTTTAGTGTCAGATCGAGAAAGTAGAGATCGCCGATTCATCGTTCAGCTGACCCCTCTCCGCCCTCGGCTTTCAGGGTCCAGCCTGCGCTGTCCGGATCGAAAAGCACCCTAAGCAAGGACGGCCATCGTGTGGAGTGCGAGCATTTCAGATCAGGCTACCATTCACCATTGCACCCAGCGTCATTTCGCTTCTCACAGCGTGAACACTCTTCTTGACGTACGCTCGGCCTCCCTCAGGTTGTGCTAGGCTCTTGTACAACACGTCTCGACGGGCACGCGCGATCTTGCGCATGCCCCCACGGTCGTCAGAGCCATAGACCCGATTCCCATGCGGCCACTTCGAGGCGAGGAGCAAAGCCTCCTGGCTAGGCCTCACGATGACGCATCCTCTCCGCTCTTGACGCCGACGCACGAAGATGGTCCAGCCGAGCCACGCATCAAGACCGGTGTCGAAGGCGCACCAGCTTGGGATCAGATGTCACCCCAGCAACGCACTTTCGTCTACCTCACCTTCGGCTTGCTCGGCATGGGCGTGCTGCTTCCCTTCAACTCGCTCATCACACCAGCAGAATACTTCCGCTCCTCGTTTGCACGCACTCCTTACGCCAACAACTTCAGCAGTTGGATCGTCGTGTCTTACAACGTGATCAGCATCCTCGTTGGGATCCACGCTACCGCGACTGGTGGCTTCGAGAGGTCGAATCCGCGCCGCAGGATCACTCTCTCTTCGACTGTCATCATCGTCTCCGTATTTCTCTTTGCGCTGTCCACTAGGATCGGTCAGCTGACCCTGCGCAACGGTCACCACGATGACGGAACTCCACTCGTGCCCAGCAATGGCTACTTCTACTTCACACTTTTGCTGGGTGGCTTGCTCTCCAGTGCATGCGCGTACTTGCAGAACAGCGTCGTATCGCTCAGTACCGCTTTCGGTGCTGGCGGATCCTTCATGGGCAGCATGCTGGCAGGACAAGGTGTCGTTGGCGTCGGAATCAGCATCTTCGGCTTCGCTTCCGCCTGGTCGCAGCAATCAGTACCAGATGACATTGCCGCTCCCGAGCCAGCACAGCAGACGGCACGCGGGATCGCTCGAGCTGCCACTCTCTTCTTCGGCATGAACACCATTCTGATGATGGTCGTGCTTGGTGCCTTCCTGTGGCTCATGAATACGCCGCTCTACACCCAAGTCATGGCCAAGCAGGTGGCCACCATCGACAAGATCGACGACGAGCGCAACAACGGCGCAAACGACCTGGAGGAAGGGGACGCGGACCATCCGATGGTGCAAAGCTGGCACTCGATCCGCTCCATCTCGCATCCCGCCTACAGCTCTTGGCTCAAGAAGGTGCCTGGCTTCTACAGCTTGGCACCCTCGACGCGCGAATCGCTGCTGCGCATCTCGCTTGTGCAATCCAAGGTCAAGTGGGACTGCTTTGCAGTGGCATTCATCTTTGTCATCACGCTCAGCATCTTTCCAGCCCTCACCTCTTCGGTACAGAGCGTCTACACCAACTCGTCCAAGTCGAGGACCAGCTCGCTCGATCTCACCTCGCCTCAGCTGTTTGTGCCGTTCCACTTCTTCCTCTTCAATCTCTCGGATCTGCTGGGCAGGTCTCTCCCGAGTCTGATCCCTTCGGCATTGATACGAAAAGCTCGAGCTCTCGTCTCGCTGTCGCTGCTCAGATCCTTGTTCGTGCCGCTGTTCATGGCATGCAACGTCGTGACGACCAGTCAGAGGACGGGTCTCATCAGCCGAACGTACACAGGAGCGCAAGGTGGGTGGCTTTCGGGCCTCATGCAGTCGAACGATGCTCCTTTCTTCCTCCTCATGCTGCTGCTTGGCTTCTCTAACGGTCTGGTCAGCACCAGCATCATGATCTCGGGTCCATCGAGGAGCAAGCTCGTCAACTCGAAAGGCGCGAGCGAAGGGCCGTTGGCGGCGACGTTGCTCTCCTTCTGGCTTTGTGTGGGCTTGGCGATCGGAAGCGGACTCAGCTTCCTCACTGTCAAGTCGTAGCCTTCGTTCCCTTTCGTCCTCTTACTTGTACCGCTTAGATCTGCCCTCTAGACTTGATACACCGCTGAAACTCAATAGCATCCACAACCTCGCACACAGTAGTGATCGAGAGGTGGCCTTGTCTCCATCAGCTCAGTGAATCCGAAGGGAAGATGACTCTTGGTGATCCGGCGGCCATAATTGAGGGACGACCACGTTTCAAGCGAGAGAAAAGCCGAAATTGCGCCGTGTGCAGTAGGGCGAAGCTTCATATGCGCACGGTCCGGGGTGAGAAAGGCTGTGCGTGGGTGGATCTGCCTTGCATTTCCAAAACTCCACCTTTGACTCTCCGCAGCAGGCAGTCACCGGTGCAGCTGAACTCGAACATCGGTCTGCATGCCTCTAGTCATCACTCCATCCGCCATCCATCCTCGTATCTATCATCGCCACTCAGCTGTCAGCATCTCATAGGTGCTGAGCGAGCGTCGCTTTCATCCAAAATGACAGATGCACACCAGTCACCACTCGTCCTCTTCCCCTTGAAGACAACAGAGGAGGTCGACCTCGGCTCGGCAGTCAGGTCGCTTATCACCAACAGCTACGGCGAGGACCCTAAAAAGTACTCCGAGCAGACCTCTCAGCTCAATCGAGCTCGTCAGGATGCGGTCAAAGGCGCGGCTTCTGACGCCACCGGGCGAGATCTGCTCTTCAAATGGTTCCACATGCTCGAGATGCTCGAACTTCGCTTCCCAGAGCTTCGTGTGCCGTTCCCATGGAAGGATGCCTTCACCCAAAAAGCCATCTCGCAATCCAGCCTGGCATACGAAAAGGCGAGCATCATCTTCAACATCGCTGCAACACTGTCATCGCTCGCCTCGTCCCAAGCTCGCATGTCCAACCCGGACGGTCTCAAACGCACCTACACCGCACTTCGTCAAGCAGCGGGAATGCTCAGCTACATCAACGAGAACTTCCTGCATGCGCCCAGCACCGACATGAGCAAGGATGTCGTCAAGTGTCTGGTCGGCATCACACTCGCCCAAGCCTCCGAGGTGTTCCTAGAAAAGACGATCGAGGAGAAGAAGGCTCCCGGTCTCATCTCGAAGCTTGCCAGTCAGACCGCAGCCGCGTACACCGGTCTCGTCGAGGACTCGCGCGAACACGTCACCAAGGGCATCTTCGAGCGATCTTGGACATACCTCGTCCAGGTCAAGGCGCGACACTTTACCTCGGTGATGCACTACTACAAAGCCCTAGCGGACGACGCGTCCGGCTCGCACGGCGCCTGCCTGGTCCGCCTCACGGTCGCCGAGACAGCCGCGAAAGAGGCACGCAATCTCCTCACCACCTTCAGCTCCTCCGCTACTGCGAGCGCTTCCGGGGACCAACCATCCTTGCCCTCCGACGCAGCCTCCGCCCTCATCGCCATCGTCAACGCCCAACTCGTCCGCTGCACAGAACGCAAAGAGACCGCCGTCAAAGACAACGATCTGATCTACCACGACATCCTTCCATCCGAATCGTCCCTTCCCGCGGTCGACAAGCTGGTCGCTGCGACTCCGATCGCGATCCAGGAGATCTTTGCCGCTCCCGAGGTGCAGCGCGTCATCGGTCCGGATTTGTTCCAAAACCTCGTCCCACTCGGCGTGCATGAGAAAGCGTCGTTGTACTCGGAAGAGAAGGCGAAGATCGCACGTGCCGAGTCCGAGAGGCACGATTTGGCGACAGGAGAGATGCAGGCTTCGCTCGAGTATTTGGGCTTGCCGGGGAGTTTGAAGAAGTTTCGCGCGTTGGCGCAGGGGAGCAACGGGAGTGGGATGCTCGATTCGCTCTCCGATCCGGGGGCGGAGGTGATGCGGTGGTCGAGCGAGGAGGCGGAGGGTGGGGGTGGTCGCGGTGTCGATGGACTGGGAGTGGGTACGGCCGGGGTGGATTCGGCGCTGGGTCGGATCGAGAGCATGAAGAGCCAAGCCAAGGAGGATATCGACGCGGCGCTGGCTGCGTTGGACGACGAGAACCGCGAGTGCGAAAAGCAACGTGTTCGATTCGGGCATAAGTGGACCCAAGACCCCGCGGGGTTGCATACGAAGGACATGCGCGCCAGCCTCAAGGACAACAGGGAGGCCATGGCGCAGGCGTCCCAGAACGACGCACAAATTGGGGAACTGTGGCGATCCATTCGCGAGGACGTAGCCTTGCTCGTTTCCGGACGTGAGGCGCTAGAAGGTGCATTCGCAGCCGCACTCACCGGTCAAACCGGTCTCTACGGCACCTCCTCCACCGCCCCAACATCCCTCATCGACATCTCGGCGGACGAAGAGCAGGCGTCGGAATCGCAAACCGCTTCGGTGAAAGCCAAACTCGCTCAGATCGACGAAGCGCTGCTCAAGCTCAACAAGATCAAGAAGGAACGCGGCGAAGTGCTCGCCGATCTCAAGGAAAAGATCCAGACGGACGACATTTCGCAGGTCCTCGTGCTCAATCGACGAGCTCAAAACGTCGATGCCTCCATCTTTGCTGCCGAGCTGGAAAAGTTCAAACCGCATCAGAATCGCATTGCGGTGAGCCTGCATCATCAGCAGGCGCTGTTGGCCGAGGTGGAGACGACGTTCAAGGAATTGAGCGAGCTGCCGGCGAGCAAGTCCGCGGGGGCCAAGTGGGACGAGAAGGAGAAGGCGAGGAATCGGTTGGTGGCGAGGTTGAGGAGGGCTAGGGATTCGAATGCGCAGGTGAGGGCCGGGGTAGCGAAGGGGTTGCAGTTCTATGCGGATCTGCAGGAGATTGTGCGCGGGACCAGGCAGAATGTCAACAGGTATGTGGGGGAGAGGAAGGCGGAGAGGTTGAAGCTGGTGGGTGAGCTGGAGTGGGAGGAAAAGGGAAGCGGGGGTGGAGCAGGGGGGCTGGCGAGCTCGATGGCTGGGTTGAGCATGGGCGGTGGTGCGGGTGGTCCGCCGCCACCACCGCCGCCGGGCCGACAGACGAGCTATGGGAGCGCATATGGAAGCACACCGCTGTCCCCTGGACCTCCGACGCTACCATCGCTGCCCGGAGCACGACAGACGAGCATGCCACCGGCGCCCTTGCCGCACCAACAAGCGCCGTACCAGCAGCCACAACAGAACGATCCGTACAACTCCATGTTCTCCACTGGGCCATTTATGGACAACCGCTCCTCGCCTGCTCCGCAGCAGCCCCCGCAGCAACAGCGACCCTACGGTCAGCTCGGCTACGGCTCTGACAACCACCAGCCACAACGCGCAGGGTCAGGAGGCCTTCCACCCCCACCACAGCAGTTCCAAAGCTCCTTCTCGCCGACCACCACATCGCCTACGCAGAGCAGATACACCTCCCCGCCCCCGCCGGCGCCCGCTCCCCAGTCATTCGGCCAGGGAGGAGGGTATGGAGCTCCACCCCCGCCCCCGCAGCAGACCGCCTACGGATACGGTGGACAAGACTATGGTTCGAATCGCGCCCCTGCCTCGCCGTACACCGCCCCGCCTCCGCCGCAACAAGGACAGTACGGCGGAGGATACGCCTCTCAGCCGCAGTATCAGCAGCCCTACGGTGCACCCCCCCAGCAGCAGCCGCAAGGGTATGGCGCAAGAGCACCCCCTCCGCCCCCCACGCAGTATCCGCAGGGTTACCAGCAGGGTGGCTATCAAGGAGGCTATCAGCCGCCCTACTGAGCATTACGCTCGACTCAAAGTGGGAATGCAAACCATTCTTCTGCAAATCTGTGAGATCCCATGCTGAATTTGAAACGTGGCAGTGTGTGATGTGATGCTACGAAGGGTTTTGAAGCTTGATGGGTTATGCGCTCTTGTGATCGTACTTCATCCCGTCCAATCCAAGCAAAGCGTTCTCGCTTCTCCTGATCATGGTTTCGCTCATCAACAGCACGCCCACCACCACAGGGGTAACAGCGAACCAACCGGCATTACCAAAGTTGCCCGCACCAAAAATGAGCAAAGGCAGGGGCCAGCCAGCCACGAAGAGGGCCCAGAGGTACAACAGGCGTGGGTTGCTGAGGCTATCGTAAAGCGCTTTGGATTGGCCGCCGATGGTGGCGGGTTGATCGGCTCGTTCGTGCAGGTTTGGTTTGTTTCCTGTGCTGTACCGGATGTCGGAGAGGATGGAGACGAGGTAGGAGGGGGCGGTGCCGAAGGGGTGGGCTCGGTAGTGGGCGGGATTGCGCCTTGTCAAGATTCCAACGGCTTGATCGTGACCCATCAAGCTGAGCAGTTCGATGGCGGAGAGGTAGAGTAGATACCCCTGGAAGCCAAAGAAGATGAGGTAGATCGGGAAGGCAGGGAGGTAGGTGAGATGGTCCTCGGTGCCTACGACGTGCATGCCGTGGTGGAACAGCGTCAGGTGGTTCTCCGGATGCGTGCCGTCGATGTACGATGGGATCGGCGTGAGGTACAATACAAAGACCAGGACGATCATGAGCAGGATGGCGAAGCGGTAGATGTAGTTGGACGCATCGTTCTTCGTCTTGAGCTCGCGCAGGAGGGATTCCTGTTCCTCGGTGGGGATGGGTTCGTTCAGATCGTCGTACTTGTCGAGCGTGTCGGCGTGCAGGCCTCTTTCGCTAGAAGCCGCCGGGCGGGTGCGAGTCGTCGCCATCTTTGCTGTGAAATGATGAGGGGGTGGATGGTGAGAGGAGAAGATTGAGTGTTCGGCAGCAAAGTGTTGTTTTCGGCACAACCAACGCGTCCACTTTTTTGCCGGAACGTATCTCCGATCTGACTTTTGAAGAATTCTTCCCCCTCCACGGGCGCACGGTCATCCCATCACCGTCAGCTTGCTACCATCACATCGGCTTTGCTCTCCCTCCCTCATCTTCTCGAGCACGCCGCACTTGGTCCTCGATCATGTCGACAGCCACTTCCGGCGCCGGTGCGGCAGCAGAAACACCCAACCTCCTCCACGTCCAATTCAAAAACCCCGAATACCTCTCATACCTAACTCATCTCCAGACCGTCTCTCCGACCCCTAACCAGCCCGCCGTCGACCCCGCTCACCCGCTCACCGAGCACAACATCATGTCCTACTTTGCCACCTCGCCCTTCTTCGACCGGCGCAGCAACAACGAGCAGATCCGCATGCAGAACATTGCCAACGGTCTCGCGACCGGTCTGTCGGCCCGCCAAGAGGAGGAGGAGCTGAGGCGGTTCACGGGGTTGGAGTTTGTACTGGTGCATGCGAAGGGCGGGTGTTTCGTGGTGCAGAAGCGATGGAGGACGGGACCGGGGGAGGTGACGCCACTGGCGAGCTACTATGTGGTCAACGAGTCAATATACCAGGCGCCGGATCTGTACAGTGTGCTGGCGACGAGATTGGTGAGTAGCCCACGCTTGGTAAGCAGCAAGCGAGAAAGATGCTGATACCCTTTCTTGCGTTGATATCGCACAGCAATCGACAGTGTTCGGCCTCAAATCGTCCCTCACCACCCAGAGGAGAGCAAGACCCTCCTTCGATCCCAGGCGCGGACACCATGGAAGATTCATCGTTCCCGATCCCCCCACAACGTCGTCCAATGACGCCGACGCAAAGGCTGCGACCGACAACGAGGAAGAGGACGAAGAGGCAGCTGCACAGGACGACGAGATGGAATTCGAAGACGTCCACGCCGCACCGACAAGTGCACCCCCAGCAGACGGACCACAGGTCAAGAGGGCGCGCTTCGACTGAGCCCCATAACTCAAGCTTTGTATTTGTACCCGACCTCACAGGCAATATACCCCCACGCGCAGCAGTCTGCGCCTCTTCTTTTCGGCTTTCAGAACCATGCGTGCAGCATGACGTTCGTTTCACAATGCGGTGTATATTGTTGGCGTGGAGAAGCAAACAGCAGGACAATAAACAAGAGTAGGTGGTGGGGACGAGTGAAGATGTACATATCCGTGTGCGAGGAGCGCTGTGCCGCTTGAGCCGAGAAAGGCTGGTGACAAGGGACGGTCGATGCGCCTATCGCTGTCCCAAAGGTGAGCTTGATTCATACGCGATCAGAGATGATGTGTGTGTGTTGTGTGTTGAGCGTCAAGGTACGTCTCGAATCGCATCGCTCTAGTCGTATGCGATCGCTGCGCGATGTCGTGCGAATACCGAGCCCTTAGTTCTTGAGCATGCATCCAAGAGGGTCGTCTTGCGAACGGGTGTTGAGGATAAGCGCAACAATGAGACCGTAGAGACCCAACACTTCGGCGAAAATGAGGATAAGAATCATGCCGATGAAGAGACGGGGCTGCTGAGCGGTACCACGCACACCGGCGTCGCCGACAATGCCGATGGCGAAACCAGCGGCGAGACCGGCGAGACCGACCGAGAGACCGGCACCGAGCTGGATGAAACCGGCGTAGAGCGACATGGGCGTCTTGATGTCACCCGAGATGAGCACGCTGACTACGAGACCGTAAATGGCAATGATACCAGCCATAATGACGGGAATGACACACTTGATCAAGAGATCAGGTCGGAGAACACCCATGGCCGAGATACCGACACCGGACTTGGAGGTACCGTACGAGGCGCCCAGGCAGGTGAAGACGATGGCAGCAGTGCAGCCCTGTTGTTTCACAGCGGGAAGGACACGTGTTGGAATTGGAAAAGCGGTCAGTATGATGTTGTCGACATAGTCGGATGGGCCTTGCACCTGTTGGTTGCCCAGCGTTCGAGTAGGCGAGGGAGGCGCTGCATTCCATGTTGATTGCAATCTTATCTCCTCAGCTTTCTAGGCAGTTCCAGCTCGAGCTGAAGAGTCTGATGAGCAGCTCTAAGCGCCGTCAAGAGAGGCGGCTGCTTCCGCCATCCCATGCAAGCGACCGTCATGTTGATCGATGATAACTCACCATTGCGCCGAAGAAGGGGGCGTAGACGGGGCAAAGTTCCGTGTTGATCTGAGATGGGTCCATTTTGACGGTATGCGATGTGTGTGGCGAGAGAGGGTGAGTCTGTCGAAGTGTCGATGACGATGAAAGGATGAGGGTGGAGGAGGAGGAAGGAAGACAGCGAGATGGATTGGCAGAGTGAGTTGGTGCGCGCGTGTGTTCGTAGGCTGGCCTAGCGTATCGGGAGGCGAAATTGAGCGAAAGCAGAACCAGAAATCTCGAAGGAGCGCAGGAGCCACCTTGCAAAGCTTGGCTGGACAGGCTGGGTTAGCCAAGCTGGTGTCGCTCAGCTGCCTACTGCCCCTAGGCTTGCACTCTCAAATTTCATTCAGCTGTGCCCTCCCTGCGGTCTCAGAGAGTGATTTCCCAACGTGGATCGAGGCCAAATACAAATTCATTCAGCAACTCAGCTCTGAAATCGATCACAATCAAGTTTGTATTTCAGCGGGCTGCGTTTTTTGTCAAATCATGAGGGCAGGACGATGCCGGTGTAACAGACTCACAACAATTCGCTCCCTCCTTTCGATTCGTGCTCCTCATCGTCCCTCTCCCCCGGGCTCAACACTCCTCACGAAAGCTCAGACTAAGCTTCCGAGATCCTGATCAGCGACACGCAGTGTTGTGTACATGATTCGCATTGAAAGCTTTTGTAAGGTCAGGGCTGCGTCTTGGTGTTGCTCGAATGTGAACCGATGCGTGACCGCCGATCAGCGTCTTCGCGTACAAGGTTCATGTCTGGCTCCGGGCTATTCCAGCCCAGCGGCGCGGACCATGGCGAGGCTCCTGTCATGAGCCCGAGTCCGGACGAGCAGGTGCCTGGCCGAGACAGCCGTGAAGACTTCGGCCCAGGCTGGACGAGCACAAAGTCCTCCCCTTCCTCGCGAGCAGTGAGCACCCTGTCCGGTTGACGCGGTAGCAGGCTGTCCCAATATTGCTTCTGCTCCGGGTCAAATCCGGTCAGGGAGGTACTGTGCCCGTTCGACATGCTGTCGAGCGAGGTCAGCCAGGAACTGCCTGGCCTTGACGACGACGCCGCAAACGATCCGCAATCTTGCTCTGTCAGATAGTGCTCCTCCACGGCAGGATCCTCGATGATCGTGCTCACCGTCTGCTCGACGACCACACCACCCACGCTACCCTTCCTCTTCGTCACAGAATCCGAGCTTCGTAGAGACCGCTTCCGGCGTGGCTCCGTGACGGATCTTGCGCGAGTATGTGTGCCATCGGCCTGCGACGAACTCCTCGGATCGGCTAGGCCGAAAGGTCGCGGCTGACTCTTGGGACTGACGGAGAGTAGGTCTACTCGTGGGGACGAGTGTCCCCCAGTAAGCTCGGCGTAGTGCAGCATCGAACTCGGTGGTCCGGACAAAGTTGCGCTGCGACCCTGCCTACGACTGTATGGCAGATCGCCCATACCAATGCTCTGACCATGTCGCTCTTTCGAGAAGTGCGACGCTGCCCACTCCTTGGCGCCCGTCAAACTTCCTCCGCGCTTTCTCGTGACCCCAGCCTTGTGCAGGTCAGCACATCTGTCGTCGTCCGACCGACCTTGAGCGGCAGAACCAATGTTCGACAGCACCGGCTCGTACGTCCGCCCCAAGATCGCAAAGATGATGACGCTCGCCAGAATGATTGTCACCCAGACCACCACGAGCAGCGCGATCTGCAACGCCGGCCCCAGATCGTTCGCCTCCCAAGCCGAGTACCACGTCGTGATGAGCTTGCCACAGAAGATGGCGAAGAACAAGATGCAGAGCATGAGCCCGACGAATTGGACGACAAAGTTGTTGTAGAACTTTTCGAGGTATCGTTTCTGCGAGGTCTGCTTGCCGGCTGGTGAGCGGGCTTTGGCGGGACGCTCGAAGGCAGAGGGCCGGACGGCGGGGAAGAAGCTGTTCGAGGGTCGGTCTTCGTCCTCCAGCTCTTCGTGCGTGAAGTACATCGACTGCGTTTGCGCTTCGGTATCGTCACCGCCTTCGACTTCAGTTTTGGTAGTAGCCGACAAAGCGTTGCTGCCGGCCCTCTTGCGCTTCATGCTGGCTTCGCGAGAAACCAGCGTGGCGTTTTCGGAAACGGTCGTTGACGTAGACAGAGAGCGCGGTTTCACTGGCCCAGCGAACAGGGGTGGGCTCGACGTGTCGACGGGTTGCTTTTCGACGTCCACGTCATTCCGAGCCATTGCATCCGCGATGATGGCAGAGACCGAGGGCTCGCTCGGGCGACGAAGCTGGGTCGGATCCGCATTCAGGACGGCGAACGACTCGCCAAAACGATTCTGCTGAAATGACTTCAGCGTCTTGATCTGTCGTCGCAGGGTGTTGATCAGCGCACCTCCCGCCAAACAGTAGCAGATGAACAAGGCGCACACCCAGGCTTCCCAGATGGCCATGCAGATCGAGATGAAGTACGCCGCGTCAAGAACCTTGAACCAGATCTGCTGCGCCTCCAGCAACAGGTCTCGCGTGAGACCTTGACCGGGCTGCAGCGCTGCAGACCAGCGGTGGTAGTGGTCGAAAGCCTCGCTGAACCGACGCTGCGCCAGGACAGCTGGGACGACAACGGTGACGGTCTGGACCACGGGGATGAGAAAGACGGTGACGTTGACGACTGCAGGAGTGATACCCATGCGGAGCGCCCAGCTGTCCGTTTTGGTAGGATGTGGGGAGACGAAGCTGAGTGCGTTGGGTCGTGCGTAGATGATACCAACGGTGGTGCACCAAGCGCCGAGGATCAGTGGCAACCAGGTCAGACCGATCCACAGAATCATGTACTTGGGCGACTGACCGTACTGGTACCAGGAGACCACTTCCCAGCATCTGAAGGATCAAGTGTGCAGTCATCGCAACGTGGTCAGCAGAGAGTTCCGAGCATTCAACAGGCAGGCTTGGTATTGTTCGGCACTTACAAAGCAATCAGCAGAATAGCAAAAGTGCTTTCGACGGCTACGAAAGAGGTGACGGCGTTCGGCACAATAAGCGTACCATTGCTGCGCTTGACGAGTCGGAAGAGCCAAAAGGACCTTTCATACAGCCTCCGCAGAATGATAAGAAAGATCGAAATGCCAATAATGGCCGTGATGACCGATACGACCTTGAGTTGAACAAATGTGCTTGAACGAAATGTTGGATAGAAAAGGTTCTTGACGAAGTCTCGCAACGAGCTGACGGGATCCTGGGCTTGAGTGAAGTCGGGAAACCATGCTCGACCTGCTTCATTGTGAACGGTGGAGAAGACGCTCTTGGGTGGCGGTGACGGCAGGTCGAACCGCGTGGTCAGTGTCGCGTAAGACATGTTGAGCCTATGGAGCGCATGCCAAGCTGATCACGGCCACACGATCTCGAAGCAAGATTGGACAGACGGCGACAATGACGAATGTCTGCCGACGATACACAGGTGCTAGCCAGTATATAGAGCTGGTGCCACTCGATGAAGGAAGCTTGCGAGAGAGACCTCCTGGAAAAGGGAGATCAAGCGACACTGCGAATCTGTCATTTATGTTGACTCCCTCTCATAGAGCGAGCGAGACTCGTAAGCAGCAAGCCTGCTGTTGGCATACTCCGGAAGCAGAGGATGCTTTCCTCTGGCTGAGGAAGATGTAGGCGGACGAGAGGGAGAGATGATGGAAGGGCAGAGGATGGCTTGCACCGATTCAACCTCTGTTCATGCAAACAGCAGATAAAGCTTTGCTCGTTCGGGAAGCTGCCTCTGCGAAGCCGACATCGAGAAAGGAGGCGCTCGTGTGGAGAAGACGGCTGGCGTCTCTTGCCGACCCCATGTCCGGAAAGCGCGATCGAGGTTGAGGCGTGAAGCGATCCGAGTGCTCTTCAGCCTTCCTCCTCTCGTCTTCTCGGCCACAATCTGAACCCCAGAATCCCGCAGCCGTAGAGCGAGATGCACATCGGATGCGATGCGAGCTGAACTTGCATTCCGTCAATGTGTCTGACCATCGACTCGTTGATTGATAACCGAGATCCCCAAGAGGCGAGAGCGGGGCAAGGTCAAGACGAGACATGAAGCGTCTAAGCGAGCCACAATTTCGCATCTGCTTTCTAACGACAAGCAGGGGGTCGCGACCCGAGTTGGCGGCAAATTTGCGCTAAACGGGCCCTTTTGGCAGTCGCCGCGCCGGCCAAACTGGACAGGATGAGACAAAGTCGCCGGCCGTTCTCCGCAACGAGTCCTCTGCCAAGAAGGTGCGCCTCGAATCTGCTGTTCGGTCAGCCGAGAGCCGCCCCTCGATATCGGGCACGGGTTGAGTCGTCGGTAGGGCCTTGTTCCGAATCAGGAACAGCTCCCTTTCCGGACCATATCTGGCAGCCCGCACTGACAGCATGGTCTCAGATCCACTGCGATCAATCATTGACGCTTTGAGCCTCGCATGCAACGTGTGCACGGTGAATTGAAGCGTTGCTGCGGACTCTGTGCATCTGCAAGCCTTTTTAGCAATTCACCACATGCGACATGCATGATGCATCCTGCGCTTCCATGCAATGACTTCGGTCCGAGCCTGCTATGGGAAAGTCGGTCCTTCTGCAGATGTGAGCGGTCTCGGTCGTGCATCAGGTCCTACCATGTTCCAATTCATGTCTGGACCGGGATGATCAATTGCTCCATTCGACCGAGTCTATCTCGCTCATGCAGGCTCGTATTGGACATCGACAGGGCCGCTAGTGCGCGATTGCTGTGTCTCGTATAAGTACAAATGCGGGCTCGTCTTCCATCTTCCGACGAGATGGCGAAGTTCACACGTCGATGCTGCAGCTTGGATGCTGCCAGGCTTGTGTCTATATGAATGTCGCGCATAGGAATTCCACCGGTCCTCGCTAAGATCAGTCGAGGGGCTCTTCATCGACGGTCATGGGCGCTGATCTTGATCCGTTGACGGCTGTTGCTGCCGAATCAACAACAAAGAAGTCCGAGTTCCGCAAGGGTCTCGACTCGATCTTGGCCGCTGGTGTGACGACGGCGGCGTCGCCCTCCGCTGGTGTCAGAGAACCATTCGGTGTTGCATCAGAGCTTGACTTTCCGTTCAATGCTACTCCAGCAGCTGCGAGACGTCTCCTCTCGGCCACGGATTCTCGTCCTTGTTTGCTGCGAAGGAACTCGCGGACGGGCCTCATGGCTGCATTCCTGCATAGCTCCTTCAAGTCGCTACCGCTGTAGCCTTCGGTGCGTCTGACTAGGTCCACCATCTTGAAGTTGGGGTCGAGGTTGGTAGCTTCGAGCATGATGGACAGGATCTTTTCTCGCTGCGCAGCGTTGGGCAGAGAAACAGCGTACCTTTTCGGCAAACGACGCAGAATGGCCGAGTCGATGTCGTTGGGTCGGTTGGTCGCGCCGAGCACCATGATGCGGTCCGTTGAGGACGTCAAACCATCCCACATGGTCATGAACTCGGCCTTCATCATGCCGGTGACTTCGTGATCGCCCGAAGCACGTTCGCGAAGGAAGCTGTCGATCTCGTCGATGAAGATGATGGATGGCTGGAGCTTGCGTGCCAAGCTGAAGAGGCCAGCTACGAGCTTGTTGGACTCGCCGAACCACTTGTTGGTGAGCGTCGACACATGCATGTTGATGAAGGTAGCGCCGCTCTCCTTGGCCAATGCTTTGGCCAGCATGGTCTTTCCTGTGCCTGGAGGACCGTAAAGCAAGACGCCCTTGGGTGCTCCAAGCAGACCGCTGGCGTTGGCAAAGAGCTCTGGATAGCACAGTGGCGCGATGACACTCTCTTGCAATGACGAGATGATGCCGTCGAGACCTCCGATGGATGCAAAGTCGACGGGGATGTCCTCGGGCAGGATGAGCTCGGCGGAGATTTGCTCCTCGTATTCGTTCAATTGAAGATCCTTGCCGCGTAACCCGAGCTTGCCCAGCTTGGCGTCGGCTACTTTCTTTGAATCTTGTCTCTTTTGTCGATTTGGGTCAAGCGACGACATGACGTATTTGAATGCGTAGTAGAAGGCGACCTGACTCATGGCAAAGACGGCCACGTCGGTCATCATCTTGCGTGTGACCTCCTTCATCTTTGCGCGGGTTCGGTGTGCTTGACACTCGGGCCTGCTAGCTACAAGGCGACTGCGATGGAGTCGATGGACGCTTTGAAGCTGTTCTCCGCTTCCTACGAGGTCGAGGACTGAGCGATGTGGATGGTGGTGATGAGAAGGATGTCGACGCGAGACGAAGGAAGTCAAGAAGGGTCCCAAGCCAAAATTGCCGTGGAAGAGACCGGCTATCCGCGCCCAAGCTCAGGCTTTCAACACGCTCCGTTTGTCTTACTCGAGTGAGCTGGAAGGCAAAGCAAAGCTTCGACTCAGCACTTTTTTCGGTTTGTTAGACCCTTGATCGATGAATGCTTTTATATTCACCAAAGTGGAGAAGTCTGAGGTCGATCACCTTTTCTCAGGCTGTGGAGCGAGAGAAAGCGGCTACGCAGCTGCTGCCTCAGGAATACGCACGCCTGGACGGACGCGCAAGGACCCTCTCTCAATCTTGTCGTGTTGGCTTCGAGCTGCTTTCATCCAAGTTTCGACATCTTCTCGACATCTCTCCTCATCGCATCATCTGACCTCTTGCTGTCTCGCCGTAGCAAACCGCTCCTCCGCGCAGCATTGTTCCGCAGCACGATCGTCACGCACTCTGGTCTCGACCGCCATCGCATCGTGCAGCAACACTTTCGAATCGGTAGTGACGCCAAAGTCACAACACAGAACAGCTCAGCATGAGTATCATGGAGTACAACGGTGGCAGTGTGGTGGCAGCAAAGGGCAAGAACTGCGTCGTCATCGCATCGGATCTCCGTCTCGGTCAGCAGGCAATGACGGTGGCATGCAACTTCGACAAGGTCTTCCGCGTCACCGAAAAGACATACGTTGGTTTGCCAGGCTTGGCGTCAGATGTTGCGACACTCAAGGAGCGGTTCCGATACCGAGTCAACATGTACAAGATGAAGGAGGAGCGCGATATCGAGCCAGAGATCTTTGCAAACTTGGTCAGCTCGACACTCTACGAGAGAAGGTAAGCAGGCTCCGAAAGACAGGCAGAGGTCTGCCAGCTGCTCTCCGACCTATACTGACCGCCTTTCTCCGATCTTTACTTGCTTCGCTACGCTGTTGTTGTGTATTCACAATTGCAGATTTGGTCCCTATTTCATCGAGCCCGTCATCGCTGGTATCAACTCGAAAGACGAGCCCTTCATCGCAGCAACGGACGTCATTGGGTGCCTCAACTTTGCGAAGGACTTCGTGGTCAGCGGCACAGCATCCGACAAGCTCTTTGGCATGGCAGAAGGACTTTGGGAGCCTGATCTTGTAAGTTGTGCGCCCATTCAGATTATGTCCAAGTTGAGCACAAGCTGACCTTCAACCCCTCTCTCCGATTCGTTCGCTTGCTCGTCTCTAGGGCCCCGAGGAACTTTTCGAGACCGTTTCACAGATCCTGCTCGGTGCACTCGAGCGCGATGCGCTATCAGGTTGGGGTGCCATCGTCCGCATCATTACCCCCGACAAGGTCATCGAGAGGACGCTCAAGGCGAGAATGGATTGAGCATTTCGCCTTGTAGACCTGGCATCCTGCAGCTTCACCCTTTTGTACTTGTTCCGTATAGCAATCAACCTTCTGACAAATCGTCTTCCAATTCGTTTCGACCACGGTGAAAGATGTCCTACAGCGAACCCTTGCTTGCTCTGAACACGGGGTTCACAATGATCCAAAGCCGGCGTTAGAGCTCATTCGACGCGACTAAGACGAAACGGTGGCCTCTCGGCAACGAACAAGACCAAAGCCAGGCAGACGCTGTGGTGTCAAAATTCACTCGATTGATCTAGCGCAGCAACATAACGGAAAGCAGGGACACAACTAACAATCCTTCACTTGGTGTGATGGATCCTGAGCTTGCCGGGGATGTGGTTGTAGTTGGCAGCGTAGCTCTTGGGCGGGATGCGCGCCACCTTGGGTTCTGTGACGTGGTAGTCCCAGCCCTGCTTCTCGCAAAAGTGGATAGCGTCTTCCTTGGATCGGAACTTGAGCGAAGTGCCCTGCATGTAGTCGCCCGAAGAAGCCCAGCCCATCAGAGGGTTCTCCCATCGTGCGGAACCTTGAAGGATATCGAAGTCGACACGCCAAACCTTGGTGCCCGCCTTGCCGGACGAGTTGGCCGTCTTGGCAGGACGGAAGATTCGGACGGTTCGCTGGTGCAGCTCCTCTAGAAAGACAGAACGAAGGCAAAACGAATGAAAGTCAGCATGGCGGGGTCAGATGAGAGTGCTGTCTGCCGGAACCGGGTCAAGGTTGCAACCTCTCGAGCAGCGCTGGTGATCCTGCTTGTCTGCGGCTCTACGTACCAGGTGCGCTGCTGATAAGGTCAGCGGCGACAGCCTGCTCATGTCGCTGAAGTCGCTCGGCGGGAAGGTCTCGCTCCTGGTTGTCGGTGCGCTTGGCGGGTGCTGGCGAGGTGTTGGGGTTGGCAGTGTTGCGAAGGACCGAAGAAGTGGAGATCCATCGTGCGCTTGAGGATGCGGATGCGGCAGTGCGCAGTGCCTGTGTCGATTGGCGGAAAAGCGACATTGTGTGTATGTGTGCGTTCTTCGATCTGAAGCGAGCAGGATGCAGTCGTCAAGATGGTGTCGATGCCAACGATGAGGGAGGGTATGAAGATGTGACAAGGCTCTGATGCGCGACCTGTGAATTCGACTTGATTGGCAATCAGGCCTCGGCTCCGAGGTGATAGTCTAACATCCCCACTGCGGAGTCCGCTCCACATCTGCTCGCCGACTGCCGAGACTGAGCTCTAATTTTTTGCTGCGAACAAGCTATCCTTCTCATTTCCTCCACTCACACCACCGTCTTTGCTTCGTGGCAGAGAACGCCGTCACTGTGCCCAGCGTCAAAATGGCCTGCCAACAGCCGCCATTGGACGAGCGACAACTGCGCAAACAGCAGATTAGGCCACGATACCTGGACCTGGCAGAATTTGATGACGATGTTCCGGATGATCCACGAAGCCGCAGAGCTGCGCCGGATTCCTTCAGCAACTGGCCGCCAGCAGCGACCGTAGTAAGAAAGAAGCCTCCGCCCATCACCTCCTCGAGCAAATCCAAAACACCCTCATCGGAAGCACAAAAAGACTCAAGTCGCCCGACGCAGCCTACAGTGGAGAGCGTGGAGGAGGATGCAGCATCAACAAAGGCGGCTTCTCCCGTGAACATCAAGGTGTCGAAAGTCTCGGAGCAAGCGGAGATGCAACCACGACCCAAGACAGTCCGTTTCGGTGCCGATACAAAGGACGAGAGCGACTATGGAGCGGACGCCCCGGCCGCACCGAGAGCCACACTCAATCTTGCCGGATCCATCATCGGCAGCATTTCAGAGCGTCCAGTGGGGGAGAGAAGATCGAAGCCCACTCGATCCAGGCCTTCCGGATCTCGCTTTGTCGTCAGAAAAAGGATGGATGAAGACTTACAGAAGCACGAAGAGCAGCGACAACAACGTCTCGCAGCTGAGGTGACACCCAACGAACAGGAGCCTGGCACTGGCTTCCCTGTCGTGTCGCATCGCGACCAAATTACGCCCATCCTGCCTCCAACTCCTGGCAAGAGTCGGGCGCTTCAGTACAGTGAAGACATCGACACAGTTGAAGCGCCACAACGAGATGCAGTCGCGACTCAGGCAGCTCTTTCGGAGCCCTCCGCAGTATCATCAAGAAAATCGAGCACTGGCGTTCCAAGCATCGGCAAAGGCAAAGCACCGACCTCGACTGAAGACGAAGAATGGCTAGACGAAGATGGCAGACCAATGTCGGCTTTCAGGAAGTCGCGACTCCTCCGACAGGGGTTGCGTCCACCGTCCGTTCGATCAACGGCTAGTCAGGCGGCGGACCCCGCCGTGAATGCCGGATCAGCACGGAGCTTCGTACCCGACCCGACCAGAGACCCCGGTGGAGGTGCCGACATTGATGCCATCACAGCCGTACTCTCGGATGTATCGAGGGAGAACGATCGGAAGCTGCGTCAGATGAGTGCAGTCGAGATTTCAGATGAACTTCGCAGCCTCGAGAGCCTTTTCGGCAAAGACGTTCTGGAAGCTCTTCGCAATCGCAAGGGCGTGAATGCTCCGCAGGCAAGCACGAGAGAAGGCATCGACCCACTTCCGCCCCAAACGCAATCAGCCCTGGACAGAGCCACAGACACACAAGCTTTCGTGGAAGACAAAGAAGGTCCGCTTGCGATCAAGCGGCAGTACTTCCCGGCGGAGCCCGAAGGACCCAACCCATCCCTAGAATGGATGATGCCGCAGCACCAGACTCAAGCAGCTTCTACGGACTTGCGCTTCGATTTCTCGGGCCATGTCATTCGACGAGACACCCAAACCAATGAGACGTATCTGTCCGGCTTGCATCACCACGGCGACGACCAAGAAGCTCCAGGCTACACCTTTGCCGAGCTGATCCATCTCTCACGAAGTACAGTAGCAGCGCAACGCCAACTTGCGCTCAACGTTCTCGGGCGGGTGTGCGAACTCCATCCAGCCTTCGGCCAGAGCGGAGACTACAAGGACGCCGTAGCAACTAGAGCGTTGAATGAACATGGTCTGCTGCTCCGAGCCAGGACCATCACCGTTTCTCGATGGCTCTTGGACGACCGACATTTCACGGTGCGAGCAGCAGCGCTGAGGTGCTTGACGAGTGCAATCCGATCCTTGCCATCGGGTACCTCGCTTCCACTGGGTTCCGGACAGGAACTCGACCTTGGTCGTTTGTTTGGCGCTGACAAGGCTGATCCTGACGACAGAGAGGAAGCCGCGGAGGCAAGCGAAGTCGAGAAAGCTATGCAGAAGGACTGGGCCAAGGTGCTCCTCGAGTCCAACATTGTTGGTCTGTTCCTCGACAGAACAGACAGCGTCGTTACTTCGACATGGGAAGCAGACTTGGCGCTGGAGCTGCTTTACAGAATCGCGTCTTGCTCTGCCACTCACGCGAGCCAAGTCTTCGGAGACGAGCCGCAGAAGCTGTGCGACTTTGTTGTCCATCTCGGACTCAAGGTTTCTTGGCCACCGGCTTCAGCCGAAGCTTCCTTGCCCGCCGCATCCGCCCCGCGCTCGAGCTCCATGCCCTCATTGACTGCTGTGCGTCTGCTGCACCAGGGCATCCTCAGCAATCGTGAAGTCGGAAAGGCCATCGTTTCGAGCGGCAACGTCGAGCATCTCTTGCGCTTCATTGTGACGCAACCCTGGAAGGTCGAGAACGACTCTGCGACCAACGATGAAGCAGGCAACGAGGTCGTTTTGATGGCGTATCACATTTTTGACGAGATCCTCCACTTGTTCCCTTCACTGGCATCGTACGGTCTCTTTGCATCCATTGTCGCGCGAACGTGGAACATCTGGCAGGAGAGCAGCACATGGGCTGTCGGACAGCTTACGGCCAAGCAGGACGCAACAGCTCAACCATCGACGAAGAGTTGGATCCGCGAAGCGAGAAGCACAGCAGTGCAGCGAATCTTCGAGGTTCTTGCCGCATGGACACATTGCGCGGTCGACCCACACGAGCTGGCGACGGCGCACGACATCACGTGGACACAGGTTCGAGACTGGATCGAGCCCATTAGAGACGCTGCACAGGTGATCAGCTCGTCTCCTGAGTCGCAAAGGATCACACAGACGTCCGCTCTCGGACCTCTTTGCGCTTACATCGATGCTTGGCTCCGATGCGCGACCCGGAAGGAGCCCGATCTTTTGCAAAAGCACCTCGAATTCGGCACGATCATCGTGTCGCAGTGCCAGCAGCCCATTCAGCAACACTTCCTCGAGGTCTTGAGACTCTTCTCGTCCGCACCTACGCAAGCTATCGGGCTGGACGAGGCCGTACAAGCATGTCGCGCTTGTCACAGGCATCTTGATCTCAGCAGAACGATCTTGCACGCAAAGCAGACTTTGTCAAATCAGGCAGGTCCCAAAGCGAGTCGGATTGCACACGACGGAGTTTTGATGTTGCAAGAGAGCCTGGCTTTGGTCTCTTGCGCCCCTCTTTGGGAAGCTTTGCAGAGTCCGGAGTCACAGGCATCGGGACGTCATGTCTATGGACAGACGTTCTCGGACTTTGTCGCTGCTGTCCTGACCGCACAAACCGAAGCAACGTCCACACTGGCCCTCGAGCTGGTCGCAATTACTCGACTTGACGCTCGCCATGCAACTCGCGTCGCCGATATTGTCCTGCGTGCCGCCGAGACGCTCGCCGGGGCGGGCACGGCTCGCGTGCTACGTCCTTTCCTCCTGGAATGTGTCGTCGGTGGCAATCATCTCCCAGACCAAACTCCCACGCGGACAGTGGAGCATCGCGACCCCACACCTTTGTTAAAAGTCACGTCGCTGTTTAAGTCAAGGACAATTGCAAGCGCCGACTCTTCTGCGCAGACTTCTCACGAAGAAGCCGATAACGACGAGGAGGAGGACGACGAAAGAGACGTCGACCCCATCACGGGCTCCAAGCTGTGGAAGTGTCCCGCGAGCGGTCTGCCTATCCGCCCCGACTGGCCCTTGCTTGCCCTCGACGATCTCCTGCACAGCGGCAGTACAGCTGTCTTCAATCGTCCCAACAACCTTGGCGAGGATTGGAAGCCAAGCGAGCTCGAAATGGTCCGAGCGTCGCTCAAGCTAGCTGTCGCTGTCTTCCGAGGTCAGCTCGATCATTCAAAGGTGTCTCGTGCCGGTGGCGTTGCGGACACGGACGACACTTTGGCAAAGACCAAGGCCCGAGCGATGCTGGGCAGCCTTCCGAGCCCGGAGCAGATCCTGCTCGGCGTGATGAAGGTCTTCATGCTTGAGAAAGATCAGGCCGACACCTTTACCGACAAGACCGCCTCCGGCGCGACGCAGCAAAAGCAGTCCGGGGTCTTGACCGGTCGAGACCTGTTCCGAGACTCCACGATCTCGCAGGAGCTGACCTCGCTTCTCGGCATCGCCGACGAGCTCGTCCAGCTACGACGATCGCACTCCGACTCCAACGTGATGAGTACGGTCACGCTGGACGCATGGACGACAAGCACGTACAGCGGAAGCATGTCATTCTATCAATTCTTCACCGACCTCGCATCACTCTGGGACTCGATCTCGTTTGGAGACGCCAACTTTGCGCGCGTCGTGATGACGGTCGCCAACGCAGGATGCAAAGGTGGCGTCTTCGAAGGTGAAGATGGCATGGCAGTGGATTTCCGTCGGCTGGTGTGGAATGACTACAGCGATAGTCTGCGGAGCACGCCGCCGATCAAAGTGCCAGGATGGCTGCTCGGATGGGAGGACACCGATGCGGACATGCTCCAGCACTATTGTCGGTGCCTTGTCAGTCTTGCTGACACGAGTGCGGCGAGAGGCTCAATGGCTTGGCAGATCGCGAGACACCATGTGGGTACGGCCATGCGGTCAATCGTCAGCAGCGAGGGCGACACGAACAACGCCGCGAGCACGAAGCACGCAAAGAGGGTGGAGACCATCCTCAAGTCGCTGTACGTCGCAAAAGGCGAGGGTCTGCTGCGTGAGCTGCTCAAGTCGGAAGCCGAGGCTTCGTCAGCCAGCAAGCTAACGGACGAAGAGACTCAGCGCCTCGTCGCTCGATTGAGCAGCTCAAACGTGGCACAGTAGACAGAATCACGAGCATCGTAATCGACTTAAGTCTTGCGTGACTTCCTCGGCGATCCAACCAATGTGGTCCATGATTGTGTGTTGAAAGGTACAAATACAATGAACGCCACGCAGCAACCAGTAAGCTGAGAGACGGTCTACGCTACGCAGGCGCGACGGAGGATCTCGCCGATCCAGCTGTCGACGTGGCTCTGGCGCCGTTTGGCTTGCCTCTGCCCCTTCCACCACCTCTGCTGCCAGCACCACCCCTTCCACGACCCCGTCCCGTTTTGCCTCCCCTTCCCGCTTTCCCGTCCTGACCATCATCATCGTCGTCGTCCAGGTCCTCGAGGCTGGCGTCTCGTGCCGGTCCATCCGCATTCGACGTTGGCGGCGGCAAGTTGTCTGTCTGCATAGCCCCTGCACGCTCTGCCGCCTCTTCAACACCACCCACACGTCTCGCTTCTGTCACCACCTTGTCGGCATACAGCAGCTGTTCCATACGACCGAGCTTTTTCGCCTCGACATCCTTCCTTAGTGCATGACGGAAGTCTTCCAGCTTGACACGCAGTCGATGTGGTGCGCGTGGTGGAAGTGTCTCTCCGGTGACAATTCCGTCAGCGTGCTGCTCTAGCGTCGCACCGAACGCGCTTGAGCTGTTGGATATCGAGCTGGTCCCCAGACCGAGTGCGTACGGGCTGGGGCGTGCACGACAGCAGAGGTCGGTGATGAAGTCGACCGTCATCTCCTCCATGAGCATCACCGAGTCTGGATCTGGATCCGGTGCGTCGCCGTACGCGTACATGAGATTGCGCAGATCGCGCGCGAAGAGGTTGCGATGGTTGAAGGGTCGGCGACCGCGAATCTGCGCTGCTGCCGCTTGACCCAGGCCAGAGGTGGACGACGAGGAGACGGGGACGCCGGTGGATAGGGCCAGCGCCGGATGGATGAATTGGAGAGCGCCATCGTTGGTTGCTTTGACCCCTCTAGAGGTCTGGAGTGAGGTGCCACCTGCGGATACTATAGTGCTCGCGCATGGACCGAATTGTGGATGGAGCGAAGAGCTTTGTCTCCGACGCGCACCTCCGCGCGCCGCCGAGCGCGAGGGTGTTGGCGGCATCTCGAAGACGTAAGGCGCCGGACTGACTGGTCGACGCGGTCGGATTGAGTCCTATGGGCCTATATTCCTACGAGATCCCGCACTCGATCGAACGCGTTGCAGACGATGATCGTGCGTTGTCTGGATGGACATGTGTGGAGCTTTGAGGATGTCGAGAAGGAAGCATGACCCGCGAAGGTGCTGGGCCAACCAAGTCGGAAGTCGGCCTTGACCCTGGACGCCTTGTTTCGGACGGGAAACATTTCCTTCCCGCACAATGACGGTTGCGCGCACGCGACCCTTCCCCACCTTGGCCTGGCTGCGCTGCGCTTGTCAGAACTCAGCCATCTTTTTTGGCTTTTGGCGCGGCTGGCATGCGCAAGAAAAAGTGATGTTTCAGGGTCCAACCTTTCTGATAACGCATGCGAACCCTGCATTGACGCCAATCACCCTGGTGACTTGACTGAAGCGCAGGTGGGCTCGAGAGCGGCTTGCTTGACTGAGTTTGCCCTTGCCTGTTTAGCTTCTGCTGGCGTGCTTGCGTGCGTGCCCAGGATCAACGCTCGGGCCGTAGAACGCTCGAGCCGATCCTACGCTTGGTCAGTGCGGACTTGATGAGCCATTTGACACACGCACTTTCCCGTCTTTGACGAGCTCGACTACGCCGCCCCTTTGACTCCTGTTGCTGAAGACTGAGAGGAGAGGGCGTCAAGTCCCAGTCACAGTCGCATTCGGGGTCATACGACCCGACTGCGCTTCGCCTCTTTGCTTGTTTCAGAGCGCAGGAAAAGCTGAGTCGAGCTTCATTTCACCTCGCTGCAATCACATTCCACTTTGCCGCAACTGCGCTCAACCTTATCGCCCTCGACCACTTGACCACATACATATACTCGAGTCCCGCAGTCTCCACCCTCTTCTCTTCCCGCTCCCATCTGCCGACTACTGCGGACCATCAGCACCCTCGTCGCTTCCACCTCCTCCGTCTTTCTTCAACTCTCGATCAGCCCCTCTCGCCTGACGCCACCACCGCCGCCATGTCCTTGTTCGCGTCCGCTTGCGGTCTCGAGCTCGTGTGGGTCAACCCGTCATCCGAAGGTGCTTCCGAGAAGAACGCTCCCGATCCTGAGCGCTACCGGGTGATCCGCATCCCGGCTGGCCATAGCAAGATCATCTCCCGCTCCAGCTCGCCCACCGTCGCCGACTTGATCAACGATCTGGACGACAAGATCTGCTTTGAAGCTGCCAAGGTTGTCTCTCGTGAGCACGCCACCATCGAGTGGATCGATCGTGTTCCGTTCATCAAAGATCTTGGCTCCACGCACGGTACCTTCGTCGCTCACAGGCGGGCTTACACTCTCTCGTCGGGCAGATTCGCCGAAGAAAACGCCCTCGCTCCCTCCAGACGAATCGAAGGCATTGAGCCGCTCAGAGACGGCGACTTGATCGAGTTCGGCAGGACCACCGTTCGTCCCGAGAGGGCTCACTTCCCAGTCCGTTGCTACCTGCGCCTTGCCTCGCAGCGCGCTTCTTCTTCACCGAACGTACCAATCAAGAAGCCCGGCGTCTACGGCCTCACGGACGACTCCTTCGACTCTGAATCGGACATTGTCAGCATCGATGCTGATGCTTTCCGTGCCACCGCTGCGACCAAGACTCATGCACCTCAAGAGGTGGTCGACCTGACCAGCGAGGATGAAGATGAAGGCGAACGTCACGACCCTGTCTTTAAAGCCTCAGCAGAGCCAATCCCGACCATGCCTGCTTCGTCGCTGCCTCCCGCCACCGAGTGCAACGATCCGCCGATCCCGGGGCACGATGTCATTGTCAGCTACGACGAGGAAAGTTCTGCCAGCGACTCCGACGAAAGCGTCGACCCCTACGACATTACGCCCGTTGCGCCTTTGCGCGACGAGATTCAAGCCCTGATTCGCGAGGCGCGCGAAGCTCAAAACCAGGGCGACCTCTACATGGAATCGTACAAGACGATCCAGTGCGAGTCTCCCGCTACTTCGATCGGAGGCGACTCTCCCATTCGCGAAAAGGCAAAGGAAAGGGACAGCGAACAGGCTCGCGACGTGTCGCCCTCTCACATGCTCATCAAGGACGCGACAGTCCCTTGTGCCTCCGCTGCTTCGGTCCCTTCCTCTTCGGCCTCTACCACCGCCGTCGTGCCTGAGCTTTTCGTTCAGGGATCCGCTCAGATCCTTTCAGAAAGCTCGCCTCTGAAGCGCAAGGCAGACAGTATGGACGCCCAGGTCGCTCAGGCTCCCGTCGACGCTACACAGGTCGACGCAACCCAGGCTGACGCGACTCACGTTGACCAGACTCAGGCTGACATTGTGCTCATCAGCGAGAAGCAACCCGCTCAAGGCGATCCGGAGCCGCACTCGCCCAACAAGAAGACGCGACTGTCGCCTGTCGGACAGCAGCAAGAACGGGTGCAGCCGCACAACGAAGACAGAACTCCGAACAGAGCGCGCAAGGTTGGAAACTTCGTAGCGAAGGCGGTTCACACCACGAGCCTCCTCTCCGTTGGCTTCCTCGCTGGCTCACTCTTCACATTCAAGAGCATGATGAATGCTGCTGCGACCGCCAACGCTGCTGGGTCCGGCAAGTAACAGGCCCCGATCACCGGTCCCTCTCTTGCCAAAGCTTTGTCTCTGTGTCCCTTTGCTCGGCTCTCGTTCTCCTCATCTGCATCGTTAGGCAGCCTCGCGTCGCCAAATCAGTCCTCATTCGCACAATTTGTTCAGTAGTCAGCAGGCGTCGTCCCCATCGCAAAGTCATAGTCATTGTTCTTTCTCATGTGTCGTCCTTACTAAGATGGCATCCTCCAGCGTGTGACGCCTAACTGAATGCTGCCCTTTCCGCAGCCTGCGCAGCTCTAGCCACTGGGCAAGATCGTTGCGGATGTCCGGGTTTGCGGCAGTAGCTGCAGAGGCGCGCCCGGCAATTCTTAAAGGTGTGAAAATCGTTCAGCGATGTGCTCTCGCAGTAAGAGCAATGATCCAAGCGGGATGCGTACGACAGTTCGTACTTCCTCCCAGCGACAGCGATGAATCCGGGAAGAGTGCTGGCGACGTCCAACGAAATTTCATGGCCCGGGGTCTTGATCGGGGCTCTTTGAAGCTCAACGAGCATAAAGAGGAACCCAGATGGCACGCTGACCACCTGTTCCTCTGCTTGCCATACCTGTAGATCGAGTGTCCAGAAGTCGAGGACTTGATGGGGTTTCAGCGCCTGCTTGGCAGCCTCTGCCGCGTCCACCATACGATTCTCTGGGATGCCTTCGACAAGTGCAGTGATCCAGTACGCGTCGAGCTTTGGTGCGAAGCCGACAAACTTCAGGCTGTGACCCTGGATCTCGAGCGCGATCGACTTGTCAAATTCGGCCCTGTCCCAGCTGATCGACAGCAGTCTCTCTCTGCTCGGCTTGGAGAACGTGACGCTGCCGAGCCTGCCGGTGGTCGGATCGGGGCCCGGATAGTGCACTTGAAGCTGCCGGTGAATATGCACAGCAGCAATCAGCTTGGCGGCTTGGTTGCGAAGCTCGACTGCGCGCGGCACGCTATACATCACCATCCCTGGCCAGAGGTGCTGCGCCAGTCGCGGGTTGGCAAACTTGTAAGGCGGAAGCTTGTTGAAGGGAATGAGCGGGCCGGCGCTCGATTTGTTAGCGATGGGGACATCTGAATCTTGAGCGGCCGTCTCGAGGCTACTCTCGAGCCGCGATGCTAGCGGCAGCCAAACCGGCACCGTCTTCGCGTGCGGTAGGTCCAAGATGAGATCTACGGGAGCCGAAGCGCCCTGCTTGATCTCTTCGGTAGCGTCCGACATCGTGATGCGATCAGAGAGGCAGGGCAAAATATTGTGCTAATATGAGAGTGCGTGGTGGAAGAGAAGCAGAGGAGGACTGTGCTTATATCGCATTACGAACAATGGTGAATGCACGACCTGCGTGCGCTGCTACAAGCGCTGGTCAAGGGAGCCTGACCAATGCACGAGAGGACATTCTTTGTGGTCAGCTGGAGGCCCGAGAGCGAAGGCGTCTGACATCCTGCCCGCGGCTTCACATATAAGGTCGACCGACTGGCAACACATCTGCCGCGTACAGGCTGGTCAGGACAACCTTAGAAACCTTTTCGTCGGGCTGTCGGAGGCGTACATGGACACGAACGCCTAGTCACCCAAAGGCCACAGTGGGGAGCACATGCAGCCAAGCCCGGTCTCATTGTAATTGGATGACATTCACTTGCCCCTGATGGATGTGCAAAGGTCGCAACTCATGGTCTCGGTCAAAGAGCAGCCCACCTTGGAGGCCCGTGGGCGACCATAAACAGGAAAACATGGTGGCCGCTGAGGCCCCTGAAGGCCCGAGACCTGTCAAAGAACGCATCAATTTTAAACTTTGTACTGGATATAATGCAGCCTCGCGGAATGATCTTCAAGGAGCTAGTTTAGCACGGGGGCGTAGCTCAGTGGCAGAGCGTCTCATTTGCATTCGCAAGACGATCCAACTTTGAGAAGGTCTGGGGTTCAATCCCCCACGCCTCCAAGCTTTCTTTTTTGCCATTTTCACCAAGTCATGATTTCTAGGCGCTTTTTGACACGACCTTTTTCTGCCGACTTTTGGTTCATAAAGTCCTTTCTTGAAAGGGAAGAGGCTAGGGCAGATCCCATGTGCAGGTCAAGGTGCTGTCTGGACCCTTGGATCAAGTGTGCGCTGCATTGATGGGTTCATCCAGACAAAGACGACAGCGTAATGCGCTGTGCCTTGCAAGTGGTCAGCCTTCCGAGCTTCTCTTGTCTGCTGTTTCTTAGGCGCTTGGTCAAAGCTTTGTGCTTGTAGAAGTGCAGGTCCGACTCAGCAATCTGGCAGATCTACAGCTATCGCTCGACACATGCAGTCTGGCGCCGTATTGCCACTGGAATCAGGCTGTAGACACGTTCCACAGATTCTGCGCATGTCACAACGGAAAGTCACAGCGCCGAGGAGGCTCGAATTTAGATTGCCCTCCGGACACGGGCTGTCGCCGATTTTCTCGAGAGCGTCCCCACCCGAATGGTTCGGCTTCTCTGATATCACACTTCTGCGCAGATCTCACAGTGACTTCATGACAAGCGTCACAAAATCGCACTTTGACCAACTGCGAGGGATTGACGGAAGGCAGCGAAAGCTTTCAAAGCCGCCGCCGTCGACTCAAGCCTCGAATGACCACTGCGCGGCGCGCGAGGCCTTACGAGCAGCGGCTGTCGTGTGCCCCACCGACAAAGGCGCAGGCCCACATCAGTCGAACCACATCAGGAAATGGGACCCTCGAGCACAAAGCGTGACTTCACAACAAGGCCTGCAGCTGGCAGAGCGCCGCTCGGGCCGCTTCCATTGCATTTCCTGCTGCGCAGCGACATCCACACGACATGAAAGGGCAGCTTTACAGAAGCGGAGCAGTGGCTTGATCTTGGCTGAGCAGGCCTGCGCATGGGCCGCAGGGTTGAGCTGAGTCAAGAGCGGGGCATGTGTCTAGCCAATACTCTTTGCTATAAGTATTGCATGCTCCTTTGTCTTGGCCCTTCTGCACGTCCACTTCCATCTCCTTGCACCATCGGATCCATTTCGACCGAGCGCCTCACCAGCACAAACTCCGACTTTGGTCCCGTCATGACCTCCGATTACCAGTACCGCCTGGTTCACTCTCGCGGCGCCAGACCCGTACTCGGCGCCCGAGATCTGCACGTCGAGGTCGAGACGACTGGCGTCCCTCCCGGCGGCGTTCGTTACCGTTTCGCTACCCGCTATCGCCCGAGCAAGTCGAGCTACCGCGATGTTCTGCTCGAAAGGATCCTCGAGATGTGCAAAGCCCACAAGCTCACCCCACTCGAAATCCGCTCCGCCGACCGTCACGGCTACGTCGATGTCATCTTCGCCAACGGCGACGACGTGATCAAGGTCTACGATAAAGACATCAGCTTCGACTTTTACGGTACCCAGCCGGAGCTCTTCGAACGCGCTACGCCTGATCGCAGACACGTCGCTATGTGCATCCAGACTCTACCCTCCTCTACCAACCTTAACGATGTGCAGGTCGCGCTGAAGGACGACGTGAGGATGCGCAAGGCGGGCCAGATCGTCGACATATGGTCGCTGCACTGCCCCGCCAGCGGTCAATTCAAGGGCAAGGTGCTCGTCCTGCTGGAGCTGCACACGCGGAACGGCGAAGTGACCCTCGACACCCGAGCGGCCATCCCTGGCTGGTTCGTCTTCAACGGCATCGCTTACCTGGTCCGCTTCCCCGACCGCCCCACGTGGTGCTTCACCTGCAGATACGACACACTCGCCCCCTTTCACAGCATGCACACTTGCCCCAAAGCGCCCTGCCGCACGTGCAAGAGGAGTGGCCACGCGTCGGTCGAGTGCAAGGTCCGTCGAGCGCAGGTCGCCAAAAAGCAGCAAGGCGGCAGGAGGGCCACGGAGGATTCAAGCGACGATGATGAGGACGAGACGCCTAGGGCGCCGAGCAACGATCGAGCATCTATGGAGCGCAGGTTTGCCGAGTTGGGCATCCGGGATCGCAGCGAGGAGGCTGAGGAGCTGGCGAGGGACTTTGGTGTGCTCGCCTTGTCGGAGAGCGACATTGGCAGTTGAAGGTGCGATTGCCGAGCTCCCGGTGATGGGGCTTTGAGAGGAGAAACTCGCAAAAAGATGCCTGAGCGCAGATGTAGTGTTCGATCTTGAATGAAACGGCTGTTGATGACCTACTATGCGAGAGCGAGCACAAGCGCTCATCGTCCTCGAATGACGGCTGAGCGACTCGACAGGATGAGGTCTAAGGCAGCTTCATTTGACCTGCCTTTGCGCAAGTTTGTCTGCGCAGGGAGACTTGACCGGGAGCGCAGCAGGAAAGGCATCGTTTTTGGTGAACATTTTCCATGTAGCGCATCAGTGTGTCCGTGGTGACTCCTGCAAAGCGGCCATCCGATGTTTGACATGCGACGAAAGCTCCTCTGAAGAAGGATGTGAGCGCTGCATAAACACATCCGAAGACGGGCTGCTGGTCATCGTATTGAATTCTGAAGTTGTCGTCCCGCTGTTGACGGCCATCGTCGAAAGGCTGGACCTCGGCCGCGCCGAAGTCCTCGAGAGCGGCGTAGGTGATGCAACAGTGTTGCTTGGATCTGTCGGCGCACGTTTCGGTGGCTTCTTGGAGCTGTTCCTCTCCGGCGCGATGATGTTGCCTACCGAGAGACTCGAGTACTGATCCGCATTGAGGACGTGATCCAGCATGTCGCCCATCTGGAGCGATCGAGAGTTGGGCAGGGGCGACGTCGAGTGCGTCTCCTGCCTCAGCGGTGTGTGGTCGATCTTGCCAAAGACGTCCTGTTGGTTGGCGCCACTGGACCCGGTAGGCGTGCGAATGTCGAACAGCGAGTAGGGCGGTGGCGAGACCACATCGAGGTCTTGTGCGTGTCGAGACGCGGTGGGGGTGTCCTGGAAGAGACGCCGTGATGAGGGCTGGTGGAAGGGACTGGTCTCGATGCTGTTGGTGCTCGAGCTGGCGCTGATGTCCATGAGGACAGGTTGCTGCATGGGCTGAAAGAATGCGCTGGATGTCCGCCGAGAGGGCGGCGATACGGATGCTGGTCTGTCGGCGGCGTATGTGCGTGAAGAGGAAGCCATCGTGGATGGTGACGATTCGAAGGCGGTGTGACTGGTCATGATGGTATCGGATGATCCGTTGTGGTTGTCGAGGCTATGATGTGATGCTCCCACGGTGTCGGTCAGAGGGCCACTCGCTGACTGAGTGTGATGGTCGTCGGAAGTGTACCGCAAGTCAAGCCCGACTGTTCGGGTGAGTTCGCAGCGTCGGATGTCTCGCGTACAGGGTAATGAGCCGATAGGGGGATGGCCAGTGACAGCCGAAAGTGAGCTTGCTTTTCCGCCTTGATCGGACGCGCGACCAGCTGATCATACGCAACCGATCAAACGTCAGCCGGCTCGAGGCAAGTGTCGATGTCTCAGGGGGAGAGCGTCGAGAGAGAGTTCTATTTGCAGGCGGCTTCGGTGCTGAGCTGCAAGCGTGCAGCAAGAGCATGTTCTAGCGAGCTCATCCCAGCTCAACCGATGGCTGGGTCCGGTACAGAGTGGTCTAGCGAGGCTGGCGGCCATTTTGAAACAGCGCTTTCTTTCGAACGAGACCAACACTCACACTCTTGACGAAAACACGCAGCGACCTGCAGGCCGATTTCATTTTGCAGGCACAGGCACGCGACGT